ACCAACCGATAAATAGGCAGACCAACGGAGAAATAAGCAGACCAATACAAAAATAAGCAGACCAACCGAGAAATAAGCAGACCAATACAAAAATAAGCAGACCAACCGAGAAATAGGCAGACCAAAAGAAAAATAGGCAGACCAACAGAGAAATAGGCAGACCAATGGAGAAACAGGCAGACCAATAGAAAATAAGGCAGACCAAAAGAAAAATAGGCAAACCAATGAAAAAATAGGCAGACCAACAGAGAATTAGGCAGACCAACAGAAAAATAGGCAGACCAACCGAGAAATAGGCAGACCAACGGAGAAATAAGCAGACCAATACAAAAATAAGCAGACCAACCGAGAAATAGGCAGACCAACGGAGAAATAAGCAGACCAATACAAAAAAATAAGCAGACCAACCGAGAAATAGGCAGACCAAAAGAAAAATAGGCAGACCAACAGAGAAATAGGCAGACCAATGGAGAAACAGGCAGACCAATAGAAAAATAGGCAGACCAAAAGAAAAATAGGCAGACCAACCGATAAATAGGCAGACCAAAAGAAAAATAGGCAGACCAAAAGAAAAATAGGCAGACCAATAGAGAAATAGGCGGACCAATGGAGAAACAGGCAGACCAATAGAAAATAAGGCAGACCAAAAGAAAAATAGGCAAACCAATAAAAATTAGGCAGACCAATGGAGAAACAGGCAGACCAATAGAAAAATAGGCAGACCAAAAGAAAAATAGGCAGACCAACCGATAAATAGGCAGACCAACGGAGAAATAAGCAGACCAATACAAAAATAAGCAGACCAACTGAGAATTAGGCAGACCAATACAAAAATAAGCAGACCAACAGAGAAATAAGCAGACCAACCGAGAAATAGGCAGACCAATGGAGAAACAGGCAGACCAATAGAAAAATAGGCAGACCAAAAGAAAAATAGGCAGACCAATGGAGAAATAAGCAGACCAATAGAAAAATAGGCAGACCAATGGAGAAATAAGCAGACCAATACAAAAATAAGCAGACCAACAGAGAATTAGGCAGACCAATACAAAAATAAGCAGACCAACAGAGAAATAAGCAGACCAATGGAGAAACAGGCAGACCAATAGAAAAATAGGCAGACCAAAAGAAAAATAGGCAGACCAACCGATAAATAGGCAGACCAAAAGAAAAATAGGCAGACCAAAAGAAAAATAGGCAGACCAAAAGAAAAATAGGCAGACCAACAGAGAAATAGGCAGACCAATGGAGAAACAGGCAGACCAATAGAAAAATAGGCAGACCAAAAGAAAAATAGGCAGACCAACCGATAAATAGGCAGACCAACCGATAAATAGGCAGACCAAAAGAAAAATAGGCAGACCAACAGAGAAATAGGCAGACCAATGGAGAAACAGGCAGACCAATAGAAAAATAGGCAGACCAAAAGAAAAATAGGCAGACCAACCGATAAATAGGCAGACCAAAAGAAAAATAGGCAGACCAAAAGAAAAATAGGCAGACCAATAGAGAAATAGGCGGACCAATGGAGAAACAGGCAGACCAATAGAAAATAAGGCAGACCAAAAGAAAAATAGGCAAACCAATGAAAAAATAGGCAGACCAACAGAGAATTAGGCAGACCAAAAGAAAAATAGGCAGACCAATGGAGAAATAAGCAGACCAATAGAAAAATAGGCAGACCAATGGAGAAACAGGCAGACCAATACAAAAATAAGCAGACCAACAGAGAAATAGGCAGACCAATGGAGAAACAGGCAGACCAATAGAAAAATAGGCAGACCAATAGAAAAATAGGCAGACCAAAAGAAAAATAGGCAGACCAACCGATAAATAGGCAGACCAACGGAGAAATAAGCAGACCAATACAAAAATAAGCAGACCAACAGAGAATTAGGCAGACCAATACAAAAATAAGCAGACCAACAGAGAAATAGGCAGACCAATGGAGAAACAGGCAGACCAATAGAAAAATAGGCAGACCAAAAGAAAAATAGGCAGACCAATGGAGAAATAAGCAGACCAATAGAAAAATAGGCAGACCAATGGAGAAACAGGCAGACCAATAGAAAAATAGGCAGACCAAAAGAAAAATAGGCAGACCAACCGATAAATAGGCAGACCAACGAAGAAATAAGCAGACCAATACAAAAATAAGCAGACCAACCGAGAAATAAGCAGACCAATACAAAAATAAGCAGACCAACCGAGAAATAGGCAGACCAAGAGAAAAATAGGCAGACCAACAGAGAAATAGGCAGACCAATGGAGAAACAGGCAGACCAATAGAAAATAAGGCAGACCAAAAGAAAAATAGGCAGACCAATGGAGAAACAGGCAGACCAATAGAAAATAAGGCAGACCAAAAGAAAAATAGGCAAACCAATGAAAAAATAGGCAGACCAACAGAGAATTAGGCAGACCAACAGAAAAATAGGCAGACCAACCGAGAAATAGGCAGACCAACGGAGAAATAAGCAGACCAATACAAAAATAAGCAGACCAACCGAGAAATAGGCAGACCAACGGAGAAATAAGCAGACCAATACAAAAATAAGCAGACCAACAGAGAATTAGGCAGACCAATACAAAAATAAGCAGACCAACAGAGAAATAGGCAGACCAATGGAGAAACAGGCAGACCAATAGAAAAATAGGCAGACCAAAAGAAAAATAGGCAGACCAATGGAGAAATAAGCAGACCAATAGAAAAATAGGCAGACCAATGGAGAAACAGGCAGACCAATAGAAAAATAGGCAGACCAAAAGAAAAATAGGCAGACCAACCGATAAATAGGCAAACCAACGGAGAAATAAGCAGACCAATACAAAAATAAGCAGACCAACAGAGAATTAGGCAGACCAATACAAAAATAAGCAGACCAACAGAGAAATAGGCAGACCAATGGAGAAACAGGCAGACCAATAGAAAAATAGGCAGACCAAAAGAATTTTCTATTGGTCTGCCTGTTTCTCCATTGGTCTGCCTAATTTTTATTGGTCTGCCTAATTTTTATTGGTTTGCCTATTTTTCTTTTGGTCTGCCTATTTCTCGGTTGGTCTGCCTATTTTTGTTTTGGTCGGCCTATTTTTTTATTGGTCTGCTTATTTCTCCATTGGTCCGCCTATTTCTCTATTGGTCTGCCTATTTTTCTTTTGGTCTGCCTATTTTTCTTTTGGTCTGCCTATTTATCGGTTGGTCTGCCTATTTTTCTTTTGGTCTGCCTATTTTTCTATTGGTCTGCCTGTTTCTCCATTGGTCTGCCTATTTCTCTGTTGGTCTGCCTATTTTTCTTTTGGTCTGCCTATTTCTCGGTTGGTCTGCTTATTTTTGTATTGGTCTGCTTATTTCTCCGTTGGTCTGCCTATTTCTCGGTTGGTCTGCTTATTTTTGTATTGGTCTGCTTATTTCTCCGTTGGTCTGCCTATTTCTCGGTTGGTCTGCCTATTTTTCTGTTGGTCTGCCTAATTCTCTGTTGGTCTGCCTATTTTTTCATTGGTTTGCCTATTTTTCTTTTGGTCTGCCTTATTTTCTATTGGTCTGCCTGTTTCTCCATTGGTCTGCCTATTTTTCTGTTGGTCTGCCTATTTTTGTTTTGGTCGGCCTATTTTTGTATTGGTCTGCTTATTTCTCCGTTGGTCTGCCTATTTCTCGGTTGGTCTGCCTATTTTTCTTTTGGTCTGCCTATTTTTCTTTTGGTCTGCCTATTTATCGGTTGGTCTGCCTATTTTTCTTTTGGTCTGCCTATTTTTCTATTGGTCTGCCTGTTTCTCCATTGGTCTGCCTATTTCTCTGTTGGTCTGCCTATTTTTCTTTTGGTCTGCCTATTTCTCGGTTGGTCTGCTTATTTTTGTATTGGTCTGCTTATTTCTCCGTTGGTCTGCCTATTTCTCGGTTGGTCTGCTTATTTTTGTATTGGTCTGCTTATTTCTCCATTGGTCTGCCTATTTCTCTGTTGGTCTGCTTATTTTTGTATTGGTCTGCCTAATTCTCTGTTGGTCTGCTTATTTTTGTATTGGTCTGCTTATTTCTCCGTTGGTCTGCCTATTTATCGGTTGGTCTGCCTATTTTTCTTTTGGTCTGCCTATTTTTCTATTGGTCTGCCTGTTTCTCCATTGGTCTGCCTATTTTTCTATTGGTCTGCTTATTTCTCCATTGGTCTGCCTATTTTTCTTTTGGTCTGCCTATTTTTCTATTGGTCTGCCTGTTTCTCCATTGGTCTGCCTATTTCTCTGTTGGTCTGCTTATTTTTGTATTGGTCTGCCTAATTCTCTGTTGGTCTGCTTATTTTTGTATTGGTCTGCTTATTTCTCCGTTGGTCTGCCTATTTCTCGGTTGGTCTGCTTATTTTTGTATTGGTCTGCCTGTTTCTCCATTGGTCTGCCTATTTCTCTGTTGGTCTGCTTATTTTTGTATTGGTCTGCCTAATTCTCTGTTGGTCTGCTTATTTTTGTATTGGTCTGCTTATTTCTCCGTTGGTCTGCCTATTTATCGGTTGGTCTGCCTATTTTTCTTTTGGTCTGCCTATTTTTCTTTTGGTCTGCCTATTTATCGGTTGGTCTGCCTATTTTTCTTTTGGTCTGCCTATTTTTCTATTGGTCTGCCTGTTTCTCCATTGGTCTGCCTATTTCTCTGTTGGTCTGCCTATTTTTCTTTTGGTCTGCCTATTTCTCGGTTGGTCTGCTTATTTTTGTATTGGTCTGCTTATTTCTCCGTTGGTCTGCCTATTTCTCGGTTGGTCTGCTTATTTTTGTATTGGTCTGCTTATTTCTCCATTGGTCTGCCTATTTCTCTGTTGGTCTGCTTATTTTTGTATTGGTCTGCCTAATTCTCTGTTGGTCTGCTTATTTTTTTGTATTGGTCTGCTTATTTCTCCGTTGGTCTGCCTATTTATCGGTTGGTCTGCCTATATGTCTTATTTCCTTCTTGATTTCTCAACTGATATAAAAAATAAAAAAAATCATTGTTTCAGATGTGGCAACAAAACGCAAATTTAGCGTTACCGGACCAACGCGGCTTTCGACAAATTTTCCGTCCACATCAGCACAATTTCGGCGCTCCTCAGCCAGATGCCAGAAGACAGAGAGGCCAGCAAGCTCAACGGAGGGAAGGGAACCGACGTAACGACGCCGGTAGAAATGAACGACGTCGTGGAAGATTTTGAAAATGAGGAGACACAGAATGTACACTTTTCCGTTTTCTGAAGTTCCCTAAGTTCAATTAAATTATACTTCAAGTTTTTCCCTTTCATAATACATATTAATTGAAAAAAATGAGATCGAGAACGTTTCATGACTCTGATTCACTGGTTCTGTGCTTTTTTTCCAAGTTGGTTCTGTTATCATGTCATATTGCTTTAACTTCGCCCTAATTGATGCCTTTGACATTTTACAGGTAACATAAAGTTACTAGATCCAAATCGCCCATAGATTTTCATTAAGAACTGTGTTCTTTCATTTTTCTGTAATTTGTTGGCTTCTCCATTGTATTTGGAAGGTAAATACTTCTTGGCGAGTCATCAACAGGCTCCCTTGAAAGTTTTCCCATTATTTTGTTGCACGAATTAAACTTTTCCACTTTATTTTGCCCTTTTGATAGATAAAATTGTGGGAATGTGTACTTTCAAAAGAATGAAGCCAAGACTGAAAATCTACAAAAAACATGAACTTATTAATGAAATAACTTGGCAAGCACTCGGGAAAAAACGACATTAAATTGTTTTCAGTTTCTTCAAAAATTGTCTTCCCATTATTGTTTTTCAGGCTTTAGTTGCTAACAACCGTGTGAATAAAAGTATTAAAAGGTCATAGTGAAAAATATTCTTAAGAGGAAGAACAAAATAACTTTTTCGTCGCTAAAAGTGGCGGTGTCTGCAGACCGTCCGATGGAGCGCACATTCTCCGACGGAACTATCGGAAAGGTCCTTGTCAAACCGGTTTTGACCGATTTCTTTAAGAACAACGATTATTTTCTCAGAGTTATGATTAGACCAATGAATGAAGGATCCGCAGGAATAGCCGCAACATTTGAAATTTCAGGATTATCCACAAAGATGCTTTCGGTGTATTCCTTTGTTTTCAGATAAACTTCAAGGTCACATTCCCATCTTCATTAGAAACAGTGAAACATAATGCTTGATCCGGTATTTGTGAAGAACTCCGAATGAAAAATACGAATGAAAATATATTCATAACGAAAAATATGTTCAAAGAAAAAAAGTAATAATTTTATCGACTCGTCAATGGAAGTGGCGGTGTCTGCAGACCGTCCGATGGAGCGCACATTCTCCGATGGAACTATCGGAAAGGTCCTTGTCAAACCGGTTCTGACCGATTTTTCTAAGAACAAAGATGATTTTCTCAATCATTTGATGGAACCAATGAATGAAGGACCCGCAGTAACGACCGAAACATTTGGAATTCCAGGAGTATCCACAAATACGCTTTCGGTGTATTCCTTTGTTTCAGATAAATTTCAAGGCCACATTCCCATCTTCATTAGAAACAGTGAAACAGAAATGTTGTTCCGGTACATTGGACGAATTTTGAGTAAGAGACACTATTGAAAATATATTCATAACGAAAGATGGGTTCACAGAAAAAAAGTAATAATTTTATCGACTCGTCGAAGGAACTGGCGGTGTGTGCAGACCGTCCGGTGGAGCGCACATTCTCCGATGGAACTATCGAAAAGGTCCTTGTCAAACCGGTTCTGACCGATTTTTTTAAAAACAATGATGTTTTTTTCAGATTTATGATTGATCCAATAAATGATGGACCCGCTGAAATAACCGGAACATTTAAAGCTTTATGAAAAATCCACAAATATACGTCCAGTAAACCTAATTTTTTTATTTCAGAACATCCCTGATCTTATTTCCCATTTTCATTAAAAAAACATTAAAAACAGAACAAGTGTACGGGTACTTCGAGGAAAAACGATGAAGAAGAATGAAAGAGGATCTTCATAGAAAAAAATGAATAAAAATTAAATTAAACCATTTTCTCGTTAGAAGATTATTCATCCCTCTTTTTGAAAGACTATCAGTGGTCTTCATTCTGAAACTGTTCTAGCCATAGAAGAAGATTCGTATCATTAGAAGTGCACACGAGTTGAATAATCAGGATCGACTTCTTATAATGTTGTGGTCTAGCTCGAGCAAAAACTAAGTGAAGAAAAATTGTTTCATTCCGAAGGAAAAAATAGTTGTCTGATGTTTGCCCTGAAATTTAACTCGCAGTGAAACACATAAAACAGGAAAAAGAGATTGTAGCTCTGTGATTTTTTCAAGAAGAAGAAGAAATCGATATGACGAGACTCTTGGCACGAAGACTCGCGCGTGCTTTGAGTTCTCGTCGCCAGATGCCCTCTGCGGAGTGGAGCTCTTTTTTGAGTTTCCGCTGCTATCGAACCACCACACGCTTCTTCTTTTTTTTCTTGGTCTTCGTGCCTTTTTGGATTTTTTCTGAATATTTTTATGTATTTGTGCCTTTTTTAAGTTCTCTATCAATAGTCACAACGTTTCCATAGTTCGCTGGGAGGGTTACGAAACTCTATTGCAGTCATTAACACACAATATTTGTTTCTGTTTCAGTTAAAGATGTGATCTTCGAGTACCGCAGGGCATTAGCCTGTGTTCGCCGATCAGCTCGCAGGATCTCCAAAAAGAACCGCGTAAAAAAAGGCCGATAGTCAGACTCGCCGGGTGTTTGGAGGTTGGGCCATTCTTTTTTTCATGAAATTTCGATTCAACTCTCCGGTGGAACTCGAAAAGTGAGAGTAGTTCCCAGCATCACCAGTTTGAAGAAAGGGAGCGGTGGTACTTTCGACGATTTTTTTGAAAGAAGAATGTAAGCGATTCGAGTGAGTTTTTACCCTTATCATTGATACCATCCGAACTCACAGAGGCTATCGATTTTTTTCTAGCCCAGTGATTGAGGAAAAAAATCAAACTAGAAAAAAACATAAGGGAAGATCCAAAAAAATTCAAAAAAAGTTCGGAATCTTTTTATTTTTTTATTATTTTTCTTGCTTGTTTGAATTAAAAATAAACTCTCGAAAATTTTTTTGGGAGAAGCTACTGAATCCTCGTCTAATTTTTAGCGTGGAAATTAAATGCATAAAAAAACTGTCGTTCGTCTTGCCTTTCGACTAGGAAATTTACAAATACTTAAAAAAATGGTCTGAAACGTTTCGTGAGTTTATTTTTTTCTCAATTTATTGACTTCGTACAACTTTCTTGGAAGTCCGATCACTTCTGTAGTGTTTCTGCTTCAAGTTCTCGTGGTTTATCTGAAAATGGGTGGAAAAACTTCTCTTCATGACCAGAGTGAAAGAATTTCAATGAAACCAACCAATTTTACGAATTAATTTTTTTCAGGGCAGAGAAGAAAAAAATTTCGTCCCGAGCGCTTTCTTAAAGGATTGTCGAGAAAATCAAAACTCTTGTGCGTTTTTTTCAAAAATTCACCCAGTTTTTTTCCAGGAATTCTCTGGAAAATTCAAAGAAAAAAAGTATATCGTTTTTAAAAACAGATTGAAGAAATTGTTCGAAATTGAGCTATATTTCTAACTTTCTTTATTTTTCAGAGCAGGTAAAAAAACTTCTGCTCCTAGCTTTTTTTGTTAAGGTTGCGAAGCAATCAAAGTTTGCATATGTTTTTCTTCTACATACTTCACAGTATCATTGAATTGTTCAGGTTGACAACGAAGAGGAGAAACAATTTATTGAGTGAAACGTTTTGCAGGTCATAAGCGGGATGATCGCAGTTCAACTCCCCCTAAATTTCAGGCGAGATTAATTTTTTTCAAAATTAGTTTACATCTTATTTGAAAATCTAGAAGACTAATTGGAAGCGTCGTTGAAAAGTCGCGGTTTCAGCAGGGTCCGTCCGATGGAGCGCACATTCTCTAATCGTACTGTCCGAAAGGTTCCGCCAAAACCTGTTTGTGTTCGATTTTTTTAAGGACGACGATGATTTTCGCAACTTCTCGATAGTTCCATCAATAGAAGGGCCCACAGAAATATCCGGAACATTCGGAATTTTGTGCGTATTCCCAAAGGAGCGTTCAGTAGAGTTAGATTTCATTTCAGATTAACTGTACTTTTTCGATCGTGTTTTCAATCTTCATTTTATGACCCAAAATTAGGATTGATTTTTTCGGTACTTTAAAATTATCTTACAAAAAAATTGATGGATCAAAAAAGGACTCATAATTGGAGACTTATTGATATAAAAATAATACTTTTGTCGTTGGAAGACGCGGTGTGTGCACACTGTTCGGTGGAGCGCACATTCCTTGACTACACCATACGAAAGAACCCTCTCTATTTCTGTTTTTGTTCGATTATCTTAAGAAGCTCAATGCCTTTCAAAAATTTTGGATAGTGCCATTATTTCAAGGAGCTGCAGAGACATCCGGAACATTAGGGATTTCATGATTATCTGCAAAGATGTGTTCAGTAGATTCAATGAATGGGAATGGTCTTTATCGCTTTCGTTTAAAGACCTATAGGCTGAGATCTATAGAGAGAACATTTCAAAAAGACTCAATCCACTGTTATCCTTTCGCTACTCAGGTTTTAACACTGCAAATCGCAATTTCGAAAGTTTTTGGTTGGATAGGATGTGACACAATTGAGACTGAACGTTTCATTTTGAAAAGCGGAAGGCGACTTCTGATGTGAAAATTTTACTATCAACTAGCCATTTACCTTAAGTGAGGAAAATAGTTCCGATTGTAGTTTTAAGTAGCGGAAATCGATAAGTCGGGATTCTTTGCTCGAAAAATTGCGTCCTCTCAAAATTCACGTCACCAGACGCTTCTCTTGGAGTTGATCCCAATTCCGAGCTGTCACCACATCGGCACCTTGTTTTCATATTTTCCTTTGCACTGCCCACTTTTTAGACTTCACTTCTCAAAGAAGTATTATCATCATTTTTTCCAATTTCTTACTTTTCGTCGTGAGATTCGATCAAAGTATTGTGCTCTACTTCTTATACTTCTTTGTTTTGAAAAATTTTTTTAAAATCTTCATTCTCATTTCGTTCCGTCTTTTTCCCGTTCGCTTCTTGATGCCGTTAAGCTTTTGTGTATTTGAATTATGGAAACGCAATCGAAATTTTTTTCAGGCTCACAAGTTCGACGGAATTTTGCCTTGTGTTGTACGATCTACTAGGCGGTGCACGACGTTGAGAAGATGGAAAAATTCTGATAGCTGGGATAACTGGAAATTTTGAGGTAGAAAAGTTCGAGTATTCAAATATTTTGATTTAATAATAATAATAGTTTATTCACTGCCAAAAAAAAAACATTAGGTAGTACAGAAAAAATTATAAGTGATAAACATATGACGGGCAGAAGAATAAAAAAATTTGAACTTGCAGATGACATGAAACAGCTCACCAGTCTTCCAATGCCAGCCAAAGTTACGACGGCAAATTAAGGAACCATGTATTTTGGAAAATCCAAGAGGAAAAGCACAGGTCAGATCATGAGTGAAAAAAATATGCTGAATTCATTTTTATTCAGTCACCAGTCCAGCGACGTATTCTAATTGGTTTTCCATACGATGGAACAAGCTCGGATAGCTGGGATAACTGGAAATTTCGAGGTAACAAAATTTCTTTTTCCAAAACTTTCATTCAAACTTGCAGGTGACGTGAAATGGCCCAAGTAGTTTCCCACGGCACGCCGATGGGGACAACTACGAGTTTGGGAACCATGGGTTTCATGAAATCTCGGAACTGTAAGTGATTACGATGATTTCCGGGATGATTGGGACGGTCACATCGTTGAAGGTAAACACCGGTAAGATCATGGATTTTGAAAAATGACTGAAAACATTATACTTTTTCAGAAACGTCTTTTGAAGATCGGATAGCTGGGATCACTGTCAATTTCCAGGTGGGACGACTTCTTTACTCAAAAAATTTTGATTCGAATTTCAAGATGACATGAAGAGGCGCAACCAGCTTCCTACTGCACGCAGAACTTGACGACTACGAGTCTAGGCACGATGGGTTTCATGAAAGCGGGGAATCGTGAGTGATTTGAGAGAGTTTTTAATTTTGTGATAAATGTTTTCAGGTGTCGCCAGGACAAGCGCCGGGAGGGAATCAACAGCCAACCAGCAGGATTCTTGGAATGAAACCCACAATTCCAGTTTCGATAACTTTTCCTGTTTTTCAATCAATATATTGATTTTCCCTTTTTCTTGTACCACAGTTTTTCCATTAATGGCCCGTTCTTTTTCATTCATTTTCGTTCATTACAAAATAATTCCTCTGAAGAAGCAGTAAATGATTGCATTGCGTTGATCAATTCATTTTAATCCCGATAATGAGTATTTCCACCTCATCAATCTCAGCTTGCAAATTTTAAGATCAAACGGTCATTTAACCTTAAAAGCAAATGTAAAAATCATGATGTTAAACTAATTTATGATGTCAAAATGATGATCCAACTTTGAAAATAAATATGAATGAATCTTTGTTTTTTGAGAAAGATACCGCGATCGGAATTTCAATGAAAGAAAAACGTTTTTTGATGAATTGGGGAATACTCGATAAAAACGCTTCAATTGGACATCGGTAGAGAAGAAATGTCCTTTTCAAGAATAACAATCCACTGAAGACTTTACTAGAGCTCGCCCAATAGGAAAAAGTCCAATGACGCAATAATTTCCCAGTAGATCGAAACTTTTGATTCAATCTTCCGATGACTTTATATTCCGAATCGGATGACCTTTTCAATTATTTCATCGACTTCTCCATCTCGTCTAGTTTTATCAAGAATAACTTCAAAGTTGGATTCGATAGACTTTTTTTTTGGTTGACGGTACTTTCGCGACCGGAGTTCTTTGCGTCTGGTTTGAATTTCAAATCAAGGTTCGGGTTGAGGGAAAAGTGACGTTGACCGCTCCATGCCTCGAAGCTACCCCAGAAGGATTCGAAGTATATTTTTATGGCTCGTCAAATCGAAAAGTATTCTGACAGAATGTATTTTCCTGCATGATCATAGGAAACAGCATTATCTAGATCAATGTTATTTTAAACTACATTTTTATCTCTATTTTTTGTTTTTCTACTTCAACTTTTTTTTTTCCTTATTTAAATTGTAGATCGAAGTGAAGTCGTTGAGGTTCACACTGATCTGTGAATAAATTATTATCATTATTCGATTTTTTTGAGTGTTTTCCTTTCTATAATTTTTTTCTCAGTGTCTACAGGAACTCTATTTTTTTAAATTTTATTCGTGTCAGATAACCGGGAAAAAAACTGAAAAAAATGAATCAGTGAAAAAAACCCAATGAAGCTATCACGAGTAAAAAAAGGGTTTCAAAAAAACAACAGTTAGAAAGATTAAAGGGGTCTAAATAAATTGAGCCAATATATTAAGACAGAATAATATTCGAATTGATGAGAGCAAAATATTGAAAATGCTAGAAGAAACCGGGTGGAGAGAAACACACAAGAAAAGAACAATAAGGCAAGATCAGGAAAGATTATGATAACACCGGCGTCGAAACGAGACAGACGAATTGAACCAAAAAAGTCTAATAAAAATCATACTAATCTCACTTTTTTCTCTTGACCCTCAACTTTTATATAAATAGGTTCTCTTTGAAAATCATCGTAATCACTTACAGTTCCGAGATTTCATGAAAATCATCGTAATCACTTACAGTTCCGAGATTTCATGAAACCCATGGTTCCCAAACTCGTAGTTGTCCCCATCGGCGTGCCGTGGGAAACTACTTGGGCCATTTCACGTCACCTGCAAGTTTGAATGAAAGTTTTGGAAAAAGAAATTTTGTTACCTCGAAATTTCCAGTTATCCCAGCTATCCGAGCTTGTTCCATCGTATGGAAAACCAATTAGAATACGTCGCTGGACTGGTGACTGAATAAAAATGAATTCAGCATATTTTTTTCACTCATGATCTGACCTGTGCTTTTCCTCTTGGATTTTCCAAAATACATGGTTCCTTAATTTGCCGTCGTAACTTTGGCTGGCATTGGAAGACTGGTGAGCTGTTTCATGTCATCTGCAAGTTCAAATTTTTATTCTTCTGCCCGTCATATGTTTATCACTTATAATTTTTTTCTGTACTACCTAATGTTTTTGGCAGTGAATAAACTATTATTATTATTAAATCAAAAATATTTGAATACTCGAACTTTTTCTACCTCAAAAATTTCCAGTTATCCCAGCTATCAGAATTTTTTTCCATCTTCTCAACGTCGTGCACCGCCTAGTAGATCGTACAACACAAGGCAAAATTCCGTCGAACTTGTGAGCCTGAAAAAAATTTTCGATTGCGTTTCCATAATTCAAATACACAAAAAGCTTAACGGCATCAAGAAGCGAACGGGAAAAAGACGGAACGAAATGAGAATGAAGATTTTAAAAATTTTCAAAAACAAAGAAGTATAAGAAGTAGAGCACAATACTTTGATCGAATCTCACGACGAAAAGTAAGAAATTGGAAAAAATGATGATAATACTTCTTTGAGAAGTGAAGTCTAAAAAGTGGGCAGTGCAAAGGAAAATATGAAAACAAGGTGCCGATGTGGTGACAGCTCGGAATTGGGATCAACTCCAAGAGAAGCGTCTGGTGACGTGAATTTTGAGAGGACGCAATTTTTCGAGCAAAGAATCCCGACTTATCGATTTCCGCTACTTAAAACTACAATCGGAACTATTTTCCTCACTTAAGGTAAATGGCTAGTTGATAGTAAAATTTTCACATCAGAAGTCGCCTTCCGCTTTTCAAAATGAAACGTTCAGTCTCAATTGTGTCACATCCTATCCAACCAAAAACTTTCGAAATTGCGATTTGCAGTGTTAAAACCTGAGTAGCGAAAGGATAACAGTGGATTGAGTCTTTTTGAAATGTTCTCTCTATAGATCTCAGCCTATAGGTCTTTAAACGAAAGCGATAAAGACCATTCCCATTCATTGAATCTACTGAACACATCTTTGCAGATAATCATGAAATCCCTAATGTTCCGGATGTCTCTGCAGCTCCTTGAAATAATGGCACTATCCAAAATTTTTGAAAGGCATTGAGCTTCTTAAGATAATCGAACAAAAACAGAAATAGAGAGGGTTCTTTCGTATGGTGTAGTCAAGGAATGTGCGCTCCACCGAACAGTGTGCACACACCGCGTCTTCCAACGACAAAAAGTATTATTTTTTTATATCAATAAGTCTCCAATTATGAGTCCTTTTTGATCCATCAATTTTTTTGTAAGATAATTTTAAAGTACCGAAAAAAATCAATCCTAATTTTGGGTCATAAAATGAAGATTGAAAAACACGATCGAAAAAAAGTACAGTTAATCTGAAATGAAATCTAACTCTACTGAACGCTCCTTTGGGAATACGCACAAAAATTCCGAATGTTCCGGATATTTCTGTGGGCCCTTCTATTGATGGAACTATCGAGAAGTTGCGAAAAATCATCGTCGTCCTTAAAAAAATCGAACACAAACAGGTTTTGGCGGAACCTTTCGGACAGTACGATTAGAGAATGTGCGCTCCATCGGACGGACCCTGCTGAAACCGCGACTTTTCAACGACGCTTCCAATTAGTCTTCTAGATTTTCAAATAAGATGTAAACTAATTTTGAAAAAAATTAATCTCGCCTGAAATTTAGGGGGAGTTGAACTGCGATCATCCCGCTTATGACCTGCAAAACGTTTCACTCAATAAATTGTTTCTCCTCTTCGTTGTCAACCTGAACAATTCAATGATACTGTGAAGTATGTAGAAGAAAACATATGCAAACTTTGATTGCTTCGCAACCTTAACAAAAAAAAAGCTAGGAGCAGAAGTTTTTACCTGCTCTGAAAATAAAGAAAGTTAGAAATATAGCTCAATTTCGAACAATTTCTTCAATCTGTTTTAAAAACGATATACTTTTTCTTTGAATTTTCCAGAGAATTCCTGGAAAAACTGGGTGAATTTTGAAAAAAACGCACAAGAGTTTTGATTTTCTCGACAATCCTTTAAGAAAGCGCTCGGGACGAAATTTTTTTCTTCTCTGCCCTGAAAAAAATTAATTCGTAAAATTGGTTGGTTTCATTGAAATTCTTTCACTCTGGTCATGAAGAGAAGTTTTTCCACCCATTTTCAGATAAACCACGAGAACTTGAAGCAGAAACACTACAGAAGTGATCGGACTTCCAAGAAAGTTGTACGAAGTCAATAAATTGAGAAAAATAAACTCACGAAACGTTTCAGACCATTTTTAAGTATTTGTAAATTTCCTAGTCGAAAGGCAAGACGAACGACAGTTTTTTATGCATTTAATTTCCACGCTAAAAAAAATTAGACGAGGATTCAGTAGCTTCTCCCAAAAAATTTTCGAGAGTTTATTTTAATTCAAACAAGCAAGAAAATAATAAAAATAAAAGATTCCGAACTTTTTGAATTTTTGGATCTTCCCTTATGTTTTTTTTCTAGTTTGATTTTTTTTCCTCAATCACTGGGCTAGAAAAAAATCGATAGCCTCTGTGAGTTCGGATGGTATCAATGATAAGGGTAAAACTCACTCGAATCGCTTACATTCTTCTTTCAAAAAATCGTCGAAAGTACCACCGCTCCCTTTCTTCAAACTGGTGATGCTGGGAACTACTCTCACTTTTCGAGTTCCACCGGAGAGTTGAATCGAAATTTCATGAAAAAAAGAATGGCCCAACCTCCAAACACCCGGCGAGTCTGACTATCGGCCTTTTTTTTACGCGGTTCTTTTGGAGATCCTGCGAGCTGATCGGCGAACACAGGCTAATGCCCTGCGGTACTCGAAGATCACATCTTTAACTGAAACAGAAACAAATATTGTGTGTTAATGACTGCAATAGAGTTTCGTAACCCTCCCAGCGAACTATGGAAACGTTGTGACTATTGATAGAGAACTTAAAAAAAGGCACAAATACATAAAAAAATATTCAGAAAAAAATCCAAAAAAAGGCACGAAGACCAAGAAAAAAAAGAAGAAGCGTGTGGTGGTTCGATAGCAGCGGAAACTCAAAAAAGAGCTCCACTCCGCAGAGGGCATCTGGCGACGAGAACTCAAAGCACGCGCGAGTCTTCGTGCCAAGAGTCTCGTCATATCGATTTCTTCTTCTTCTTGAAAAAATCACAGAGCTACAATCTCTTTTTCCTGTTTTATGTGTTTCACTGCGAGTTAAATTTCAGGGCAAACATCAGACAACTATTTTTTCCTTCGGAATGAAACAATTTTTCTTCACTTAGTTTTTGCTCGAGCTAGACCACAACATTATAAGAAGTCGATCCTGATTATTCAACTCGTGTGCACTTCTAATGATACGAATCTTCTTCTATGGCTAGAACAGTTTCAGAATGAAGACCACTGATAGTCTTTCAAAAGAGGGATGAATAATCTTCTAACGAGAAAATGGTTTAATTTAATTTTATTCATTTTTTTCTATGAAGATCCTCTTTCATTCTTCTTCATCGTTTTCCTCGAAGTACCCGTACACTTGTTCTGTTTTAATGTTTTTAATGAAAATGGGAAATAAGATCGGGATGTTCTGAAATAAAAATTAGGTTTACTGGACGTATATTTGTGGATTTTCATAAAGCTTTAAATGTTCCGGTTATTTCAGCGGGTCCATCATTTATTGGATCAATCATAAATCTGAAAAAAACATCATTGTTTTTAAAAAAATCGGTCAGAACCGGTTTGACAAGGACCTTTTCGATAGTTCCATCGGAGAATGTGCGCTCCACCGGACGGTCTGCACACACCGCCAGTTCCTTCGACGAGTCGATAAAATTATTACTTTTTTTCTGTGAACCCATCTTTCGTTATGAATATATTTTCAATAGTGTCTCTTACTCAAAATTCGTCCAATGTACCGGAACAACATTTCTGTTTCACTGTTTCTAATGAAGATGGGAATGTGGCCTTGAAATTTATCTGAAAACAAAGGAATACACCGAAAGCGTATTTGTGGATACTCCTGGAATTCCAAATGTTTCGGTCGTTACTGCGGGTCCTTCATTCATTGGTTCCATCAAATGATTGAGAAAATCATCTTTGTTCTTAGAAAAATCGGTCAGAACCGGTTTGACAAGGACCTTTCCGATAGTTCCATCGGAGAATGTGCGCTCCATCGGACGGTCTGCAGACACCGCCACTTCCATTGACGAGTCGATAAAATTATTACTTTTTCTTTGAACATATTTTTTTCGTTATGAATATATTTTTCATTCGTATTTTTTTCATTCGGAGTTCTTCACAAATACCGGATCAAGCATTATGTTTCACTGTTTCTAATGAAGATGGGAATGTGACCTTGAAGTTTATCTGAAAAACAAAGGAATACACCGAAAGCATCTTTGTGGATAATCCTGAAATTTCAAATGTTGCGGCTATTCCTGCGGATCCTTCATTCATTGGTCTAATCATAACTCTGAGAAAAATAATCGTTGTTCTTAAAGAAATCGGTCAAAAACCGGTTTGACAAGGACCTTTCCGATAGTTCCGTCGGAGAATGTGCGCTCCATCGGACGGTCTGCAGACACCGCCACTTTTAGCGACGAAAAAGTTATTTTGTTCTTCCTCTTAAGAATATTTTTCACTATGACCTTTTAATACTTTTATTCACACGGTTGTTAGCAACTAAAGCCTGAAAAAAACAATAATGGGAAGACAATTTTTTTGAAGAAACTGAAAAACAATTTAATGTCGTTTTTTTCCCGAGTGCTTGCCAAGTTATTTCATTAATAAGTTCATGTTTTTTTGTAGATTTTTCAGTCTTGGCTTCATTCTTTTTGAAAGTACACATTCCCACAATTTTATCTATCAAAAGGGCAAAAATAAAGTGGAAAAAGTTTAATTCGTGCAACAAAAATAATGGGAAAAACTTTCAAGGGAGCCTGTTGATGACTCGCCAAGAAGTATTTACCTTCCAAATACAATGGAGAAGCCAACAAATTACAGAAAAATGAAAGAACACAGTTCTTAATGAAAATCTATGGGCGATTTGGATCTAGTAACTTTATGTTACCTGTAAATGTCAAAGGCATCAATTAGGGCGAAGTTAAAGCAATATGACATGATAACAGAACCAACTTGGAAAAAAGCACAGAACCAGTGAATCAGAGTCATGAAACGTTCTCGATCTCATTTTTCAATTAATATGTATTATGAAAGGGAAAAAAACTTGAAGTATAATTTAATTGAACTTAGGGAACTTCAGAAAACGGAAAAGTGTACATTCTGTGTCTCCTCATTTTCAAAATCTTCCACGACGTCGTTCATTTCTACCGGCGTCGTTACGTCGGTTCCCTTCCCTCCGTTGAGCTTGCTGGCCTCTCTGTCTTCTGGCATCTGGCTGAGGAGCGCCGAAATTGTGCTGATGTGGACGGAAAATTTGTCGAAAGCCGCGTTGGTCCGGTAACGCTAAATTTGCGTTTTGTTGCCACATCTGAAACAATGATTTTTTTTATTTTTTATATCAGTTGAGAAATCAAGAAGGAAATAAGACATACTCCTAAATGAGGTCCGACGAAACGCTGTGGAACAGGTCCTTGCTCAAATCGCTGCTGAGGTTGATAGAGCGGCTGAAAAAAATTATATGAGCCTTTTTTTTTTTTTTTGTAACTAAACATCATTTTTAACTATAACCTACTCAAACTGCGCCAAAAGTGTTCCAAAAGTCGAACTAAAACTATAAAATCTCATTTCAATTTATATTAGAGATATTAAGAAAAGATTTTATTTTTTTGAGAAGTATCGTGAAAGTTCTCGATTGTTTATAACCGATAAAATTTTTGATTGAAATCATTTCGAGACACAGATAAAACATACCGCTGCACCGACAAAGCGATTTCTCGGTGGCGGGGGCGTCGCGAATTGCGGATTTTGTTGGTATAGCTGAATTTTTTTTAATTATTAAATTGAAGATTTTACGGAAAAAAACATACCTCTGCTTGAGGAACGGCAAATGGAGGTTGGAACCGTTGCTGCCCAAAAATGTTGTTGTGGTGGGTATATTGGCTGAAAAAGAAACCATGAATTTTTTTGTCAAAAAAATCAGTAGATGATCGTAAAAACATCTCTTTTTGAAAGATATTTTTTTGTCGTATTTTTACTTGCGAGAACTTATTCATCATTCACTAAATCATAAAACTAGGGAAATTGAAGAACGGAAAAAAATGATTTATTTCGAATCGCGTGGGATGGACTACCCAAAGGAAGAAGCCAGGCCGAAAATTGATAATATAGTCTTTCAGATTTTGAAAAACTATTTGTAGTTTGTTCAAGCTCCGCCCCTATACACCAATCAGAGGTCAAGCCATTCACAGAGCGTCTTTGAATGACGTCATTGTACGGTTTAATCGGACGACTGTGACCCGAACCGAAAATACAGACCTATTGAAAAGTCTTGCAACGATGATGCGAAGGCACTTGACTAATTTTAGTTTATGAAATTACGAGTAACATCCAAATTTCCGGAAAATTAATAAAACGTACTTCTTGATGCCAAGGTTCAGTCGCTCTCTGCTGCGGGACCGGACGATTCCAGTTCTCTCTCAGCATCTGCAAATTTATTTTCTTGAATAATCAATTTCTTGTAATCGTGATTCAAAATGTTAGAAAAAGAGCTAAATAAAACTAACTTCGTGTTGGAAACCAAATTGATTTCTTCCGTCGTGAAGTTGGTGCTGAGGTCTATAAGGTCCCTGTAAAAAATTGTCATCAGAAGTAAACTTCATAAATTTTGGGTAGTCAAAAAAGTGAAAAATGACCAACTTCTTGGTGGAAACGCACGGGTTGTTGACGCCACATTCTGTCGTTAGCTTGGTGTTGAGCAACTCCCTGGAATGAAACTTTATTTTTTCCTTGAAGAACTTCTATCAAAACGGCTGTCTATACATTTTGATTCCTACTCCATTTTTTTCGATCCCCGTGGAGACTGTAGAATCACTTCAGAACATACTGAAGCCGAGTAAAACGTCGCAGATTGTTATCTAATTAGAATAATCCCCTTCAACACTTTTTTGACAAGGAATCTGATAACAAGGCTTATTGCTACAGTTCAGATCATATAATTATTGTTTTTTTAAATGATCCGCTTTTGAATTATCATTCGAATTTCAGATGAAAAATCCAAAAAAACATACCTGAGGATTGATAGGACCAAAGTTTCTTTGCGATGGGGGAGGGCGGTTAAAAATCATTTTGCGGTACCTGAAAATTTTTTTTATTATTTTCAAATGATTCTATCTTAAAGTGTGAATTTTTTTCAACTTTGATTGAATTCAAAACTTTTCTATCAATAAAATTCAAAGCGTACCTCAGAATCAAAAGAGCGGAATCCTCTCTGCGGTGCGTTTGGAGAATATGGACACTGTTGCGGTACCTGTAAAAACCATTTTATTGATTTTTTTCAAGTGATCCAAATTTTAAGTTAGAAATTAAAAAAACGAGCTTGTTGGAGACCGCCACATTGTTGGCAAAGCGGCACGGAATCAGGTTGAGGGAGAGGTTCAAAAAAACAACCTGAAAATGAATTTTTTTACATGTTTTTTTAAAAAAATTTTAATAATGAATCCATCGTAAAAATAAAGTTAATATACCTTGGTTTTTTTTTTTTTTTTATATTTTTATGGAAATTTGAAAAGCATAACTGAGTTAGGTAAAAGAGGTTCAGAATTCTCAAATAACTTCGAATTTCGCCAGATGGAGTATGAAAAAAACACGAGCCCGCGAAAGTTGGCCTTAGTCTTTATTTGAATATTTATTAAGATAAAAACAATTTTAATTTGGTTGATGAGAAGAAAAAAATGGTTTTTTTCATGGTACCTCAGGGGTATCATCTATTTTTTATCGGAAATCCACTATACCATTTCAACCAAGTTCCGAAAAAAGTTTGAAACATACATCTTGACTCCATGAACCAAATCTCGGCGTTTCTTGGGTTGAGCTTTGTGGCATTCCCTGAAAAGTTCATTGTTAACTTTTGAGAAGGTAAGCTGATGAGTTAATTTTGAAATTAAAAAGAAGAAAAAAATTACGGGAAAAAGCAGAAAGTAATTTTTCAAAGGTTTTTCTTGGGGAAATTCGCACTTTTTATTAAAAAAATCTCTCATAAAACTTCAAATTCCCGTTTCAGGAATAGTTCGAAACTTACTTCTTGACTCCAAGAGCTGTATTGTGTCGTCGCTTGGTTCGAGGGCTGTGCCTATGAAATTATTCATTGATTTTTTTAAAAAGAGAGCCTTTGGGTGGTTAATTTTCATAAAAAAAAAATTTGATTCAAACCTCTGAAGATTGAACGCCAAATCTCTGTCCAAAAAGGCTGCTGTTCGTATTGATTCCATGGACGGTTTACAGGCTCCTGAAAAAAATTCCGAAATTTCATATAAACTTTTTTTATGAATCAAATTTTTTTAGCATTTCATATAAGTTTTTTTAATTTTTTTGCAGGTACTGAAACAAACTTTGACAAAAATTACAAAACACACCTGGTGATTCCACGGGTTCTGCTGTCGCATCTGAAAAAATTATTCAATCTCTGAGTTATGAATATCAAGAAGAAGTCACCTCCGCCTGAAAAATGTCGATCCAATTTCTTAACTGCTCCTGAAATGCATCCGGCTGAGCTTGATACACCTGAAAAAAGATCCATGAACGAAAAAACAAGTTAAAATATGATGAAACGCAAGAAAAGCATATTATCAAATTAACCATCATCAGAATTGTTTTATGAACAAAATAAAAAAGTAACTTCTTAATCAATTTAGATAGATAACGGGTCTTTTTGCAGCTCGTCTGTCATATACTCAGCATTCTTTTTTTATTATTTTTCTGTTTTACAGTTTTAAAGATTATCAAACATACCGCAGGATGGAAACGTTCAACTTGTGGCGGTGGAAAACGATTCAGGTTCATGCGTTGCACCTTAAAATTGACTTCGATAATTTATTAATAAAAGTCGTCGATTCTGTTACTATCTGAGTTAAAAAAATCGTTTTAAATACGTGAATTTTGTCAATATGTGAAGAAAAAGCGCTGTCAACTTATGTTTCAATTTATTCTTGAAAAAGAAACATACCTCCGCATCTAGTATTTCAAACCACGGCTGACCTTGCCTCAATTGGTTCTGCCATGCAAACTGAAAATATAGTTCAATCTTCAGTTTTGATCAAAATAATGCATTTAAGTCAATCCACTCACTTCTGCTTGTAGAGCTCGGCGTCTGCGTTCGAGAGTATCTGCGTTGATGGCGTTCCGTTCATTCTGAACTCTCCGGTTTGCGAAATAATATTGCGTTTTTTTCCATTTTTGTAATAGGTTTTTAATATTGAAACTTTGATTGATTCTTTTTCAAAACGAGAAAAGCTCTGAATACAACTATCCTTGGTGTTTTTTTACTTTCGGATATTCAAGCTCCGCAAAAAGAATCTTCGGCTGAACTTTTGGAAAAAAAAACGAGGGGTAGTTTTTTTGTTTTTTTGAACTGCGTTACATTAATTCAGGGGCGCTAAAAAAATCTAACATATAAAAAGTTCGAAGAAAAAAAATATTAAAAAGTCTCATAGAGGGATATTAATACAGAATCATTGACGTAAACATTTTTCTTATTCCAAGGTTTTTTTCTTCGGACAAAATCCCATTCCGTAATTCCATTTAACAAATAAAACATACTCTTCGGACGGGACTTGGATCTCTACGAGGCGGCGCCACATCGGGCCTTGGGTTCCTTTGGAGATCCAAAAAATTCTGGTAAACGTAAATCTCGACTCTGTGTTCTTCTTCCTCCTGAATTAAAGTTCTGTGATTCCAATCAATGAGAGCATCGGGAAAAGTTTTTACAAAATCTATATCTAAGTTTCCAGTTAACTTTCAATAATAAATTTAAGTAATATTGATTTCCATGGACGCTTATATGAAAAAAATTGCAATCTTTTTGATTTGAAACGGCTCAAAAAATATATTCAGCTTATGAAGCCTTGTAGTACAGTTGGAACGTTTTAGAATTACTTTTAAAAATACAATCCAACAAAAAAATTCTCTCCTTCTAAAGCTAGTTTTTTTTGAACCTTTTTTTCAATTGTTTTAAAAATTAATATCTTTTTTTGCAAGAAATGAAACATACGGCGATGGCCGGAATCGTTTCGTCTCCTTCCTCTTCCGGAATTTCTTCCAAGAGAAATCCGCCGTTGATCATTTCATTGATCATTTCATCCTCTATCCAATGAGGCGACTTGCTCCTTTCTGGGGTCCACACTTCCCGAGGAGGCATTTTTCTGAATTGTCGCAATAAAAAATCGTTTGATGTACAAAAAAATGATAGAAAGCTAAAAAAAAAGCCTGTGAGAATAGCAAAAGTGTGTCGAAGAAGAAACAAATCGTTAGAATTTTTACTTGATTATTTCTTTTCCCAAAATGGAAAAAATCTGATAATCACAAGATTAATACCCTCAAAATCTACCTTTTTTGTCAGGTCATCAAAAACTCTCAAAAAATCTCAAAAACAATATTGCAAAATTCAAATCATTTCATTGTCTGTGCCAGGAAGATAGCCAATACTTGTAATAAGAAAGATATAAAAAAATACACAAAATGGAATTGAAGATGAACAAAATTATCGAAAACAAGATCTAATTGGTCCCGAGAAGAACGCGAGCTTGCAGGAAATCCTAAATTTTACGTAGTAAACAACTTTTTTTAACTCCGCGCCGAGGCAAAGAGAGCTCGGTGTACACAAAGTTGCTTACCGTAATCCACTCATCAAAAATTCCTGCTACAACTAAATCATAATAGGAAACGTTTTTGACCACGAACTTCATGGGAACAGAAAAATCAAGATTGGACGAGACTAAAGAGAGAAGAAAAACGACAATGCCTTTTGTTTTGATAGCAACATTTTGCTGTAAAGTGAACTTTGCGCTAGGCATCGTTCGATTGATGTTCCTAGTTTGAATTATTTTTTGACAAATCTTGAAAACTGCGCTGTTCACTTATCGGTGAAATTATGACATTTTAAAGCTTTTTGAAATTCTACTTTTCTCTGCAAACATTTTTGAGTTCCATTTCATTTGATTATACACCTGAAACTTGTTGCGTTTCTCTGGGGAACATGGAAAGAACTAGGAAAAATTCACTAGAAACCGTAATATCACAAAGAAAAGCAGATAAAAGAAATAAAATGTTTCTTCAATCTAAAACATGAGACCAATCGGAAAGGTTGTATGAGAAGACAGACAGCAGTTCCGCCAAAAGATGCCAGAATTCTACAGATCGATACCAAGGTTCTGTGCCTAAAGGAAACCCCCCTCTTTTCCCAGTATACACCAAACCGACGCCTCCATCATACCTACTCTATAGAGTCCTGTGTCATTTGGACGTCAAAACTTGAGGCTACTGTGTCTTTTATCACAAGTTTTCTTGAAACAGTGAACTAATCTCTGAGAAACTCGACCTTCACTCAACTGAGTCAACCTATTTCTTTCCTTTCGGGATGCTTAGAGCTCTTAGAACCAAACCGCTGGAGAACCCATTTTAATCCAAGCAATTTAAAAAAAAATCATCTTTTTTTTCACGTAAACTATACAGCTTCACAAGATAATTTATTGTTTAACAGGTGACAAAAACAGCAACAACAATACCACTAAATAAAAATTGCAATTTGTTTGAAAGTACATTGTGAGATTCGAAGAAATATAAAGGAACACATGACAGATAAATAAAGGCAACAGGGGGATACAGAACCGGTTTTCAATTTCTTTAAATGACTCTGCTTGCGACGATTCCGATCACTTTTGGTTGCGCTTGTCGGTGTCCGGGGGAGGTGACTGCTGAAAAAGTTTAAAATGAGACTATTCGATAATAGGGCGAAAAAAATTATTCTATCTGCAGAAATTTCAAGATTCCATTCAAAAATTACTATAAAGAACCGCTGTACGATGATTTATCCATGATTTTTTTTCAATTAGTGGGGGAAATTGATTTTTAAAGGAGTTTTTGAGTTGTATAACGATCAGAATTCAGACAGAAAAGACTATTTTTTAGATTTTCCGCTTCAAAGAATCATCGAAAGTTATAGAACAGATTAAAACTTACAATGGCTCTCATGAAATTGTTGCCTCTTCGTGGGCGGCCCCTGCGTGATTGTCGCCCAGCTCGATTCGAAAAATTGTTGACGTTCGGCTGAAAATAGAAAGTCATATTTTTCGAAAGCTTAGCAACTTGGCTAGAAAATGAGAAGCATAAAAGAGCTTTTTCAGGGTAAAATTTTGAAAAAACAGATGTTTCCAATATTATATCTATCGAAAAAGCATAATTTCACAAATTTTCAGCTTCCCTTTCAAGGATTTTATTGAAAACATACCTGTCTTTGCTGGAAACCAAAGCCCGACGGCTGCCCCTGGAAATAAAATTTTCAAGAGGTTAGAAACTTGTTGAATCAAAAAAATTTATAAGAAAATATTGGAATGAATGAACTTTCCTAAGAAAATGAGAATTCTCTCTTTTATTTCGCCTTTCCATCTCTCTACAGTAGAGCAACTTCATTTGAATTAAATTTATCAAAAAGCAGTGAAGTCATTTATTTTTCCAATAAGGTTTTTTTTTCGACAACTTCGACCAACCTGAAAACGAAGAGCTCTACCGAAACCACGGGGCTCCTGTTGCGATCCGAATCCAGCAGCAGGTCCCTATAATAATTTTCCAGCTATTTATTTTTTTTATTCATGAAATTTCTAAATCGTTGAAAAAATTTAGATTGAATCAACTAAAACGTTATCGTTTTGCTAAAAAACTTCCTTCGAAAAGCTTCACTTATGAGAAGATAAAGTACTCACTTCTTGTCTTTGCCGAAACGAGACGTTTCCATGGCTATCCTGAAACGAAGCTCTTCAAAATTGGGTCTAGAAAAAAAAAGTGATACCGTCTGAAGTGCTGCGCTTCCGGTGAGCGGCGGCTGAAAGAAACTTTTCAGTTAAATATTTAAAAATCAAAATTTTGAATCGTTTAAAAAATTTAGACTGGATCAACTAAAACGTTACTGTTTTGCTAAAAAACTTCCTTTTTTCCTTCGAAAAGCTTTACTTATGAAAGGATAAAGTATTCACTTGCTGTCCTGGTTGATACGAGATGTTTCCATGGCGATCCTGAAACGAAGCTCTTAAAAGTTGTGTCTAGAAAAAGAGTTATACCATCTGAAGTGCGACACTTCCGGTGAGTGGCGGCTGAAATAATTGTCCAGTTATTTATTTTGAAATGAAATTTCTAAATCGTTGAGAAAATTTAGATTGAATCAACTAAAACGTTATCGTTTTGCTGAACAACGTCCTTTTTCCTTCGGAAAGCTTCACTTATGAGAAGATAAAGCCCTCACTTGTTGTCTTTGCCGAAACAAGACGTTTCCATGGCGATCCTAAAATGAAGCTCTTCAAAATTGTGTCTAGAAAAAAAAGTGATACCATCTGAAGTGCTACACTTCCGGTGAGCGGCGGCTGAAATAATAAATAATTTTTTTAGCTATATATTCAAATTTCAAATTTCTGAACTGTTGAAATGAATTTAGAAAAAGTCCAACTAAAAAAATGATTTGTTCTTTCAAATAAAAATCAGGGTGAATTTCTCTCAAAAATTTTTTTAATGGTTTGTTAAACTTTAAAAAGTTACTATCTTAATATTACTAAAACATTTCAGTAAACTTTACTATGAATAATAATATAATGTTCTTGCTCAAGACGAGGAAAATAGCCGGGCTGATTCTGAAAAAAAAAACGCCTCAAATTGTCTTCAGAAAACAAAAACTACTGGCTGGGGCACTCTAAATCCCAAAACCGGTGCCTGGAAATCTTCTTTTTATTTAAAAATTCAAGAGATTTTAGTCATTTTTTGTGATTTCATAAAAGATCTCTGAATTCAGAACAAAAATCCCCGGGAGGAAGAAGACCAACACGTTGTTGAGGAGCAGCAAAGCTTCTGTTGAAGTTCTGAAAACGATTTTTTTGATCCATTTTTTCAAAGTATGAAAAATACCTGCTCTTGAGAAGCACCCGAAGGCTCGCGAAAGCTCTGAAAAAATGCATTCATTTTTAACGCAAAATATTTTTTAGTGAAAAAAATTACAATGTAGTTCTAACATTGAAGAAGTTTTAAACTTCTTAGGATACCTTTTGAAAAAACTTTTAAACTTTCAACCTCTTGAGAGAGAACACGATTCAAAAGTCTCGAACTAGACAACTTGTCCGGTTTTTAAAAAAACTTTCTTTTTTTGATGCAAAAAGTTTTTTTGACTTTTTAAAGATTTTTTTGAAGAAGTGAAAACGTACTTGAGATCTTGGAGAATCGTTGTGGGCTCGTTCTGCGTGCTGCAAAAGTTTCACTAATCACCAACAAAAAAATGAAGAAGATAAAGAAATCCAAAGCTGAAGAGAGGGAAACCTGTCTTCGGTAATACGCCTCACGATCCTGAAAAAAGTAAATTTATTTAAAATTTCTGTAGAAAAAAACTTACACGTTGGCGTTGAATGAAAGCTTCCCTTCGATTCTGCAAATTTTTCGTTTGATCGATCAGAAAAAGTTATTTTCACTGTTTTTTTATTTGAAAGTTAAAAATCACCTGTGGCGGCTGAGGCGCTTCATCTTCGGAGTCCTGGACACTTTTCTAAATTAAATTCAATATTAAACTCAGAATAATAAAAATTTATCTCATACTGCGACATATTAATTTTTTTCAAATTACTTCTGAAAAAAACTCCCAAGGGCAACGAATTGAGGTTGTTGCTGGAAAAAAATGATTGAATCAATAGGAAAAACTACAAAAAAATTCTGAGAATATGGTTGAGATCCGATCCAATTTCAGTTCAAATCGGTTTTTGAAAAAAACCTGGTTAGAGCGGGAAAGATTCGAGCCGAAACCGGGACGATGCTGCAAATTCATACATTCAGTTTTTGTTGTAAATTATTGAAATACCTGTCCAGAAGGTGGCGCGGCGATTCCAGGGGCTGAGGGCTTAAAAATTTATATGTTGATGGAAAAAAAAATATGAAAAAACCTGCTGATTTGCGGATCCCCGTTGTTCTTGCGGGTTCTGCAAGTAAATTTCAGGTGAGTCTGTGACTTGCATTTCGGGTAAAATCGTGTACTTTTATCATATAACAAGGCTACTGGATGGTGTTCAGGAGACATACCCGTGGAAGCAAAATGTTTGCAGCTTGTCGTCGTTCTAGCGCCTCCAGGTTTCTCCATTCTTCCGCGTTCTGAAAATTCAGGCTGAAGTTTTGCGAAATGAAAAACTTACATTTCTATCGACTTGGGCAAAGGGTCTCGGAGGAGACGTAGGCGGGGATGCCGGAGCTTGAGGGCGAGGTGGTGGCGTAGGACTTCGAGGAGGAGCCTGAAAATTTAATTTTTTTTGAAAGACTATTTTTTTAAATGAAATCCATGTTCCAGAGCAAACAGGGGCTGAAATATTATTTATGAAAGACAGATTCTACATTCAGTTCTCAAAAAAGCTTTAAAAAGTCTGATCGACTGAAATCCTGGCTTCAAATTTTTTCAAAGAGTGCAAGTTGGTTGGTTTTCACTAAATTTGTTTTTGTCAACAGTCTCTTTCTGTTTTTCTATAAAAATGAAAATGACCTACCGCTGCAGCGCGTTGGAAAAGATCCCTCAGAGCCAACATGCCCTGAAATATTATCGATCAGTGGCAAAAAGTAAACTGAAATTGTGGATTTGAATCTTTTCAAAGAATTGCAATTCGGTTGGTTTTTACTAAAGTTTCTTTTGTAAAAAGTTCCATCTATTTTTCAACCATTTGTTTCAAATTGAATTAACCTACCAGTCCAGGACGATAAGGAACATGTGCTGGTGCCAACATGCCCTGAAATATAATTGATCAGTGTCAGTCTTTTCCCAGGGTTGCAATTCGGTTGGTTTTACTAAAATTTCCTCTGTGAAATGTTCATTTAATTTTTTTCAATCGTTTTTTTCAAATTAAAATAACCTACCGCTGCAGGTTGATAAGGAACATGTATCGGAGCGGCCGGGCGCTGAAATATTGTTGATCAAAGACAGATTCTACATTCAGTTCTCAAAAAAGCTTTAAAAAGTCTGATCGACTGAAATCCCGGCTCTACAGCTTTCCAAAGAGTGGAAGTTGGTTGGTTTTCACTAAATTTGTTTTTGTCAACACTTTTTTTAAATTTTCTATAAAAATGAGAATGACCTACCGGTATAAAGCGTCGAGTAGCAGGTTCCTGGGGAAACATGCCCTGAAATATTATTGATCAGTGTCAGATAAAAGTCAACTGAAATCGCGGTTCAGAATCTTTTCAAAGGATTGCGATTCGGTTGGTTTTTACTAAAGTTTCTTCTGTGAAAAGATTCTTCTATTTTTCTACCGTTTCTTCAAAATGAAAATGCCTTACCGGTGCAGGACGTTGAGGAGCAGGAACCGGAGCGGCTGGGCGCTGAAATATTTTTGATCAGAGCCGGAATTTTTATTAAATCTCATAAAAGTCTTAAGAAAGTCTGATCTATTAGAATCCCGGCTTCAAATCTTTTCAAAGAGTTGCAACTTGGATGATTTCTACTAAAGTTACTTCTGTAAAAAAAGTTTTTTTCCTAAATTTCTATGATTTTTTTGGAAACAATGAATAAAACTTCTATTTTCCCATCCTTTTTTTCTTAAATGTTATGACCTACCGCTGCAGGTTGATGAGGAACATGTATCGGAGCGGCTGGGCGCTGAAATATTGTTTGATCAAAGCCAGATTCTACATTCAGTTCTCAAAAAAAGGCTATAGAGAAGTCTGATCGACTGAAAATCCCGGCTCTACAGCTTTCCAAAGAGTGAAAGTTGGTTGGTTTTTCACTAAATTTGTTTTTTTGTCAACACTTTTTTTAATTTTCTATAAAAATGAGAATGACCTACCGGTATAAAGCGTCGAGTAGCAGGTTCCTGGGGGAAACATGCCCTGAAATATTATTGATCAGTGTCAGATAAAAAGTCAACTGAAATCGCGGTTCAGAATCTTTTCAAAGGATTGCGATTCGGTTGGTTTTTTTACTAAAGTTTCTTCTGTGAAAAAGATTCTTCTATTTTTTTCTACCGTTTCTTCAAAATGAAAAATGCCTTACCGGTGCAGGACGTTGAGGAGCAGGAACCGGAGCGGCTGGGCGCTGAAATATTTTTTTGATCAGAGCCGGAATTTTTTTATTAAATCTCATAAAAGTCTTAAGAAAGTCTGATCTATTAGAATCCCGGATCCAAATATATTCAAAGAGTCGCAACTTAAATTATTTCTACTAAAGTTACTTCTGTAGAAAGTTTTTTTCCTGAATTTCTATGATTTTTGGAAACAATGAATAAAAGCTTCTATTTTCCCATCCTTTTTTCTTAAATGTTATGACCTACCGGTGCAGGACGTTGAGGAACAGGGGCCGGAGCGGCTGGGCGCTGAAATATTTTTGATCAGAGCCAGATCCTTCACTGAATTTCAAAAAGGCATAGCGAAGTCTAATCGACTAAAATCCCGGTTCTACAGCTTTCCAAAGAGTGAAAGTTGGTTGGTTTTCATTAAATTTGTTTTTTTGTCGACAGTTTTTTTCTAATTTTCTATAAAAATGAGAATGACCTACCGGTATAAAGCGTTGAGCAGCAGGTTCCTGGGGAAACATGCCCTGAAATATTATTGATCAGTGTCAGATAAAAGTCAACTGAAATCGCGGTTCAGAATCTTTTCAAAGGATTGCGATTCGGTTGGTTTTTACTAAAGTTTCTTCTGTGAAAAGATTCTTCTATTTTTCTACCGTTTCTTCAAAATGAAAATGCCTTACCGGTGCAGGACGTTGAGGAGCAGGAACCGGAGCGGCTGGGCGCTGAAATATTTTTGATCAGAGCCGGAATTTTTATTAAATCTCATAAAAGTCTCAGAAAAGTCTGATCCACTAGAATCCCGGCTTCATATCTTTTCAAAAAGATTGCAACTTGGAGGATTTCCACTAAAGTTACTTCTGTAGAAAGTTTTTCCTAAATTTCTATGATTTTTTTTTTTTGGAAAAGTGATTAAAACTTCTATTTTCCAACCTTTTTTTTTAAATAAAAAAGACCTACCGCTGCAGGGCGTTGAGGAGCAGGTGCCGGAGCGACTGGGCGCTTAAATATTTTTAATCAGAGTCAGATTCTTCATTAAATATCAAAAAAGGCATAGCGAAGTCTGATCGACTAAAATACCGGATTTAAATCTATTCAAAAAAAATGCAAACTGAATAATTTCTACTGAGGTTGCTATTGTGTGAATATTCTTCTATATCTCTACAATTTTTTTTTGGAAACAGTGAATAATATACCGCTTCAGGACGTTGAGGTGCAGGTGCCGGAGCGACTGGGCGCTGAAATATTTTTGATCAGAGTTGGATTTTTGATTAAATCTCATAAAAGTCTTAGGAAAGTCTGATCTACTAAAATCCCGGTTTCAAATTTTTTCAAAGTGTGCAAGTTGGTTGGTTTTCACTAAATTTGTTTTTGTCAACAGTCTCTTTCTGTTTTTCTATAAAAATGAAAATGACCTACCGCTGCAGCGCGTTGGAAAAGATCCCTCAGAGCCAACATGCCCTGAAATATTATCGATCAGTGGCAAAAAAAGTAAACTGAAATTGTGGATTTGAATCTTTTCAAAGAATTGCAATTCGGTTGGTTTTTTTACTAAAGTTTCTTTTGTGAAAAAGTTCCATCTATTTTTTTAACCATTTGTTTCAAATTGAATTAACCTACCAGTCCAGGACGATAAGGAACATGTGCTGGTGCCAACATGCCCTGAAATATAATTGATCAGTGTCAGTCTTTTCCCAGGGTTGCAATTCGGTTGGTTTTACTAAAGTTTCCTCTGTGAAATGCTCATTTAATTTTTTTCAACCGTTTTTTTTTTAAATTAAAATAACCTACCGCTGCAGGTTGATAAGGAACATGTACCGGAGCGGCCGGGCGCTGAAACATTGTTGTTGAAAAACAGATTCTTCATTCAGTTCTCAAAAATGCTTAGGAAAGTCTGATCGACTGAAATCCCGGCTCAAAACCTTTTCGAAGAGTGCAAGTTAGTTCTGTTTCACAAATGGAAAAAAAGGCTCAATGAAGCCTGAACCAAATCAAAGAAAATCCTATTTTTATTCATGCCAAGTTTTAAGAATCAAAAAAATTGAAACTATCTGTTCAGAAAGTTGATTTATGCGTTTTTTTCAGTTGAAAAAAAGCGTTGGCCAACTTTAAATCATCTATGAAACCAAAAAAAGTTCACTGAAAAAAACTATAGAACATTTTCAAAGAATCTAATGGAAAACTTTTTATTTATAAATTTTCTGTGGCTCGAATTTCTTATCAAGTGACAAAAAAATCATTGGCATAAGACTACTCTATCGATGAAAATAAAAATAAAACTTACGCGATTTGGTTCACTTTCGGAGTCGTCGTAAGTATCCTAAAAATAAGGAAATTACAGTCAAATAGTCCTTCTATGAAACTTACTTCGTTTATTTTCCAGCTAGCGTCGGAACTTGATTCACTCATTAGTGCTAAAAAAATGTAAGATATACCTCAGTAAACACAAATTTTAATCAAAATGATTCGGAAATTGAGAGGATAACAAATAAATTGACCTGGTTGCAGAATTCGTTCGTCTTCACTAAATTTACTTTGAAATCTGAATGTTGCGGAACTTATTGTTCAATTAGGAAAGTACGGGAGAGAAATTTTTGAGAAAGGAAGACGGAACACGGGTTGAGGAATAGAAAAATTTCAGGATGGAGGAACGTGGTTTGCATAGAAGATTTTAAGGAATGTACAAATAGCGAAATTTGTACTAAAAAAAAGAGACGGATCAATTGAGATGAGTAAAAACAAGACTTTTCGGAAAGTTGGATTTCTTCTCCACGTAACAGTAAAATAAGCGCAGAATAACGGGCGGAGCGGAAATCGGGCCTTCCAGTCCAAGAGAGGCTCGAGAGCCCAACTTCCACCGACCGCTCCTGACAGAAAAACGACAGTAGAATGAAGATAATAAAGACACGCCCACTCTATTAGCTCAGTTCGTTATAACTGGCCTGACACGCCCACTATCGTTTGTGGAGGAAAATGAAAGGTTTGGATCAAGAAAGTAATAAGAAAACTTCTTCCTATTTAGAAGCCTACCTTTGAACAAAATCAGAAGCCTTTTGTATGAAAAACAGCTTCAGGAATCAGTGTAAAAAACTGAAAAAATTCGAATTTGGAAAGTTCGCCGACAAATTCATAACAAGAAGGTTTGAAAACTATTTTGACTTATTTAGATGAAATTTAGATTGAAAAAGAATATTCTTACAAAAATGAGAGAGAGAGAGATTGAGGCCGAATAGAATAACAACGCAGAATACGCTGAGACGTGGCGGAAATCGGGCCATTCAGCCCAACAGAGGCTGGAGAGCCCAACTTCGACCGACCGCTCACGACAGAACAAAAACAGCAGAATGAAGTTAAGACACGCCCCCTGATTTGGCTCAGAGGTCGTTCTTGCCGGACCAACACGCCCCCTGACCCTTATGGAAATAATGAGGAGTATGAAATAAAAGGCTATGAGGGAAAAAGCTTCTTCTCATTCCGCAATAAGATTCTGAACAAGATCAGAAATTTTATATACAAGAATCCTCAAGAAACAGTCGAGGAAAAAAGTTGTGGGAGGTCAATTTTGAAAGTTAACCCGGTAAATTCATGGCAAGAAAAAATATCATAAACTTTCTGAGTAGAATCTTAGAATAAATCTTGTTTTGTGAGAAAAAAGAAGTTTCAAAGTGTCGAAATGATTGAAAAAGACTTTAAATTAAGGCGGCTTCAAAAGAAGGAAGTTCTCATTTCATTGGAGTAAAAATTTTTTATTGAATTTTACAAAATTTCGAGGTGTTTGAAATTAACTAGATTTGTTCATGCAAAAACGGGTCTCTGAACTTATTTCTCATATTCAAATTTTCATATTCTCTCGAAAAAAAAAACTTTCAAAATTTTCTGTTTTACTTTCTGTCAAAGCAAGAAGATTACAAAAATCTCGAAAGTTAGGATCAGAAAAAATTTAAAATCCACATGAAAGTCTTTTTCACTTTGCTAGGGCCCAAAATGACGATTTTCAAATATTATGAGAGGAAAAAAACTTGTAAAAAGATGTGAAAAAAACTCTTGAAAAAAACAAATAAAAAAATGAATTAACAATAATAGAAAGCAGTTATAAAGAAAAATGGGAGAGAGAGATTCAAATGAAACCAACGTTTCCCGCGAAACTGCGAGAATTTTTTTACTGGTAGCAATTTTGGCGCAATTAAAGGCGCATACAGTATGCCCTCTCCTTAAAAAAATTGGAAGTTAGAGGTCGGAAAAAAATCTCATTAGATTCAGTTTTGTCTCATCTATTTAATATTGTACTTCTGAATTCACGAAGAGGAATTTCGAGAATCAAAAAAATTAAATTTCATATATTTTTAGATAAAAAGAAACGGAAAATTCTCTTAACTTAGAAATTCTATAAAAAAATAATCGGAAAGAACTAAAAACAGTTTTGTTTGTTTTGGTGTTCTTTTGGATCTTTGGTGTCATTTTTCCTATAGGCACGCAGGCTGACCCAACTCATGGTGCCACAGTGAATTACAATCGATTGTAAATTAGAGGAAGGCGAGAAAAAAACCCAGAGATACGGACTCACTAAACAACGATCTTTGGACTTGCATAAACCAAAAGTACAGTTTTTTCGGAAACAGAAAACTTATTTAAATTCTAGAAAAAGATATTCGAAAAGATCAGCAATTGAACAACAGAAAATGGTCATAAATGGCTAATAATATTTTTGTCTATATAGCACAAGTTCCTCAAAAAAATCGAAATTGACGAAATAGATTACATTATAAATAAATTATTCTCAGTAAAAACTGTAGTTTCGAATAAATGTAATGTTTTAATATTTAAATAAATAAATATCTAAATTTTCAGAAAAAAATTCTTGAAATCAGATCAATAGTTTTAAGACAAATGGTCATACATGACTCATAGTACTCTTGTTTTTTTCCAAAAAAAGTGCTTAAAGAAATGAATTGCTTTGTAAGGAAAAAAATTTTTAAAACACTTAAAAAAATCTTTTTCAGAGAAACTTCTTTTTAAAAATTTCAGGCTTGCTTGATCTCTGAAAAACTTATTTTTTTATCAACTTATAGGTCCGTAATAAGACAAGTTTTACAAAATTAGACTGGCAAAAAAACTTGTAAAAGATAAGGAAAACTAGCGAAAGTATAAATAAGCATGGACTGAAATTAATAAAAGTAGCAGCTATGAAAAAACTTAGAAATTAACGAAAAAAGAGCTAAATGGGAGATATTTAAAAAGAAACCATCGTTGCCCGCGAAACTGCGAGAGTTTTTACGGGTACCAATTTCGACGCAATTGAAAGGCGCATACAGTATGCCCCTGCCCTCAAAAATTAAGCTGGGAGGTCCAAAAAAGTCTCATTAGATTCAGATTGGTCTAATATTTTGGATAGTGCATCTCTAAAATCCTAAGAATGTATTTTAAGAATTAAAAAATAAAATTTCTTGTTTTTGGAATAAAAGAAGCGAAATACATTTTCCAAATGCAAAACACTTCAGATAAGTTAACCAAAATGAGCTGAGACAGACCTAATATTCTAAATATTTTTAGACTTGTTTTTTTGGTCTTATTTTTGGATCTTTGGTGTCATTTTTTTCCTATAGGCACGCAGACTGACCCAGCTCATGGTGCCACAGCGAATTACAACCGCTTGTAAATTAGGAGGAAGGCGAGAAAGAACCCAGAGATACGGACTCACCAAACAACGATCTTTGGACTCGCAAAAACCAGAAGTTCTGTAACTTTGAATCATTTCAACTTTTGTAATTGACTTCATTTTCGAACTTTCCGGCTTGCTCGGAAAATATTTTTTTAAAGTTGTATTACGTATATTTTAACAAATAGAAATCGTTTTTTTGTTGATAAAATGAATCCCGACCAAAATTCAAGCTTCATAAACACAAATTACAAAAAGTACATGTAAAAATTTTTTTATACTGAACTTCTAAATAGACTATTTCAGAAAAAAATTGATGAGAAAAAAACCTGTAAGAGACGAAGAACTTGTGAAAGGATGAATTCAAATGAACTAACATGAATAGAAAAAAATTAGAAAGAAAAAGAAGAAAAAAAGAATTTTATAAAAAAACAGAATAAAGGAAAAAAACCAAAAAGAAATTATCGTTGCCCGCGAAGCTGCAAAAAGTTTTTACTGGTACCAATTTTGACGCAATCAAAGGCGCATACAGTATACCATTTGCTTGAAAGTTGGAATTAAGAAATCAAAAAAATCTCATTAGATTCAGCTTTGCCTGATCCCCCCGGTTGAACTTTTTGATGAAACTTTGCTGAAGTTTACTTTAGGACCTCCTTATTTAAAAAAGAAGAAAAAAATCTTGCAATAGATCTGGTATTCGAGTTAGGACGCTTTAGAAGCTCAGAATAGCGCATTTTTTTGGCCCGAAAAAAACCGTATTTCGCAGACTTTGAAGGTTCATAACTCAAAAACGAGATCTATTGCAAAAACTTTTTTTGTTTTGCAATTAAGAGGTCCTAAAATACACTTCAGCGAAATATCATCAAAAGTCCAACAGGGTGGTTAAAAACCTTTCCTAGTAAATAATTTGCATATTCGGGATTATTCAAAAAAAAAAATAGACAAAAAATGAGACAGACCTAATATTTGAAATATTACGGACTTATTTTATTTTGGTCTTCTAGATGATCTTTGGTGCCGTTTTTCTCATAGGCACGCAGACTGACCCAGCTCATGGTGCCACAGTGAATTACAACCGCTTGTAAATTAGAGGAAGGCGAGAAAAAAACCCAGAGATACGGACTCACCAAAACAACGATCTTTGGACTCGCAAAAACCAGAAGTACAGTTTTTCAAAAACAGAAAACCTTTTTAAATTTTGGAAAAAGATATTCGAAACAAGATCCGCAATTAGACAACAGAAAATGGTCATAGATCGGCGATAAGATTTTTGTCTTTTAAGCCTCTTGAAAAATCGACCAAACAGATTAGATTTCGAAAAAAATGATTTTTTTATTGAATTTTTCGTTTTTTTACTTGAAAATGAATAAATACTTTCAATTGTTGAAGTATTGATTAAAACTACAGTACCCTTCGTGCTGTAAAATTTAGAAAATTCGTTTACAGGGGTGGGCATTAATATGGAACGGATGCGCTGTAATTTTTTTGTTCTCGAATCAAATAATGTTCCATATGCACATTTTGAACATAAGGTTGTCTACTGATAATTTTCTGACAAAAACTCTCAAATCTTTAATTCTGCCGAAATTGCGGCTTTTATACGATATCGCACCTTGATTTTTTAACTATTGCTGAAAAAAGGATCTCGGCCCCGCGGTAATCCTTTGCGTGGGTCTTAGAATAGAGACCAGCTGACCGAAAATTTTTAGGAGCTTTTTAGTTTTATGGAATAAAGTTGTTTGCCCGCTCCGCATTTATAGAGAAAAAAATTTTGAGGTGGTTATTCGAGCATAACTTCTCTGACAGTGGCTTAAATGACTTGAAACTTCGCACAGATTTAAAATAGCTACGCAGAAACTCATTTCCAAAAGTAGAACTCATTTGCTCAAGTAAGACCGGATTTGAGAGCAAAAAATCAAAAATCGTGAAAATGAAGATTTTTCTCTTGAGATTCGAAAAATCATATCTTCAAAAAAACGTCGACTCTCAATCAGAAACTTTTTTTTCTTGTAAAACAAGTCTTCGGCTTTTTAAAAAACCTAATCAGCTCCCTGCCAACCCGATAGTAAGAGCGTAGTGACTTTTTCTTCGGAAGGCCTTTGCGTTTTGACGCCTTCATTCAAATGAACTATACGAGGTCAATTTTGTTCGAGAACACCCTGGTTCATGTTGAAAATCTTTGAAACACCCTAAAAAATAGTTTTACACTGTTTCCCTCAGATTTCTCACTTTATCCGCTCTCCAAAACTTACTAACTTCACTAGGACCGATTTCGGATCTCTGATTTAAAGCGTTAGCGTTCTATTGTCTAGTTCCTATTCATCGGAAAGCCGTTCGGTCTTCCAAAAAGATTCTGCGTTCATTTACACCGCTCCGATTAAAAAAAAGACTGATCTGCGGTTAACAGCCCTGGCTTTGACAAGTTCAAGGAAAAGGATTCCTGCTCACGGAAGAAAAAATTCTTGATATATTTTTTTAGTAATACTCAAAAACAGAACCCTGCTTGAGAGTTCTCTCAAATCTGGAAACTATGACAGCTTCTTTTCTTGAAAACACAGGCTAAGTATACGTCGGTCACCTGTATCCAGAGGCCAGCACAATCAACAAGGGTCTTTCCGTCGTAAAGGACGCCAAAGGAGGCCGATTCAGAAAATTTTTTGCTTTGGTTATCTTCCGCCGGGTGAGAAGTTCTAAATTTTCATGTGGCAAACAAAAAAGTTATTTTTCATTAGTTCATTTCTGAAAGATTCAAAGACAGGGTAAAGAGAAATATATCGAATATGTATCTAATGGCCTTAAGAGAAAGAAATAATCATACAAAACAGGGAAGAACGAGACCGTTGGTTCAGTAGTTGACTGAATTTTAGTAGGAAAAATCATTTATCTCACATTAAATTGCAAAGGAGTTATGTCGGGGGACGATGGTAAAGATCTTGAACTATGTCGAATATGTGAATTTTTTCAAGTACATGTTCAAAATCTAATAAATAATCTGAGACGTAAACATGCGAAACCATAAGGAATGTCTGCAAATGAAATGATAAAACAATGACCGCGAATGAAATAAGAAAACTGTGTATTTTTAAACCAAAGGAACTACCAGCCAAGTGTATTATACCCAAAACTGAAGCAAAAACGTGATTTTGCCCGAGTGAGTTTGTATTATTTTTTCTTTTCAAACAAATTCATTCAAGGAAAAAGTTGAACGGATAGGGTTAAATATAAACTTCAAAAACTTGGAGACAAGAGAAACGTTATTGAGTTGTACATCGAAGGGCCGTTGGAATGTAAGAAACACACAAAATGATTAGCAACGTGGCGATCCAAGCTCTATTCGCGATGTGGGAACCCGGCAAACGTCGCATTTCCGTCGAAGCTGAAACAGCGAAGTCATTATTGAGAGAAGATAATTTATACTGAGTTTACTGATAAAAAAACTTGTCACCTATATATATTCTATCAACATACAACAAGTTGTGAAGGAAAGAGTTGTTATTTCTTCAGCCAACCACAAGTCTATTTCATAGTAAATCACCTATTTTAAACATGGTCAAAGAAAAACTGTGAAACCGACAAGGCCTTAGAGGTACGTCTACTCGTGCAAAATCTTTTTCCTTAAAGAGAAAAAAATTACACTAAAACTCTTTTTGATGAATCATTCTTTAGTTCCTGAAAAGAAGCGGTAGATAAAAGATTTTATAGTTTTTTTCTGAAACTGATAAAGCTTTTTAAAAATCTCACTGATTCCCGAACTCAACGATTCTGAAGAAAGAAAACTGAAGAACCAGAGGTTTTGGAGATATTTTGAGAGAAGTTGAATAGAAAGTTGAAAAGAGAGGCTTTTTGAAAAAAAGTTTTTTTCTTCTGATCATACTGATAACTACATTTTCAGCATTTTTTCATTTTTCCGAAAAAAAAGAAGGAACTAATTTCAAAACGTACTCTTTGTTCACGCGACGGGCTTGATTGATTCGTTGCTGAGAAGCGTGAGCTGCAGCCGGGACGAAGTGACCCACTTGACCTTGGATGCGGGGGCCTTGGACACATTCTCGGAAAACATCGCTTAAAAAAAATTCGAATTGACTTCAAGCTCTTTGAAATCGTCGAAAACGTGTGTAATTTTTTTTTCAAAAAAAAAGCTATCATCTGTGAAAATTTCTAAAAAAAAAACTCTAAGTCTTCTATTTTAGAATCTGGATTGTCTTTTCATTTCGGAAATCTCTCGATAGTATTTTGAAGTTTCATGAATTAGCAAGAGAACGAAAAATCAAGATTTGAAGCGCACCCTTGAACTTGTAGGCCATTGAGGTTATAATTTTGAGGGAGACGAGGTTGATCAAAAGGGCGACGGGGCGAATTGCACGGAATCTGGACGTTTGGCGGCTCGCAGCTTTGGCATCCAATCGTGCTGAGATAAAATCCTAGTAGTGCTCTCCGAACCAATGACATTGAATATACCAAACTCTCTCGGACATTGATAACTTGAAACGGACGTGCTCTGGATTTTCTAGTGATCACTTTAGTAGCGTCAGCACTCTCAAGTGATCCTAGAGTCGCGCAAAAACGTCCAGAGTTTGTCCGTTTCGCGTTACCAATGTCCGAGCTGTCTTTGTTGCATTTTTCAAAAGTGCTTTGTGTTTTTTCAAAAGATATACTGTACGCTTAATTGTTTCGGCTAGCGTTGATTCTTGGCAAAGACTGAAAAGAAATATTTTCAAAAACCTTTTCTATCAGGATTTTTCTTTATTAAAAGGTTTTCTTCTTTTTTCAATCTTTTGTCGGTTGAAACAAGTAAACAAAAAGCTTACTTGCAGCATGGGGACGCCTGGTGGGTTGACCGTTGTGAGCAGAAAGGGCCCTGCGCAGGGTCAGAAGCCGTCGATTCATTTAGACGCAAATCAACAAGGGTACACGTAGACGCACTGAATTAGAATATTTTGATCATTTTAGTTTTATCGACTCATTGTTTTCGAAATCAAACAAATTCGTACTAATCTTTCCCATAAAGTCGTTTTTTCTTTGAATTGAATGTTTTTCTTTACAAAATGTATCGTTGGATTGTCGAAGCTACGCAAAAAAACAGGAAAAAGAGAAGTTCCTGAATTGAAGCTTACTCGCACCTTGGGAACGCATGAAGTTGTGAATCGAGATACAAAAGATTCACTTTCACTCTGTGAGACTGGGCGGAAGGTTTGGGAATGAGGAGCTGGGGCGCTGTAATAATATTAAAGTCATTTCCATTTTCTTAACGAATATTTTCGAACTTGACTATATTTCTCCCCATTTTTTGAGAGAAAGGCTAGATCCGGTTCCATTAAAGTCTTCTTTGGTTCTCATTCAAACTTTGATGGCCAAAGTTTTAGATCTTTTCCGGTTCCTACGAGTTTGGTTGAACTCGCTCTTGCGATAAATGAACCGGATTGGTTTTGAATGAACTCGAAAAACTTCCTAAATGAATGTTTTTTTAGTTGAAAACCTTCTCTCTAAGTGTTCGACCCATTGTTGTGCATCTCTCAGTTTTATCTGTGCTTCGGCCAGTGCGACACTAAAATTAAATAGTTTTTTAAAGTTGGAGCTTCTTGATTTTCTTACGCGTAATGCAGGCCGTCACAGTTGAAAAACTGGCCGCAAATTTGCGTGCTTTTGTCGTTCGTCTCCGGCCTGGCACTAAAAAAAACCTGATTAAAAAAAATGTTTTTTTTTTCTTTTCCAGTTTATCATCAGCACTCTCCACACATTTTCTATACACTTTATCAGGAGAATTCAAAAAAAAATTCCAGCACTTGTAAATTAATCTTCACATTCTATCAAAATCTGACTCCAATTTGATGAAATTGATGGTCCCATATAATATCTTGAAGCAATTTTAAATTTTGTTTGAGAAAATTAATTCCAAAATACTCATGTGATGGCCCATGAATTTTTTGAAAAGGAGAGAAATTATTGAACTGTACTGCTTGTGATAAAATTTCAAGTCAAAGAGGTGTTCGTTTTGCAGTCTACGGAAAAAAACGAATCCAACAAATGCAATGACCAGGAGACAGGACGTCCTTGTTGTGGGCTCTGTGGTGGATGTTCTCCTGATCCAGCCTCGCATGTTTCAGCGTCTGGTGTCACAACAGTTTCACAGGTTGGCTTATTTGCCCGGCTGTAAAATCCATTGGGTCCTATTTCAGTAGATAACTAACGATCAAAACTTTTAAACAGAATCTCTCTACCTTTGACCTCATGAAAAAAAAAGTATGAAAGATCATCTTCTGAAATCATCTTAATAAGTTTTTGATGAATGAGAAAAGTACAACCGTCGAAAAATTTATGTCTACCTTTTCTTCTTTTGAATAGCTCATGACAGCGCTATTTCTTAAAAAGTTTCTCACAAGTGCGCTCCAGCGTACAATGTCTCTTGATAAGAAATGCCGTCATTTACTATTTTCGTGGCATGGGGCGCCTAAAGATCCACACAATTTCTCTGACCTACACTATTTCGTCGCTTTCATAGACAAAACAGTGTGTGCCAGAGAAAGAGTGTTGCGATCTTCAGGTGCCCTCATTTAGAGTGAGTGGCTCGACCTCGATCAATGCTACCCGATAATTGTAAACATTCTCGGTAGAGCGCATTTGAGAGGAATTAAAGACGAATTCAGTTTATACAAGGAAGGAGAAGGAAAGTTTCAAAAAAATCAAAAGGAATTTGGCATTTAGCCGTGGTATGTGAAGAAAAGTCTTAGAAATAAAACGGTCAAAAAAAGTTTCATATTTTTGTTGAAAAAAAATCTCACTTCATTGAACGAGCAAAATTTTCAAAGTCGCGTGTGAATAGGTCTTCATGAGGGCCCGTCCGTGATTTTGGGGTCTCCCGATTTGCAGTTGATTCGAATACCATACTCCGAAGACTTGTAAAAAAATAAATACATAACTTCAAAAAAATAAGTGGCCACTGAAGTTTAATTTTATAAAAAAACTTAAGGTTTAACTCTTATCTTAGTCTTTCATAGTCCTGACGCAAGGCGGCGGACATGCAGGTACGAACTGTGCTGGAGCTCGTTTCACCAGTTGAGAAGCTAGCGCTTGAGGTTGTCGTGCGAGTGGGCGGGACGTTTAATAACTTTGTCATAAGTTCTTTCCTCGCGTGTTCAACTGCTTTCTGAAAAAAATGAAAAATTATAATATATAGTCAATGTTTCCCGACTTGAAAGGCGAGGGAGGCGAGGCAAGGGGCGAGAGGCGTCGCGTGTGCGTTCGCGGTTCTTGGCACGAGTTCAATTCAATTGCCGCCGACTATTTGAAAAGCTCGGCAACCGCTCTTTTTCAACGTTTTCTACTATTTTTTGATGCACACATGAAAATAATCAATAAGTAATTGACAAAGGAATGAAAAAAGCGAAAAACGGGCTTCTCGAAGGGTCGATGGCGGTTGAATTGAACATGTGCCAAGAACCGCGAACGCACACGCTACGCGTCCGGCACCCTGCCCCACCTCCCTCGCCTTTCAAGTCGGGAAACATTGACTATACATCCAGCGTTTCTTTAATGCAGTTATACTTTTATGCGGCTACTGAACCTACTGTTTTTCGTACTTTAGGAGAAAAGGGAAAAATGAGGACTTTCTTTTCTTCACCAACTTTCATAAATCTCAAGGATTTTGGTATGAGATTTTTCTTCATGAAAAAGTAGAGATTGGAATTCACATTAACGTCTTGGAAGAAAAAACTCACCTTCAGGCCAATTATCACCATCGTGACTTCCAAGCTTTTGTTGAATTCAAATTTTATCTCACACTGCGTAACAAATTGCAGGGTTCGGATTTTTCTTCCTTCATCTTCAATAACTGGAACCAATTCTTTAATTTGAATCAAAAATAAAAAACTAACGATTTGGAATACTCGGCAAGGGGATTTTCGAGGAGAATGACGCCTCTTTGCTTTCAGATATGCGACTTGTACAGCTCTGGATAAAAATTCTGCAAATTCAAGATTAATATCATGCAAAAGCAAAATTATAATTATTTTTAGCTCAAAAAAAGTATTTCACGGCAAAAATAAAAATCCTGACTTTAGATACTCCTATTTTTTTCTTATAAAAAAATTTTTTTTTCAAAAAAAGCTCACGTCTTCCTTTTTTTGAGAGGGTTGTCCTCTGTCGGAATCGTGTTTGGTACTCATCTAATAAATCGACAACTTTTTGACGGTTCAAGTCCAGATTCTGAAAAATTTATGAAACACTTAGTTTTGTCGTAAGGAAATCTCACCTTTGATGAAGAAAACTCGACAGAGCAGTTCCAGGAGGCCGTTAAAGAAGTGGGTATGGGTGAGAAGACTATTTTGGTCCACCCAAAAGGCAATGCTCGGACAAAAATTTAACGTGAAAAACTGAAAAAATGATCTCTGTTTTCTAAAAAAACCTCTGCACAAAAATCGTGCGATCGAATTCTAGTACCACGACGGTAGAAGGGGCCATGGTAAAGCTTCAACAAAAAAAAAACACAGCAAATTCAAAAGAATATAGTAGGAATGAACTTAACTTGAAAGACGTTAGTTTTTGAATGAGCGCATCTGACATCAACCAAAGAAGAGGGTCGAGTTGGCGCAAAAAATCGACCGATAAGGTCAAATGATCGAAAATCTGCACGTCGCATACTGTACCTGTGAGTCAGTTTTTCACAGTTTTTTTTGTTTTCAAAATTTTTTCATTACTTGAGCCAAATTTCTAATCCAAAAAAAAATCAGCTATTTTTTTCCCGCCGTTTCAAAAAAATTCTAATCAATACTATTATCTTGATCTTTTTGAGAATGAATATTCTGCGTTAAATTGATGATAAAAAGTTCCAAACACAAGAAACCCTCACAAAATTTTTTTGAAATTTCATTTTATGAAATTTTTTTCAGTTCAATTTTATTGCGTTGAACTTTTTTTATTCCGATAAAATTTTTATCATCCATGTGTTATTCAATTCGCTTAAAGTTTTTTTCTCATCCTCGTTTTCCTACTTTGAAAAATTCACTAAATTTTTTTATCATTTCAGAATTAAAAAAATCAGGCGTCTTCTGAGTTCTGATTTGGTCGTTGTGACGGAGGAGGAGAACAACCAAGAAGAGATCTGAAGACCGAACTCAAACACTTTCGACTTTGACGCTCGAAATTCAAAATAGCTAGACTTTCCCCCAACTTTTTCATCAAAAAAATGTGACATACAAAAAAAGAATATCCTCTTGCTCCTTGTTTTCAATCATAAAGATCAGTTTGATTCAATTCATAGAATTCTCAATCTCAAACCAGTGGTTTTTATTTCAAAAAGTTTCTGGTTAGAATGTCCATCAAAAAACGGACGATCATAGAAGTTTATTCAAACGTTTCAAGTTGTTCAGCAAAGAAACTTTTTTGAAGGAAAACTACAGTTTTGAATTTTCCTTCTTTTTCTTACACGGGAAGTGCAAAAGGTCGAGGTATTGGAATTTGATGAGACTTGGTATATAGGTACTTTTGGACATCCTGAATCCAAAGAAGTTGAAAAAAAGTGCGCCTTTTTGGTTCTGGTCGATTTATGGCGCCTCAAAGTTTGCACGCAAAAAATGCATAGGAAGGGAGGAGGGAATGTGTTGCGGCGACAAACTGTAGCTAGCGGCCTAGCGCTATGGAACCTATGATGCAGGTTCGAATCCTTTTTTTGGTGCAATTTATTTTTTTGCCTTTTTCTTCGAAAAAAATGAAAAAAATTTTTGAAGATGGAATAAAAAAATAAGCGCTCAAAAACTTTAAAAATTCACTATTTTTCGAACAAAACTTTCGATAAAATGTTTTTTTGTTTCACATTTTTTTATATGGTCAGTATATTCGTCATAATTAAACTTCAAGCCGTTTAGAATTTTTTTGTATCAAACGTTGATTTTGAAAAATAAATTTCTAAACTTTGAATTTCATCCAAAGAAGAAGTAGTTAAACGGTCGACTGTTGAGCATGTTTGAAACCAGGTCACCTGTAGAAAAAAGATTGTATGGACGTTCAATTAAACGGTTCAAATTGACAACTATCGTCAGGAGACCCCTTCCTTGAAAGATTCAAATAGATAAAAAGTTAAAAATTAGATTCGATTTTTTTTTTCCTTTTCTCCGATGAACTTTTGAGAATAAATTTTTACTATCTATTGAAGCTCATTGAGCTTGAAAAAAAGAAAGACGAAAAAAACTTTGTCCAGAACTTTTCTCGAAAAAAATAGTGAATTTTAAAGTTTTGAGCGCTTATTTTTTTATTCCATCTTCAAAAATTTTTTTCATTTTTTTCGAAGAAAAAAATGGCAAAAAAAGCACCAAAAAGGATTCGAACCTGCATCATAGGTTCCATAGCGCTAGGCCGCTAGCCACTACACCACGCTGCCAGCTGGCAGCTACAGTTTGTCCCCGCAACACATTCCCTCCTCCCTTCCCATGCATTTTTTGCGTGCAAACTTTGAGGCGCCATAAATTGACCAGAACCCAAAAGGCGCACTTTTTTTCAACTTCTTTGCATTCAGGATGTCCGAAAGTACCTATATACCAAGTCTCATTAAATTCCAATACCTCGACCTTTTGCACTTCCCGTGTTAGATTAATCAGTTTTATTCAGCCGTTTGAGCAAGCCGTTTCTCATTTCTTCGAAGAATGATTGCTTGAATGTCCAGACCCAAAAAAGAGAAGTCCTGAAAACCTGAAAAATTCGCTTTTTTGTTTTTCTAGGCTTTCGAATTTTCAGGCGAAAATCATAGTACATAGAATATTATTGTAATTTAATTTTTTGAAAAGGTAATCAAAGCGTGAGTTCATTTTTTTCGATGTTGCTCAGGCGATTTTTCGTTGGAACCCTAACTTGCGAATTCAATACTTTTCCTACTCAGAAAAGACCCTCCACTCCTTCGCTGCATCGAAGTTTCATCATTGGCGGAAAAAATCTTCAAAAAAATAAGTTTTCTAGTTTTTGTGATATTCATGGCATGGAGGACACTGCGACAGTAGAACCAGGAGGGTATCCAGTTTTTTGGATTTTTTTTCTGCATTTCAAGCCTCACCAGCTAATGACTGAAATGGTCAGATAATTCTTTACAATATTTTTTATCACTATACTTTTCAAAAAATTCCGTAGGAGATTTTATTTCTAACAACTGTGCTGTTAAATAATATCGCGAAAAATGACCGAAAAATGTTCGTTTGCATCTCTGGAGCCTCCGCAACTAAATAAAGTATTTTTGTCACTAAGCTTGAGTGAGCAGCGGAGCAGAAAGAATACGGTAGCTCAAATGTGTTGGGTGCCTCTTAGCTTTCGAGAAAAACCGATCGAAAAAATAGTTTGAAAGTTAGGTAGAAAAAATCCGAGCTTGAGCTTTAGGTTGACGTGCTGTTTCTATACTACCTATTTTCATTTTACTTGCTACTTCTTTTTTTCTTCTTTTGAGCCATTATGATGGACCAACATGCATGGCTGTATATTTTTCAATTGGTTAGATTTTCTTGATTTTTAACTTTTCAAAGCCAATTTTCGAAGAATTTTAAGATTTTCGCGGAAGAATCTCCAAATTTGCCGCTTGCCGATTGCTTTCGCTGAATACGTAGGAGACCCTCAAAATACATCTAGGTTTTTTTAATACTTGAGTATATAGATTCAAGGCATCAAATCTGCTTCAGGAGTCTCTGTATTAAACTTTTCCGGATACCGATACCATTTTACACGAGGCGCAGAGGAACCTTTGCGCTTTTCCATTAACTTGATTTGGTGAAGATGATTCAGGATGTCACTCAGATTATGTTGTCAAGATTTGCCCCATTTTCTAAATCCTTTAGAGTCGATCAAGGATTTTGAAGAAATCGAAGTGGTAAGTTGAATTTTTATTTCTTTATATTTGATTAATTGATTGACTACGTTGGTAAATTGGCGGAACTACATCCAGATGACTAGTGAAATGAAACGATTGATCACATCAGGTTTTACGGCCGAAAGAAAGCAGATTGCTTATAAGGCTCGTACTCAGCTGTCCCCACTCCATTCGTCAAAATTGTGTACTCCAGTTTGGCAATCGAAGAAATGAACATCGGCAAGAGTGTGAGTTTTCTGATTCATTCCGTGTATTTTCTTCACTCGAAGTGGTAGCTCACTCAATCGACCGAGGCTACCCTAGAGTGTACACGGAGTCCGTGCCCGAGCCCCACCATAACGCCGTGCCCGTACCCGCAAAACTGAGCGATCTACATGTGGAAGAACGAGGCGAAGGACCGTAAGACCATGCTTTCAATTCAATCGATTACACGTTTTGACTTTTTTTTCGCCAAAGGCGGTGTTAGTGCCGCTCAAAAGAGCAATTTTCTCACCGCCTAGTCGATTCTACCTGACTAAAACAACCAATAAATATTGATGATGATGATAACACCAAGAAGTACCTTCACTGGTCCGTTTCGGCATATTTTGAAGCATCGAAGGAAGGGAAAATCCGAAGAGTTTGCTGGAGCTCATGTATGTAATTATTGCTTATTATCTTTTAGTTTTTGCATTTTTAGCTCAGACTCTTTGTGTTCATCGATCATGATCCCTGTCACTTTGCAAAAAATCTTGGAGGTGTTCCGGGCCCTAACGAGAAGTCCGACTTCCCAAACTTCCTAATATCGACCTGATGAAAATTTTTCTTTACTTCCACCTCAAATCAATTGTTGTGGGACCGGTATAAGTCCATGTGATACCAGATTTTACCAAATCTGATCTGGTCGTCATGGCAACTAAGTTAAGTAGGCCTCCGTTGGGTTTTTAATTTTACATCTGACAATTCAGTTTGGGAGACTCAGCTCCTGAAATTTTCGCGAGTACTTTTTCTGAAGGTGGTATTTGGATTGTTATACATGAATCTAATTATTTGTTAGTGATCGGACCAGTCTACAATGACACGGAGATGAGAAATCAGATGAAGATCTTGTCTTCCCTACTTTGTTCAAGCGATTTGCAAAGGAACGAGGCTAATCATGGCGTGGTAGAGCGACAAACCACAGAACTCGAAAAGAAAGAAGACAATAATTGTTCTCTCGTGAATTGAGAGCTCTTTCAGGTCTTCCTGGGTTTGGCCCGTGTTTTCAAACTTTAAAGTCAATGTTTAGTTGCAGACAAAGGAAGACGGCGTTTCTTCAAATTCCTTTCAAATTTTCAAGTGCAGTTGTCAGGATTTATGTATTTATGCTCTCACGAAGAGTCTCATCTTTTTTTAAGCCTCTTTCAATTCTTCTTGTTCGAGTTCATGCTCAGACTATTTTTTCAAGATTTAAAATATACAACTTTCATTATTTTCCACAGTCAAATATATAATATTCCTGATAACTCATAAATATTAGGATAAAACGGACTCCATCATGTTACAGATACAAAAAGCCAGCAAATCGAAGATTAATGAGAACAAACGAAGGGAATCCAAAAGGACCACTAGTGTCTATGAGAAATGTTGAAGGACGGCAGAAAGAATGAATGAAAAGCCTAAAAAACATTCTGGAAATATGGAAATGTACAAGGAGTTCTGATAAGCAATGGGAGATATAATAACTAAGAAAACAAAGCAACGTGTTCAACCGAGGATCGATATCAGTGAGATATGTTCGCGGTTCAAACTTAATAAGCGGAATGGACGATGGGATGCGAGAAAGTTACACAAGTAATGAAAGAGAGCTCAAAGAAGTGTATATATGTTGATCGTTATTAGACACAAAACCAATCACTATTAAAATAGTCTCAATTTGGTTTCTGCGGAACGGATCCGCCCATAAAAGGGACGCGCAAACTGTGATTTGTGAATTGTAGATGATGATGAGAATGGTTAGGAGAGAAGAAGTTTCGAAGGATTTGAAAGGAGCTAAGAAGGGTTCAGAGACCAGGCTGGTGAGGCTCACGGGGTCCGACATTCCGACCCCAAATCTCGGCTGCCCAGCGCCTCATGGTCTCTTGAATTTCTGCTTCTTGTCTCGCAAGTCTCAACTCGTACTGACGCTCGGCTTCAAGTTTAGCTTCTCTCTCCCTGAAAAGTTCAATTTTTTTCATTTTGCGAAAGTAAACAACATTTCTGAACAAAGTTTTTTTACTGTGATGAATCCCTAACTCTAACCGACAATAAGAAACTCGTCGAGAAAAAAAAAAGCAAGTTTTTTAAAATTGGACTGATGTAGTGAGTAATTTCGGATTAACAAGCTTATATATCACTGCTAGTTTTTAAATTCAAATTATAAATGAATGGGGAAAGCTTCCTAAATCTCTAAGAAGTTTGTATTTCTTGAGTGTTTAAAAATAGAAAGGCTTCTGGAATCTATGAGACAATGAAGCAAGCAATTTCATTACTTTTTGATTTTTATAATTAAATCAAATTGTTTTTGGTCCGATTTTTGAGAAGTTGAGCACCCTAATAAGTGTTTCCAAATCATTTTCGCCTTAGCCGGACTACAAATGCGCTCCAGCGAACACTGTCAGCATATCACAACATTATTGATTTTTCGTGACCCTCGTGCGCCGAGCAATGTCGACCGAAACCTCTGCTGATTAAAGACGAAGTTCGGTGGAGCGCAACTGCTTTTTTCACGCTTGGAAACCAATAATAAGAGCAAAAAAATAAAATAAAAGGGACTTTCTTGAAAAAAAAGCCTAATCAGCACGATTCAAATGAATCTATTTAGAACGGAAAAGGAGAAGCTGAGACTACGATTCATTTCGAAGTTACAGTCACAATACCCTTTTTTTCAAAAACCTATAACACTCGTTTTGCAAATTTTTTAATTGGTGAATCTTGAAGGCTCAGAATCAATTTTTGCAACAGATTCTTGTTGGCCATCGTGATTGTACAGAATATGGGTTAGTATCAAAATTAGGACGCAAATAATTCCTTACATGGCCACGCGATCAGCTTCTCTTTTCTCTTGGGCGGTCATTTGCTGCTCTACTTTCGCGTTGAGGAGTCTTTCCAATTCTTTGCGAGCGTCGGCGACAGCGTCCTGTAACAATATCTTTTTGCCAAAAAAGCAACGATGTGGGAAAGTTTTAATAGATTTTGTCGATTCTCAAAAATTAAAATAAAACACTAAACCTGTGACCCTAACAATTCGATTGACCATTTTTGAGCTCTTGGCTCAAATGTGAATATGGCCCTTGCCTTTGTGTTGATCTCCATATTCTGAATGGCGAAGCCTTCTCTTGACACAACTGGAAGATTTTCTTTTTTGAAAAAAAAAATAATTCAGAAACATACGCTTTGTGACCATAGCCTGAGTCAAAGAAGTTGAGAAGGATTCACTCGGAAAGGTCCGCACTCTTGTTGTTGTTAGAAGATTCTGTAATTTAAACTTTTCCTATTTTTTTCGTAGTAAGTAGTTATAGGAAGATTTTTTCTAATTTACTTATATTTCATAGGTTTTTGATTACTTCTTTTTAGGAAAAAAAATGTGTTTTCATAGTTTTTTTGAAAGATTACTCACTTGTTCGTCGGTGTTCAGAACTGTGCCGATCGAGTTTATTTTCCTTAGTTTTTCGAATATCGTCTCCTTGTCCAATTTGAACAATTGGAAGTTCTTCTGTAAATTTTTTATCTTTGGAAGAACAATACATAAAATCAGAAAAAAAAACAATGGATTTTAAATGGCTCATATAATTTCCCAGTTGTATCGAAAAACTGTTTGGGATGGCGCAGTTTGAATGCATAAAAATCTTACATGTTCTCGAGTTTTTATATCCACTCTCCAAAGACCAATAGTATCGGTCCCAGCTGGAAAGAACTGACACTCAACGACCTCTTTCTCTTTCAAAAACAGAAAGAGAAATTCTTCTTCGAGCACTGTAATTATATAATTTTTATTTTGAAAAGTTGGAAAACTCACATTCATCAAGATTCTGTCTGTTCATGAAGAGATTGACGTAGTTGTAATTCATCTGAAAGTTTCAATAAATCGAAAGTCACCAAAAAGAAAGGAAGTCGGTAGAGAAGATTTCATTTGAAAAATCTACTTCGGCTTTGGAAAAGAAATCTGGAAAGCGTTGAACTGGCGACGAAGAACAGATATTCGATGCTGGGGGTGTGTGTATCGAGCGATATTTGGATGATAGTCCGTAGAAGGTTTGGCGCGCAGAAGTTGACCCAGGAGAGTGCGATGGCGCCAAAGGAGAACCCAAGAGCCACAAAAGGTCGAAAAAACCAACTTTTTTGTTATACATGTTAATTGTTTATTAGCAAGTCAAATTTCCCGTTTTTAAAATTTTCCTTGAGTTCATTTTGAAGCAAACTACATCTGAATTTTTTTTTCATACGTAAAAAACCATTTCTTCGACTTCTCAGCCCGGAAATTTCCCTATACGGGCTTCGATCTAATTATTAACATGTATTCTGTTTGATTCATTTTTTAAAATTTTCCTCAAGGCATTAAAAAAGGAAAATAATGTATTTTGAAAGAGGCTTGCAGTTTCTTTTTTCAGAGTGGCGAAATCGAAGTTGTTGATCGCCGGAATCTTCTTCCCAAACAATTAGCAGCACGCCTGGGAACCAATACATCAAGATCCGTCGATGATCTCTGAGTTTCATTCACTTTGAAAGCTTCACTTGTTTTTTTATTATGGGCTTTCGACATGATTCTGTGAAATAAGAAAACACTTGGGCATCAGATTTGATTTTTCGCCTTTCTACGACTAATAATTGCTTGGTTTGCCGGGTGTTGAAAAAAAATATCAGCCCCCTCTCAGCTAACATTTTCGTGACATGTCAAATGCTCAACACCTGCCTCCATGAAGATCGAATATACACTCTTTGGGAGTACTTTATTTACTTTTATTTCATCGATATGTTGAGTGAATATAATTAAAAAAAGAGTTTTTTTCACTTATTTTTTTCAAGTGTCATTGTGAATTATCATGAGTTTCTTCTGTCAGAACGCCAAAAGTTGCGTCGTTGTTTTTCACTGCCTGCTCATCTTTTCCGTTTTTGAGAAATGCCTGGAGTCCAAAGAGAAAACATCCGTCGATAATCCTTTTGCAGAAGTTCTCAGAAAAGTACTCGGATAGAAAACTCTAGTGAAGTTCAGAAGTATCGCCAAGAAAGAACCGGAAAGTAGTTATAATGTCCGAAGATGATTATTTATCGATTGCCGGATAATGTAAAATTCTTCAAATTGCCAAGTTTTAGAAGGAAAATTATTTAATATGGACTTAGAATTTTTAAAATTATCTCTCCGTTTTTTGTTCCCGTTTCTTTTCAGGTGCGTTTTTTCATTTCAATTTTTTAAGTGTGTTTTCTTTTTTTTTGCCTTTTTTACCAGATAAGCCAAGCAATTTATTTAAATTTAAGCAATTCATTAAAAATTTCAGATAAGCCAAGCAATACATTTTAAATTCAAGCAATTCAATTAAAATTTCAGATAAGCTAAGCAATACATTTAAATTTTTTTAGAAGTGGTTACAAAATTCATAGAAAAATAATCGTCGCAAAGTTCAATCTAAGTCCAAACAGGTGAAGGAAAATTGGTTTTTTTAGTTTTCTTAGTTGTTTTCCTCAGGACATTTTGATTTCGAGATGACCTTCTTCAATCCTGAAAACCAAAAATAAACCTTTTTAATTGTTTACTGATTTTTTTCCTGCCGGTCCATAAACTACTTGCGCTTGATGGCATGCTTAGATAGACCAGTTGCCTAGAATCGACTATTTTTTTCGGCTATTTCACATTGAGGTTTTGTAAGCGTATTTCATTGTATTTTTCAAGAGTCAATAAAACTCACAAACAGCGAAGGCAATTGGTTGCGCGGGTTGTACTGATTTCGAGGAGGCACGAAGTTTTTGTCTTCAAAAAGAACGAGAGTCTTCGGGCCCGACTGAAAAAAAATAACGAAAATGATGATGAATCGATAAAAGTTGTAATTTTTCCTTTCATTCCATTTAATAAAACTATTTTTCCTACCGTTTTGAGCGGCTGGTACTTGTCGAAGGAGCCGGATCCTTTAGTCTGACGAGGCTTCTCATCACGCTGAAAAAAATAATATGAACATTACAATGAATCGGTGAGAATTCCCATGCTCCCTTTCATTCCAATAAATTGAAATTTTGAAGAATAAGTTTCCTACTTTTCTATAAAATTGATCAAAAGCGGTGTTTCTTGAGTAGTCGAACAAAGTCTGTCTAATCGGAGGACCAAATTTTAAAATGAAGCTTTTTTTGTAATGGGATAGTGTCTGGAACTCAGCGTCCTGAATGTTTAGTGGTTTTTTTTGCGGGAAAGCTCATCTTATCATTTCTCTGGAAGATATACCGTTGATCGGTTTTTTTCCTCTCTCATCCAGTAATTCAAATTTCAATGAAAGCAACAAGAGAATTAGGAGTTACGTTTCAACTTCATCTTCTTGAATATCTCACATGAGAGTTTAAAGGTATGTTTCATTTCTTTAAGAATGTAAGAAACTCACAAAAAAACATTCGGGTGTTTTTTTCGTGGGATCATACATCACCGACTGGCTGAAGAAGCTGGTTCCGCGCCCTGAGCGGCCACCCTCGGAGCCATTCTAAAAAAATATGATTACGTTGATAAATCGGTTACGATTTTCGAGAATTCCTCTTCATTCTAATAAATTAAAACTGTAAAAAAGGTTTCCTACTCTGTGAAAAAAAGGGATCAAACTGATCAATACCTTCGGTTTTTTGGAGGAGCCCCACCCGTCGTCCTCTTCCCTCATCGAAGAGGCCCTTGAAACCTTTCTGCAAGCAAAATTGCCAGTAATTCAAAATTTAGTTCAAGGGACGCTCAAAAAAGAAGAAAAACTGTCTCTACTTGAAAGCTACACCTGAACTAGCCGAAGCAGAAGGAAAAGCTTAATTTTGCTCAAAGGAAAAGATAAACTTGCTTGGATTTCAACAGGTTTTTTGTGGCTCCACGTTGACTTCGAGGCAAAACTCTTTTTCTCTTCCTTCTTGTCTATCTGAAAATATACCAATTTTGGGATAGAGTAGATGAAAAACATTAGCAGCTCTACTTTTTCGGTTTTTTCTCTTTACTCCATTGCACACGCCAAAAAATTAGATTGAAATAAGTGTTCAAATAGGTAAAAAATGAATAGAACAAACCCCGAGCAACTCGGGATATATTCTTTTAGGGTCATAGTCGTTTGACCCGTAGACGACCCCCTTCGCGGCGGCCGCCTTGTTTTCTGGGCAAAGCGCTGGCGCTTGAACACTGCCATTCTGCAAAAAAAAAAACAATGTATCTCTGAGCAATGCCTGAATCTCGCCCGGTCAACTCTTTCACGTACCAGATCAGATTTTTCAAAGTCTATAGCTTCTCAATTTTTAAGTTTTCAAGCAAAAAAAGCTCGTAATCAGGAAGAAAAAATTCTCAAATTTAAAACGCTCGAAAAGTACAAAAATTGAATAAAAAAAGAAAGTTTCAAAAAAATGTCAACATTGTATAATAAAAATTATGACGAAATTTCTAGGAATTCCCGATTCCAAATAGAAATGCCTTTTTTTAGAATAGTATTACCCATCCTTCCAAAAACAAAAAAATAGGAGTCAAGAAGGAGAACGAATAAAAAAATTACCAGAGGAAGGGCAGGGATTCCCCGGGCGGTCCACGCATGCGGCGCGGTTGTTGCCGATCTGAAGACAAAGTTGTCAAAAACGTGGTTTTAAATGAACGGAAGAAAGCTTTTTCCCCTAAAATACTCATTGAAAAATACGAGAAAGTGCGATTTGAAAGTTCGCAAAAATATCGGGTTCAAAGAGATTTGGGTTTCCAAAAAGTTCTCTGTAGAAACAAAAATCAACGGAAAAAGGTGAGACCTTAATCTTTTTCTCCGTTTGAAATGATTCGAAAACATAGTCATATTTCAGAACCCTTAGCTAAGCAAGAATATTAAGTGGAAACAAAAGATAACTCCGGAAAGAGGAAATGAGAAAAGAGGATGTAAAAAAAAAGATAGGGAGAAAGTTTAAAGGAAATGATTTTAAATTACCAAAAGCGGTGGCGCCAGATTTCCACGGCCAACCATGTTCGGTTCGGCGAGACCAAGGCCTGCGGGGCCATCGCGGTGCTGGCCAATGGCTTGGTTCCCGATTCCCTGAAAATAAAACTATCAATTCTATAATCGAAAAACAGCTTTTTAAATACGTATTCTTTCTGAATTTGAGAAAAAAATCAAAAAAATATCGGGGATCGGAGCAATTCAGTTTTACGAAAACTTCTCATTGGAAAAAAACAATTAGATTTTGGAACTTCAAGCTAGGCGCGATTCTTTCGTTAAAAACAAAAAGAAAAATTTTTAGAACGAAAAAAACGATAAAGTTTAATTGAATTAGAGATCGTGAGAAAGTTTAATGAAAATGATTTCAAATTACCAAAAGCGGTGCGGCGAGATTTCCACTTCGGTTCAATTCGGCGAGATTCAGGAATCCGGGGCCATCTCGACGTTGGCCGATGCCTTGGTTTCCGACGTCCTGAAAGCAGAGTTGATTTATGATTAGAGCGATTCAAGATTTCGAAAACTTTTCACTGGAAAAAAAAAGTTAGGTTTTAGGAAATAGCTAACTTGAATCATCTTTTTCCGCGTTGAACTGGTTCGAAAAAAATTTTGATTTTTTGGAACTTTTCCCTTTTTTTAAACAAAAGAGAATCTCAAAAGGCGAAAATGAGAAAATTCGATAGAATTAGAGATGGTGAGAAAGTTTAATGAAAATGATTTAAAATTACCAAAAGCGGTGCGGCGAGATTCCCACTTCGGTTCAATTCGCCTAGATCTAAGATCGCGGGGCCATTCCGACGTTGGCCAATGCCTTGGTTTCCGACGTCCTGAAAGCAGAGTTATCAATCAACTTATTAGCAATAATTAAAAAAATTTCAGGTTTTTTTCATGAATTTTTTTCAACTAAAAAAATAGCAAGTAAACGTTTTTTTGAAAAAAATTGATAAATATCGAGTTCGAAACGATTCAAGTTTTTGGCGAAGATAATTCAGAAAAAAATTTTTTTGGTTATTCAAAAAAGCTAATCATATAGAATCCTATTAGGAAATAAGTAAAAAAAGTACCGGAAAAAGCATGACGTTCCCTCTCAACGGGCATACCCTGAAAAAGTCATCAATTAGATTATTCGCATCCTTTCCTAAAACATATCACATTCTTTGATAAATGCTTTATGGTGCATTCATTCAAGCTCGCTTATTTACTACTGTTTTGGCAATATGGGGTCGGAAAAAGTCAACAGAATCCCAACGAAAAGTGAAACTTCTTGTTTTTGAAAGAATATATAATAATAGGGATTTTAAATGTCAAGTTTTTGTGCTGGTTCAGCTAATAAAATAAGTTCAGCGAAAGCCTTTCGTACCAAAACTTTGCTCTCGTAGCAACGATGAAGGTTAGAATGTGTTTAGAAAAGTTCATTGAAAATTTAAAGCTTCCTCCTGATTTCTTTGTTACGCTCAGACTTTCAGTTGAATCGAACTTATTTAATTTTGCTGACTCGGAAAAGGATAAAACATACGAAATTGAAGGGCGGGAGACGGCCCGGAATGTGCTCATGGGGTCCACCGAGGGGTCCACGACCCAAACGATTGTTGTTGTAGATGTTGACGCCGAAGCGAATAGGTGGAACTTCGTTGTTCACGAAGCCATAGACCGGTACAGGTCCATAATGCACTGCTCGCGGCGACCCGGAGAGCCAAGAGTACTCGCTCGCATCGGATTCTCCCAAAGAATTGAGCACGGGGCGTGGCATCTATAAAAAAACGTTTTTTTGTTTAGAATATTAGCATCTGTCTTTGAGAGTAAAGTTCTGAATTAATTTATTCTAAAGTTACACTTTTGAAAGAAAAAAAGACATTTTCAGAGAATTTGATGAAACTTGCCGAACTTTATGAAAAAAAGAGATAATTTTTCAAAGTTGAAGAAATTCAGAGGTTAAGCGCGGTAAATTAAAAAAAATTTTTTCAATTTGTCATGCCTCGGCTATAAAGTGAAAGGTAGCGTTTTGATCTAGAAAGACTCAGAACAACTTTTTTTCAATTTTGTTAAATCCTCATTTTATTGTTAAAAGGAAATTCAAGGTTTGATTTGAAAAAATGTAGCGATTTGAAAAAAAAGGAGGACAGAGACTAAAAGTTCTACACAAATTTCGGATTTTTTTCGAATTTGCGATAATTGAAGCTCGGCTTTACAACTAAACGCAATATTTATAATAAATGTGTAAACTTGAACGGAATGAAGCAAAAAGAAAAGAAAAAAAACCTAAAATGATATGAGAGAAAGACGTCAGGTAAAAGTACAAAAATTTAAGAAATGTAGAGTAAGTCTCTGTACAGGGTGGTCCAAAAAGTATTGTCGCATAAAAACAAACAGACAATTTTAATGAGAAAAAAATAATTTTTTTGACATAAGTTATTTTTTTGTTGTAGTATTCTAGTCCCTTCTTCTATATTTCCCAAAAGTTTCAGCTGAATCGGCTAAGGCACACACAAGTAGCAGCAAGTTTTGTCTGGCTAACTCAGACGCAACAGTTGAAAAAAATTTAAACTCTTAGAAGAGATAAACTCTAAATATCATAACTATATTGAACATGTATAGAATCGATTTCTGTAAAATGATGCCGTTTGTAACTCAATAACGTTACATAACAGCGAAAACCAAATCTTTTTGAATGAAACTGATGTCAGTATTATTAAAAATGTTGAGATGACTCAAAAACTGACTAAATTGGAAAAATGCATTGCGAATGACGACCAACGAAACAATTTGACAGCAATCGATTCCACCTCAGAGTCCAATACATGAGCTACCATATTGAAAGTTTTGGATCCTTTAGCTTGCTCCGTTGAAAAGTTATGAGCGATAAAATGAAAAATTGACATTGCGGCACGCAGCTCGAAAGTCCGTTTCGAAAAAAAAAGATTTTCTTTTCTCTCGTAAAACCAAATTTCATAATTCTTTTTTTCATTATGGGCTTGATTGATAAAAGGGGTAGATTGCAAAAGATGAGTTATCAAAACGTTTAGGAAGCTGACTTATGATGATTTTTCTAAGACCGATCATGTCATATTTCTTGATGGTAATCGAGCCAGAAAAGTAATACAGATAAATAAAAATTATAAAAACTTGGAATGTGATATTTTTATCTCATATTGATTTTCATCTTTTTTTTTTATCAAGTACAGTAGATTGAAATGGTTCAAGTTATCTTTCAAAAGTTTTCCAATGTCACGACTCAAACTGGATTCTCCCATGGTCTCGGAGTAAGTGAAGTTTAAGCTGATTTCTGAACTTTCGGGGACATTTTGGATAAGTTGAAATTGAGCGGTGCAAGCATTGAGAAAATATTTTGTTTCTTGCTTACAAGTTTCGTTCATTGTTATTCATTTTAATGGTTTCTATAAATGAGCAAAATTGTCTATGTTTAGTGAAGAGCTTTGGTATCACAGCTAGTAACGATTTCTATTAAGTTGGCATGAGTCATTAGTTTCCAAATTTTCTCGTCTTTAGAACAGAATTTCCTACGTCTTGCTGCAATAGACCCCTATCTAGCGACCTTAATAAGTGATGAAATAACTTTGTACTTGGCTGTACCAATCACTGGAAAAATTGAAAAAAAAATTGCGCCACCTTATATTCTTGACCGCAGAGATGAAAATCAGATACAATTGAATCAAAACTGTGCAGAACAAAAAGAGGATGTGGTCAACTTCGAGAGGAACCATTTTGGACATAGGTGGAATTTCTTGACGAAACTCAGCAATGATGCAGAATAAAGCTTGATAAATGTAAGAATAATGATTGGAATGTAATATAAGCCCAGGTTGGCCCTTATATTTGGATCTTGACTATCATGATTCACATGGTCGATGAACAGAAAAATATATGTAACTCATTGTTTCTTATGCTACACAGATGTTGGCAAATCCTTGACTTGAGCTTTTGCTTGGTTTTAACGTATTGTTTACTACACTCTAGGCATTCAATACAATAAATTAAATCTTATCGTCCAAGCTTTTCAGCAAGTATTCTTTGAGCCAAATCGAAAATTGCTCAAAATCAATTACCTTCCTAATTTTGGGTAATGAAGGCAAACAAAAACAAACGGGTGTGATTGAAAAAGATTTAGATGCAAACAAAAAAAGGCAATGGAAAAAAAAGTGTGATGAATAAAGATTGATAGCTTAATATGAATCAGGAAAAGGCTTATATTATTTGTTTCAAAAAAAGTACATACCTTTTTTTCAGTCGAAGTAACTGCAAACACGGCACAGCCGATTTTTTTCGTTATCACCTGAAAAATCAAATCTTTATAAGTAAATAAAAATAAAACGGAAAAATCAATTGATAAACGAAGAGGGGTATGAAATAATGAGAATTCATGACAGAAATTATGATTTTTTTCGAGATAGTTCGAAAATTCAAGTGAGAGTATTAGTCTAATCACTGATGGTTTGGGGAGTTTTCAAACTGACGAGCAACACAGTTAATTAATCGACAATCCTCTTCCAAACAAAGTAGAAAAAGAAAATTTGTCCGAATAAAGTTTTTTTTAGGAATTGAAGGCTTCAAGTGGGGTTAATTAAATGAATTAGGTGTGAAAATCACCTAAAGGGAGGTCAGCTTTTCGAAAAATCAAGTTTCATTTAAGAATTTCATAGCCAGGTGTTTTTTTTCTGAAGTACTATGGCAAAATTAAAATAAAATAACTTCCTATGAAGTTAAGAGAATGAAAAATGAAAACAGGCTTTCTTCGCAAGAAAAAAAGAGCCCAGTCGGCCGGCGGAAAACTGATTTCTTCTAACAAAGGGCCCCTTTTATATCTGCATTTCAGCACGAAAGTTATATTGGTCCAAGAAATCCGGAGGCGGATAGGAATGATAATGGATAATGAAAAAGCGAATGAAAAACCGTTTTCCTGGAAATTGAAGGTTGATAAGATCGCATTATCGTCTGCTCCATTGGTCTCATGACGATCACAAGACACCTTTTAACTTTTGTTTTTTTTGTTTCTAAGAGCTTTGATCTTTTTGCGATCCGAATGAAAGGCTCAGGTCAGTGATATCTACAAAAAGACTGGAATGATAAAGGAACAGAAACTGATGTTGCTCAGGAAGAAGCTTGTAATGTAGTCGAGACCAATTAATAGTTTGATTCGTGAAGAAATCAACTTCTTGAAGCATAACTTATCCTGATTTGATCGGGAAAATGTTGTTTTTTTCAAACAAAGAAACGAGTTTATGAGAATAACTTTTTCGCCAATATTGCGATTTTTCTTGGTTTTTCGCGGAGTTCAGGGATTACTTGTTATTTTGAAGCAGCCAGATCGTTTTCTGATCATCCGTAGGCGGATGGAAGACAATTACCGTTTCTTTTCGGATCGGAAGGTTGAAAGCATTCCGATATAATGGGCTCCAATGGCCTCATGACGATCGCCAGACAGCGATTGTTATATTGCACCCTTTTAGCTTTTAGCTATTGATACCGAAGATCTTTGATGATTTTTGTCCAAAAAAAAACTTGTCGGAAATGCGATAAAACGGAGAGTTGAGCTAGGCGATGAGAACAAACGGATAACGAGAATGAAAAAGACAACGTCAAACTCTTTATACTTATAACTGTGGAGCAAAGTTTCCTTTTATTTTAGAAAATTATTTTTTCATGCATACTTCTCTCGCATAAAGGAAAACTACAATTACAGACTCTTCGTTCAATTAGCGTCTTCGTCTTCCAAATATAATCCACTTGATTTTATTTGTTCGATCAAGGTTTCATGTTTTCTAATATATGTGTTATTTTGAAACAGCCAGATCGTTTTCTGATCATCCGTAGGCGGATGGAAAACAATTACCGTTTCTTTTCGGATCGGAAGGTTGAAAGCATTCCGATACAATGGGCTCCAATGGCCTCATGACGATCGCCAGACAGCGATTGTTATGTTTCACCCTTTTAGCTTTTATCTTTCAAAGGAACTTTGATCTTTTCTCGCCTTGGTATTGAGAGCAAGTGTGTGAAACGTTTGATGACGTAGAGAGAAGAGAGAAAAAAACGTATACTTTGCAGCGGTATTATTCAGATTTTTGTTCAGAAAATAGAGTTTATTTGTATCTTCTTTGACATGGACATCTTGATGATAGAACAAAACACTTCTGGCAATAAATCTGGGTTTCAAGCTGTGAAGCTTCGAAGTTCCTAAAATACGCGAATTATGACAAAACGCGATATTTAGCTTTTAAAACGTCTCAACTCAGAAACGAGATCTATTGCGAGAAATTCTTTTTTTGTTCTAGCAACAGGAGGTTCTAAAGTATACTTCAGCAAATTTCATCAAAAAGTTCAACGGGGGTGGTAAAAACTTCTCCTACTGATACTGGGTTTCTTAAATGCAGTTTTTTTACGCTGATCCTAAATCTGATATCAAAAAAACCGTTGCGGAAATCTGTGAAAAAAATTTAAGGCACTCTCTACAGTCTAAATTTTTCAAAAAGTTTTTTTAAAAAGAATTTTGTGTAAAATCTTCATTCTGTGTAAAATCTTCACTTTAAGCCACCCAAAGCACGGTCTCCGGGCTCCAGCACAAGATCCGCTACATTCTGAGCTTGTCAAGGCTGAACTACAAACAAGACGAACGACCGTAAAACCATAATTTCTACTCTTTCGACTACACGCTAAGACTTCTAGTTCGCCAAAGGCGGTTGTTCGTTATAGCTTAAAAAGTTCTTGCTCACCGCCTAGTCAATTACATCTGACTAAAATAAAGAAATAAATGATTTGATTGATTTGAATTCTGCTCCATCCCTGTTTCCAGTCTCGACCCTATCATCACAGAAAAGTTCTTCGATTTTTGAGAAAAAAATTTCGAATTCCGATTCCTTAGAGATATCCCAGAAACGTAACGATTTTTTTCACGTTTTTCTTCTTCATAATTTTGAGCTCTGTTCATGATTTTTTCAAATCTTGCTTGAAAAAAAGAGGAGTTTTCATAGAATTGTCGGAAAAATTATTTATTAGATACACGAAAAAAATTAGGTTACATGCAAATAAAAACACATTAGATTAAAAACAAAAAATTGAATTACAAAATAAAAAAATTAAAGTTTCCGACACAAGACAAATGCACTTATAGTTATTCCTCTACAAAGGAAAGTGCTCGGCGGGATCCTCGTCTCCCGGTTCTTGATCCAGGTATCGATTTTCATCAGCATTCAACTGCCGGTTCAATTCACGGACTTGCTCTCGAAGGGCCTGTGAAAAGTAGAATTTGAAAACTGACTAAATTTAGAATTTTGAAAGCTTCTGGCTTTCCAAAAATTTTATTATCAGAAAATGACCTCATGGGTCCAAGGAAAAGCAATGCATCAGAGAAAGTCAAAATATGCTTATTTCAGTAATTTGCTTTTGTGAACGTCTCATATCAGGCCTGGCGATTCTATCAATTCTCCCAATTTTCATTGATTCCGTTTTAGTTCAATATTTAAATTAGAGACTGACATCCGCACGCTGCTCTCGGCGGCGCACTTCGTTTTCCAAGAAGCGCATTCTGTTTCGCATGTGGTTGAATTCCACTTGACGCTGGAAACGAAGATGTTGCAGATTTCGAATGTCGGCCCGGATCGCCGCCTCCTGAAAAGTTACTATATCAAATATGCTTGGTATTTTCGGGACTGAAAATCCTATCAATGCAAATCATAAGGATTCATGAGAATCAAAAATAGAAAAAAACAAAATATTGACTATAGTCTGTGTACCGCGACTTGGAATTTCATCGAACGACATTCCGCTGTTCCGATGCATGCTCGGCCGCTTTTTAATTTTTAATTTTACTTAAGAACTCGACCAACACGTTTTCCTAGTGTAACAGTTCATCTATCAGAAATGAGAACCAATTCAAAGCGAGACCGAGGGACGCAGCGGAACAGCGGAATGTCGTTCGGTGAAATTCCAAGTCTTGGCACACAGACTATAGAAAATCGACAGGTTATACAGTTGAATTTCACGTCATTTTTTTGTTTGCCTCGATCCCGAGAAGTCTCATTAAAGAGATAATAAAAAGAAAAAAATTTTTTTGATAAAAAAATCAAGGTGTATATCATCTCCAGATAATTTTCTCGAAAAGCGAAACATTATTTTCTCGGAATTCTTTACAAATTCAATGCGATCCGTTTCAGATCAGAAAAGACCTACAGCGGCAAGAAGAGCTTCCTCCTCCTCGTCCATCTCCAGCAGAACTTGTGGCTGCGGAGGCCTCATCTCTTGGGCTTCACCTTCGATGAGCCGCACTTCCTTGAAAAAAAAATCTAGGAATTTGTATAGTCATTTTTTTCTGACGTGAAAGGCGAGGGTGGCAAGGCGTGTGCGTACACGGTTCTTGGCACGAGTTCAATTCTATCGCCAGTGACTACTTAAAAAAAACCTGGTTTTCGCTTTTTTCATTCCTTGTTCAATTATTCATTGATTATGTTCATATGTCCATCAAAATAATAGAAAATATAAAAGAGCGGTTTCCGAGCTTTTAAACAGTCGGCTGCGATTGAATTGAACTCGTGCCAAGAACCGCGTACGCACACGCTACGCGTCCCGTCCCCTGCCTTTCAAGTCGGGGAAAATTAACTATATAATGGAAGAAATCAGAAAATTTCTTGGTTCAAAATTATTTTCATGATTTTCAAAAGATTTTCTTATGCCGCTTCCAAAATTTCAGGCATCAGCCGTTTGTCTTAATTCTTTTGAAAATATGCATAAAAGTGCATAAATTTGAATCTTTGATGATTCCGGCAGTTCATTTTCATAGTTCGGTATCCAATTTTTCAACTCATAATATGGAAACGTACAGCCTCTATAGTGGCGATTGCCAGGCGTCTTTCCTGACGCAGACGTGCACGATGCTGATGATCATCTTCGTGCACAATCCTGAGGTCCTCTTCACGCAGATGCTCCTCCTCAAAAAACTCTTATGATTTGGATCATGTGAACTTCCAAAAGTTTCCTGTTATAGTCAATTTTTTCCCGGCTTGAGAGGCAAGAGAGGAAGAAAAGTGTGCGGGACGCGTAGCGTGTGCGTACGCGGTTCTTGGCACGAGTTCAATTGAACCGCCAACAACTATTTAGAGAGCCCTTTCATTGCTTTTTTTCTTTTTGTTCTTTATTTCTTTTTTTAATATTTTGCATTAAGAAGTAGTGGAGTAAATATGAAAAGAACGGTGACCGAGCTTTTTGAATATTATTGAATATTACCCGTTTTTTTCGCTTTTTTCATTCCTTTGTCAATTACTTATTGATTATTTTCATGTGTGCATCAAAAAATAGTAGAAAACGTTGAAAAAGAGCGGTTGCCGAGCTTTTCAAATAGTCGGCGGCAATTGAATTGAACTCGTTCCAAGAACCGCGAACGCACACGCTACGCGTCCAGCCCATTTCTCTGCCTCTCTCGCCTTTCAAGTAGGGACAAATTGACTATAAGAGGAAACTTGAGCGAAATTCAAAAAATTGTTAGCATTTATATGACGATCATCGTCCCCTCAATTTCGAAATGCATTAAGCTTTTTATTCACTTTTCCTTCCATCAAATTGAAAAATGAAACATACAGCCTCGTTAGCCGCCATTTCCATGCGCTCTTGATCTTCATCCGGCAACTCAGGCACGGTCCATTCTCCTTCGTCTTCCTCGATCTCTTCCTCGATCTCTTCCTACAAAAAAGTTTTGAGCATTCAAGTCTTAAAAAAATAAATTTGGCATGTAAGGCATAATAAGGCATGCTCCCAAAAGTTACTTTGAACCTTAATAACTCAGAAAGCTCTTTTCAAAAGGGTTTGGTCGCATTTTTCCTGCTGAGTTGGATCGCAAAAACTATCACAACCTAGACCCTACTATTTCCGTCATTGCTGTCATTCGAAATTCAGCTCAAAAACGATCATTCTATTGATAGCTGAAGAAAAGATTCAGAATAAGTTCAACGCGATCAGCAAGTTAACTTCCAAAAAAAAAATTTTTAGACAGCTTGGCTGTTTTTTTTCGCAAGATTTCTGTAAGTGAATTATACTTTGCAAGAGGATTCTATTTGCAAAAACTGTGTTTTTCCGGCCAAAATACTTATTCAAGACGTACCAGGATCAAAGCCCGCAGTCCTCCAAGTCCATTCAAATGCATCCTTTCCGGCTCCTCGTTGATCGGCGGCAATGGAACCGGGTTGAGAGCGACGTTCTCTTCATGAAGATTGTTCGGCGGCTCGGGCAACCACTGAGGCTCTTCCTCTTCCAGTCTTCTCACATTTTCGAGTTCCCTCACGGGCGGACACATTTTCCTCAGAAAGTTATGCTAACTCTGAAAAAGAGCACACTTCATTAAAAAATAATCATAGCCTTAATGTTTTAAGAGAACATGAGAGATAAATCATTCTTTTAGCCTTACTAAAACAAATTCTCAAAAACGGCGACCGACTTCCGAGGAAGAAAGGAGAAAGAATGAGGAGGGAAGAAGAAAATGCGAGAATGGGGCAATAATAAGAATACGCCACGCCACGCGGAGCTGGGCGGGACGGTATGAATCAGCTTAAACGGTCGCGATCAGATTAAAAAAAATTTGCGTGTCCTGCGTGATAAACAACATTTTCGCGATCTTTTCGGAAGTTTCGAGAATGATGCAATGGCCTTTTCTTTCTGGGAAAATGTCCGTTTTTGAAGGTTTTCACGCGATTTCGAAACGATGCCGTAAACGGAAATACAGACTCATTTGCTAGTTCCTTAGGCTTGGCATGATTTCTTAGATTGTAGTTTCTTGCAAAAAGAATCGCATAAGTCATTGAAGCGAGCTATATCTTCAATCAAAAAAAAGTTCAACATTAGTTTTTTTTTCATTTCAATAGGCAGTTACTGAAACTCTCAAAACACCTAATAAAAAATAAATAATTGTTTGATTTTGATGAACCTCAACCTAGTGAGACAGTTCATCATCAGAAACAGCGACCCAATTGTTCAAAACAATTCCACTTTCTCCAGCTGGTTACGGTAGGCAGGTGGGCCCCTGGGACATGAAATATTTCAGTCGACAAGTAATGCAGTTCTAGAAACTTTTAAAGTACGTGACACCCTGGGTTACCTGGGAAAAATTTCAAATTACGGTTTTTTTTTCAATTCATTAATTCGCCCACCTTGAGCTTGAGCCTGGAAAAAAACTCCTATTAGAGTCTTTAAATAAATCTTTTGAAATTTTTACGAGCTGAAAAAAAAAGTGACTCGGCAAAAAAAAAATTTTTTTCACAGTAACCCATGATGTCATGAACTATGAAAGTTTCGAGACAGCAGTCGATTGATTTACATCATGCCGAAGAAAAACTCTTCTCTCCTCAGATACGCAGATGCCCACCTGCCTACCGTAACCTGGCCAATGTGAGGAAATGGCTCGAAAAAGTTTTGACCGCATTTTTTTCGATGAACTTTCACACTAAATTAATTTACATCAACATCGAATTACATTTTTTGTTCTACCCGGTGTTTTTTGAGACCTACAGGGACTGTGTGTCAAGCACTCAAGGATTATCCAGCAAAATTTTTTAAAAATGTTTTGGAGCACAGTTTCGTAATATTTTTTAACTGCAAACGTTTTTCAAATATTTTTTGAAGAAAATTACTGTTAGGCATTAACCCGGAAAACAAAAATGTTTTCATAGTTTATTTTTAATTGCTGCTCTCACGTTGAAAAGTTAAACTTTCCGTTCTCCCGGTTCTTACAAGGGCTGGGTACGGTTCTACGTTGACCTTTTTGAGGCCTTTCTCAGTCCATGAACCCCTCAATAAGGTTCACATCATAAAACAAGACTCGTCTAAAAATGGAATATTCCAGAAAAATTTCGATGTTTTGAACGTCGTAAAAAGAACAAATGGCTTAGGCTATTGTTGAGACGGTGGGAACGTAAAAGACGCCTCGTTGACATTTTTCATTCCGATTTAATGTGATGACGAGCCAAAAGGGCAACTTTCTTCTTGGGAACGGCTCCCGCTCGGAGAGTCGCATGGTACGGCCGCAATGTCTGCCATCTCCTTTCTTCCCTTGTCTTTTCTGGAAGGGGAAATGCGCCGAAGGCTCCTGTTTACATTACTGATCCTCGCGTTTCCAAATGTTCGAAAGGTGTGGGGAACGTAACCAGCAGAAGGTTGGAAGGGGAATGAAAGATAGAAGGTCTTGCGAAGGCCTTTGGTGGAAATGGTAAATGCCTGTCAGAAGCCTTCCAAAAGCCTTCTGAAATGCTTCTGGAAGATTTTCGGCAAGCTTGACAACAATTTCCCTCAAAACCGTTCCTACGAATTTTTGGACAATAGCTTCGCGTTTATCATAAACAGCTATTACATCATTCTCAGAACGGTCGGAAAATCATTTTTAATCCAATTGTGACCTTTTTCAGCTGACTCATTCAGTCCCGTGCCTCCGCATTTCGTATTGTTATTCTCAGAGATTTTTTTTTTTTTCATTCTTCTGGAAGATTTTCGGCAAGCTTGACAACGATTTCCCTTAAAACCGTTCCTACAAATTTTTTTTTCCTAAAAGCTAAGTAAAAGGCTTTTGACCACTTGATGGAAAACTTCCAAGCGCCTTCCGAGGAACCGAAAGCAAAAACTTTCTAACATTTGTCTGAGAAGATACTTTGGAAAACTTTGCAGCGGAAGAGTTTTAGTTTGAAGTCTATAAATTTGCCCAAAACTTTATGTAGGCCTAGATGAAGACTGCTCAAAACCAATAGGTGGTTAGTTATTCTTTTGGAACCTTCCAGAAAATTAAGAGAATTTATTTTATACTATAAATGAAGTTTCAACTTGTGAAATCAAGAAAAGAAAAAGAAAAAAAAACGGTAGATCAGCAGATTAAGAAAAAAAGGAAGAAAATGCTAAGAACAACAATACGAAATGCGGAGGCACGGGACTGAATGAGTCAGCTGAAAAAGATCACAATTGGATTAAAAATGATTTTCCGACCGTTCTGAGAATGATGTAATAGTTGTTTATGATAAACGCGAAGCTATTGTCCGAAAGTTCGTAGGAACGGTTTTGAGAAAAGTTGTTGTCAAGCTGTGCCACCAGATTCCGGCAAATTAGAAGTTGGTGAAAACAACGACAAACCGTCCGCACATTGTTCTCCGGCGCGTTTTTTGATCTCTATTGTCTCAAAACCACACGTTTGAATATTCTGAAGCGTGAATTCACGATATCTCGGCAGATGCGTCAAAATAAAGGCTTTCTACTTTGAAAAAGTTCAAAGTCCGGCTACAGTGAGGCGATAAATCAATGATTGCGGAGCACAGCCCAAGAACACAAAATTTCTTTGCTTTTTTTGTAACTCTTTGAGAAATTTCGAACTTTTTTTATTTTTTTACTCAAGATCATATACCGCACACGGCAATGGACAAAAAAAGAAAAAAATATTTGAATTTTAGCAAGAGATTAGAAAAAAAGTCAACACAAAGTAGTTGGAAAAAAAGAACATTTGAAAAAGAAAAACATCGGGGTTATGAAAGTACTAAAGTATAAAGTCAGTAAGGCAATTATTTTACTTTTGATGGTGAAAGGCACGGAATGAGCTCATAAAAATGAAAAAAGAAAAAAAAACGTTTTCTCAAAACTGTCGCTTCATCTTCGCAGTTGCCGTTTTAGTCTTCCGGGGGGAAAATTTCCGCATCACGAACTTGCTGGAAAAAAATGTTTATTGAAATGATTAGTTATCTTTCTATCGGTATATTAATGAGTATTCAGAGTGCAACAGCTACAGTATTCAATTCTATCTTGTAATTTGAAAAATAATTGTTTTGCGACTAGTTGATGATTTTTATGGAGCTGTGAATATAGGAATTTCAGCCTCTCTTGGTTCTCAGCTTCAGTTTTGAATAGATTTTTTTCATCCCTTGAACTCGATTATGAAAGTTTTAATCTATGAATTTTATCGAATACAAAAAAGAAACTTACACTTCCAAGCAAGCCCACAGCATCCTCCTCATCAGCGAAGAGAACCAGCCTTTCGAAATGACGCACAATCATTTCGTTTCTTAGCGGTAAAGGACCACGTATCCCTTCCTGAAATAAATATTCATCAAAAAGATGAATTGGCAAGCTCGGTTTAAGATTTCATTTTTTTGAGAAATACAATTTACATTTTTTTGAGCTTGCTGTAAATTGTAATGAAAAATAGTTTTTTTCTTTAATTTTCAAATCTTCCGAAAAAAACCAGGAAGCAGTTCTGGGTAACGGTTAATCTAAGAGAAAAAAATATATTTTATTGTTTCTAGCTACTGAAGGAGAAACGAAAAAAACTATTTCAAGTCACTCAAATCCGGAATACCTGAAAAAAATCTTATTTTCATTCACAGTAAAACTGTAAAAAAACATTACACCAGGTTTTGACCAGTAGTAACAAAAAGAGTATCTTCTTGTTCAGGCAAAGGTTTTCGCAAAAAAACCCCCACCTCATCCTCGTTGTCTCCATTCCTATCTGGTGCAGCGAATCGGTTATTCACAGGGTCCTCGACGAATTCCTACAAAACATTTATAAAAATTTGATTTGCGGTTTCAAACTGGACTTTTATGAATTTTTTTTTCTACTGAATATCTTAAGAACCTGAAGAATTCAAACATGGCTAAAAAGTACGAATAACTTGAAATCTGTAATGAGGGAATCTAAGTGTAAACTTTCACGAAGTATCCAGGCTACAGTATAATAATATACTTACTTATTTTTCAATATTAAGTTATGTTTCCTAGGTAAAAATAATAAAACGTACTACGATAGCGTTGTAGAGGAGTCGCGCGTAAAGGCGTTCGTTTTGATCGCGTTCCCGTTGGCGGAGCTCGATCGCCATGCTTCGAAGCTCATCATGCAAGTCGACAAGCAGTAAAAAAGGTTCGGGATCCGGTTCAGGTTGAGGGATTCTTCTCTTAAAAGCCATATTAGGTAAAGAATGAGTCTCCACTGCACAGATTCTTTAGACTCAATAGTTCCGTTTCTTTTCGAATATTTTTTTTATCGGTATTCTTTATATTCATATTCTTTTGAAGATCTAGTCATAAAATCACTCAAATCTCAAAATTGGGTCAATATAACGTTTTCTTCACTGTTGACTTTCAACCATGTTTGATTGAGACTTTCTCACGATTTAGCGAGACGATTTATGCAAAAAAGCGGTGACTTTTGTCTAAGCTAACAGTGAAAAAACCTCCCAATCCCAAAAACCAGAAATTAAAGACCAACCCTAAAGCGTCTTGCAGGACGTCTTCCGTACGGGCGGTACCTGTGAGAGTGGTTGGTTCGAGGACGACGAATTTGCCTCACTGGCATTTCCTTGAACATTCAGGAGATGTTACGAGAAAAATGAAGAAGTAAAACGCGATATGAAAATTTCGGGAAAACTTCGAAAACTTCTAGATGCTTCAGAACAAGGCTCGAAAAAAAATCCTTCATTGATAAAGATAGTTTTTATAATCCAGTTGATGCACCTTTCTTGAGTCTGCCGACAAGGGTGAGTTTTTATTTTCCGAAAAGTACTGTATGTGTTAGCACGTTCTGAATTTCCCATTTTCCCGTTTTCCCAGTTTTGTTCTAAAAAACCAAAAAATCGCGGAGATCGCACCCCAAAATGTGCAAACACGCGAAGAGCACACGCCAAATGCGGACTTCCACATACAGTACTCTTTGGAAAAGAAAAACCCACTCTTGTCGCAGCAACCTTTTTTTTGAAAGAAGGGTGAGAGAAATTTCTGAGAATGACGAAGAAATTGCGGATAATTTAGGTGAAAAACGGTATCAGGACAAAATACAAATGGGAAAAACACGGAATGCCGAGCTAACGGAGACGGTATAGACGATTCACGGCTAGCTTGGGACGCAAAAGGCGGTGCTTGTCTGCACTCTCCACCAAACAGGGCGCTGTCTCGTCTCTTTTCGTGGCAGGACCCTTCTCTCGATGGCTCAAGCCAGCCGTGAATCAGCTATACGGATCAGTTAAAAAGTTCGCTACCGGATAAAAATATTAAGCGCCTTCTTGTGATAAAACAAATTTTTAGAGTTGTACGATTTTCAGTTTTCCAGAACGATATAATGTTTTTTTTTCTTGGCAGCAAGATGCTTGATTCAAAAAGGATAAACAAAGTAGCCAGCGACTTTTGGCAAATGTGCGCAGGCGAGAAAATGGCAAGGATCGTCTCACGTTGTTCTGCGCCGCTCTGTTTGACCTTCTCACCGCCGGATGCTTTGTACGGGAAGACATTGAGCGCCAAGTTGCAGATTTCAAATCTTAGGAAGGGACTATAACTAAAAGTTTTCAGCTTCGAATCAGTTGAAAGTTGGTATTCAAAGCATTCTTTTTTCGGTGCTTCTTTTTTGTAACATATAAGTGGCTGAATTATAGCATGAGCAAGAACTCGGCGTTTAAAAATGCTTGTTGAACCATAAATCACAAAAATCTCATAAAAACCTGAACGAGGCTGAACTCAACCATTTTCCATTTACTTACCGCTACCTCTTTTTTCAGTTGTTCAATACTTGGAACTTATTCTTAAGTATCGGCTAAAGTTTAAAAAAAAGAGAACATGGAACGTGAAACGACAAAATCGTGCATTGAACATTATTATTGAGTATCAAAAACGCAGGAAAAGAACAAAGTACTGTGAGAAAAGAAATTGATGGCGCTGAAGGATATTGATTTTGGTGGGAACAAGAGAATAAAATTAGATTAGGATGGTGAAAACACAGAGAATGGTTGCAAAGGAAGGAGCCGAGCGTAGACATGCGAACGCAGAATGGTCAAAAAAAAGGTATGGTTAGGCCTCCAGCCAGAAGGAACGCCTCTTTGCCGTATCCGGGGAGCTCCGCCCCGATTTGGGAAAGAAGATGTCTTGAAGGAGCAAAATTGAAACAGTGGAATGAACAAGATGAACTTTTGACGATAAAAATCAGAACGAAATGTTTTTTCAGGGTGCATTGGCCGGTTGCTGTTGATCTTCTCCATTTCCTTTGCTTTTGTGATGGTCTTGTTCGTTTTCTTCGATCTTCTCCTTGAAATAAATCTTTAATTTTTTTTCGGCGTCTCAAGGAATGTTTATAGTGCAATTTTTAACCCTTTTTCAACATTAAGCTGTTTTTATTGTCAGGTAAAAAACTCTTAAAACTAATCAATTTGAAGCTCCTAGTATGCTTGGAAAAAAAATCATTTTTAGGAAGGAAATTGAGACGTACGCCCTTGGAATGACCAGGGCGTTCTGCGTGCACCGGATTCGGAAGATTTTCCCGAACGATTCCTTCATTTTGGTGCCCAACTCGTATTTCGATACGCAAGGGTTGACTCTGAAAAATTGAAAAAAAAATAACTTGGATTCACTGGAAAGTTAAGGAGAGTTTTTGAAACGGGAACCATTAACATTCCGACATTAAAAAAAAACTCTCCACTGCAGTCATTTGTGAGATCCAAGGAAAAGACATACAGTCTGGAGGTCGGCGAGATGCTGCGCGAATCGTCTTTGATCTTCAATGTGCTGCAGCTCCCAGCTGCTCCGGAGAGCCAGGTCTCGTTTTAAAAGTCGCTGAAGGTCTCTCATGGTTTCGACTTTTCCTGGCTCTGGCGTTTCCTACAAAGAATAGTATCATTTCTCCACTTTATTTTTTAAAAAAAAGCCGTAAGGTGTATATAGCACAGTTGCTTTGAGAACTCACTGCCCTTTTTTAGCTTTTTCAGAAGATGACTCTAAACGGCAGTACTCAGCGTTATTTTAGTTGATAGATTTTTTTCATGAACTGAGATCGAAAAAACATACTGGAGGACGTCCCCTCTTTCGGCGCGGTGTCTCGTTGTTGCCAGATACCAGCGGCAAAACTTGCGGCTCTTTTTGACTTTCGAGTTGCGGCACACCTTTCTTCTTTTCAACCCCGGAACCTTCTGGCGTTGACATATCCTAAAATTATTCCGTGCCAAGTCAAGAAAAACCGCGATAAATTTTGAAATTTTCGACTTTTTAGCTGAGGCTCAAAATGCTCGAACATTTCTAGACGATTCAAATAGGGATCCGAAAAAAATCCACCTAAGAATTTGAGAAAATACCTTGGAAAGTCTGACAAAGCCATTAAAAACTGGCTTAAAGAGTCGCTTCGCGATTTCGAGTTTAATTTTCTGTTTCGAAAATATAATTCTATCCTCACAAGGTTTTTTCAAAAAGGCTAGAAAGGAAATAAAATGAAAGATCGTACTTTTGAAAAAGATCGAAAAATTCAAACGGCAAAAAAAATGTGTGAGAAAAAAGAATGGTTCGAGAACGGCCACATGAAAAAGAAAATGCCGCCTAACCGTATGCATCATCGTTTAATGGGATGACCATTCCAAAAGTGCAAATTTCTTTTTGCTTTTTTTCAAAATCGGGGCTATGTTTGTGTCTTTTTTCTTTTGTTATTTTTAAGTGGTGAAAAAAAATAATCTGAGAGAAATCTCAGATTTTTAGAGTGGAATAAAGGGAAATTATAATAAAAAGACATAGTATCCTGATTTTGAAACTTTCATTGAAACATACAAAGAAAAAAATTTATGATTTTATGCTCAAAGATTGGTCGAAAAAAATCTCATTTTTGTTCGAATTTCATTTTTTTTAGGAAAGAATTGTCCTGGAAGCCAAAATTGGAAAAAAAGGTTTTCTTTTTGAAATCTAATTTCAAAAAAATAGCCGAAGATTTGATCGAAATGACAGAAGGAAACGTTTCTTTTCCTTTTTCCCAGCGACTTTTCAAAAGTCTGAAGTTTAGACGCGTGGACAAAAAGATTGTCGCCTCGCATTGTTCCACGCCGCTTTGTTCGATTTCTTTACTTTCGGATACTCCGTCCGTAAAGATAGTTGAGCGCGAATTCACAGATTACAAATCTTGGCGAGCGGCTTGACAATAACATTTTAAGGTCTGAATCAGCTGAAACTTTTTATTCAGATCCTATCGGATTTTTGGAAAGCTCGTAGGCTTCCACTACTGACATGTGCCTCAACTTCTAAAAGTGGCGTTTTCGAGTTATTTCAGAGAAAAAAAATATATACTTGAAACGGTTAAGTTATCGAAGAGCTGCTGGCTGTAACGGATCTTTGACAGGAAAAGTATAATAAGAACTCCAAAATCGAGGCGAAGCTGTACTTTCCAATGGAAAGCGGCAATTCATCGATTATTCAGCGCTCAGCTTCTTTTAATTTCTTTTTTCAAACTTTTTTTTGCTGTAAACTTTGGACAATTTTTTATTCTTCTAGTTAACAGTTGACAACACAAATTCCGCTTCCAACGATACAGCACAGAAAGAAAAAAAGGTTTTGTTTAGATTGGAGGCTGAACATCTGCCTCATCTGCTTGTCCTTCTTCTCCACCTCCTGGTTCTTGTTCTTCTTCAGTGTCGTCCCCAGGATTTTCTTCTCCTTCACGATTCTCGTGTGGTCCGAGCGGTGCGGCCGCATTTCCAACCGGATGTTCCTTGAAACAAATTCTTGATAGACGAAATAGGTCTTTTTGGAATATAAATCGAATATCACATTTTTTGTGGCCAGTCAAAAAAAAAACTGAATTTGACTTGCTCGTTTGAAAAAAATTCCATATTTTTCTTTTTCTGTCGAGTACTGAAACATTTAAGAGTTTCATAACCACTTCTTTTATAATAAATTGAAACATACGGCCTCCAAAGCCGCGGGACGTTCAGCATGTTCCACGTTCCGACGATTCTCTTGATTGATTTGCTGTCTTTGCTGCGCAAACCGTTGGTTGATGTTGGGGTCTCGAGATAGAAGCTCGCTCTGAAAAAAATAGTGAACGCCTACTAATTCTATAGAATTTCTCACAACGAAGCTTCTGTGAGTTTTTAATCTTCTTTTTCTGCAATGTAAGAAGCTATTTCAAATAAAAAAGGTCCTTTGTTCAGTTGAGGCGTTCATAAAACTGCAGAAACGGTAAAGCGTGAATGAAGCCTTTGAATTCAGATCACAGACGATCGTTTCAATTATTGCTTTTTAAGGAGTTTGGAACCTTAAAATTCGTGTTTTTTTTTCATTTTTGTGGTATCTCGGCAGTGCTTGACCCTCTCACTTTTAACATCATATACTTTTTTCAGAATAAGAGATGATACGTACAACCACGATGTCGGCGATGTAGCTCCCAAAAAGTCTTTCACGGCGCTCGCGTTGTCGCTCGCGTTGTCGCTGCTCAGCTTCGAATTGCCGCCAAAGACGAATAAGATCTCGCACAGTTTCAACTTCACCGTCTTCGGGTCTTGGCTAAAAAAAAACAGTTCTGAGCCTTGATCAAGGAATCAAAGAGGGCTTGTTTTCTAGTCGATAACCGCTTTGAGTCTTCCTATGTGATTTATTTTAACATCCGTTTTTTTTCGAGAATAACGATTAAAGGCTTACGCGATCGTGTCGCACGTTACGATCTCTGTATCGGCGGTATCCGCTACCATTCTCGCGGTAGTTTCTGGGCTCCTCCGGTATCAAATCGGGTTGTTCATTGCCCGGCCTTCCGTCGTTTGCACGACCTCTTGCTGGGTTCATTTCCTTAAAATAAATAAAATCTGTTAACACAAGGAAGATCTTGTGTATTCGAAAACTGCAAAGCTTCATGACAAGAAAGAAAACTTCCTTTGAAATTCTGTGCTTAGAAAATTGCTAAGACAATTCAAAATTGTAAAGTCAAAAAAACCATGAAAAGAAGACTGAATCAACTTTCGAAGAAACTAAAAAAGAATCGTGAACTTTCAAAATTAAAGAAGAAAACAAACAAATGACCAAACGTTAAGGAAAATAAGATGAGATGGAAATAGCAAGAGTATAATAGGCGCAGTTTCGTTTCTCTCAAAATTTGCGTTAATCTCGTGATGAGGAAAGAGATAGTTAAGATAATTGCGGAGGCAACAGCGAGGTATAGAGATGAAGAAGAGGAGAGGTCAAAATATCAGCGAATGGTACCGAAAAGAGGTTTTCGCTGGCACCAAGAAGCCCCGCCTCTTTTAAAGATGGGCAGGAGGCGTTTATTTGGCCGCAGCTTTTTTTTCCGTAAGCGATGGTTCGAAGCAAACTTTTATAATATTGAACAAAAACGAGATTTTTAAGTATTCTTCTAAATGAAGCACCGAGCAAAAAAAAAAGCCAGAAAAACAGTCTTTCTGGTTCTTACGAGGTTGAGCAACCCATCTTTAGAAGGGCGTGGCCAAACGAAGTGGTTTCTGGGTTTTTTTTCAAATCAGAATATCGGATATCACTATTTCAAGCTTCATATTTCTGAACTATTTTTCAAGATTTTTCAAGAGATTCGAGTGGTTTGAAAAACTCTCAAGTTCGTAATTGATAAATATGGGAATTTTTTTAAACTCGACTTTTTTTCCAGTCTTGTAAACGATCTTAGCCACAGGTTTGTTCGAACATACAAAAAATCCTAATCCGTGCCAGCCGCTTTTGGAAAATTTGAATTCTAGACGCGTAGGCAAATATAGTGTCGTCTCGCATTGTTCTACGCCGCTTTGTCTAACTTTTTTACTTTTTCACCGCCGAGGACCTCGTCCGCGAAAAAGTTGAGCGCGAACTTACAGATTTCAAATTTCAGCAAGCGGATATTCCTTTTTCGAAGCTAAGCCCTAAGGACCGCTCTTATTGCTTTGATATAAAATCCCCCAGAAAAGTTCCAAAAGTTGACAGAAAACTTCATATTTCGGTAAGCTCCCTTCTCGAAGATCTCTTTCCTTGTTCTAATGTGGATTTCAGAGCAAAGTCAAGAAAAAAAAACACTATTCATAGTCAAAGCATATAATATAATCCAACAAGTGTTACAGGACGGAAGCAAGTAATTTAGTGATTCTGTCCCGAATTTCGGAGCTGGTCAGCTTGTTCGCTTGCGAGCATTCCGGAGTAGAAATCCTGATGCTCCATTCGGATCTTTTGGCGCTGTAAAATTAGAAATAAACTGGTCAAGAAAGTCAAATTCCTTATATCTTTCAAAGCTTGGTTTCGATAATCATTTTTTCGAGATTGCTTCTGTTTTTTTTTCTTTAATGAAGCGGGAATAATCATACCTCTTGCCACAGAAAGTATTGATACATTGGAGTCAAATAAGGATTCATGGGCCAGGCATAATTGTTTGGAGGGAACGGCTGCGGACCAGGAGTGAGACTGATATTTCCTTGCTGGAACGGGGGTCCCTAAAAATCACAGGATTGTGTAAAATTCTGCTTGAAACCGTTAAATTTGTTTGAAACTTTCCAAGCCTTCACGAACCGAAAACTAACAAAAGTGGAAATAAAGTCGGGAAAAAAATTTCAAAAAAAGTTTACTTTTTGTAAAATATTTCAAAAAAAGATCCCCGTTTAATCGAATTAAGGTAACCAAATATAACTTCGAGTTCAAGTGAACTCAAATATTTTAGAATGAAAAAAGAGCTTACAGCCTGGAATGTGGCGCGTGAGCGTTCCATTCTCTCCCGGAATTCTCGATCACGGCGTTCTCGATCATTAGGCGATGGAACATGCTCCCAGCCACGCCACACGACGATCTCATTTGGTTTTGACTGTTCCTTTAAGAAAATTGATGAATGTCATCATTTTTCATAATTTAATGTGAGGTTACTTTTAGCACATATGAAGCAACCAAGCAAGTTAGGACGATAATTTTTTTAATTTCTGGCTAGACTAAAGAATTTTCAAGTCACTCAAAAAAGTATAAAATGTGTGAATCTCAATAGTATTGATGAACTCTTTCGCTAGCATTTTTTCAGATAAAAAAGAAGATAAACCATCGCCGTTGCAGGACGACGTCGGTTCTGCCGAGGCTGCGGTTGACGCTCCTAAACATTTTTTTCATATCTGATAAACAAAAAGTGTCACTAAATAAGGAACCATCTTCAAGCCACTAGGTTTAATTGTCGAAAAATTTTTTTCAGATAAAGTTCGTGTCATATTTTTTTATTAATAAGTATCAAAGATGAAAAAAATGCAAAAAAATTTCGATTCGGTTTTTTTGGCTTCGATGAGAGCCGAAAAATGTATCCTGGATTGTTATAACTATTAAACTCATGTTTTTGATGTCAAATTAGCTTGATCCGAAAATTATAAAGGTTCTTAGAGATCCCAGACCAAAGCGGGACCTTCAAAAGGCTTTTTTCTCCATGTATATCCTTCTTTTCCGGATGAGAAAGACAACTATGTTTGAAGGAGAAAACCTTCCGGGAACTCTTACCTGTACGACAGCACGGCGTGTATACTTGCGGACTTCTTTTTTTTGCGGAGCCGCGTTGAGGCTGACGTTCCTTTCAGCTTGCGGTTCGATTCTTGGCTGCACTGTCATCCAGTAATCAGGAAGACTTGACTGTGGCAACCACTGATTTGGGGTACCCCCCACAGCTTTCATATTGATGAAACCATTCATGGTTTTTTCAGAATGCTAATGAATTGACCTGAAAAAATGAAAATGTGTTTTGAAATCGCGGAGACTTTCCAACAAGGAAGATGGCTCTCTCTTGAATTTTGAAAATCATCCAAGAGAGCTCATTAAATTTTTTTTAATCAGATGTGAATTCTGAAAAAAAGATCAGATTTTCTCAATTTTTGTGAAGGACTCTTCAAACTAGGTTAAAACTCTTCCTTACTGAAACAGCTCGCAAAATTCTTCGAAATGGTCAAAACAAGTTTTGACTGTAGCGGAAGATTGGCTTCAGATGACCTATTTAATCAATGTAGTTTTGAAATGCACTTGCAGGTCACAGAAATGGATACAAAGAATTGAAGACAAACGAATCAATATCAGAGACGGCATACATCCCCGCTCAATGGGATTACAGGGCAACCGGGTGCCTTACATCTTGGCTCCGCCTGTCGGTCGGAAAGTCGCATGGTACTGCCACCATGTCTGCGTTCTCTACTAATCCTCGCTACTTTCATGAAAGAGAAACGAAAGGAATTGGCCCAGTAGAAAAAGTCCTGTAGGCAAACAACTTTGAATTTCTTGCGGCCACCTGTGAATTTTTTTTCGCAACTTATCGGAGAGCCTACCGTACACGGCTAGCGGCTCGCTTCGACTTTTTTGCACGCGCGCTTTTTTTGGGAGACGCCAGTCGTCGCGAAGCCTCCCTTTGTCCAAATTTCAAATCTTGGTTTTCAAACTGGAGAAGATTTAAAATTTTGGACTGCACCTTGTGAACGGGAAAAATGTATTAGTTTACGACGGATTTCCGTTTCAACTATTTGATCTAATGAGTCATGAATAAGCCTGATACCAAACGGGAGTATTCTGGCTGTTCAAATGCAAGGGTTAATCAGTTCTCTGATAAATCATGCAGATAATTTTACTTGCTTCCGATTTTTCTGGTTGAAAAAATTGCGTGTTCAATTTTTTTCATCGACCTCCAGGTCTCATTCTGAGCTCGTCAATGCGCAACTAGATCAAGTACGAGCAGAAAAACAAGGCCAAGGACCGTTAGTCCATGCTTTCAACTTGATCAACTACACGCTCCAACTTCGAGTTTGCCATTGGAGCTTTAAAATTTTCGACTAAATTTACTTAATTACCGCTAAAAATACGGAATAAACGAATGAATTAGGCTTGAAACGAAGTAAAAAAAATGATTTTGGAATCATACCTCTGTATACACAAATTCGTTCATTCACAACATTATGTTGAAGGAGCCAAAGTGTAAGTTTCTTTGTTTTCCGCCGCTTTTTTCAGTCGCTTTGGTATAAACAAGTTTGACCTCAAAGAAGGTGCTGAAAGAGCTTGCAGATGTCAACTCGCGCATTATGCATCAAAAGTCTTCTATTCTTTCGAAGGGAAGAAGCAGCATAATGGACAATGGAAGGCCTCTAAAAATTATGCTTTTTCAAAGAAACCTGATTGCGTCTTGTATAAATGGGAACTGTAAGAATATTACGATTATAGACAAATTTTGAGGGCGTCGCTTTCAAAACCCTTGTTTATTGAACTTTATTGCAAGTTGACCTTTTTTCAATTTGATTAATATTTTTGATTCATTTAGTGCATCGAAACGGACTACAACTCAATCAGGAAGTGAAATCAGGACCTTTTCTTACTTTAACCCACACATCTCCTGGAAACTTATTCATCATCGTTTCTTAACTTTACTTTTAACCTCCAGTTCCCACGTTAGTAAAGAGTTACCCAGTCAGGAAAAAAACTTGGCTTTTCCGTCGTTTCACACGTTACTTACCTGCCCCAGACAACCGCGTCTCAGTTCATTCTTTCTTCTAAAAGACGTCAGACTCCCGTCGAACATGATACCTGAGCCGGTTTTACTCCAAATGCGAATAGCTTGGGCTTACATTTATCTGTTTTTGGTGTGTTTTTTCCAAGGTGTCCTGTTGTTCCTGATGTTCTCGAAAAACTCCTCCTTACTCCAAGAAATCCGCTTCCATCTTCTGAACACCGTTATCATCCAACTTATTCTCACTTTTTCACAGTTTCTGTCCCAATGCAGGTTTGCTGTTTCAAGCAGAGTATTTTTTTGGAGTAAAGAGATGTTTAGAAGTGTCCAGAATCCAGAATCGGTGGCGTTTTTGTGCAATGGAGTTTGCAGATATTATTCTCCGATGGCTTGCCACATTTTATGCATTATATATCAAGTATGAAAAGCTTCCAATTTTAAAAATTGATCGGAAATTTCAGGGAGCCATTGTCGCTGGAGTGACCTCAATTTTTCACGCTTTTTATCATCGCTACTACGTGCTGGCAAGAGGCCTTTCAACGAGATCGTTTCAGAAACTCAGCTTGGCTCTGTCATACGCCATACCCTTCGCTACGACTGTGGGTTTTTTTTTCCCATACGGCTCTTGATTTCGAAAAAGTTCTCGGAAACGTGTTTCCTTGTCTAACGGTTGGATCATTAGCAAATTATTTGAATGAAAAACTCATAAATGATCTCGAAACTATTCTTTATCGGGTGCATTTTAGTTTTTAATTTTGCGACTTTCTTGAATGAAACGCGGCGTGTTAAACCGTTTTCATCTCACCAACTCGCTTCAAAAAACGATCGTAAAAGTTTGAAGATCATGAGCTCTAGGTTAATGCTTGAGAAAGGAGAACCAGTCTGGCTTTTCTACGTCTTCACTTTTCTCACTGAAGTGCTAATAAGCTTTTCCTGGTGGGAAAAAGGAAGTTTAAAAAGGTCAAATTCTCTTCGTTGTGCCGGGTAGATGATATTTATTTCGATTTTTCTAACATAAAAATCTGATATCTTGCTTTGCAGATGATCCAGTTCACAGCGGCCGCAGATTTCGCTGCTGCCAAGGCCCAAACGCAAAAGTTTCACCCAACTTATATGCTCGGCGATGAGTTCGCCGTTGTCGGCTTTACAAATATCAAGACCCTTTTCTCAACTATTTCCGCACTTTCTCTGACATTCGTTTTGTATGGAGCTCCGTTCTTTGCCATTTACTTTAGAAGGTACCTTTTTAATTGTTTATTTCTTCGAAATCCATTCAAAGCTTTCAGGAAAATCCTCCGCATTCTGCGAACCGCGTCTCAGAACTCTGAAAAGTGCAAAGTTGGCAAGAGTGTCTTAACGGTATTTAGCGTTTTTCTAGCCAGGTGAATGAGAAAAATTTGCAGGGCCTTACCTGTCAGGCAGTCCTTCCGGCTTTGTGCTACATGCCTGGAATGTCCATCTACATTTACGCAAGCTTCAGAGGTTCACAAGTTGTCTCATGATTTCCTAACATTAAATTGCATCTTTCAGGTATCTCGATGACTCCCGAAAACTCTCTGATGTTGGAATATTTCCTGGGACCAATCGTTTTGTTCCCGGCTCTTGTGGACCCAATTTTAACAATTTATTTTGTCCTACCCTATCGCCGTCGTTTGGTCAATTTCGTGAGGAGGTCTTTGAAACTGAAAGAACCGCAACGTTCCTTCGGCCTTTTTTCTGTAAACCAGAACAGTGGCAGAGTCCTCGCAAATTATTAATAAAGACATTGTTTCATTATAAAATGTCTCAGGAACATGTCGAAAGTCTGAGTACATCGCAACGTGAGAATAAAATTAGGAAGCACGTGGTTGGGTTTTTTTAGTTTTGAAGTGAGATATTATCTGAAAAATAGGAGATTTTGGAAGAGAGGTTTTGAGGTTTTTCTCAGGGCAGCAAAGATCTCAAGCTGGAAAAGTTTGAGGGCTTTCCTCCAAAAAAACCTGTAAAATTCTAGAAAAAAAGCTTACCCGAAGAAATTTAGAAAAACTTCGAGCTTGGTTAAAAAACTTCCCAAAGTTTTAAAGAAGTTGAAATTCAGAAATTCCTAGCGTTCAAAAACGGATCCTTAAAATTTTTATTTCGATTAAATTAATTAGGTGTACCATTCGCAGACTTCAAGGTAACTCATCAAAGAATTTTCTTTTGAAAAAATGTATGTATCGTAATAATGTAGCGCTAACCTTAAACTAGAGCCAGGAAACATTTGTTTCAGCGCACCCGACTTGAAGCTACTTGTGCTAGTCTCATCTCAAAGTTTTAGAACTGCTCTACAAAATTTGATACATTTCAAACCGCGAAAAAGAATGCTTCAAAATGAAAAATTTTAATTGAATGATCTACTGATCTCTCTGGAAAATCCCGGAAAAAAATAACTTTTCCAATTAATTTATTCGTGAAGATTATAGTGACCAAAAAAAGACTCCAGGATATCATTTCCGGCTTTCAGAACCTTTTTACTTGTTTTTCACCGCAATGGAACACGTGGGTGTTCTAAAAAGACAATTTTCTCGTACCATTGAGCTCCACTGAGCTTGGCGACATCTGATTCAGAGCCTTTTTTAATCAAATTTTGGAACCACAGACAAAAGCAAAGCGGTTCTTCGAATAAGACATTTTGAAGACTTCCTGATTTTTTTTTAAGTCAAGAGTGCAATTTTTATAGTTAAATTACTTCTCTGTTTCAACAAACGTGACTTAGCAATTTTTTTTTAATTTGCTTTTTGTAGTCCAAAGGATAGTTGCTCATTTCCGCAGAGCAACCGTGGAAAAATATTAATCCAATCCTGCAAGCCATGTCCTCCGAACAAGTTTTGCTACGAATATGGGACATTTATATGCCAACTTTTACCTTTTTTGTTTTTTTATTCCAAGGATTACTATTGTATTTGATGTTTTCTAAACACACCCGATCGCCGAAAAAAATCCGAGCTCATTTATTGAATACTGTTGTCGTACAGCTTTTTCTCACTACTTGCAAGTTTATGACTCAGTGCAGGTATTTCTAAATGAATTACATTGAAATGATTAAATTTCAGAAATTTAAATAATCCCAACTCGATAGCTTTTGTGTGTTATGGACCCTGCAAACACATGGATCCCTATGTTTGCCATGTTTTCTACATTTTCTATCAAGTAATTTTTCCACTTTCCGCTTATTTTTGTCTGACTTTTTTTAGGCATTGAGGCTTTCTGCAATAACTTCAATATTTTTCGCTTTTCATCACCGATATCTTGTTCTACGAGAATTTTCCACGATATTCGTTAGAAACAGGAACTTGGTTTTGTCGCATGTGTTGCCGATTATTTTGGTGGTCAGTTACTTTAGTTTTTCTTCTATTGGTCCGAACTTTATTTTTGAATTTTTCGTCATAATGCTTTTTAAAAAGATTTTTTTAATTATTTTGATGGTTCAATTGGTTTTTTTGAAACTTCGAGATTTCGAATTTTTTTAAAGCTGAAGTTTGGAAAAAAACAATTGAAATAATTTTTGAAAGCTATATCAGTTATAGCGTGTCAAAAAACTTGGATGAATTCCAAAACCTTTTAAAAGAGTAAAGAAATATCGACTTCTGCACCTCTACATAACACAGCTAGAATTCTTGAGCCTCATTCGAAAATCACATCTCAATCGGATCAGATTCTTTTCAGATAGTCCAATTTGTAATCCATACAAATTTTACTGCTATCGAGGAAGAAACGAGAAAACGGCATCCTGAAGACAATTTTGATGGATTTATTTTCATCGGCTTCTTGGATGCCAATTCAGTAGCTGCAAAGGCATCCGCTTCTGGACTGGCATTGGTCCTTATTGGTGTTCCGATTCTCTCGATAATCTTCAGAAGGTTCATAGTTTTTCCGACATTGTCTTCGGAACCTGGAATAGCTGAGAATTTTAAATATTAGAATGATCCAAAAATTATTTTACTTTTTTTTGACTACTTTATGTCAATCGTGTAATTTTGCCGGTTGAGGGATTGCTACAGGTTTTAAGCAACATAATTTGAGACGAATTTGATCTAAAATATTCAAAAATGTCATAAATTCAGGAAAATAATCGTCATTCTGGACGAAAATTGGGAGGAGAATGAAAAAACGAAGCAGACTAAGAGTGTTTTAATGGTAAGATTTTTTTAATTGCCTCGAGTTAAATTCTGACTTCTTTACACTTTCATCTATTTACCTTAGTAGAATCAACAAAAAAATGGAGAGCGCAGACAAGTCAGACATTTGGAAATGATAAAATTTAAAAAGATGTGAAATTTAGGGTCTTACCATTCAAGCTGTTATGCCAACATTTTGCTACATTCCTGGTGTTCTTATAAATCTTCTATCTTATATGAGATGTAAGTTTGAATCTCCTGTCTTCCCCTCAAAATGATGAATGATTAGCAGATGACATAAAAATCATGGAGTTTGAATATATCCTGCCGCTTCTCGTCACCTTGTCGCCTTTGGTCGACCCTCTTCTGACGATTTATTTCGTTCTGCCCTATCGTAACCGTATCACCAATTTTGTACGCAGATTCAGGAGGAACAAAATTCCCCCGAGTTCTTTCACCTTCACTTATCATTCCACCAATCGTATGAGCATGAATGTTGCCTCGATAACTTGAATTCTCATTTTCGATTATTTCCTGTTCCTTTTTTCGTTTTTTTTTTTGAGATGCCTTTGCTCAGAATCTCCCATAGCTTTGTTCCTTTTTCTGAAGTTCCTGGTGACGGTAACTTACTGGTTAAAAATTTTGTTTTATTCAGAAAGAAGATCATGTCATTTTCAAGCTAATTTTTAAAGTCTAATCTTATTTTTTTGCTTTCTTTTTTGATTGGATAAGAACAATACAAAGTTTTCTTGAACTGTCTACTATAATTCAAAATGAAAGAAAGTGATCTAAAACGAATTACCACAACACTACGGAAAAATGAAGTACAGTTTGCTCAGATTCCGAATGTCAAGTACAATGACGTTGTTTGAAAACGCTCCGTGGACGGCTTGCTATCTGATTGGTTCATCGCATTATAAAGGGCGGGGCTTGAGCGACGACTTGAAGTTCGAAATCTGAGCAGACTATATCCAAAAAAAGTTTGTTTTGTTTTGCTTTTTTGAGAACTCAGGCCGGGAGTCTTTTTTTTCTCGAATGATTCAAAAAGTCAGAAGCTTGGTGCGAGATTTTCATAGTTTCTTTTTTTTTGAGATCATTGAAGCGTAAGGCTTTTTTCCGAAAAGTCTTTATGGATTCTCAAGCGGTGGACTACGGTCTACTTCTCTCAAAATAGGAAATTCTCATTATATTTCATAACACACTAATTGTAGTCGTATCTCACCGTAGTTACGTCAAAAAGTTTCTCAATTTTTTCCGGGTATCCGTGAAAAAATACCTTTCGAGTAACATAATCATATCTAGAAGCCATGCCGACTGAACAAGTTCTTCTTCAGATATGGGGCATGTATATGCCGATTTTCACGATTTTGGTGTTTCTTTTCCAAGGAACATTGTTGTATTTGATGTTTTCGAAACACACCCAATCACCGAAAAAAATTCGAGCTCATCTATTCAACACTGTTACCATTCAGCTTTCACTCACTCTTCTGAAATTTCTAACTCAGTGCAGGTAACTTTTTTCTCGAAAGTTTCAAGATCGAAATTTGATTTAGAAATATCAATAACCCCAATTCTCAAGCTTATATATGCTATGGACCCTGTAAGAACATGCATCCTTACGTTTGTCAGATCTCAAACATATTTTATCAGGTTGGTTATTGATTTTCATTCATTTATAAGTTTGGTCAAAAGGTTTGGGGGCTTTAATTGGCATCTGAGAAAGATTGGATTCTATAATTTTGGTAGAACAAAATTTATCAGCTGAACAATTGAACATTATGGTCCTCATAATATATTTCAGGCTTTGAAGATAGCGGCGATGAAATCAATTTTTTTCTCTTTTTATTATCGATATCGCGTTCTGGATAGCCATTCTTCCAAATCGGTTCGGAACAAAACTCTGGCGCTCTGCTATTTTTTGCCTATCGTTTTGCTGGTGAGTTTTAAAATGATTTTCTCACGAATTTTTAAGAAGCGATCCAGGTTTTTGAATTCATCACACCCGCTGATTTTGCCGTGATCGGAGAAGAAACTAAACGACTGCATCCGAAATACATCTACAACGGTTTCACAATCGTCGGTTTTTTGGACACCAAATCAGTGTTGGCCATAATGTCTGGATATCTACCAACAGGAGTTCTCATCGGAGTTCCAATTTTTTCACTTTATTATAGAAGGTTTGTTTAATTTTCTGTATAAATTCAACTTCGTAATAAACTGAGGAATTCGAATTTTCTTCACAAGGGGCTTTCCAAGGAGAAATTAAAAAGTTACTTTGTGAAACTGTGATACGGAATAAATAAACTTACTGCGTCTTATAGCTTTTAGTAGAGTTATGACGTTTCAAAGGTGAAGTAAGCCGCATTTTTATCATAAAGTGTTAGATGTTTTATCCCTCCATTAGAAGACAGAAGCCACAGTCCGTACCTGTTGAAGAAAATATCTCGAGTTTTTGACAGGTCAAATTTGTCTCTTTCCTTGTTAGCTCGATTACCCTTTTTGGTTGCCACGTGCTGTGGTGAAACTCGAACAAAAAATTGATCTTTGCATTTCAGTAAAATTCTCACCATGCTGAGAGAAAAATGCCAAGCGTCCGAAAAATCGAAATTCACGAAGAGTGTTCTAACGGTAAGCCTTTTTCATATCCCTCAAGACTTTAACATCGCATGAAAACAATCAAAAATAAATCATTGAAAAGCTTTTTTATACTCACTTATGCAGCCATGCGCAAGTAGTTTCGAGTCGGGAGCAAAAATTTTTTTAATCGTTAAAACAGTCCCGTTTAATTTCGAAAAATTTTAGGGGCTCACAATTCAAGCAGTTATGCCGACATTTTGTTACATTCCTAGTACTACAATCAAGTTCCTGGCACATTTGAGATGTTGGTGGAAATTTTTTGGATGGAAAAGCAAGACATGTTTTGCAGATGACGTCAAAACGGTGGAAATGGAATATTTTCTCCCGGTGCTCACCTCCTTGTCGCCTTTGGTCGACCCTCTTCTGACAATATATTTCGTTTTGCCATATCGTCTTCGTGTCATTAATTTTCTACGTTGTTTTAAGAAAAAAATATAATATTTCCCGCTTCAAATACATCTACTTATAATTCGATCAATCGTGGAAGTATGAGAGTTGCTTCCATCACTTAGGTCGACTTTTTGAGAAATTTAATGTGTGATTTTTTTGAACTTCATCTGTTTTTTTGCTTGTAAGTTGCTAACCCGTATGCGCTCTCCTTTTTCTCGAATGTCTAATGAAAGCATATTAATGAAAAAAAAAGCGAAAGAAAAGTGAAAAAGTCTTTCTTTGTGCTGTAAAGAGCAACGGCAGCCGGTTTACGAAGAAAAAGGTCTACAATTTTTTTTCTGGTTATTTTTCTGGAATTTCTTGTTTCAATGAATGATAGTTTCCTGTTTTGAAAAGGATCAAAGTTTTGCAAAAATTCAGTTTCGCTTCTCCCACCAGCCAACTAGACATCAGGCTAAGAAAAAGTTTCAAAGCAGAAAATAGCGTTTTCTTTTTCCGATGCACGACCACTTCATCTCATTTTGATTTCAAGAATAAAAAAAATATATTCATATATAACTGAAAAAAATTTTTAAAAAAATGAACTTCCTCTTCTTTTCAGCAGTTGCAATCAAGCGGAAATCGTATTTTATGACGGAAAAACGTTTTTTTATTTGAACTTTACAAAGTGGCCTTGTGTCTACTTTGGCATACTTTTCACGCAGTTTTTTTCACTATTTGTAGACGCAAGGAATAAATGTCTGATGATCAATTTTCGAAAATCAAGTTCCAACTTTTTCAGGCTACTATCAAAACGGACGTTAAATGGGAAGATTGTGTGGCGCCTCCTCTGAAAATTTTCTCGTTACACTTAACTCTTTTTTTTCTACTTTCAAATGATTATCAATCAAAAAAAGCTTCTTATTTTTTTTCACCGCATGAAACTCTGTTTTAATATTCATCACAAAAATAATCACATTATTGACTCTAAAAAAATATTTTTTTCCAATTTTTCCTCAACATATTTTTTTCCTCCCTCACATCACTGTTTCGGCCGATCTTCGAAAGATCTTTGGCTAGAAGAATTGTCGTACCGAGTAGGGAGAAAATATGAGGCAATACATAAAGATATTCCGTGAGAATGCAAAAAGTGTCATCAAGGTTTAAAAATCAAAAAATGACAGATTTTGAACTTAACTTCAAAAGAATATTACACATTGAAAGGATTTCTGCTTCATTCAAAAGAAGGCAATCATATCCTCTGTTTCAAAAATTCTATGGGAAGGAAAGGAAAGTTCTAAAAATTTTATCTGAGCGAAATGGTTATCTTAAAGAAAATAGCAATGATCTAAAACCAAGCTGATGAAAGATTGATCTCAAATTACCAATCATCGTAGTCTCTCTTATCGATAGATGAAAAGAACAAAGAAAGGTTCAATCCCTCTTTTTTTGCAGAACTATACGTTTTTGGAGTTTATAACCAAATTAGTCGCGTGCCTGAGATCCTAGTACGATTTGAGTGCGTTTTTGGAGGACCTTTGTTACTTTTTATCGGCAGATAAGGCTTATCAGCGAACAGTCATTGTGCTCTAACCTTATCGCTCTCAGCTGTGATTTGTATAAAAAGAGGCCTCCCAGCTGGAAGGATATCGGCTTTTGAATAGTTTGAACAATTATTTGATTAAATCTACTGATTTTTTAGAAAATGTTTGTCCTTCTCTTGGCTTTCACCTCTCTCACTGCCGCAATGGTGGTGCCAGTCGTCGTCAAAGACGTTCCACGTAAGTTTATTTGAATGAGACTTGGGTTTCTCATAAAAATGGGAACTGTGTTCAGATGGAATCCACGGAAAAAAGAGCCCAGTCGACTTGGAACAACTCACCGGCCAGGAGCTCACCGACTACCTCAACGCTCATCAGAACTACTTCAAAGCTGAACTCCCGAAAAAGCCGGTCGAAGAGCTCAAGAAGAAGCTGATGAAGCTGGAGTTCGTGAAAGCTCATCGTCCCGAAGACACCAAGGACATCGTCATTGCTGATAACATTCCTGATGCGTTTGACACTCGCAAGGCTTGGCCAGACTGCATGAGTGTCACCAACATCCGTGATCAGACTCAATGCGGTACATTTTTAAAAAAGAGTCCGAAAAAAAGCATTTTCTTTAGGATCTTGCTGGGCTTTTGCGGCGGCTGAAGCCATTTCGGATCGTACTTGCATTGCCTCGAAGGGTAAGATCAACACTCTCCTGTCGGCGGAAGACGTCCTCAGTTGCTGCGGAGAGAAGCAATGCGGAGGGTGAGCTTGAGACTTCAACTATCTCAATAGTTTGGATTATTCTCAGATGCGAGGGAGGATGGCCAATCGAAGCGTTCAACTGGTGGAACACTAATGGATTCTGCACTGGTGGATCTTACATCTCTCAGGTTTGACTCTAGAGAAAGACTTATAGATCAAAATCCTGTTTCAGTTTGGATGCAAGCCCTACTCGCTGCCCCCTTGCGGAGAAACCATCAACAACGTGACCTATCCTCGTTGCCCCGATTACGGATTCGACACTCCTACTTGCTCAGAAAAATGCACAACTACCAGCAACTACGATATTCCCTACGCTAAGGACAAGCATTTCGGTAAGACAAATCACTGTTTCGAAAAAACTAGAAAAACTCCAGGAAAATCCGCGTATCAACTTCCAAACAAGGTGGCTGCCATTCAGACGGATATCATGCAGAATGGACCCGTTGAAGCTGCCTTCACGGTTTATGAAGACTTCTATCAGTACAAATCTGGAATCTACGTGGTAATATTGAGGATATACGACTAAAATTATTTTGAAAGTTTCAGCACACTGCCGGAAAGTCGATTGGTGGCCATGCTGTCAAGATTTTGGGCTGGGGAGTTGAGGATGGAACTCCCTACTGGACAATCGCCAACTCCTGGAGCTCTGACTGGGGAGAGCATGGTGAGATTCTGTCGCAAAACTTGGTAGTATTTAGAAAAAGTATTTTCAACTAGTTTTGAGAACAAGAAAAGTACTTAAAGATTCCTTGAAATGGTTTTATTAGGCAGAATGAATACTTCCTTATAACTAATGAATTCTTCTCAGGCTACTTCCGCATCGTCCGTGGTCTTGACGAGTGCGGAATGGAAGGATCCATTGTCGCCGGAATTCCCAAGTAACTTTCTAAGAAACTCACATGTACATAACTACTGAACGTCTTTCATCTGATTCATTCTTTCATTACTCAAGTGTAAAAAGTTCAATAAAGAATTCTATTCAATTTAGCTTTTTTATGGAGTGAATCTATGGGAAATTAAGAATTGTGGGAAATTTTGGCCGAACTCAAGTTGGAGGAATATAGGGGCGACTTCATTGAACAAGCATGCCTTTTAGAAACTTAGCCACTGAATAGAACGGAAATTCGAATTTCAAAAGCTCAAACCAAAAGGTAAAATTTTTTTTTTGTAAGCTAAATGCTCCTTCATGACGGAAGATTGCAAATCGTAATTTAAACAAAAAGAATAGAATTCTTCCTCAGAAATAATGAAATTCCGAGGTTTCCTCTGTGGTCAATTTCACTGTAGAGATCTCAATGGAGACCGAATTATTGTTTTTTTTTTTGCAATAGTTCCAGAATCTCTCTTAAAACTTTTGGGGCTAGAATTGGTGGCCATGAAGGCTGAATTTCAAACTAAAAGTTACTTGTGCTAGGGCCAACTAAACTCGATTTTTTTTTGCATGTTTCTTTGAGACCCCCAATTCTTTTTTCAACCATTATTTTCGCTTTTATTTTTATTTTTAAAAGTCACCATTGTTTAATGTCAATAGATGTGCGCTAATTTTAAAGGCGCCTTAGTCATTCCAATTTGAATCATTTGGTGGCAGGTGAGATGAAGTGAAGAACTTTTTCATACTTATTTTATTATGATTACTACCCGAACTAATGATATTGATCTTTATCGAGACTTTTCAAGGGATTATATATTATCAATAATATGTTTTCCTTGTGTGTGAAAATGACAACATGATCTGTTTATTTCCCGACAGAGAAAATTTAATGTAGAAGTTGACTTTTAGAGCGTATAACCGCTATATTTTGATGACTTCCGAGGCAACAACGGATTTTTTCACACTTCCAGCGGCTCGGTTAGCTCTTCGATACCTAGAGGTCTGCCGATGAACTCATCCGTTTGCGATATCTGAACCAAGATCAGAATGATTAATGAGCTGAATCAAACCATCGGGAAGTTTGGCGGAGAAGCCATTTGGATAGCGTTCTCGATGTTGCGGATCCTGGCGCGACGAATCATTTTGTAAATGAATCGGCAGAAGAATCCGAAGACTAGTGAGAGCAGGATGATAGTCAAAAGCTGCCAGAACAGGATTTCGGCATCAGAAGCTTCAGTTTTGACAAGTGCAATGCCGTTGAGTTGAGAAGGCAAGAGTATAGATTCCATCGCCTCCTAGTATGAGAAGCAAGGCTCTTGAGACAAACTTCCTCAAATGATATGTTTCGGCGGAAGGCAATTTTCGAAAATATCAATAATTATCTCCGTGTTCTTCGCCTCGCGGTTTAAATTTGCGTGAGGCGTGTTCTTTTCCTTTTTTTCTGTGTTTTGTAGAAAATTGATGGTGTTCTCATAGCAGGCTTCTGAAGAATGCTCGGTTGGACTTTTTGAAAAAAGGAAGATCAATTTTACACCAGCGGAAGGACCAAGTTGGATAAAGCTATCAGTAATTTTTTTTAAATCTTCGAAGCTTTTCAGTTTCCAGCAAATTCCACAATGAAATCATCTCAAATTAAGTCGCTTTTCTTTCACAGAAAAGCAAGATTAGTAAGCGGCTACTCTCGTGGTGCATCCGGCTAAAAAAACGTTGCGTCCTTCTAGAAAAGCCATTGAGATCGCTTAGATTATGTTCGAAGTTCTGTGACCACTGTACTGCAAGCCAAAAACCATTGAAAAATAAAGAATTATGGAAAAAAACATAAACTCTTGGAAATAGCAATGTTTATTTCTGCATTCTTTGCCGTGCGTTAAAAATTCGTGTAATATCTTTGTGTTTCTGGCGAAAATCAGTGAGTTTATCGATTTTCGATGCAGCCTCGCAAAGATCAGATTGTAATTAGGATTTATTTGACACGAATAATGACATTAAAGCATCGATTATGAGGTACTCAACTTGGTAAAGGTTTTGAAAGGTTTTTCAAAAGAAAAGTTGCTCCATGGAGCCGGCAAGTTTCGCTGTCTCTTTTGAGTTACGTCGTAAAATTTGCGGTGAAGAGAGCCTCTAGCTCAAAAAGTTGGATAGCAAAAGAATATTCCAAGCTACCAAAGGTTCATCCAAATCGGAACTTTGTAAATTGAGATCGAATACAAAGCTAATAATCATTTTCAAAAATAAACTTTCAAAATGCTTTTCCAAGTTGTTTGAGATTTTCTTCCTTTAGGTAGTTAGAATAAATAGGGTATGTATAAATAAATAGCTCATAAGTTAAGAATTCAGAATACTATCGCGTAATGTGTTCGAAATGCACCAGCCGCGAGTAGAATCCTCGACACGGGTAATACACATTTCGTCCCAAGCGCAGCCGGTCTGAAACTCAGAAAATAAATTCTAAATAAGATTAGAACCCAGAAAACCACCGTGATCGCGTCAGGATTGCAACTGATGATTCTCATGTACTCGCTTTCCGTTTTCAGCATCTGTTCGAACTTTGGCTGGGGTCCAACTGGATGAGAAAAAGGTGGAAGAACTTTTACCAAGGGGTTGGCAGAAGCTTGAGGGCTTGGAACCGCTCTGGGTCCTGAAAATTTGGATGAAATGGAAAAAAATATGTGAATCATTCCCTTCCCAACCAAAAAACCGATTAAAATTGAGCCAAAATTTTAATCCTCAACTAAGGAATCATCTTCATTGTGTCACAGGAAAAATTAGTCCTCTTCATAATTACAGCTTTTAGAAGCCCATTGAGCGACCGAAAAATCTTAGAATTTTTTCCGATAACACGTGAGAGAACAAAAATCAACTCACATGACTTTGGGAACTTCTGTCTAGTCAAGGTAGTCTATCATTAAAACACAGCCTTTTCAAGGAATGAGAATAATTTTGGAGAGCTTACTCGTATCAGTTTTCAGCTCAAAAAGTTCACGAGATTCATAGTCAAATTCTCCAGTGTAGAGCGTTGGAATGATTTGGACAGAGTATCTTGTACCTTCTCGAAGATTTCGAAGGGTTATTGTGGTCTGAAAATGGAAGTTTAAACTTCTAAATCAACTTCAAAACATCTTGAAAGCGAAAAATGGAGAAAAATCAAAAAAATTACATTTTTCGAGTCGTCAATTACTACTCTTTCCCATTGTTCTGGAGCGATGTCCTTCCTGTCAGTGTAGAGAATTGTGGCTCCTGAGAGAACAAATGCGTTTTTGCTTCGAGAATTGGAAAATTACCAACAACACTGTCCAGAATATGCGTCGGGAAGGTCCACGAAATCTCAACTTGCCCTGGGTTGACATTGCGATAGGACAACGAGTTGCTCTCCACTTTCTCGTCTTGTTCTTTTTGTTCTTCTGAAAACCGATTTTTCGAACTTCGTAGAAGTTACCAAAGAAAATTAAGTTAGCTCTCTAAGTATATATTTTTCAATAAAATTATGCCGTGAGCCCTTATTTCATTGAAACAGTAATTTTGCGTCATTTAAAGAGTCAGGACAGAAACAGTGAAACTGGGTAATAACGTGGGACCGAAAAAAATATTAGTATTCAATTTTTGTTGAATCAGAAATTTCAAGACAGACAACCCCTTTCAAAAAAATAAACCAGGATTTTTTTAATGCAGATTCATTCAAAGTTAACATTTCAGTTTCTCGATTACTAGATGGAAGGATCGAGTTCGTGATTTTTTTAACCAGGATGAAGGTTTGCTGTCGAGAATGGAAAAAAATAACAACATTTATTTGTACAGTTTATTTAGGAAAAAAATTAATACACACAACACCATGCAAACACGTAAAACAGTTAGTGAGGTTAACAATTGAGGTAACAAGTTGAATTTTCTTGTAATTATTTGATGAGATTAGTTATTCAAAAGGGTTCACGCCGTGCACGTTCCGAAGATCCCAAGCTGAAAAGTATTGATTAGTTGAAATTCCACTGTCAATAAATCTGCTGATTTCTTGAAACAGTTTTTTGAGACTTTTACCATGGATGAAAAGTTTTCTATTTCATTTTTCTGAATGAGAAAAATGCAGTTTGAAAAAAATAGTGTATAAGACAGTCTCATAGAGTTAGATGTACTAAAATTTTGCATTTAGAATGGCTCGACGGCTACGAAACGGTTGACTGGAGCCCGACTGACCCAAAGCGAATTGAGCGATTTTTCGGTGTTTTTGTAGTAAGACCTTTTTCGAGCCATTCCAAATGCGACCACGGTAAATTTGCAATTTCTCATATAACTGAAGAGCTGAAAAAAAGACTGGCTTTGAATTAATTTGCCAAATTTTCATGACTTTTCCAACCAGAATATCTTTTTTTCACAGCACCTCAAACCACACATCGCAGAAAAAATTTTCTCTTTGTTATTTAATTATTCGAAATGCTAGCACAAGCTGATTGTTTTCGCCTTCCGGTTTTTCCAGTATTACGCGGACAAATTTGCACCTCAACACATCCAGTTTTTGTACTTTAGATTGCACCAAAGTTTGGTTGTACTGAAGGGCTGTTAAGTTACAATTTGGAAGCTATACCGGGCAAGTTGTGAAACTCGAAATTTTTTTCATCGCAAAGAAAAAAACGTGTTTGAGCTCTTTTTCACGAAAAAAAGGTGTTCGAAACCGGAATGTCGAGTGACCCGATTTTTGAAGTTGCTCTTTTGGAACGTAAATTTTCAAGTAGGCTCACATAGAACTGGAAAGACACGTGAATCTCAATTTTTTTTTCTTCATAGCTTAGTAAGCTCAGTAAGAGCTCAGTAAGAAAAAGGGTTTCAATTTTCGATTTTTTTTTTTTGAAACAGAAATGTAAATTAGTAGGAGCCTTCACGTGTTCTGAATTATGCTCTTTTCAAAAGGGTTTTTTTAGAAGATTATCCGATCTGGAGTAGCAGGTGAAATGAAAGATGGCTCAAACTTCATTTCAACGATTTTTTTAGTTCCCACTAGTTCATGACGCTTTTTTCAATCTAAAAAAAACAGATCAAAAATCAGAATTTTTTTATAGATTTCATCAAATTTGAGATGATCCCTCATTTTTAAAGTTATATGAATTTAGTTTGAAAATTTTTTCAAGCTCAACTTCAGGGTCATAGTCACGCTTTGACAATTCCATGAATATTTCATTGCTTCCTCTGAGTAGGAGGAACGAAAAAATGACGTCCAACTTCCAAAAATGAGGAAAAAAGCACGTTTTGAATTGACAGCTCGAATTCAAAAACATTCTCATTTTTTGCACCTTCCCACTCATTTTCTATTTCTTGTGATTCGAAAACATGGCCAGAATGTGTCATGGTCACTGTCTGTTCGAGAAATGTTTTCTGACTTTTTTCAAGGTCTAGAGATCCTGAATAGCTTTAAATGATTGCTTTTCAGTCTGGTCTTTTTTAAATATTACATTATTTTTTCAAAGGTGTTACTGAAGACATCATTTGTTTTTAACATTGTTTCCAACACCAGAAAGTTTTAAATTTTCAAGTTTTTGGGATCACTGTGCAATTAATAATTAGTTTGAGGTTGGAAACCAAAAAAATCTATTTTTTTTCTCTGGTTCTGATTTATCTTTACCCAAAACGATAGTCTTGTGTTCTCAGACCTTTTTGATAAATTCTGATTTCTGATACTATTGGTGGCACAATTTCAGGTTTTTTTAGGGGGGTTTTAAGATCATCGCTTCCAGCTTCATGGATAATTTAAGGGAATTGATCATTTTTTCAGGCTTCTGGTCTTTCGAAGCTCAAAAGGGCCAAATAATATGACCTCGATTTTTTTGGTATATTTTTTTCGTTCGAATTCCGAGGCTTTTTTTCTCACCGATAGTCTTGAATCTGTACACGGTCGGGGCGCGAATAATCGAACCGTCCGTATTGCGGACGTTGACCCGAACAAAGTAGACAGTAGCGCCTTTGAGGTCATGCAGCGAAAGGGACGAATCTTTGTTGTCGAGCCGGACGAGCCGCCACTGCGAGTCCGGCTTGTCCTGCAACAGACTCATCCATTCCTTAATTGCGACTTCGGAACGAAACTAAGCGCCTTTGCATTGCACTGTTCAAAGGATCGAACTGAAAGAATACGTAATTCTTCGCCAATTCCGCCTTTGTTTTTGGCGGAGCTCCCCTTGTTTTCCGAATGCCTTTGACATCTCGCAATTAGTTATTTGTTAATTCTTTTTTTTCGGTGCTTTTTTGATCAGACTTGAGTTTTTGAAAAAGCGGTCTTTATTCTATTATGAAGCGACGAAAAGTTTGAACTGGAGAGAGTTCGCAGATAGAAGCTTCAAAATTAAGCTGTAGAATTTTCAAGGACTTGGTATAAATTCACAAAAGCAAGATGAGTTTTAGCGTTTTTTTCAAGCGATTGAACCTGACCAGATAAAAAAACATATTTTTTTAGTGAACCGATATGAATTTTGAAAAAGTTACACTTGATTGAAAAACTGAATATTACTAAATTAAATAAAAAACTTTATAACTAACCTTATCCTCACTCAAATAAACATCATAGCCGGCAACGCGATCCACTTGAACATGCCTAAAAATTCCTCTCATTGACGTTTTTTAGTAGACATCTAAATTTTTTCCAATCAAGTCCGTTTGTTTTTGTTTGTCTTCATTACCCAAAAATAGGAAGGTAATTGATTTTGAGCTATTTTTGGACTGGAACAAAGATTACTTGCGGAGAAGCATGGAAAAATGAGAATGACGAGAATGAGGAAATAAAAAAACATTGAGAAGTATTTTTTTAACTCGTTGATACAAATTAGTAAAAGGATGAGAAACAAAAAAACCAAAAAAATAAAAATAATTTTGAAGTTCTGAAAAATCGAAAAAAAACTTGATCTTTCTTTGGTTTTTTTGTGGATTTCAAAAAAACAACTCTCTGAATTTTTTTCGTTAAATGAACTTACGGTTCCAGGATCCATTGTAGTTTGACCGAGTTGACGTCATGGGAGTAGATGACGTCAACTTTCTGGATCGGGTTTGTCTCCACTTCAAAAAAGCTTCTTTAGTTGAAAAAAGCCAAATCCTACTTCTTGTAAATAACGCTCATCAATGGGGTATTATAAAAAAAATTATGGTCTAATCTTTTTTTACGCATCTAATCTCCATTTTTTTTTTCATTTTTTAACTTCGTTGCTTGAAAAAATCGTATGAAATTCACTCTCAATAGATGCCAATTCAAGAAGATTTAATATAACAACTTGGACCTTTTTTTAACTACAGCAGTTCAAAAAAATAAATTTCAAAAAAACCCACATGAACAGAAAAAAAAGTCAAAAGGAAATTTTCAAGCTCCAGTTATAGACCTTGACGAGTTTGCAAACTTCGGAATTCATTCAAGCCTTATTTGAACTTTGAAACAGTAACTTTTGATATAATTATGAAATACAAGAAAAAAAGTAACCTCTTGGTGTCTTGTACTTGAACTGTGCGCTTTCCATGACGATCTTGTTGGTCATCGTCGTCTTGATTCTCAGTTGATATTCCGTGTCGCTGGAAAACACGTTGATTAGCCTTTGATTAACTATTTTTTCCGACAAATTGAATAATTAATTGATTGCATAATTAAAACCTCTTCAAGTTGTACAAAGTTGCCGAGGGATTGCTCCCATGGAACTGAATTCTCTGCCAATCGCTGCTTCCCATTTCAGCAAACTCCACGTCATAGGCTAGAAATTTCAGGTTTTTCAGGTCTTAGGATAACAAATGAAGGTTATATTCACTATGATTCAATTGAATAGCATAAAATTCTGTTTTTTTCATAGACTTGAATCTAAAAAAATGCATATCGGAGATTTATCTTCTCAGAAAAATGTTTATTGATATTTTTTTGAAAAACGAACGGCTGAAACTGCAAATTAAAATTTCAAACCTTGACTATCAAAAAAACTGCCTAACTTCCGTTAGAATTTCAAAAAAATTTTTTTAGCTAAAAAAATATTCGGATGAGTTTTTAGAATAATGAGAAAGCTCGAACTTGTCCTTCGAAAAAGTTTGTACTTCTCAAAAAAAGAATCTTACAATTGTCTTCCCGTGACCTGTTCTGCATAAACTCACCCAAAATCTTATGCTGAAGTTGAGGTGGAACCTCCCAGGTGAGATTAACAGCTCCGTGGGTAGACGATTTGAAAAGAGAGCTGATTATCAAGTTGCCGATTTCAAAGTAATCGTTCTCTGGAAAATAATATATTATGATTTATTTTATTCTCAAAAACAGCTCCCATTCAAAGTGACTTTTATGTTTCGCATAAATTATTTCAGAAAGTTCCTCAAAAATCAAAGGCGGATATTATGGGAAACCCGCCATTAGCGTATGAAATTACAAATTTACTATGTTTTTTTACGCAAGCCATGCGTCATTTTCAAACGTTAAAAACCTCTCTTGCCTAAGTATTTTTGCGGTTCTATCCGATTTAGCCAATTAAAATAAGGCGGTCTGTTCTTTGTTTTGCAAGCCCCGTACCGCGTTTTTTTTTCTCTGCTTTTTTTTTGCTTCGTTCCCTAAAAGTTGTTTTTGCTAAATTCATCAAATTAAAGCTTGAGCGATTGTGGCAGTTTTTGGATTTGAAATATCGTCTTTTTGCTTCATTTTGAGTGACTTTGACGTGCTCGTTAAAGTTGGAATGCGGAAATTTTTTAAGCTTTTCATTTCATTTTTTGGAAGATTTGTTGATAAAAAAACACTTTGAAAAATTGATAAAATGAAAATTCTGAAGGCTTAGGCTTCCAAATTTTGAAACAGTAATCTTACCTTTGGGCATGGTAATTTCCACGATAGCTGCTGTAGAAGAGATCTTCTGTTTTGGCGTCGCACTGCGAATCGTCATTTCATATTTCTCGCCAGGAATCAGTTTACCAAGCGTGAAACTGTTGGCAGAAGTTTTGATCTGTAAATCACGGCTGTTAAAATGAGTTTTTCAAGCTTTGATTTTGTTTTCTCACATTCTTTTCCAATAAAAGCCAAACTGAATTAAGGCACTTTTCGCTAAAGAAAGTTAGTGCAAGCCGGGTAAAGTACAATCGCTCTTTGACAAGGAATTTCCTATGCAACTGCAATTATATGCTGCTTTTCTCAGTCTTTTTGAAGTGGGTTTAGAATTTTCGTTTTACTGAAAAAAACTGAAGACCGAAACCTGTTGATTGTGAAGAGTTGTTCCTGATTCGGAGGTCAATTGTTTCACATGAACAAGGTAGAAAATGTCTGAAACAATATAGTTTATGAAACAAAAAATTTCTCGTCCGTCAGTGAATTTTGCCTAGCTCTTGATACTTTGCAGCGTTATTGAAAGCCTTGTCGGCCTCTCTTTTCATTCAAAATTTGATTCCCATAGGGAATGAAGAAAATGTTCCTCTTTGAAGTTCCACTGGCCGATTATCTCTTCTTCAGAGCTAAATGCGTTCCTCTGAGTTTCAATGAGGAAGTTCGCAGAGTTGGAATAAGGCCAAACATTATTGCAAAATCATCTTTCCTGCGGAAGATTTCAATTAGACTTTGAAATTCTGCAGTGACCAAACGTCAGTTTCTTTTTTTTCACTTGCACACTTGAAAAACTCTTGAAAAGCTGTCTGAACATATTTTGTTTCCTGATTCTGGATGCGTGTTCCCCCTACATTCGCGTCTCACATTTGTAAAGTAATAAAGCTTCTTTTTGTATTTTTTTGAGCCAGTTTCATGTAAAAACGTGTCTCAACTTTTCTCAACGTTTCATATTCATTCTCTGAGCATTTGTCTGGGTATTTTTAGAAGGAAAAATATCAAGGAAACTTTACTCACTTTATAAAGAACCATTTTCAAAAAAATTAAGCGATTTCTTTTTGTTTTCGGATCAAAGAGATTTGTGAAAAACCGCTTCCTAATCATCGAAAATCGGCGATAAGGCGGTTTTAAAACAGTAGTCGTACATTCCAATAAAATTCGCTCAGATTCAATTGACTCTCTCCTGAAGATCAAATCATAAAAAGTGCAGTTTGATGTTTCTTCAATTCTTTCTGCTTTCCTCGAAATTGGAGTTGACATTTTGAGATGCCCCACGTCCATCATCTAACAGTGGATCTTGAACAAAGATTCTCTCTTTTTCGACTTTTTGGCTTTACAAACTCGAATCTTGTGAAAAAAAAGTGATCCCAAAATTCAGTATTCAGGCTAAAATTTAATTTTGAAGTTGCCTTAATTATGCAAATTGTCAAGAAAATTTCAAAAGTTTCAGTGCGACTGCAAATCTGTTTTCACTACTACAGACTAGTTTTCAAGAAACATTACTCTAAAATCCAAGTTTCGGGCCGTCCGTAGAATAATCAAAGCTTCACGTCACGTTGCAACTTCGGCCATTTCACGCTTCTACGCGCAAGTAGTTTCTGGTCTGACAGGCCCTGAATCGGGCATTTTGCACCATGGGCCATTCCAAATGCGGTCACAAATTCTCAAAAGAATATAAATAAGAAAGTCTCGATTTCTGTGAAATAAAGATTTTTTTTATAAAATCCTTACTTTTCATAGATCCACTAAGTCTCTCATTTTCCAAAAAAAGACGAGCTAACTGATTTTCATCAAACTGAATTCTAAAAAGCCATGGCGTTCTCAGAAGAAGAAGCCTAGGAAGGGACGTAATCCAGGCGTTTGTGATTTTTCCAGCCGGGAGGCCACTTTTTTCGTCTTTTTTTGCTGTTGCTTCGTGTGGCGAACGCTTTGCGCTTGTGCCGTTTATCCTCATTTCGCATTCAATTGGCCACCGAGACTTTTTATCGGTTTTGTGTGTGTTCGTCTTTCCGCTCATACAAAATCAACCTCGGAGGCCTAATTGCTTTCATGACGAATAAACGGCTTTTTGATGCTCTCAGGGCGTTCCCGAAGAGTTTCACAGCGATTTGACCAGTTGAAATGCAGGGATCTTTCGTTTCAGTCGTCTTTTTCTTGATGATTCTTGCTGTTTTTTTCTTTTTCTCAAGCTTTTCACAGCTGGCATTGTTCGATTTTCTGGGATTTTTAAAAAAGAATGCACCGTTTCGAAAATTGAGGATCCATGAAAACCGGACTAAAAAAGTATTTTAACGTTTTTAAGGCTGAAAATCCACTTTAAAGAACAATGACGTCCAATTTTTTACATCTTTCTCGGAACACCGATTTCTATCAACTTGACCATAGGACTTCAAAAAAAGTTTGTCTCAACCTTGAAATGTTCTCAGAACGTCTTTAGAGCATTCCTCCTTGTTTTTAAGCTTTTCGCCCTATGCAAAATCCTAGACGCTGCGTGACAATACAACTTCTTTTTTTTTCGCCTTCTTTTTACGTAAGGCTCGGATTAAGCTGACTGGAGGCTTAGGTGTCGTGTTTACAACCAATTTGACTCGCCTATTTTGCCCCGTGTTTTCGCGTACTTTATCATGTTTCTTTGCTTCTCAGTTAATTAATGATTTTCGAAACCCCCCTGATTCAATTAAAACGTGTCAAGGAATCAAAACAGCCGTCTGAAGAGTTTTGATGTGTTAGCACTTTGGAAGATTCTAAGGCTAAAAGCGCATTTTGAAAATTTTGCGTCATAAATTGGACCGTTTCTTGAAGAATTCAAAATGTTAACGAAAGCAGGCGGCTTTTGAATGATTCAATTCATAATGCGAACACTTTTCTGGCTTCTAAGCCCTCCCACACATATCTCCGATGCGTAAATGAGAGGATAAAGAAGCAACTTTTGCCCTTTGCTCCTATTGATCAAGTGAACTATGAGGTTTTGAGCTTGTCAAACTGTTATTCAGAACATGAGCAATTAGATTTGGAATAAAAATTTGATGAAAAATTTCGTTTCGCTGTCACGAACTAGATTTTTTTTTTGAGCACCATAGGTATACCAGATGCGCATTTATTCAAGCTTTCAGCCATACTCTCTGCGATCATTTGCAAACTATAGTATATTTAGGAAATTTTATCGAGCTTTGAATTTCACAGAAAAATTTAAGGGTTCTCAACAAAAATTTAAGAATTCTAAGAAAAAAAGACAACAAGATGAAAAGTCCAATTTCAAGAATATTAAAACGTAAAAAAACGGCCGAGAGGCGCAATATTTTATGCCGACATGTTCCATTGGAAACAATGAAATGGCGGTGTCACGCTTCCAGGAATCCAGAACGAATCCTATTCTTTTTTTTTCTCAGTTATTTTGACTCTTGGTCAAGGCTTGAATTTCAAATCCAGCGTGAGTTTGCCTCGGATCCGGTTTTCAGGAAGTAGTGTTAGACAAAAAATCTTCAGCTTTTGAGATTGAGATTATATTAATTTTCTTTTTGGCGGGTCATAGGAAAAGCCTGAGAAACAGTGATCTCATTGTTAATGGAGCTTTTTTTTGATTTATTTTGAAGCTCTCCGAAATCACTAAATTTTTCTATTTTTTTAAGGAATATCAACAGTCGATTTTAAAGGGTTTCTAGAATTTTTTTGAAATATTCTTGAACTCCACTGAATTTTTCGTATGGGTTTCATTTTTTTAGTTTTGTATTTTTTTGAGCGAAGATTTTTGTGGTCCATTTTATTTACCACCTAGGTCTCTCGAAACTTTGAAAAAAATAGGCTAACCGGGTTTGTTAGTAGCTGCAGGCGTCCACTCGAGATGCACACTCGATGGACTCATCACGCGTGCCGTGAAGTCCAACGGCGGCAACAAGGCGCCTTCGTCCACGATTATCCCTCCTACGGATACCTGTCAGAGCATTATATAAGTATATTTGGAAAGCTGGAAGATTTTGAAGAAATGCAAATATACTTGGTTCATAACAGCTTAATGGTATTTTGGAGTAGAAGTTGGGGAATTTCAGAAGTTTCGGCGGAAATTCTTTTTTCCAGAGTTTTCAAACAAATTTTAGTTTTTTTTAAACCGGAATTCATCTACTGTACTGAAAAATATGGCCCTCATATGCTCTTGATAACCGAAAAAGTCTTTTGAATCCTAGTAGCTGAAATTTAAAAGCACCCCTAAAAAAATAGTATCAGCTTCTCACTCTGAAAAAAACGGGAATTCTTCGGCTGCTGCTTCAAAATTAAGACGAAAATTAACAGGTCCCGGCAAGTCTTCGTTTTTTTTATTTTGAACAATTTCATTCAGTCCAAGTTGTATTATTATGCTTCCAAAACCTAGTACTTTTTTCTCAAGTTCCCACCAGCGGCGCACAAATAAGAAAAAAGGAAATCGGACAACAGAGATAAATTACAAAGAATCAATCCTGTTCGAAGTTTTTTTTCTGAGAAAGGAGGCAAAAAACTCATCTTGATTGATACATTGTGTTGTGTATAGGTAGAATCACAAAACTAGTTAGTCGTATTTTTTCTTCTCCTTCTTCTTCTTCTTGCCTAAGATTTAGAGGAAGTCGTTTCGACAGAAACGAGCTCAGTCAAATCTCATTGTTATGCTTTTCTCCTGTTTTCTTCTTCTCGAAAGAAGTTTTCCCCTATTTCTCGTATTCTGAAGTGCGGTTTTCCGTCCCAAGAAATCTTTTTGGCCTATATCATAACTTGAAGAGAAAGCCATCTTTGCATAGGAAAAACATCTTCTTTCGCCTTATTTTGAGACACCTCATGAAAATGCCGCCGTTCCAAGTTGGGTAATATTTTCGCGGCCCCTTTTTTTCGCTTGTTTGTGACAAGTTTTTCATGTGAATGGCTTTGGATATATCTCTGTTTATCTAATCCTTTTTTGGACGTTTATTCCGTGCTTTGAAAATTGGATCTTCAGAGCAAAGAATCTTCTCACTACAATTTTTTTTTATTTGGAAGGTGCAAAATTTTTCAATTGACTGTTTTTTTTGTTGTGTTCACCTGCATGATTTCTCATTTAACTTATTAATTTTTGATATATGTTCATTCGAAAAAAAAATTAAACCTTCTTATTGACTGTGATGACAAGTTCCTGACTCCAATCCTCGATAACTTGACCACCTCGCTCCGCTTGAATCTGAAAGAGTGAAATGATGTAAACTTGAGTAATTCTTCAAACTATAAAAAATAATAGTTCTAAAGGTTCCGATTGAATAAAATTTTTGAAATCATATGAAACGGCTTCTTTCTGTAATTTACATTATACCACAAAGCGCAAGTGGTTTTTGGTGGGGCGCGCCAGGTTTCTGAAAAGATTGGGGAGACCAAAAGCTTGAAGCTATGTTTAAGGCACAACGGCGTTTAAATTGTATAAACTAAAATCAATTTCAAAAAATTCTAACTTCCTACTTCCTTAAAAGGCGTCATCCTCTTCAAGTGGGAACCTCGCATTTTTAAGCTGCGCACCAGCTGTTATATCAGTCAAGCTTAGCGTGTGAACGTTCCGCCAGAAGTATCTCCATTGTTGCGTTTTTTGTCTTTTTTTTGAGTCTGACTCTCCTTTTTTCAGTTTAAAGTTCTCAATTTGCTAACCTGAACATGGACTTGATCTCCATTCTTGTACTCGCTGAGAGGCAGTTTGACTTGGGAGTCCTTGGTCCTAATATATTTCCACGGACCGGGGACATTTCCGGTTCGATACCTCAGCGTGAACATTATGTCTGAAAATTTTGTTTTCTTCCGAGTTTTTCTGGAAAAGGCCTCAAGATGGGCAAATTCCAACTTGATGCTATTTGAATTAGATTCAAATACCGAAATTTCTGCTGACATCTTCTCTATTGTTTGAAAGTTCTTTTTCTTGAGCTCTCCTTTTTCATCAGCCCTGATAAAAAGCGACAAGCTTTGAAAAATTGCTTCAAGTAACTTCCGTTTAAAAAATATATCATCTCTTTCGAAATCGCCAAATTTTTAAAATTTCTTTTTTCTATATTTTGTCTTTCATAGTTCTTGCTACTGAACTTTTTCAAATGTTTTCGAAGCATTCTCCAGTTCTTTTTTCTGTCGATTTTTCATTTTCTAAAATCAACTTCCTGCTTCAAAATCGAAAGACCCATTTCCAAAGTTTTCTGCAACGATCAGCGTTGTTTTCCGATTGCCCCATGCACTTTCAAATGGTGCGTGCACTTTTCTTGAGCAACAGCTGATAAGAGCCGTTTTGTGGCGGGCGCGCGAAAACACAATTTTTGAATTTGCTCTTTTGATTACTGAAACCAAGGCTGCAAGGAATAGCAAGAAATGGGAAATTGGAGTTTTGTATCGGTGATTTACGACGAAAGTGGAAGCATAGGGTTTTTTTTCAATATGACTTGAATTTTTCCAGAAAACCGGCTTTTTCTATGAATATCGAGGCTTTTTTCGCTTTGTTTTTACAGAAAAATATTGAAAAGAATGCTTTTGGAATTTTTCTTCAATAGGCCCTTGTTTACTACAAAACATTAATTAAAGGTAAAACTAATCATTAAATTTTTAGTTTGTTCAAAATTGCTTCTTACGGGTAAAAAGTGCAAAAATTTTGATCTGTAATCTTTCTGAGAAAGATTTTTTCCCGAAGTTTTCCATAAATTTTGTTGAAGTACTTAAAAGACTTCAGAAAACTTTGTGAACGTTTTTTTCACTTCCATTGTTCCTTAGTTGAGTGAGTAAAGACGTTCATGAATTTTTTCTATGATTCTTCGGAAATAAAATTTTGATTTTTTGTCAACTCCCGAAAGGGTCCCTTGCCCTTTCATAGTCATAAAATTTGGAAACATACTGTTGGTAGGCTGACTGAACTGCCATTCGACAAAGATGGCGTCGAGATCCGGCTGAAGTCGGGCTCGTAGGTTACGGACATTAGGTACAGGTTGGGCCTGGGCCAGGGCCAGGCCGGCCAGACAAAGTAACGTGAGAAGGCTCATGAGGACGACTCTCTGACTGGAACAGGCAGCGGTGGTCTGCGGACTCCTGAGGCGGCGGCTGACACTCTTGGACACCGCTTATCGCCAAATGATACATTGCCGCTTGTGTGAAGAAACGCAACTGGCTCTCCGAAATGCCTACAGCGTAAAAACTATGTAATATGGGACGATTGCCTCGCGCAGCAATAGATCATTTGCCCTTTAAGTGATCGTGATTGATGTCGGAATGGAGCCAAAGTTCCGGGAGCTTTGAAAGTCTCACAAAAGAGGTCATTCGAATTTGCGGTTTGAAATTCTTTGAGAGTTTCCTAGAGCTGTTTCTGATGTACCAGATGAAAATACTGAGAGTCTCAACCTGCACAAGTTCCTGGTTTCTGAAAGATAAAAGCTCAAAGCCCAGAAATAGCTCATTTTACCGGTTTTTGAAGATTATCTTCGACTTTGAGGTGTCTTTTCTCGAAAACCAGGAATTTCTGTAGGTTGAGACTTTCAGGATCTTCATATGGTACAACAAGAAGTGATCTGGCCCACTTTCAGGAAATTCCGAACTGCAAATTGAAATATCCTTCCTTTTTAGAGGGGAAATAGGCGCATTTTCAGCTTTTTCAGAAGGTTTGGTAAAACTTGCACTCATGAAAAGAAAACATTTAAAGGATTGATGGCTTTATAAAAATCTACGCCAAGGTTTTTCTAGTACAAAAAAGGATCAAAAAAAAAAATATGTGGTAGAACGGTTTTTCCGATTTTTCAAGGTCTGTATTTCAATTTTTTGTCAGGGCTCAGGGATTTTTTTTATCTATTTTATCTATTTTTTTTTATCCATGCATTATCCATATCTGATTTATTTTGGAAAAGCTAGTTAATTTGGCTCTATGCAAACTTCAATATAGGAGACCTCCGTGTTTCTCTCAAACTTTATATTGTCAATGAGTTTCAGAATAAATACTTAGTTTGAAGGACACTTGCAAATGCTAAAAAACTTGAGTAAACTAGGCACGAATTCATTTTTTTTTAGCTTCCTGAGTTTTTCAGAAGATCTTGTTCGAAAATTTCTTCGCCTTTTTTTTCAATAAATGCCCTTTTTTTTGGAATGGTACAACTTTTCATTCAAACTTTTGGAAAACTTCAACTTTTCGAGAGCTTAAAAAAGGTCTCTCAAAACTTTAAATAACTTTTTTTCCTTAGGATACATTTCCGAGGTCATATCCCAGTCAAAAGTTCAAGCTCCAACAAAACGGCGGTAATCGCGCGGGTCATATGTCAGCAGAGCGAATTTGTGTGATACGCTGAGCGGCCCATTTGACATGGAAGATTGATTTCGACGTTCCCATTATTCGTCGGATTGGAGTGAGTTGAACTTTGGAACAGATGCATCTTCGAGATTGAGAGGCTTTGAGTCAGCAAAGTTCCACTTGGAAGAAAATTGAACCTAAGAAAAGAACATTTCGATGGATCTTTGGGTTTTTTCTGAAGATTGGGTAAAATACATTTCGATGTCTTCAGGGACGATTGTGGGAATTCGATTTCACAAAATTTCTGGTTTTGGATAGTAATTGCTTCGATTATTGCTTGCGTAATTTTTGCATGGGGAATAAGAACTCTGAAGCTTCACTTTAGAAAAAAGGTTTTTGCAGATTGAGACTTTTGGGATCATTAAAGGCTACATAGCTTCAAGTAAAACGGCCTTTTTCATGAGAAGCAAGTTCAAAAATCCTTCCTACCTACTTATTATAGACCGACTTTGCAGAGATTTTTTCTTCCTTGTACTCGATCCACTCAAACGCAACACCCAAACAATGACTCAAGCCAATCAAAAATCCACAATTATCTTTGTTTTCGAACAATCGAAATGCCAAAAGTTGCCGCGATCAGTAAACAATTTGAGACGCTACTTTCTCATCCAATTAAGTCATTTATGAATGAAAACTGCTGGAAAAAAAGTTGGAAAAGTGTCACGAGCAGTCTTTTCTCTCCTTGCAGCTGAGCTGAGCTGTGGCCGGAGTTGGGACCACCCAGTCGCTTCATTACCATTTTCTAATAGAGTTAAGTGCGCACGGCGTTCTCCAGTTGTTCCCACGAGGATGGTTGAGCTCTCAGGCCGGTCATTATAGCCGGATAATTTTTTTTTTCTAAATATAAGCAACGTTTTTTGAATGGTTCCAGTGCAACTCTTTGTTTCTCGAGCTTGCAAAATTCAGAAAATTTCCAAAAGTTTGAATTTTGAACGCTTAACGAGGGACATCCCTTGACTTGATTTTCGATTTGTGCAAAAAGTTCCGATAATTTATTTTATTGGATCCTTTTCTTAGAATATCTCCTAACCTCCTATTGCTGGAATTTTCTCAGATCTGATCCACAAAAAAAAATCGTATTCTAAGGTTTCAAAGAAAATTGACATTTTATCAAAGACTTGAGGCGGAAACCCATTTTCAGTGCTATTTTGGATTTTTCGGCGATTCTCCGACCTAATCAGCTGATTTATCAGTTTCTTTGAAGTCCCGGCGAAAGCTTGATAAGTTAGCCGACTAGGCTTCAAGGCTTTGTCGGTACAAGACAAAAAAATGAACGTGTGACTTGAACCGTTGGCTTTACTTCGCTTTGATTTCTACCGACTGGCGTCATTTCGAAGCTTCTCAACATTTTCCTCTTTTCGAATTCTTTTGAAATTTCAGAAGATAAATCCAAAACTTTTTCACCTTCCTATGGATTCTATACGACTTGGAACTGCCTATAAACTCGTGAAGTCCCAATTTCAATAAGATCTAATCAAAAAAGAAGAGATAGTTTTTTAAAGCCCTCAAAAACTCATGCTAAGTTTTTCCATTCTCCAGCTATCTCCAGCCCTTGGTTTTTCCTAAAGTCCATAAAACCGCTTTTTTTTCTCAAACTTCATAAAATCGCCATAGACCTTCAATTTTTGAACCTTTGATGAGTCAAAAGGATAGGAACTTGAAATATTGTCCTTTCTGAGGCTGAAGAACAAAAACCGACACCCAATTTGCAACAAAACCCACGCTTTTCTCTTATTGCGCTGCATCAGGAACAAATTACTTTGACATACGATTTCTTATGAAGTTCTTGCTGACGGTAATATCACCCCTAACTTCAGTAAACTTTGAAAATTGGCCAAAAGTTTTTAATTTTTAATTTGAATATTTTGAAATGGTCAACCTGAAAAATTTTCAAAGTTTCAGTCAATAGCTTGACGACAGAAAAATCTATTCCTGAGAGGATTTATCCAAAAAATAATTACTTGAAGACTTTGGAACATTCAATAAATTTTTGAAAAGCGCTTTGGCCCATTTCCTCAAATTTCTGAAGGTTCGAGCCTCATTTTAGTTTTTAAATTTCAAAAAATGACTTTCAACAAACAAAAAATGTACGCTAAAAGTACCTCTGTAAGCAAAAAGCCTTGGAATATTCAAGCAGGCTCTCGGGGCCTCTTTCTTTTGATGGAAAGGAATGGTAAATTCCGAATTCCCGCCGTTTTCTCAAAGCCATTTGCGCTTCTCTTAAGGACACATAGACGTCCTTTTGCGAAAATTATACTTTCAATTGTTAGCTGAGCCTTGTGCATTATTTAAAAGGTTTTACTTCGTTCGTATGGTGTTTTTCAAAAATTTTAACGAGTGTTTTTGATTTTGATTCTCTTTTTCAGTTGAAATGAACGAGACAGACAAGGTGAGGCTGGCCTTGGAGCCAACGACTTCTGAGATGATCGAAATGTTCTATCAGCTGTCGTTTTTCCTCATCGGGACGCCAATCAACCTTTTTGCTCTTTTTAAGAGTAGCAGGTTGGTTTTTTGAAAACTGAAACAGGAGAATTAGCTCGAAAAAAAACGTATTTTATTTTACACGTATTCTTTTGTTGCGCCTGACATTGAGCCATTTTTCTCGTTTCGAAAACGTTCTTGGGCGCAAGTAGTTTGAGGTCGAATGCGAATCTGTGAATTCCTTCAAGGTAGTATCTTTTTTGTTCCTTTAATGAAAGGCGCAAAAGATTTTTTTTTTTGCCATTTTTCTGCACTTCATTAAAAAACAAAAATCCTGTTAAAAACCAAAAGTATATTTTCAGAGCCGTCCGAGAAGGTGGCGTCGAATCTCGACTGGTAAAGTTGAGTCGACAGCTCTTGATAGCTCATATTATGGTCTTATTTATTTACGGTGTATGGAGAAGTTACTGGTTTTACAATATCGCATGGGTTCAAGGTAAGCAATTTCATATCTTCTTCCGTCTAACTCAAATCAACGTTTCAGGCGACCTTCTATGCAAACTCTTCAGCTTTTTCTGTGCTTTGCCGTTTCATTTATGGTCGAATATGGTAGCAGCGATCGCAGTGGATATGCTTTTTTGCATAACGTGAGTTTCTGAACTCTCAGTTGATTATCTGAGTGGTTAATTAATAAGTCATGAGGCTCATTTTTTTCAGAAATTGTTTTCGAATGGCTATGGATTATGGTGAACTCTTGAGCTGAAAGATTAAAAAAAATTATGAAAAGAGCGCTCAAAAATCGGCAAAAAAGAGATGAAAAGCTGCTAGTCGGTCTTCCTGGAAATTGAAACAAACGAAAATTAAATAAATGAAGTTTTCATAATTTTAGCAATCTCAAACATTTCCGGATCAATATCAAACTTTTCTTACCTTTAAGAATATCATTTCCTGACAAAAAAAGGCAGAAAAGCAGCTGATTTGGGACGCGCCTGACCAGATACTACTTGCGGTTGAGGGCCTTAAAGCGCAGCCAAACAAACTGTGAACCATTCCAAGTGCGGCCGCGAAATTTTCAAGAAAGCGGACTACTGAGATTCACGTCTTTCACAAAATTTTTCAACGATGGGAACAATAAATTCGTCTTGAGCAGAGAAAAACTTTCAGATCTCCACTGAGTAGCTATCGAACTGGTGGGAATCGGGTAACTTGGCTGATAGCCATTGCCTGGGCTTGCGCTATAATTTGCGCTCTACCGATGCTTTTCATAAGGGGTACTGTAGCCATCTCTTCAAATGATGATGAGCAGTTGGAACAGTGCTATTCTCTGATTGAGGTGCGTTTTCTTCAGAAAAATCTGAAGTAACAATCAATTTCCCAGGTGTACAGCAAAGACGTGTTGATCGCGTTCAACATCTTCCACGTGTTGACCACTTTCTACGTTCCGCTGTTAATCGTGATCATTTGTTACACGATCATCGGCCTCTCGATCCGAAGACAAATGGCTGAACGAAAATTGTTACAAGTCAGTTGGAAGCTGGTGGATTTTGAAGGGAAAAAAATCAATTGAAAAGTGAATTCAGTACTATATGAGGAGTTCTCAAAAAAATTCATTTTTAATAAATGATGATTTTTGCTTCTAGCCTTGAACGAAATACATGACATCCTGATTCAAAACGCGACCAAAAATAATAATTCAAGGAAGAATCTTTCAGGACGCGGGTCAAAGCCAGAAAAATAACAACACAAAGGCGCGATTCCTACGAGCTTCTATCGCCATAATTGCAACTTTTTTCTTCACTTGGCTTCCCTATCAAGTAATTACATTTTCAAGATTTCACTAAGCCATGGCGGCATTTAAAATGGCTTTGACAAATCCCTGCGCCCATCTTTCACCAAAAAAATTGCCCCAATAGTCATCGTTTGTTCAGGTGTTGGCTCTTCTGCTCGTGGTTTGCGAGAAAAACGAAACCTGTCAAGAGGTGACCAATAGGCTCAACTGGCTGCAAGCGATTATCATCGCAAGGTGACAATTTTTTACGTTCTTGAATGATAAGAGAGATTAAAGAGATCATTCTGATATCAAGGAGTTCATGGCAAAAAAAACGATAAAAAGCTGCGCAAATAAAGAAAAAAAGGTTTCTCTCAAGTAAAAAAATTATGAATAATTTTCATAAAGCACAAATTCAAAAAAAGAAAAAGAATGGGTTCAGATCGACATTTTTGAAGAAAAAGGGTCATTATTACTGGTTTTTTTCATTATAATTTTTTTGGATTACCCTTTGATTGAAAGTTTGAGATAAAAATATTTAAAATTCCAGCACTTGCATCAACCCGTTTTTTTGTACCGATTCGGCACCGAAAGAAAAAAAGAACTTCGCATTTCTGCAGTACAGTCGACACAGGTGTTGGTAAGGAGGTATGCATGTAGAGTGCTTCTTTTTCTTCTTTTTCCCTTTTTCGAGTGTCTTAATATTAAAAACCACAACTCCTACTAAATGTGCTCTTCACATCGTTTCTAAATGTTGTGTTCACCAAGGTTTAGTAAGTTTTGAAAAAATAAAGTCGTAAAATTTTACTTATGTAACTTTTTAGTGGTTCTGAGCTCCGCACTAGCAAAAAGAAGGTTTTCTGTCTTTTATTATTGATGGTTAACTACACACACAGTAAAGATCGGCTGCTCTAAGGCGGAAGCCGTATCAAGTCGGATGCTGGAAGAATTGGCCTCAGACCATTTTATCAATTCTCCACAGACTTCCTTGAGCTAAAGAATTTTGTTTCCTGAATACTTGGAAATTGTAAATTTGTTGCATTCTGACGTAACTTCTTCGTGAACACGTTTTCTGCACGTGATGAAACACACTCACTTATAAAAACTTGGAAAAATGAATACTTCTGCACTAATGATCACTACTGAAAATTATAATTCAATAACCACGTTTCGCGTTTCACCTCCCAAATAACAAGATCCCCAAAGTTTATAATAATACAGAAATATTCAAGCAGGAAGCCGTTCCACCGTCCGCAAAACCACGCCGCGAGGGGAGCAAGTCACGGTACTTGCGACTTCTTCGACAGAAGTCAAAACATCGCCGCGTGCCGCTCGAAGCACATTCCGAAGTCCCAAGCGGAGCCTCCCGACGCTCAAGCCCACGAAAAGCAACGGAGTTTGATGTGGAGCCTGCTGGAAACAGCTCTAGTGATTCTTAAAGTGTGATTTGACTCGAAAACTGTATTTAAATTTGATTAGTGGTCGCTTGAGAGGCTTTGAAAAGCGAGAAACTTTCTAAATTTTAGAATTTTACAACATAAAATTCGCTCTATGAATCGAAAATTTCATCATTTTCGGGTCAGCTTTTCCTTCGATGATGTTACAAAAACCTTTTTATGGTTATGATAAGCCCTTTCTTGGGAAAAATAATAATTCTCAACTTCATCTTGTATGTAAACCTAAACAGTAATAAAAAAAGAAAACTTAATTTTTCAATCAAAAAAATTCCCTTCAAAAAGCACTTTTTTTCCTCGAAATAAAAAAATTGAAAAATAATCTTTTTAATAAATATCACTTTCAAAAACTCTCCGCCTTTTTTTAAGTGACCATTTAGATCTCAAGCCTCTAAAAAAAGGCCACTTCAACCTTACCATGTGTGTATCTATTAGCTGATTGTGATCTCTTGTTTTATTCTTTTTGTACCTGCGGTTCCTCTTAACGAATGTTACGGCTTCTTTTTTTAATGTATTATTTTTAATTATTCCTGTTTCTCCCTTTAATGGTACAAATGATTCATTTAAATTTTCTAAGTAGTTTTTTGAGGTATAATTTTTTTTGAGATTGATTTCGCTGATATTTTTTAATTTCTGCGTTTTGAAACCTGGAAAAGTCGTTTTTTTCATCCATTTTTTTTCTGAATAGTTTCATTCTCTGTTCTGATGGAAAACAGTAATAAAATGCACTTAACTTTTTGAGTTCAATCTTTCCAAATGCTGCCAATTTTTTCAAATTTGGTGCCCCTCCAAGCCACTGACTCTTCAATTTGTTGAAAATGTCCAAAATTGATCTCTTTATCTCAAAAAGTCAACCTGAAAACATTTTTGGCTTTTTTCTTGTGTGGTTGCTTTCCATCTCCCATCCGTCTTCTAAACTGTTTTTTGTACATATTGCAGTGAAAATAACAGAATAAAGGCATATCTCAACCTCAAAGTTCACAAATTGTGATGGAAAAACGAGACAGACAAAGTCAGACAAAGGGAAAGTTGAGGGCGATTGAAGAACAATTTGTCATCTGATTATCAACTGATTGCCTTCTTTCGGACCACCTCTACTTCATTTTTCCTACTTCAAATCAGAAGTCTTTCATCATTTTCTCGAACCAAATCGTTTAGAAAAGCTGCGAAACACTAAAAGATGAACTCCAAAAGTAACTATTTGCAGTCGCGCATTTTGTTTGCTTTTCAACCCAACCTTCACCAACCTCCTCTTGACCAAACTTTCAAAACCGTTTCATCTCTTACTTTTCTCTTATTTTTAGCTTTTTTTTCGAAAAGCCTTGATTTATATATTTTCGAATTGTTCTATCGCATGATGGCTTTGTTTTCCAGGTCATGTGGCTCTAAGATGTTTTTCGCAAGTAAATTTTTAAGTTGGGCATTCTGTTCAGTGATAACCGAAAAACAGAAAAGAAATAAAGTGGAAAATATATCGGAACAGTTATTTTGATTTTTTTCCGACAGCAAAGAAAAAAATGCCCAAATTGTCTAATAATCTTTTTTTCAGATTTAGAGAAATTACCGTTTTTAAGACTCCGGCCTCTCATTCTTGCTATAATCCGCCACCAAAAAGCAATTAATTTGAAATGATTGAAACAGTAAATTCCCTCAGAAAAAAATCTTTTTAAAAAAATTACTTATTCGCCGATTTCTTGCGAGATTCTCATCATTTTATGAAAAAAAGGCACTTTTTTTCGACATTTTTTTCGAAAAAAATTTCTTCCCAGAAAAAAATTCAGTTCTCACGGCGATTTCCGCTTCACTTGATTTTTTTACAGTGATTCTGGGAGACGATTTCTCTCTCTCTCTCTCTCTCACCTGAAATTGGAGACAATTTGCATTTTTTTGACAATATGTGAAAGTGAAAAGTAGAAATTGAAGACTTATGACCTTGACCTGACTGATTTGATTCCCTTCCACAGATAATCTTTTTCGCACCTCGTTTTGCAAGCGATCAAGTACTTTTTTTGCTCTTTTTTGGTATTGAAATGGAAAATTGAAGTGTATAGACCTTGGTCTACTCATATTCTCAAAACAGGTTTGATTTTCTCTCTCTTTTAACAAGGCGTTTTTAGGCGAATAATCCTTCCAATTGCAAAAGGTCGAGTTCTTTTTTTCTTATTCGAAAGTGAAAATTGAGAGGAACTGGCTCTGATGTGCAAAAAAGGTTAATCGCATCAATATATAAAAATGGAATTTCGACAACTGAGCGACTCAAGTAGGTTTTTGACGGTGAAAAGTTCTATTATTTCCATTCCAGTTGAAGAAGGACTACAGTTTTGCCACCGTTTCGAGTTTTTTCTTTTTGCAATATAATTTTTAAAGATTCAGTGATGAAATCTACACTGTTCCAATTTTATTATTTCAAGACACTTGATTCAAAAAAAAATCGAGCTTCTTAGTATCATGTTACGAAAAGGTGTGACATCACTTATCAACCGAACCAAAACTTCTTTCGTCATTCGTAGAAATTTTTGGTCACTAGATTTTTTGTACATTGCCGCAAATCGCTCTGTCATATAGAATTTTCCCTTCTTCTGTAAATTTTTTGAATCTCTTTTCAAGTACAACTTCACATTTTTTTCAGTGGTTTTATGACGTCTGAGCTTCCTTAATCGGGAATTTCGAGCAGTCAATTTCTCAATGAAAGTGTTTTTCAGGTTTTTATATTTTCAGATAAAACATCCACTACGTCAGGTTATCAAGTCTCTATTTTCGAATAGAACTACTGAGCAAAAATAATTTTACCTATTGGTAATTTTTTATTGTTTTTCAGTAAAAACTTCCTGAGAAGGTTTCTTCTTTTTCTTGTTTAAAAACTTTCAAAAGTCTTCATATTTTCTTTTTTGAAAGCTATGAACCCCAGAACTGTCTTTTCCGCATTCCGATAAGTCTAATGTCAGACGATTGGGAATTTTGATCCGTGACCTACGGCGTGAAAAATCGCGCCAAACCGCAGAGAGATAGGGGAGACATGACGCGTCGCTGCGGCGACCACGTTGTTCGTTCGTTTTCGGTTCCAACGAGCACGTTGCCGATAAGACGACGCACGCGGCTGTCTCCTCCCCCACGTTTCCCAATTTATCACCATTTCTTCTTATTTTCCACGTTGTTCGACCATCTTGCGGTATCTTCTCTTTCGACAGCCTTGATCGAAAGGAAATCTCCTAATTTGCGGTCTGACGAAGCGTGTGATTAGTTTTGAAGAGAAATTTACGAGAATGAAGATCCGGCGGAAGAAATTGTTTTTCCTGCTCTCGTTTTCGTGTATTTAAGGCAAGTAGATGGTGCGAGGCTTTCAAAAAAGTTTTCGGTAGTTTTTTTATTTCTTTTTTTGAATTTAAAAAAAGTGATGGTGCGCGCTATATTCTTCATTACCTGTCTCTTTTTAACTTTAAACATCGCTCAAAAAAATTTAAAAACCGTCACTTTTTATTGTCAAAGCTACACAATTTTTACATGAAAAAAAGGCTGAACTATAGCAAACTAGACTGTAGTTTTTATGCTCAAACTGTCGTCAACTTTAGCCTTAAAAAAACACGACAAAAACTTTATAATCTGATCAATATAATTTTCAGAAGTTTCAAATGGAGCGAAATTAAATTGTTTTTTTAAGAATTTTTTTCGAAAATTTCATCAAAAAAGCCCAGAAAAGAGTTGAAAAACCGTTTTTCTAGTAGTAACATTGAGCTCAGGTTACTGTTCAAATTAGGTAAATAGCACCAGTTCTAAAGCTCTATCACTAGATGTGCAATCAAGAAAAATCATGAGCAGAAGAATTTTGGAGAAACTACAGTTTATTCGACCTCAGAAACTAATTAGACCAGTTTTCGAATATTTTCATAATCTGAGATCCAATATGAACCAAAATTCAGCTCTCATATCCATTTTTTTTTATAAAACTTCTCAATGTTTTCCTGTTTTGAAAGATTTTTTCTTCTCATGGCCTAGTAGCGATAGTTTTATTGAATCAGCGTTGAAAAATGCAGCGAAATTTTTGAAATTTTTGGAGTTTTTTTCTGGTTTTTGCACACCATAAAATTATTTCTTCTTACTAGCGCCTAATAATTTTATGATATTCGTACGTATCTCAATGAGACGGATCGAATGGTTATACTTTCATGCTGAAAATCGAACATGTTGGTAACGTCGGATTATTCCGAAACAAATTTTCAATCTCTCTCAACCTTCTTCAGACAAAAAGCTGTAAAAACTCAAAACGCTTGTTGGAAATTCTCACCGTCTATTTCATCAGCTCAGAAAATCCAACAAAACACGTCTGTCTATCTCATTTCAGAACGTCGAAAAACTGTTGCGGAGCGATGTTTTATTGTTAAAACAATTTCGTCGACGAAAAGATAAAAATCTCTTATCTGCAAATGTTTCACCGCCGCCGCGGCCTCGTGTGTTTTTGTTGCTTATCTCGGTTTTGCTGTCATAAATGTCAAAGAAAAATCTTTTTCGTCGTCTTTCCGTGTTTTACACTTTGTCCCGTCGCGTTATAAAAAGCTCTCGTCTACAGTTTTTCTTTCAGATCACCTTTCAAGCTTCTCAAGCATATCAACTGACCAAGATGAGCGGTTCCAAGTGAGTTTGGATCTAATTTTTCGAAGTTCGACTTGCTTTTTCTTGCAGGATCGAGAAGAAAGTCAAGGGCAACGTCCGGGAGACTGTCGGGCGCACCTCCATCTCCAAGTTGACCCATCTTCCTGAGGGTTACAGCGTCAAGACGGATATTTGTACGTTTTTGAAACATCTTCTAAACTTCAACAGTTACAGGAAAAGGAGATGGGCCATTTTGAGAAAATTTTCAAGTTATGTCGGAAGTTTTGCTTTCAGGGTTCATGTGGGAAGTTTTGCGAAAATTCAAAAAACTTAAAGAAATTGGCCGGGTATTAAAGCTCTTTGAAATTGAATCTCAAATTATAAGAAAAATTTTTCTATGACTTTCCAAAAAAATAATAAAGATTTTAGGTTTATCACTCTCGTAATGCGTAGTTTCCATTGATCTTTGACGAGGCCGCAAGAGCGAAAATTTCTGATTCTGATGTCAGATGAGATTTTGCAGTCGTCAGCCTTATCATTTCCCGTCTGCGATTCTCTTTTATTTTACGCTTGATGACGGAAATAAAACCAAAGAGAATGTCGGATCTGAAACTTTCAAGAGAAAAAATGACATTGAGAGAAAAAATTTCATCAGCTGAGGTTTTTACACATTAAAAAAAACGGGCTTCCAATTTTAAATCATCCTGGTCGACCATAGGATGGCTCGAAAGTTTATTTAAGCAGGTGAAATTGAAACTCGAATATTGAATTCGAATTTAATCCGTCATTACTTTTTCCTTTGAGCAATCAAAATTTTCGAGCTGAATTTCTTGTAGTTTAGTCGTTAGTTCGTCTTGGTATGAATAAAGTTTATGATTTTTTACAGATGTCAAGCTCGAATACCTCAACCCGGCCACTTCTGTCTACGACCGAATTGCTGTCGCCGCCTTCGAGGTTCTAGGAATCTTAGAAATGATAATTATATCCAGTTGGTCTTCCAGAAAGCCCAAGAGCAAGGACTGAAGCAAGGAGACACGGCTGTCGTCTTCGCTGGCGGATCTGAGGCCGTTTCCTTTGGTATGGCTGCCGCGTCTCTTCAAGTCAAGTACTTATAAAGTCAAAGCAAGAGTTGAATCCAAAAAGTCAGACTCGTGGTCGTCTATGAAGACAGGGGACTCGAATCGGTGCATAAGATCCTGGAGAGACTGGAAGTTCAGGTAAAAAAATTATATAGTAAACTTATAAAAAAATCTTGGGACTTTCAGGTTGAGAAATACACCGGGTCGGATCATCTTCAACATGCTGAGAAGTTGGCCAAAGAGAAAGGAGCATTCTTCCTCAACTCGGTGAGAAAATACACTCAACTCTACAAGATTTGAAATGATCCAAAATCGCTTGAAATGGCTTGAAAAAGTCCTGGTTGTCATCTACAACAGCAAAAAAAAAAAGTGAAGCGTATTTTTCATATTATAAAAAGCCACTCCGCGCAAATAGTTAATAGTCGGGCGCAGAAGAAAAAATTAGAGACTGCCAAAAAACAGAATAATTTCCTGACCGCGACGCGCTGTTTCAAATATTTTCAAATATTGTCGAAGAATCCTTGGAGGCTTTTCAAATATTGGCCAAGACTTTAAATCACTTCCGAAAAAAACCATCTCATGTTTTTTTCCCAGATCCTGACCGAGGCTGCTGAGAAAGCTCATCAGGAAACATGCAAAGAAATTGAAGAATCCTTGGAGATTCTCAAGAAAAAAGAAGCCGTCGTGTACGTTCCAATCAACTCTGGCCGTACAGTCACTGCGATCAATAAATACTTCAAAGCCAAGAATTCTGATGTAAAGGTGAGTTTCAATAATTCAGATAGAAAAACTGAAAAGACGGAGTTCCTGTTCTAAAAGTTAAATAATAATAATTTACTCATCCACAAAGTGAAAAGAATAAATAAGGTTAAGAACCGGTTTTAGGTCACCCTCACGAGTGACTTCACCGGATAGGGAATAAATTAGATATCACAGTTGATAAAATACACGTATATGCATATTGAGATTTTTGAGATCATAGTAGCCGTCTAGGGATGCTGATGAATAATTCATTGTCGGGGATGTTGTCCAGATGAGATTTGAAAATTTTAGGAGGAACAGAGACGTTGAATCTAGAGCAGATTTTGTTCCAGATTGGGATCAGTTTTGAAAAGAAAGAATCACATAAAGGACCAGCCTGAATTAACCGCAGAGGATGTCGACCCGAATGAGAGATTCTGAAAAACCTGTGAGCGCTTGGAAAATGATCTATCTTGAGGACAATTTTGTGAAGTGTGCAGAGTGCAAGATTGAGTCTCCTTCTGTACAAAGCATTAGTTTCGAGCTTGAGCAATCTTTCAGAATATGAATTGAATCTTAAGTTTCTGCGCATGAAAAATTTCTCTAGTGAAATACCTATAAGGTTTTTTTCGAGTAGATATGCCTGTTCGGAATTTATTGCGGGATAGAAAAACGTCACTGCAGTAGTCGAGGTGAGGTTTCACGAATAGGTTGAAAACCATATTATACTGTTGAATTGTGAGACAACGAAAGCTTTTTCAGAATTTGTTTACTTTTTGAGCAAAGAGGTGTTAACTGCTTTTGAAATGTGAGATTTGAAAAGTAGGGAACTGTCCACCATGACTCCAAGATCTCTGACAACTTCGGAAGAACTAATAAAAAGTGCCTTTAATTGTATAAACTGTCCTAGGATTTGATCTGCCTAGATGGAGAGCTACAGTTTTGTTTTTCAGCTAATGGGAGTCCCCATGTTTCGGACCACATAGCAAGTTGGTTGATTGCATTTTGTAGAGCAATTGGGTCAGAGGAGAAAATTTTAAGATCATCAGCGAATAGATAACTGGAGACGTCATCACTGAAATTTGCAGCTAGATCATTTATGAAGATTAAAAACAAGAGAGGCCCCGTAACAAGTTACCGTTTCTGAGAGAGAATATACTCTACCCGCCACTAGATTGTTGAAAATTCTGCAAAGTCGTCTTGATTTTTAATTTGAATCTTTTCATTTAGTAAAACCTTCACTGATACAAATATAATCCAATAATTTCTCGAGTAAAAGATACACTATGAGAATCTCTTCCAAAAACTTCAAGCCAGCTTTACTTTCTTCAAAAGTCAACTTGAACCCAAGGAAATCTCACCAAACATCGATTGTTACAACTGATTGGAAAACTAAAAGAACCGGAAAACAAAAACGCTTCACACTTGATAAAAGCATATCGCGCCACGTGTTTGCCGGACCAAAGACCATGTTTCCACACTAGTCTCTTGTTAACGCACATTGAAACAGCAAACTCATCTTTTTCAGGTTTTTGGTGTCACCAGCAAAGACGTCATTGAAATCGGCGCATTTTTGGGAGACGATGCGGATTTGGAAGGACTCAAGGTTGAAGAAAAATATTTTTGAAAGGAAACTCGAAGATTTCAGAACAATGGAGTTGAAATCGTTGACGTTGACATCAAGGAGGTGATTCCATTGACCCGTCATCTCATCAGAAAGAGCGGACTTTTGGTTGGGCCAGCAAGTGGAGCGGCCGTTCTGGCTGCTGTTCAGGTGAGATATCGCAGTGTTTGGTTATAAAAATTCCAAAATTCTGAGACCGATTATGAATAGTGTATAGGCTATAACTACACAGTAGTTTCTCTCAACTTTTTCGATTTTCCAGGGCTCGAAGAATCTTGCCGATGGTACTGTCGTGATCCCCCTGGCTGTCGACGGCTGCAGAAACTACTTGTAAGCTCATTCTTCAAAAAAAGAGGGCAATATTAATTTCCAGGCACACACTCCTCAACGATGAGTGGCTCTCTTCTAAAGGTTTCAACATCCCGAAGGTTGAGCAAGTGAAACCTTCTGAGTGAGTGAAAACTTTTCATCAATCTTTGAAGTTACGTGATTCCAGTGACATCCCAGAAAACCTGATGGACTACGATCCTTCAAAATTGTCAGCGACATGGAAGCGTGGAGATGATAACACTTGGGGCAGCAACAGCCCATTCAAATTGAATCCTTTCCGGTGGGACTAAAATCAATTATTTTTTATTGTGCCCGATTTGAAGTCCCGAGCGCCCATTGGTCACCAAAGATGTCCTCGAAGCAATCGGAAATACTCCGTTGGTCAAGCTCAACCACATTCCTGGCAAATATGGCGTCAAGGCCAACATTTGTGAGAAAACCCAAAATTTTTGGATTTATTTGAATTTTCCAGACGTGAAACTCGAGTTCATGAACGCCGGAGGATCAGTCAAAGATCGCATTGCACAGAGAATGATTGATTTGGTCGAAAAGACTGATTTCCCAGAAAAACTCAAGGACGGAGCCATGTTCGTGGAGCCAACCTCTGGAAACACTGGAATCGGTCTTTCGCTGGCTAGCGCTGTCAAGGGATACGAGTGAGTGTAAAATATTCAAGAAATGAAAAAGCGATCAGTAAATTCACTGTAGAAGGAGATACGTTGAAGAAAACTTAAAATTAGGCGAACTTGAGAAGTTTTGAGCTTTTTTTCTGGTTAGATAAGGCAAATCAAAAATTTCAACAGGAAACGTTGATGACAAAAAATAGTCAATCATGAGTTTTTCAGTTGCGTCATCGTCATGCCGGTGAAAATGTCGGCTGAAAAGGCGTCAGTCATCAACGCCTTGGGCTCCAAAATCATCCGCACGCCCAACGAAGAAGGCTTCGATTCGCCCAAGTCTCACATTGGAGTGACTCTTCGTCTTCACAGGGAAATTCCCACCGCCGTCGTCTTGGATCAAGTAGGCTCTATAGTCCATTCAAGACTGCTTTATGATTCAAAACAGCCGTAAAATCTCTAACCTTTTTTTATTTCCATGATTTACTCGCAAAGTCATTAGATGTAATGTTGAACCAAGTAGATAAGAAGTCAAGAAACAACTTTGTTTATATTTTTCAGTACCGCAATCCGGCAAACGTGATGACTCACTACGAACAGACCTCTCTTGAGATTATCCACGACCTCGAACACATGACTCTTGATATGCTGGTTTGTTGATTTTTTGTTTATTGGTTGGGCGATCCCTCATTGAACAGATGCTCGCGTAACGTTCAAAATAATGGCCAAGTGTTTCTTTGAAAAAGGGATGTGAGGAAATCTTAATGAACTTTTGCTCACATTTTTGTTCATCTTGGTGAATCTATCGAAAAAAGCGCAAAACCGAAAATCAACTTTTCTTGCTAAACTTTTATATGAACCCTCAAAACATTCAAAAAATTTTTTTGTAGGTCATCGGAGCCGGAACAGGAGGAACCATGACTGGAACCGGTCGTCGCATCCGCGAACAGTTCTCAGGCGTCAAAATTATCGGAGTCGATCCCGAAGGCTCCATTCTCGCTCACAAAGATCACACCAAGATGGCACCTTATGAGGTTGAAGGAATCGGCTACGACTTCATTCCTGGAACTTTGGACCGAGATGTCGTTGATGAGTGGTCCGTTGTCAATGATCAGGTTAGTAAGAATAATGGTGAACTCTTCCTTGCCAGTATGAGGTTTTTTTGTGGTTTCAATCCAGGTTTCATCAATTAGAAAATTCTTAGGAGAGCTTCGACATCGCCAGAGATCTGATCGCCTTGGAAGGAATTCTGGCCGGTGGCTCTTCTGGAACAGCTGTCAAGGCTGCCATTGAGGCGGCCAAGGATCTTCCAGCCACCGCAAATGTCGTTGTCATCCTTCCAGATGGCATTCGCAACTACTTGTGAGCTCAAAACTCAAATAATCAACAAAAAATTTGTTTTACAGGTCCAAGTTCCTGGACGACGACTGGATGGAGAAGAAACACTTCAAAATCGACCATTAATCGATCCAATCGCATTTTCTTCTCTGGTTTCCTTTTTTGGTTTCCTTCACTTGTTTTCCACGGTTTCCCTTTCGCATTTATGAATTCCTTAATACAATCTTCAAAATTTCTCGAAAATTTAAGTTTAGAACGGTTTCACGTTTCTGCTTATTTGAAAATCACCAAAGATGCTCTCTGATTCGTTTTTCTGTGGCTTATTCTTTTTCTTTCCTCTTACTGCTTTGACTTAGCTTTTGTTGACTGTGCTTATAAACTTTTTGGTAGCTTTTTTGTGGTTTTGCACAATCCAAACCGGGAAGAAAGGAAAGAAATGAAAGTCTCCTCCCGCGCTATTTGGAGACAAAAGAAGGGGTGTAATCGTACACAAATTCTTTTTTTGCGCCCTTTCTGCTATATATGAAGACCTCAGATAACAGTAATCTCAATTTAGTTTTTCTCAATTTCAGTATATCTTCTGGAAAAATGAAGCTGCAAGTTTCGAATGAGAATTTATGTTTTGAATTTACGATTAGATCATCGACGTTAGGGACTTGAAGACTTTTTGAGGACGTTTGTTGCGTTTATAAATACATTCATGGATATTTTTGGAGTGTGTCGTCTGTTAATTTGATTTTTTTGATGTTTTATTTTTTGTATTTTGCGTGCAGATTGCGGAATGGCGAATACACACTTGAAATGAAAATATTGACATTTCTCTAGAAGCAAGAGATGCAAATGAGCCATCGGAATGATTACGGTAAGCTGTGCAGATCTTTTTGATAAAGGCCAGCCAGCCCAAAAATCAGCAATCTACCTACAATAAAAATCATCGAAATGGGTCTTCCCAGTGAGAGACCATTAATTATTTTCATCGAAGATCTTTTAATGCTTCTGCTTCCAAGAAAAACCCAAAAAAGCTTGAGAACGATGAAAACGGAAGTAATAACTATAAACTTTCTCCCGAAATCAAACTTCTACAGCGTTTCAGAAAGTGATGAGCCATAAAATAATAATTTTGGTTTTTCTGGAAAAACTTTTTTTAAAAACGAAACGAAATTAAAGGAAAAAAACAAATAATTGGTATTTTTTTCTCAATTGAGAAAAAAATAAAAAGAGCCCTATAGGGGCTACCTGAATTTTCCTTTAGATGAGCATTTTTTTAGCCCCATAGAGGTGGTTCTTTACCCTAAACGCCTATAGGAACCAAACTGGCGTCCCCAAGCTCATTGTGCGCGTCCTTCTCGTCTCCGAGTGCGTCACTTTTCATTTTCCGTGTTTTTCGTTGTTCTGTTTTGAATTTTCATTCCTTGTCGTCTTTTAGTAGTTTTTTTTTCAGAAGATGCTCACGTTTGTCCAACAAGAACACTTGATTGATCTGATCAAGAAACAGAGATGCGTGTGGGATTCCTCCGACGATGGCGACGTTGAATTTGCCTGGACGGCGATCAGTCGCCAATTCAATAAAAAGTATAAGACCAGGAAACTAGGTTTGATTATTTTTCTATTTTTTTCTAGATATTTTGATGGTATTTTATAGAGTTCACTTTAAATTACAATTTCTACTTACAAATTTGGGTTTCGATATTCGATTTGTAGATTTTTTTCATGCTGTATTAGTATCATTTCTCCAAATCTTTTTATGGGAAGTCATAAAAATGTTTTTTTCCAGGCGATGATCTTGCTGATGAATGGGCCGCCATAAAAAAAGAAGTTTTTGAAATGGAAAAATGTTCCCTGAGACCCACGTTCGCCCTCGTTATTGGCGAGAACTTAAATTTCTCGACAAGACGTCGTGAGTTGATCTTTAAAAAAAAATAAATTAATTTTCAATTTTAGAACAGCGCAAAAAAAGGGACCCGTCCCCTGTCGAAGAAATGGAAGATTTAGGTAGGTTTCGATTAAATGAAGTGCTTTAATTAATAAAAAAATTTGTATATCAGGAAATTTCGTATACGATATTTATCTACTTTTGAAATTTTTTTAGGGAAGTAGTGCATGAATAATAAAAAATCCGTTTGAGATCGAGTTCTATTCGAAAAGATTATTTTCATTCATTTATAAAAACTTACTGATACTCCAAATATCCATCGCGTCAGTTTCCGTTGTACCGCCCTCACAAGTCTTTTTTCCCTCTTTTTCAATGTTCAACTACGTAAAATCTTGGAAACTTCAACTTCTCGCTCAAAATTTATTTTTTGAAGTCTATTAGTTATCAACAATCTGTGAATGAAAGTTTATGAAGCAGGGGACAAAAATTGGATCGAGTTTCATTCAAAGTTTCATTTCATTATTTATCAGAACTTACTGTTTTCAGAAATGGAGATGAGCCAATTTGGAATAGTCCCTACTGATGCCCACCTGGAAAATTGAGCCGGACTAATAAATTGGTGAGTATTATGAAGTGTAAAGCATCATTTGAAGAAATTCACGAACTTTCATTATTAAAATTCTTTTTTTTCAGGTCTCTTTCGCGAACGTCCGCCATTTTCTTCTGCTTTTGCATCGATTTAATTATATTCTTACTTTTATCCACCTATCCACATGTTTTCGTAGCCATATTTTACCATCGTCCTGTTTCTAGAATTTTTTTTTAATTCATAGATAAAATCATTTTGAACAATTTGTTGTGCATGGAAGTCCATCTTACACAGTAGCTATTGCAATAATTGAGTTGAAGTTTCTTTTTTTTTATCAATTGGCGTTATTCAAATGATGAATAATGATGATATAATAAAGACTTTATAGAAATTCTTATATTAGGTTGTTTACTAAATTTCTTTCTTTTTGAAACACTCTTCTGTTGAAAAAGTATGAATGAAAGCTCGATATTCTGAGCTCTTAAAGATTTCCTGTGATTTCCCTCAAGATGTCGTTTTGTTTACTTACAGTAACACTGACCTACTTTCTCCTCTTTCCTCTCCTGGAGGTAGAAAAGTTCAGTAGCCGAATCCGCGCGTGGCGTCCCTTTTTTGCAGTTCCTCTTGTGTTGCCGCGGCGGCGACTCCTTGCAACTCACTCCTCCTACAGGACCCCCGAGCTTTTTTTCGGCTCCAGACGGCTGAACTTGGACTTATCCGGACAATGACGGACCGCCCCTTGTCATTTCGACAGTCACACGTGCTACTGAGTAGACGCCTTCCAAGGACCAACTTCTGCTTCTATCATGACCAAGACGATGAAGAAGACCGGAAAGAAGACCGAGAAGCGCAACAACGATCCCGACATGACTGATGAGCAGGTTCTTTTTATTATCTTATTTCTTAGATTTCAATCAACTGTGTTCAGTTTGAGTTATAGAAAACCTAAAAAAAAATTTTTTTTTTGTCTGACTCCGCTAAGTTTTGTGTTATGTCCGTGGAATCGGAAACGCAATCAAAATCTAAGAATCTTTTCGAATATCTCAAGTATCGTTTCTGGTCAAAAAGGACTTCAGGTTGACGCAGTCTTTATCAGAAGACCCCTTTCAAGTTAATCTTGGCTCATTAATTGAAATTTCATTTTACAGATCGCTCAAGATGAGGAATTTTTTGCGAACTGCACTCCGCAGGAGGAGTTGGAAGTTCTCGACGAGTTCCTCTCGACTCTTCTGCCAGATAACTTGTGGGAAATCGTCATGGACAACTTCTACGTTGTACATACGCGTCTTACCAACTTGGCTCGTCATGGACATTGAAGAAAAAGTATCTCATTCATCAAAAGTGTCATATTCTTTTACCAATATTGTTAAAGATCCTTTAGTTTTTTTTTCTTTATCATAAAATCCTTTGAAATCATTGCGCATTTCTTGTTGATTTTTTGATTGTTTCGATGAGAATTTATAATAAAAAAAATTCAAGCTTTTCTCTGAGTTTAAAAATCGCAGAAGGATAGAAATATCATAAAGAGTTTCATAAAAGTTTCTAGCTCTGAAACTTTTTAGTTCAATAGTTTCTAAGTAGTTTTTGATGTTCAATGCGATGCGAAACGGTAAAAGTTGGATTGTCTATTGATCCCTAGCTTGAGACAAAAGGAAGATAAAACACACAAAAACTCCATTTCAGTGCTTTTCTAGCAAGTGATTTGACGATAAAAACTTTCTGAAACCGGCAATAAGTTGAAAAAATGATAATAAATTTGCATCTAAAATATTCGCAAATTTCAACCAACTTTAAAATAATTTTGATTTCAACGAGAACCTTCCTGCCAAGTTGAAGGTCAACAATTGAGAAAAACCAAAAAAAGACACGAAAAGAAAAAAATGTCATTTTTTTTTCAGGTTTTAGTGACAATAAAAATTCTTCCTGTTTATTTGGCCCTACTCCTTGCTTGAAAGTTATAATGAAAACTTTTTTTTCTCTTGCTTTCTGTATTCTGTAAAGACGTCTTTGAATATTCGCATCAAGAGAAAAAAAATTAAAAAATTCAAATTAAATTTCGATAATCTCAGGTTTTACTGGGAGATTTTACTGGTACTATCGAAATCAAATTTTCGAAGAAATTGACAAAAATTTTTCAATATAAAGGATCACTTTCTTGCTAAGTGAGAGTTAACTCGCCTTACTTCAAACAAGTCGAAAAAAATATTAGAGAAAGGAAACTTTTCGGAGAGATTATTATATAAAATTAACATTTTTTTCTGCTTATTTGGCTATACTTACCCTTGCAAAAAAATAAAAAAATAAAAACTTTCATTTTTTTGCCCATTGCGTCGCTGGCTGTGTCGAGATGCCTTTGTAATACTGTCTCGAGATCATGAATGAACTATAAAAAAGGCCTTAGAATAATACTGCCTCGATTTCATGTCGTCTATGCGTTTCAACGCTTCATGCGCTTGCCCTCAAGATATCTTTTTGTTTGCTTACAGTAACACTGACCTACTTTCTCCTCTTTCCTCTCCTGGAGGTAGAAAAGTTCAGTAGCCGAACCCGCGCGTGGCGTCCCTTTTTTGCAGCTCCTCTTGTGTTGCCGCGGCGGCGACTCCTTGCAACTCACTCCTCCTACAGGACCTCCGAGCTTTTTTCGGCTCCAGGCGGCTGAACTTGGACTTATCCGGACAATGACGGACCGCCCCTTGTCATTTCGACAGTCACACGTGCTACTGAGTGGACGCCTTCCAAGGACCAACTTCTGCTTCTATCATGACCAAGACAATGAAGAAGACCGGAAAGAAGACCGAGAAGCGCAACAACGTTCTCGAGAGGACAGATGAGATGGTATGTTTTTTTGTTTTGTTTCATTGATACAAAAAAATTTTTTCAGAAATTCGATAATTTTGTTACTAAAAATCTCCAAAAAAATAATTTTTTTGCTCTGTTTTTTTGCTTAAAGTTTTTTTTAGGCGGAAACTGAACCAAAAAAATTGATCTAAAAACGGTCGGAACGGCAAAAAGGTCTATGAGAAAGTTTCTGATAAAGATTTATTCAATTTTTTTTTATCTTCCATTTTTCTTAAAGATAACGACGCCCTTAACCAATTATCACGCTTTGAAACAAACTTCCGATCTTAAAAATAAAGATCTTCATTTGCTCAAGAACCTTTACGAGCTTTAACATATTTTGGCTGCTTATAAATTTTCAACAATTTTCTCGATAGTTATGATTACAAATTTGATATCAAAGATGACATTTGATACTCGAGTAGTCCAAGTTTTTAGTTTTTCCTTTACAGATGGCCGAGAATGAAAAACTTCTTGTCGAAGACAGTCCGCAGGATGAGAAGGAGTTGCTAGAAGTTCTCAACTCTCAAATGTCCAAAAAAGAATGGGAAGTCGTCATGAAGTCCAGCGAAAAGATGCTCAAGATAGGCGGCTTCCAAAAGGTAATGATTAACTTTCACTATATTATCGGATCGTTTTGAATGAAAAATCAAGAATTGAGTTTATCTATTTAATTTTCTACGCTGACTTCAAATCTGTGTATGAAAACAAAAATAATTGCCTCGTGAGGATCTAGTCTTTCCTGTGAGCTTCTACCGGTTCATTTATTTTTTTTTTCAGATGACCAAAGACAAGAAACTTTTTGCCAAACCCGCTCCGCTGAGGGAAAAAAGAACTACAAGACAAGCTTCTCGAGTCCAACGACGAGGAGAAACCAGAAAATCTGCAAAGACGATTTTTAAATTGTAAATAGGCGTCTCAAGAACTGGATTTAAAAAATGATTTTTTTTTTCAAAAATTCACCGGGTTTTTATCAATTTTGGTTATACTTCAGTTGATTTTTTGTTTTTTTTGTTCCTTTTTTGTTATAAGTTTTCAAACTGTTAAGTCAATTTTTTTTGTTGATTTGTCTGTTCTGCTTTGATAAATTATATTACAACCATTGAAGTTTTAGCTTTTTTTCTGAGCTTAAGGTTTACGGGGCCATTACCATGAAATGAATAAATTATCAGAAATTCGTAAAGGGTCGATTTCATTTGAATTTCAAAATGATGAAATTGAACCGCCAGGATTATAAATTGTATTTTTTCGAAATTTCTGTTGAATCACGTTACTTTTTTGTATAATATCCTTTTTTTGAGATGAAATTATTCGAAATTTGAGATGAAAAAATCATTGTAGTTTAAATTTTACCAATCGTTCATGAGACGTTGTTGAAACAGTAAAATAACATTGTTTCATTGATTTCCAAATTTTTTGAACGAATAACATACAAAATATCTGGCCAAATTAACATGCAAGTTTCGACAAATACTATCAAATCTCAGTTAGACAAGCCAAAAAATAATGACAGCACACAACATAAACGTGAGACAAGCTGTTTCGGGAGGGTTTGAGATCAGAAAACTGAAATTCTGGGATTAATTACAGGGAGAGGAGGAAATTTATACAAAATGCTAGTTGACGGACTGAGAAATTTTGACTTTTTCGATGATTTTTTGTCCTGGTTAGCACCAACCCTGTGGAAAATTGAATCTATTTGAGCAGCCAAAATTTAAATTATAGATGGAGCTGATGACTTTTGATTGATTTTGAAGACTAGAAACATATTCAAGTTTGCGGTCGCATTGGGAATGGCTTGAGATGTTTCGTGGCTGCTTTTTTTGACCTGATAGGACTTTCAGGATTATTAGAAAAATGAAAATCTCAAGATCCGGATAGAATCGTAACTCTTCAGTCATTCCAAATGCGACCACGTTGTTGAAAGAGCAAATAGGGAAAAAATTATGTCTGAGGAAAGCGTTTTTTTCAAAATTTTTGACTTAGCTTCAAAGGTCACAACCACTATGATACACTGTTTTGTTTGACTAAATGACGATAGGTAGTAAAAAAAAACCAGCACAAAAATGCGTATAATACAGGGAATGTTCAAAAAGAAAAGAAAAATGAGATTTTCATCCTCGAATTTCGACTGGATTGGCCAAACAATCAAGGGCCATTTCTCCCAAAGTCTCCTTGGCCGCTTCTATCGCAGGGCCTCCAGCGGAATATCTGAACAAAATCGAAAAATCATGGGAAGTGATGGAAAAAACCAACATTCTGTAGAAGTCGAATCCTTTCAGAGCGTCGTATTTTGGTCTTGTCTTAAAGTCTTTCGTCAAGCTGTAAAGGAAAATATGTTAGATACTTTTTTCGGTTCTTCCTTTTTGTAGCTTGGATCGCCATAGTCGCGCTTGGAATGGCTCGACAAATTGAGAAACCCTTTTTTAAAATTTTTTCTATTTTCCCGGAAACTAGCCAAATGTTTAATTGATGTACTTTATGAAGGCACTGAAAGTCAAACCTGCACAAAATTTTTGTTTTTTTGGAAGCTGGACTAAAATTGAAAAAAAAACGGATAAGCTGCTATCAGCCATTCCAAATGCGACCCTGGCCGCCTAGATTCGGTAAATCGAGCAAAAATCATAGAGAAAACTAACCAGGTGTTGACGAACTTGACAAGGGGTAGACTATAGTGGAATTGTCCTTCATTGGGCCTCAAAATTGGAGGATCGCCATTGACAACCTCAACCGCAAATTGATCATATTGATCTTTTATAAATATACTCACTGCTGTGATTTGATCAAAAGGGGACACCCATTCCTTGTAAGGGAAGACACCGGTGGAGATTTCGTACTGAAAGAAAAATAATGAAGGATCGGAATTTAAAACTGAAACTCACTAAAGTGATGCCCAATGACCAGACATCGGCTCGTACGTCGTAGTGACCGTAATTTGTTACTCGTTCTGGCTGAAAATATCAAAATGAATGAGAATTATGAGGAATGTAACTGAAAATCTGAATTTTAGTTCTTACATCCGAGAAAAATCTACCGAGGGTCATTGCGAAATAATGAGCAAAAAAAGAGAGTTTTAAAAGCTGTCTAAACCTGGAGCTCAAAGTTATGAGATAAATTTTTAACATGTTTATAGAAAAAAATTTGAGCTTCAGATATTAAATTTAGAGTTATGAAAGTATTTCAATCAGAATTCTTTCAAAACTCACCGCCAAATATGGCTGACACCCGGCGTCGTGAGTTTTTACAACCGAATCCTCTAGCTGGCCGCAGATTCCGAAATCGCAAAGTTTTACTTGTCCGGTTCGGTCGACCAGAATATTTGATGGTTTCACATCTAAAATCAGACTCAAAAAATATCAAAGACTCAAGAAAAGGGACAAATACCTCGATGGATAATAGAGAGCGCCTTTTTCAAGTAGTCCAGGGCATCGATGGTCTGTAACGAACAATTAACTTTTTTTTTAAATTAAGAAACATTTCTGTGACAATTTTTAGGTGGTATGAAAAAAGACAAGCGAAAATTTAAACAACGACTTTTTCGATTTTTTTCATATCGCTAGGGAACTTTCGGAAGGCCACCTTTCCGACGGAATTTTTTCTCGATAAACTCTTCGTTTCGAATCTTCCTATATAAAGAAGGCAAGTTATACATGTTAAGAACACAAAGAAATAGCAAAAAATGAAAAAAAAATATGAGGGGAAAAAGTCGGAAAAGTGGCCGTCGAAAAGTTCCCTAGCAATACGAAAAAATCGAAAAAGTCACCGTTCAAATTTTTGCTGGCTTTTTTTCCATACCACCAGTTTTTAGAAGCTTGAATATTTTTTTTCTGCTCAGTAATTCCAACAAACATTTTCGGAATCTTTTTTCCAACCTATTCATTCTTAACGTCAGCTGAAACCGCAAGTTGCGTTAAGAAAGTTTTCAAACGGAAAAAAGAAAACTGTACAAAAAAATATAAGGCCACGCCATCGATGATTATTTCAGCGAGTTGCGAAACCCAAAAATCGTGCGTCAGCCACTTCGGATTCCTCCAATCGGCTCCACTCTTACCTGCCTTCCAGAAAAAAGCTCAGCTTTCTTCTTTCCTTTCTTTCTTTTGCTTCCATCTTTTTTCTATTTTTTGATTTTTCGTGTGATTTTTTGACAAAGTTCGTAGAAACTCACGCAAACAGCAATGTGGCCGATGACATTTTCTTCGAGTCGGCTGTGTTTTTCGTGGTAAACTCTTTTGTAAAGAGGGTCCAATGAGACGTCCATCAGCTCCATACAAATCCAACAATCTCCCTGAAAAAAACTGTTTCTTATTTTGTTTCCATTTACATTTTTTATTATGTTTTTGATATTTTTTGAGTTGAGAAAATGTTGTAAAAATTGAAAAAAAAAATTTATTGGGTTCCTTGTCCCCCTGTGTGGTTTTAAATTTTATTGACATTCTCCCAGTGAATTATTTCTTATTTCTGCTTATTCTTTCTATCAGAAGCCCTCCGAGAAAAAGTCGAAAAACATAATCAGAACCTTTTTTTTATCCATCTAATCCTCTCAGACCTTCTGAACAAAACAAAGCTCAGAGCTCAAAATTCGACGTTCGGCAAGGTATTTCATCACAAAGTTGTGTGTATGTCCCGAAATTTCGCAACATACTCTACCTGCGTCTTGACCTCAATTTCCTATCTCCTCACATTAATTCGATTCAATAATATTTGAGAGAAAAAAAAAAACCTCATGAAAAATGGCTCCAAAGAACTTGACAATGTTTGGCCCGCGTTCGGATTTCACAATCGTGTCGTGCTCCCTCAAAAGCCGCTGTTGATCCCTCTTATCGACGTTGTTGCAACGGATTCTCTGCAAAAACAAACACTCGCTTCATAATTATGGGTTTGAGCAATAGTTGATGTACTAATAAGGAAGAGAAACCGATGGTTTCCATTCAGGCATGAAAAAAAAACAGAAAAATCAAAAGATTATGTAAATTTTGAAGATTCAAAGAGATTAGATTTTTTTTTTCTTCGCTGATTTCAGTGTTTCATGAAATCAGCGCAAGCCGTTTTTAATCGGGCGCAATTTTAATTCAACTTTTCTCGATATATCAAGTGATTTTTCCAGTTTTAACTACCTTGCAATACAACTTTTTTCGAACAAACAATATCCAGCCTTTTTCAGACTTCATACCTTGACGGCCATTTCCCTTCCGGTGTCTCTATGGATCATTTTGTTGACGGTCCCGAAATTTCCGCTGCCAATCGTTCCGCGGTCAATCAAGTTGGTGTAATTGAATGTGTATTCTCGGTCTTCATCCGGGTATTTGAGCATTCCCGTAGAAAGAGAACGTCTGAAATTTAATTAAAATAAAAAAATGCTGTTCGCGATTGGATTGGATTTTTGTTGGAAGGCTTCAGCGAATGAAAAATATTGGGCAAACTGAGAAAAAGATGATACATTAGAAGGCTTCTAAGTCTTTTTTCTAGACTTGAAGTTTTTTTTTTGCATTTTTTCTTTCGAATATAGTGGTTGAGACCCACGCAAAGATGAAGGAATTCAGAGATGTTAGCATTTATCCAAAAAAAATCATTTTTATAGACTTTTTCTCGAAAAATTTTGTTACAAGGAACTCATTTAAAAACTTTTTTTCAAAATTTGATAGTTTCAAAACTCACAGAACGCTCTCCTCGATGACTTCGACTTCGTTTCCATTCAATGAAAGAGACAATGGACGGACCGAGAAGCTATTCGGCCGCTCGTTGGGGATCCGCCTCAACTCTTCGTCGTCTCGGGCCATAGGACCCTAAAGTAAGTACTTAAGGAAATCCAAGTGAATGGGGCAAAACGAGCAAAAGTCGCGGGTGGACTGGAGATAAATGAAAAAAAAATGTCTCTCGTGACTTGAGCTACAATGAAAAGCAAAAGAAATAAAATTATGGGTGTAATTTTTAATGAAGCAGGAAAGAAAGGTAAAATTATCTTTTGTATTAATAAAGTGTAGGGTGAGAGATGAAGAGTTTAAGCGCATCTGAAAACTCGTTATTCAAAATGGATATGGTTGAAATTCGAATGTAGGAGCAAATATTGAAATGAAATATTGAAAGTAACAGAAATTTATAGGTTGTGTATCTTGAATGAAACACAGAAAGAGGTAAGATCCAAGTCATGTTTTATTGAAATGAAGGGTATGAATTATGAATTGGATATATGAAACACGCCATTTTCTGGCTTCGAAAATTGAAGCCCATAAAAGAAGTCATTTCTTCGGACAAATGAAGAAAAAATTGAAGTTTTAATTGAAATTCGCTTGAAGAAGAAAATTTATTGAGACACGATTGATGAGTTTTCAGAAGAACTGAGTTATGAGCTTGATGTTTCGAACGGAAAAAGAAATATTATTTCATCAAAGAAGGTATGAATTTTGATTTCTTTATATTTTTTTCATCAGCTTCTAGCCTATAAAAAGTGGGATAATTCTGAAAGACGATCCAAAAACTAATAAATAAAAAAAGAATGAGATACGAATTCTGGTCATAGAACGCAATTTAATAACGGGATAAATGATACGAATTAAATTCAAAGTTGAGATTTGGAGGCGAAGTGCTCAGAATCTCGAAAAATCCAATAATTTGGCCTTGAAGATGATGAAAGGAAACAGTTTTTTTACAAATTTGATAAATTCAATCCGTCAAATCTTCATTAATTAGCTCATCCAAACATGTGATATGAACTAATTTCTCTCAAATCTCACAACTTTCCTACCAAAACTTTTTATATCTCTTCTAAAAAAATAAAGTTCCTGATCAAAAATTTGCTAGAAGGAATCAGCTTGGAAAAGGATAATAAAAAAAGAAGAAAAATGTGGAACTATCCATTCAAATAATAAGTTGATTAGCTTTTTAAAAAGCCATTTTTCAAAGTTTTAGTTCATTTACCAATTATTTAAGACAACATTCTTTGGAGTTCTTATTATAATTAACCACACCAAACTCGAAAAACTCAACTTTAGTGTCTTTTAAGGCTTTTTTGTTTCAAGCGGGCCATGGATTGGAGTAAACTGTCTTCCTTCAGCCTTCTAGTTCATTCAAAGCGTTTCAAAGATACGGTAGAAAAATTCAAAAGGCATCTGGCATGAATGCGTTACTGTGGTGGGAAAAAAGGAGGAGGAAAAAAGGTGCAGGACCGCCGCTAAAAGGATGTGGGTCAAAACGTAGAACGATGAGTTTTCGTGAGCTTTTCTCGACAGTGAGCGCCCGAGAGTGTCCCTGGGTCGATTGCTAGCGTAGTCGCTCAGGCGGCAATCAATAGAACACTGGCAACTCTCGAATAGCCGCCACTTTAGGTTTTTTCCTGGATTTCAATGGGTTTTCCTTTGAAGACCCACCTAATTGCTTTTTTTTTGACTTTCAGAGCAGTGGAAAATGTGGAATTTTTTCAGTCAGGTTTTTTTCGCGTTGCATGATAATAGATTTTTAATAACAGGTATATTTTGCTCCAATATCTTCCATAGGATCTTCAGTAACTAAACAACCTGATTGCTTTTCTTTCGCTTTTTGTGATTTTCAGAGAAGTTAGAAAAAGATTATTTTAAACAAACCGACGGATTTTAAGTTTCATTATTGTTGAATTTCGTGAACAGGTGAACAGGTGAACATTTTTTTCCGTTTTTTTTGTTGTATTTTCACTAACGAAAAAATTCTGAGCCCTTGTTGTTAAATTACAGAAAAGCATTGCAAAACAGTTAATTTCTTTTTTTTTTTTGAACAAGGTCTCGTTTAAAGTGTAGAAAGATGCCGTTTTTTTCAAGAATTTGACTGTAAGAATTGAGAAATGGATCAGGAAAGGTCCATCTAGACCAGAATAATGATGATCCTGTAAAATTCAAGCCTACTTCGATAAGTTATGTGTTAACGTTAAAAAAAATTGAAAAAAGTCAGGATTTTTCGCACAAAAAACGATTTTATGAGGTCTTTCGATCCATTGACCTTTATTCCTTTCAAGATTTTCATAATCCTAAATTGCGAAAGATTAGTTCTAATTACGTGAAGAAAACTATGAAAATTCGGACTTTTCTCAATGATATTTTTTTTTACGATATTAGCTTTTAAGAATTCCTAAAACTTTGGCGTTCATTTTTTTTTTCCAGGAAATTTCTCAAATTTCAATTTTTGATACTCCAGCTGAAAAAACATAGCCAAGGTGGCACTTGGGAAAAATTTCGTATAACAGAGAATGGGAAAGAAATCAGACTTAAAATGAAAAATAAAAAAATTAGAAAAATAGACGTTCGAGGCGCTGATAAGGTAGCTTCTTTGGATCGACACAAAAAATGCGAGATTTTTTTGAATTTGTTGACAAAAGTGAAACAGAAAAGTCAAGAAGAAGTTATTTATAGATATTATTGGTCGCGAAATCGTCAGAAAAAAAAAATCCACTTACCTTGCAGGCAAAAAAAGATTAACTGAATTTTTACGATATTACCAGTGAAGTGAAACAGAAAAGCCATGAAACCAAAAACAACAGAAACAATTTCAAGACAGCGGAAACGACAAAACCTTGACTTTTCGTTTGATTTGAAGGACGAATAAAGCAATCAATCTCTAGTTTTTCTAATATTTACCAAACTCTCAATGCGAAAAACATAAAACGGAAGCAACTGTAACAATTTTCAATCCTTCGGGCCTAACGGAAAAAGGAAGGTTTTTCAAACGAGGAAGACCAACTGAAACCCGTTTTTCTTCGGACAAACAAGCCAATTCTGCGTTTTTTCATCTCATGTGAGTTTGAAAAAAGGAAAAAAAGAAGAGGAGATACAAGAAAGCCATGAAGAAGAGCGAAAGCTAGAAAAATAAGAGTTCTCTGCAGGAAAAAAGCTCAAAATTTTTCTTTTAAACAAGTTTGAAATTTTAAAAAGAGGCTATATTATGAGAGATCCGTTGGAAAAGTCAGCTGCCGCGAGTTGATCATTGGATTTTGAGAGGAATGGTCAAACTCGACGAATCTTTTTTGAAAGTGAGATTGAAAAGTTGGTTTTTTCTTACTAGAGACGTTGTTCAATTATCCCGCGTCGTCTTAAAATCGCTCCAAAACTTCAAAAAATTAAAATTAGTTTGAATTCAATATAATAACCAGTAATTCAAAATTCTGCATTTTCTGGAGCTGAGCCGATATTTTCAAAAAAAGTTCTCTAGAGATTCATGTGCAATAAATTGTTTTCAGATCTCAATTATATATTTTCCCGGAACGGTCTCAACTGAAAATAGAACTGACCCAGCCCGAAATAGCTCTACGAAGTGAATTTTTCAAGAGACGGGTGAATATTCAGTAGCCGAACTTCTTTTTCCGTGCCCTTTGCGAACATGGGATGGCGAAATCGCAAAGGGGCGACATGTTTGTCACTCGGAAAGACAGATGAAATGACAATTTCCCGGGTTCTCTGACGTCCTTTTGAGCAAAAGCCAACGCCGAAAATACAATTTCGGGAGGTTTTGTGACGCATTTGACACGAAAGGTCTGGTCGGACTACAATTCTCGAAATAGCTTCACTTGCGATGGTGGTCTTCTCAATGTGAAGCTTTACATATTCTGATTTTTTTTTTTGATAAATCGGTCAAGCGAAAATTTCCCTGAGATCGAAAACTGGGAGTAGAAAATTATTTTTGAAGGTATCAACTTTCAAAGTTTCTCATACTTCGTCAAAACGACGCATGTAGCGTGAATTCGGATTTTCTCAGAAATATGATTCAATTCAATTCAATTTCAATTTATTCAGTCTTCAGAGTAAGATGAAGAAAATCTCTGCTGAATCATGGTTCAATCGAAGAGTTAGTCGTCGGCGCGGGTTACGGTCCACAATCGTTGTCCAATAAGTTCCGGCGTGACAGCTACTGTTAGGAAATAATGTGGGCCCGTTGGTAGTACCAGCGAATAAACTGCTTCACCATGTTGGAACAGTACGGAGCCCAGCTTGTCCAGGGCTGACGGGCGTCGAAATATTATCCCATAAAAGAGCGGCATAGAGACCGACCAGTCGACGTGATGAAATGAGATAATAATAATAGGGGTGAGTATCCGCGTCTGTCAGAAATATGAGTTCTTCAGTAACTATGAGCAAGCAATAACCCTCTTGTCGGAAATTTTGAGCTTCATCTACTTTTTCAGAAGCTTTTCGATAAAAGAAATATGGCTCTTTCACAAAATAAAATTAATTCTATGCAAACGGGCAATCCCGACCTTTTAGCGAAAAATTTAGGCAAATATTAAAGACAGATGAAAAAAGTGACGTTTTTCTGAGCAGAAGGAAAGACAGAGAATACAATTTTAGAGTTTTTCGTGACGCAGGTGTCACTGGATATTTGCCTTTTTTTCAGATTTTGTCATTTTCAGGAGGTTGATTTAATAATTCCAATTCTTCTCAGATTCTCATTGAAGACTTCTTTTTTCTGAATTTGATGTGTTGGCAACTGGAAAAGGAAAAGCTCTTTGAAATAAACAAGCTCTGGTTCTCACAAGGTTTTCGAGCTTATGTGCTCCGCTCGAGGCTAAATACTGAAAAAAGTTGAGTGTTGCAATTTCAAAATCAAAAAAATTCCGGGAATCAAAAAGAAAAAAAAGAAAGTCAACCTTTGATAGTCCCTTCGGCGTCGTTGGGCTCAGAAACCAAACAGATTATCAAAAATGTCTTCAACTTCCAGTTCAAAACAAAATCAGAAATCATAGAAACTGAGGCTTCTTCAAATTATTCAGTTTAATACTTGCTTCTGCTCCTGCATTCTTTACCAAAGATTTCCAAAATTTTCTCAAATTTCTAGTGCTTATTTATTCGCTTCGTTATTTCAGAAAATCTAACGCTTGACAACTGAAAAATGAATATAAGGCCCATTCATACCTAAAACCTGATAAAAAAAATCTTAATCCAGAAAGAAAAAAAAATCAATATTCCTTTGCTTTGAACCTTCTAAAAAGAAAAAGATTGGAGTTGCAGCCAGAAAATTCTTAATAGATAGGCCAATACGTGGCGACAGCGTATCGATAGTTCATGTCCTTCTAAGCTGCAATGATTTTCACGAATTATTATTTTTAAGTTATTATTAAAAGTTGACCAGCTTCCGTTTTCAGCTTCCTTCGATACAATATAACCTCTGGACGGATAAAATTGGATCAAAAAAGGTTAAAAACACGTCCGGAGTGTATTTTTGGGATTGCGATAGTTCAAGTACCTTCTTCATATCTAATTTTGTTCGTGGCTGTATAGAAAGTAGCGAGCTCAAGCTGCACACCTATTCCATTCTAAATGCAGCAAAAATAGCTAACCAAAATGTGAATTGGAGTCATCTTATTATTCCGAATAGTTTGATCATAAACATTGTTTGAAATTTATATCTTATATAGAAAATATTGGGCTCCATTCTAAAATCTCTCCCACTACAAGACAACCTCCAAATGATTTGAAAATTATCCAGAATGGATGGATTATCATATCATTCTGAATAGTTTAATCATTGTCATTGTTTGAAATTTCTATCCGGTATAGAATTTATTAGGCTCTATTTTCACACCTCTCCCACTACAATACAAACTCTGAATGCCGCGAAATTAGCCATACGAGGACCAAAACGTGGCTCGAGTGTATTGTTATCATTCAACGGAGGAGGGCAACACTGTAGCCGCATGTTTTAATCTTTCTTGGGGACGATTCACGCCAGTGTTCATCAGTTCTCCGCGACGCGTTTCCAGTCTCTAATTTTTCTCCTTATCCATTTTTCCCCCCAAAACTTTTTATCCTCCCACAACCATTTCGAGATAGTTTTCATGTTAATACTTGAAGATTTAAAGAAAAATATGCTTACGTAAAACAAAAAAAAACCTGTTCAGAAGCGATGTCTCTGCGATACGACGGCAAAGTGGCCATTGTGACCGGCGCTGGAGGCGGTTTGGGCAGAACCTATGCGTTGGAACTGGCCAAACGCGGCTGCAAAGTTGTCGGTGAGAATTATCAGTTTGTTTGGAAAAAATATCTTCGATGCCTGTTTGAGACGATATTGGAGATAGCGATCATATAATCGGCCAAAAAATGGAATTAACAAGGGTTTTTACAAGTTTCTAAATGTTTTGAACTGGTTGTGATAAAAAAATGATATCTATTTTCAAAATCCAAAAAAACCTTGCTTTCTCATTTTATTTTTCAATAATTAGTCTTTTTCAATCTGTTTTAATCTCGTAAATGATCTGTAATGAAAGTTATATTTTTTTCGATGGTTACCTGATCTTATTTCAAACATTTCCAATGATTTATTCATTATTCAACGTTTCAAAAAAACTAACCCTCAGATTTTTTTGAAAAAAATATTTTCGAAAAATCGAAAGTAGATTTTTTTGATGTGTTCTAGATGCAAGTTTTTGACAAAAAAAGTAATCAAAGGGCACCGATTTTTTTCTAGCTCAAATTGATGTTTTAAAAAAAAGGGGGGGCGAGAATATATTTTTTTCTTAAATCAATGTTCTTACCATCATTTTCATCATTTTGAAATACCCCTTTGATTTTTTCAAAACTAGAAACAAAAACCTAAAAATGTGCACTTGCTCAAGAAAATTTGTCCGCAAGTCCTGTATTCTAGCCTTATCACTATCATGTCCGGCACCCGCCAGTAAACACGTCCTATCATGTGGAAAACAGAAAGAAACCCGAGAATTTTCTCGAATCGTTTAATAAAATCAATGATTTGTAGTCAACGACCTTGGAGGAGATCGACATGGAACCTCTTCCTCGACTTCGATGGCTGACAAAGTTGGGAAGAAAATATGAAAAAGATCAATTTTTTCAATCAGGTCGTCCAAGAAATCAAGTCGGCTGGAGGTCAAGCTGTCGCCAACTACGACAGCGTCGAATTCGGTGACAAGATCGTGAAGACTGCTATTGATAACTTTGGAAAAATTGGTATTTTCAAGAGTTTTATTGAAAGAGAAAAGAAAATTGCAGATATTGTCATCAACAACGCCGGAATTCTGCGAGATGTTTCTTTTGTCAAGATGACCGACCTTGATTGGGGTTTGTGTTTAAATCGAAATTTATTAAACAAGAGGATATTTCGAAAGTAAAGCGGAGTGTTTCAAAGTCTTGAAAAAAAAGTTTGATGAAAATGGAAAAAAAAAACCCAAAAAACCCATTTTTGTACAGATATTAAAGATGTGTTCGAAAGAAACAGACATATGGCTTTAGACCACTTTGAAAAAAAATGCAATATTGTAGATGAACTCAAATTTTCAGACCTGATCTTCAAAGTCCACGTGAAGGGAGCTTACTCCGTCACAAAGGCCGCTTGGCCTTACATGAGGGACCAGAAATACGGACGCGTCGTGGTCACCGCTTCCAATGCTGCCATTTACGGCAACTTTGGCCAGGCCAACTATTCCGCCGGTAAAAAATTTCCCTTGATTTTCGTTTTCATGGGAATAGTCCTTTTTGGTCGAGTAGTTGCTTTTTTAAATATGAAATCTGGAATAGGATATTTAAATGAGTGTTTCAGCCAAATCCGCTCTGATCGGTTTCGCCAACAGTTTGGCCCAAGAAGGAGCCAAATACAACATCGTCGCTAACACTTTGGTGCCGACAGCTGGCTCTCGATTGACTCAAACTGTCATGCCAGAGGTATATCTAGTAGTATTTTTTGAAAGTTCCACGGTTTCAATAATGTACGGAGAACAGCCTAATTTCCGGTACCTTTTATAAATTTTTCTCAGCTTTTTCGAAAACCCGTTTAATTGAACCGAATATTTTTATAAGGATCATCAGAGGTTCTCCTATTTCTTTTCATACTCCAGGACCTTGTCGAAGCCCTGAAGCCAGAATATGTCACTCCCTTGGTGATGCTCCTGACTCACGATTCTTTCACTGAAACTGGCAAAGTTTTCGAAGCCGGAGCTGGCTGGTACGGCACTCGTAAGTTATTCAGTTTGTAGCTTTCAGAAATACTCTTATTTCAGTGCAGTACTACAAATCCAAGGGAAAGGTTGTTCCCAACGCGACCGTTGAAGATTGTGAGTAAACATATTTGGGCTGAACATGTTGAATGACTTATTTTTCAGTGCAAAAGAACTGGAGCACCATCACTGACATGAGCGGCGCTAAGGCGACCGCAAACATGCGTGACGCTACTGCGGATATCATGGAAGCTTTGGAGCAAGTTCAGGTGATTTTTTTGATCTAAAGCTGTTCTTGCTCCAACTTCACCATACATAATAAATTTATAAGCAATCAAGAGAACTTTTCTGAAAAAAAGTGATAAGGTAGTTCAGAAAAATTCTGTTTGATTGAGACTTAAGATAGACCTCAAAAATCACTTTAAATCGATTTTCAGCAGCAAAAGACCAGCGGAGGTGGCAGCAGCTCCACTACTGGCGGTTCCGGCGGAGACTTCCCCAGCAGCATCAAATCCAGCGCCCTTTTCAAGGAAATGAACGATGGTGTTCAGGTAATTTACAATAAAGAGTTTTTGAAGTCAATTTTGAGAATTTAGGAAGATCCCACTGCCGTGAAAGCCGTTAAAGCTATCATTCTCTACAGCATCACTGACGGAAAGAGCGAGATTGGCAAATTCAGTGAGTTTTTTCTGATTTTTTTATGGGTTGCGGTGACGCTGCAGACGGAAGTGTTCTTTAAATTTCATGAGTTATTCTATAGGCGCCCGACTTAAAATGAGTTCTACTCGACGAGTAATTCAGGCGACGCTTTGAGCCGAAATTTTCAATCTAATCTCTTGAATTTTGAAAAATATAAAACTTTTACCATAAGTAACATAGAATGCCATCTTATTTTACAGTCCCCAAAAATTTCTCTAATTACTTTTTGACACCACAAAAATCAAAGTGCTGATGAAAACGTTAAGAGTTAAAATGAACATTTTTCAGCCCTCGACTTCAAGAACGAGAAGCCGAGAGTCTACTTTGGAGATGTGGCTGATGGAGAAAAGCCAAACGCCACCGTTACCGTGTCGGATGATGACTTCCTTGACATTGCCAGTGGGAAACTGAACGCTCAGAAGGTGACTTTTTCTCAAGAAAATGTATGAATGAATCCTCCAGGCTTTCATGGGAGGCAAACTGAAGGTGAAAGGCAACGTGATGCTGCTCCAGAAGCTTCAAGGAATCTTGGACAAGAAACGCAAGGCCAAGTTGTAGACATCCTTTTTCATTTTGTAAAAATTTATTTCAATAAAGAAAGATTGAAAACTTTATGCAGTTACAAAAAGATAGATGTGTGGAAGGATGACAGAAACGAAATGAAGCAGAATACACAAGTCGATGGAAATAGACAGAATTTTCAGAGTAAATTTTGAAAAGGGTTTTTTTTCAATATCTGGAAGTTCCAGTTTGAAGTCCGCTTACAAGTTGTTGAGTGAGCTGGTCGATGTCGTCTTGGCCTCTGAAACAAAGTTGTTGGTTTTGAGTTGAAAAGGACATTTATGGGATTTATAAGAAGTTTAACAGTCTGCGCTATACTTTTCTCTCTACAGCAAGACCTGGGGCTAAAAACTCTATCTACCTGAGCATGAAATTTGAAAAATGTTAGGAAAAGTTCCTCACCGAGAAGAATAGGTTCTCTGACGGATGTCATTGACTCTTTGTTCGTAGTGAGGGTCCTTGTGATTCAAAGAATCGAGGTGGGTGTTGGCTTCACGCTGCGTGTGGGTCATGGCTGCAAAATGTTATTTTTTGACGTTTTTCAATTTTTTAAAATTTACTGTCATCTCTGAGCTGACGAACGAATTTGTTTGGCGAGGCGACAGCGTGTTGAGCTTTGTAAGGAGCGTGGGGAGCGTATCGTTCTCTGAAAAAAAAATTTTAAACTTCACCCCTTTATCATTGAAACAGGGAAGTTAATTTAAAATCCAAGCGAGAAAAATGTTAAAGAGAAGTTTTTAATTTGAAAAAAAGAGACTTCACTGTTACAAAAATTTCAAAATTTTGAATTTTAAATTATAACGGATCCAATCATTTTTTTCAATACCATATTTAATCAAAATTTGAAAAATCAACCAACTCGGTGGTCTCCTCAGTTTTGCGGTAGAAGCTCTGCTTGGATACTGTGGTCGTGGCAGGAGTATGATCAGTCCGATCGTCCATGATGGCCACCGGAGTCATGGTGGCATATTGATGGATCAACTCGCGTGGATTGGTGATGAGGTAACCAGTCTTGGTATCCAATCGATAAGATGGGTCCGAGAAAAGTGAAGAGGCCACTGCAAAAAGAAATTTTCTCACTTGAAAAATAAGTATAATGGAAGAAAGGTCATACAAAAATGTTTCGGGATGACAAGGGGCAAAAATTAAACTAAAATGGCTAGCCAGCGGACATCATGCTAAAAAGGAAAACCTAAATGTTTTTTAAAACTATAAAAAGTACTCAAAGAATGACGAGCACTAACATGCTGGAAATAGATATGAAAAAGACGTTCAAAGGTACAAAAGGTTCATGGTAGGGATAAAGATCGAGCAAAACCTTATGCTGGTATATTTTTTTCAAAATTCCGTGGATTTTTTATAGTCGTTTCACCGCCGATCTGAGAAAAATTAACACATTTTTTCACAGGGAGTTCCGATGCGCTTTTGAATAATTGCAGAAAAGGGCTCTGAGCTTCAACCGACTATAAACGACTTCCGCAATCTAGTATCATTCTCACAAAAGCCAAAAAATATATTTTTGAAGGCTTTCTGAATGCGACCAAAGCTTTTCATTAAGCCCTAAGTGACCTCATGACTTTTTTTACATTTTGCATAGAATTTAGAAGACCAGCCATAAAAAAAATCTTGACTAAACAATGAAAGATACAAGTTTTCTCACAAGACAGCGGTGAAATAACTATTTATCTCTCACCACTGTTACGTCCATCTTTAGGAGGTCCGAGGTTCGATTGAGATCCAAATGGAGCACCCAATCCGTCGCCACCACCCAAGCCGCTTCCAGGACGTCCATGACCACTTCCGAACGGATCTCCTGCTTAACAAAGGAAAAAAATGTCAACATGACACTAACGTGACAAAAATGGTTTGGAAAAAATCGGAGAGTATTATTTTATAATATTATTGGGTTCAAGGTAAGTTTGACTACAGGTAGCAATTAGTTGTGGTGAAAAAGCTAGGGAATCCACACCACCGCGCCAACCAGGAGCGTTTCCATTGTTGAGGCCGTGGTTAGGTAGACCAGCTCCAGGTCCGGAGTTTGCGTTGTAGGCTGAAAAAAATCAATTTGGAAACTCGGTGAAGCCCAGGAATGCTTATTATCAAACTTATAAAAGTTTTTGAGAGCCTTGAAACATTAAAGTCATGTAAAACCGTATAAAGTCAAATCAGGAAATCGACTTGAATTTAGTGTAAATATTTTTCGTGCTCAAATTGTGAAGCAACGTGTAATTGGCCTTTGAATTTGAGGAAATGTGAAAACAAACTAGAAAAATCTCTCATTTCAAACCAATTACCAGGAGCTTTGTGAATCGGCTCAGAAACTGGGCTGAGAGCTCCTCCAGCTCTCGAGTTGCGGCCACTTCCAGGGCCATATTCACTCCCGAATCCAGCCTCACTGGGTGGGACAGCTAAAATCAACTTTTAGAAAGAATTTGTAAAAAAAAACTTACATCCACCAGTGCTCCAGTTCTTTTCGTAGATGTTCAGTCCATCTCGGCCTTTTTCTCCGCGTTCGACGTGTTGGAGCTGGGTGACAGTTACACGAGGAGTGAGATCAACTGGGCGTCTGGAAAACGGCAAAATTAGTGATAAAATCAAACTTTTGCGAAAGCCGCACTTGGAATGACTTCAATATGCAATGTCCTCACATTTTTCAATTCATTTTCGGCGTTTTTGATCCTGCGAATTCAAAGGTTCATTATAGGTGGACCAGGAAATTTTCAAAGAAAAACGTTTTTTGAAGGTCAAGCCATTCCATTTGCGTCCCTCTCTCCAAGAATAATCATTTTTGCATGTCACTTGAATTTACCGTTTCAACTCCATTCCATCGGCCGCCACAGTACCATCACCAATCGGCGAATAGTAGATTCTACGAGGCTTCAGTGACTTGGGCAACTGAGTGGGGCTTGTGATAACCTGAAACATTTGAATAAGGTAAGAATACTGTTTCGAAGTTCAAGAAACCTCTCCACCATTCCAGTTGAACCCAGAAAGTTCGACTCCACTGCCTGGTCGGTCGCCAAATCCGCTGAAACGGCTCTCATCCCGTTCTGCACTGCTCTGACGTTGCTGACGATTTTCAGCATGTCGGGCCGTCTCGAAACGGTTGTAGTCGTCCTGAAAATTTTTCACCTTGAAAAAAAGAATATTCCAAAAAAAAAAACCGAATTGCGGGAGCTCAAATTTCAAGGTATTTTCCGAGCCTAATCCTTTCCAAAATCGTCAAAAAAAACAAATGACATGCCTGCTTGGTCAAACTTAGAATACTATCAAATGGATGAAAAATAGAAATTGCGTGAATTTTCCTTAAAAAAATAACGTGAAAAAGTCCCAAAAACAAATATTTGTATTGCTCAGCGAGCATTACTTTTAAAAAAGTGCAGCGATTTTGAACTTTCATCGAAATCAAACGTTACATATTAAATTTCAGCTCATTTTGTCGGATAATCAGTACAAGAGCTCATGCAAACTCCTTTGAAACTTTAATTAGCATAAGTTGATAGGCTGAATGTTACTAAACTCATTTCCAGCTCTTTCCTTGACTTTTATAAAAAATAATCTCTTCTTTTTTTCCCTCGAACTTCCACTAACACTTTTGTGCCAACCTTCGAGGCCAACTTTCATCCAGTTTGTTTAAAACAACGAAGAAAAAAGAAGCCGGCTGTGGCAAGTGTGTACGAGACAGAGAGCTATCATTCGCCGACGGCAAATGCGGCTCTGTTACAACGACGCGAAACGCCCCAGCGCCTACGCATTCCGTGACGATTGCCACCGCGCCACGGATATCAATAAGCCATAACATCTCTCGAATCGCATCACCTATTGATTTGCAATAGGTGGCGACGGAGTATAACCACAATCCGAAAGAGTTCTTCAACATCTCAAGAAAGCTTCAAGTTTTTAGTTTAAAAATTAAAAAATCAAAATCAAGGTTTTTTTTGTGTACCTTGTGGATCAGAGCTGTAGAGTTTCTTCAAATCTGATTTTTAAGTTCAAAACATTGCGAGAAAACTTAGGATTTCGATTTCATTCCGAGCTTGACAAGTTTCATAAAAGTTTGAAGCTTTTTTTGAAGAAAGAGCAAGTAGGCCTTCAGAAAAAAAAACCAAAGTTTAAAGATTTGAATAATCTGAGGAACAGAGAAACATATAATTCCATTCAAAAACTGAATTTTCATGAACAAAAAAACTCACCCTGTGCTTTCCAAGAGACGTGTAAGATGGACTCCCAGTCCTTTCACGGAAACTGTTCAAATTGCTGGCGCTGCCGTACTGAGACATTTCCTCGGTCTTCTTGAGTATCGGTCTGAAAAAGTATGAATTTCAGCCCGTGAATAATAAAGTCAAGAAAAATGTACAAATCTGTGATCGCAGTTCGAAAAGTTACAGAAAAAGAAAGATGTTTCCAGAAAACTCAGGATTGCAAAAATAGATTCAGGGGGACCTCAATAAAAGACTTTCTGATCGATAAATTCTAGCTAATAAAATCGGGCTTGATTTTTTTGACACATAAAAAAAGCTTTAGAGTTCAAAAGATGTTAATAAATTCAGTAAACTGTTGTGAAAGAACTTTTTATCAATTTCTGATTCTGAAGATTTTTCGGCAATTTAAACTTGCGCCTTTGCTGTCTCTCGATCAAAACTTCCAATGCAGCTTTATTTTGCACTTTCTGGATGATTTCAATATATAATCAAGACACAAGCCTCAAAAACAGAATGAGAAAAACGAAAAGACGTCTGTCCTAATTAGAAAAAACAGTGTTCTGAAAAAAGAAAGTCAGTCGCTCCTGTAGAGTTTTTTTTAACCCAAGCTGGGCCATCAAAAGAATGACAAGGTGGCGATGATGTATTGAAGGTCTCAAATTGAGAAAAAAAAACGCAGGTAAACGATATTTAATGGATTTCCGGTAACCATCCCACAACAAAAGTCGCGAAGGCGAAGAAATCACAAATCGATGGACATTGTTCAAGGGAAGAATATCTGAAGGCGAGAGCCGTCTCGCGACACATGGCGTCGGTGCCTCGGCGAGCAATGAGAGGGCCGCCGCTCAAAATATCAGTCGTGTATGTTTCGGCATCTACCTGCCGCCCCAACAGACGTCAAAGTTCGAAAAACGAAATGAAATGCGTTTTTGAGTAAGCGGTCTATTGGAGACGGAAATAGAGCTTAAACTTGATAAAATGAAATGAAACTTATCAAAGAGAAATTCAAGGATTGAGAGAAGCTGAAAAAATCGAAAATGAACCTTCTTCTGATTGTTCAATTCAATAAAAACAATTTGAAGTTTAAGGTAACTTTAAAAAAAGCTTGCTGGAGTATTCAAGATGCACCGACAGTTTTTAGTGAACTCCGTGAAAAAAACCTTGAAATAAAAATTGTTTTTTTTTGTCTCTGAAAGTTCATGCTCACATTAGAAAAAGTATTTGACAAGCTCTGCGAATAATAAGTAGGAGATAAGTGTATGAAACGGAAATTCAACGAATCTTCTAAGACCCGAAAAAGTCCCAACTTGAGTTTTTATTTAATCAAATTTTACTCCTTTTTAAAGAAAAACTGGAAGAGGATTGAAAAAAAGCAGGGAAAACATGTTCAATCTGAAAAGTGTCGGACAAAAATAACCTTGAAATTGTCGATGGAAGCTCATAGAAAAGTTCTAAAAGTGGTGGATTTTTATTTTTCAGAAAAAAAAGTATTCCTTCTTTTCGGGATTTTTCTCTCAATCCAACTGAACAGCTGCCTCTGATGATCAAAGTGCATACGCCCGCTCAGAAGTTGAAGTCATTCTCCATTCATCGCTGGCTCAAGAAAATAATCCAGAAGCTCACAAACTGATTTTTATTGGCGTCTTTCTCAACTATCTAATCAAGGACTTTCTAAGAGTTATTCGAGGATGAAAAAGCAAACAACGAAAAAAAAGTCCGAAAGTTTAGAATTTTGCACGAAGACATAAAAGTTCCGCGAACCGGAAGAACATTCCTACAGTCATAAAAGCTGGAAAAGAGTAAAAGCCGAGGTTATGGGCGCTCGAGAATCGGAGGAAAAAGGGCCACCGAATTGGCTGCAGCCGTGGCCGATCCAAAAGTGTAACAGGCATCCTGGAGAAGTGCGAGGGTGGTTCTTGGCTCACACGTGTTTCCGAACCAAAAAAAAAATCGAGATTGGTCAATCAGTTGGTATAAACAAAAAGCGATATGTTCCATGCGTTGTCCTGAACATGTGGCTGGTCTTGACGCTGCAGAAACACGATTCAGAAGATCTTGTTTTGCATAGAGAAATGGTCAAAGATTGGGTAATTTTTTGGTCTGATTCAGAAGTTCTCACGAGTAGACCGTCAAAGTCGGGTGGCAGGTGAAAATCTCCCAAGAAGGTAATTTTACTTGACTTTTGGGAATTTTTCGAGGATGGCCAAAACAATTTTGCCGTACTTAAGTAAGATTTTAGGAGTCTCGTGCGGTGAAACTCCGCATATTGTAAGTTTCGCCTTCTGATAACCTAAAGTAGAATTTTTTTTTCTTAACTTTCGAACTATACCGTTCATTTAAATTTAAAAAATTCAAGAAACCCCATGGGATCAGATTTTAAGGATATAAACTCAGTGAAAAGAAACTTGCTGCTGACATCGTATAAATTCAGAATCGAAAATTTTAAAGCTGAAAATTTGCCAGAAGCACAAAAAAAAGCGAATTTTCATAAACTGCGAAAAAATGATTTTTTTCCAGCTTAAAATTTATTTCAACTCCGAAGCTCCTGAACTGGAAGAAAAAGCATATCTAATCCAAAATCTGTTGAAAACCCCAAATTTCACCGATCCGAACATAAATCAAGGCTTTCAACAGATCAACTAATGCGACGCCCTCTAAGACGTCGATGATCGAATCACACTCTTCAAAAGTTCATGCACTTTTCCAGTGCCTAGAAAAGCTTTTTATTGCATCAACCATGAAAAAAAAATCAAAAAAAAAGGGAAATTCAATAAGTGGTTGTGTAGGTAGTGGTATGAATGGTGGAAGAAGGTCTAGCGTATTGGTGGTGATGAGTCTGACGTGTGCTTTGGTGGAAGCCAGGCGACAAAGATCGGGCTCTTTCTTGGTCCAGCCAGCTCACGCCTTTCCTGAAATAAAAAAAATGAGATTCTTATCGCGATTTTGTTGAAAAATAGCTTTTGTTACAGAGCAAAGATTAAAAAAACAAAGTTAGATGTCAATATGGTCAAATTAATCTAGGCGAAAGATTAAAACTATAGAAAAGTTCCACCTTGGTTCAGCGCGTCCGACTTGTCCCGACTTGCGCTTAAAAATGAGTTTGAGTGTTTCGTTTTCGTTTTAGAACTGAACAGAATCTCTCTGTTTTTGACAATATGATCTAGCAAAGTTTTAGTATACATGTCGAGGAAGGAAGTCATGAAAACAACATGAAATTTTAGAGTACTGTTCCACGTTCTGAAATGATCATTTCGCCTCGATTTGAAACGCCGTAAAAATGTAGCATTAAATGGCTCAACTTATACCCAAGTTTATTGAAAATTTTTACAATATTTAGTGGAACCGCATTGCTACCGCAACACGCGCGCCATTCCCAATCAAACTAAGTCCTTTCAAAGATTCTTTCAACTTTTTTTGCAAAACGAACCTCTTCAAACTGCTGTAGGGGCTGGTCGGCGGCAAAGTTCCTTGCTTAATCCCGCCTCTCAAGGTTCCATAATGGCTGCTGACATTTCCAATGCTGCCATACTGGCTAGGAGCAGTGCCGTAGTTCGTGGAAGGAGGATAGTTTGTGGTGGTGGAATGCTCACTGGAGTAGTAGTTGCTTTGGTTTTGGGAAGGTTGCGATGATTGGTAAGTCATAGTGGAATAACTTGACGGCGGCGCTTGGTTGTAGGAGCCGCCCATGGCCGAACTTGCTCGAGAGTTCGGTTGGCTGATCAGGCCTTGGGACGATAGTTTGACTTGTCCGGCTTTGATCAGCTGTTCGATGAAGGTGTTGTCGGAAAGGTATTCTAGTCCGGGAAACTCCTCTGTGTAGTTGTGGCCTGAAATTTTCTTTCATTTGTCCCACATCTGAAAATGAGTGGTTCCTTTGTAGAAAGGTGGTTTTATTTCTGTGAAATGACCTTTGACAGTTTAGAGGAAGTTCTCCTTTTTGAAAAGCTCAACCTAACACTGATCCTTGTAAATCAATAAAGTCGCTCCTCACCATCAATATTAGGAGCAATCGGCAGATCAGAGCCGCTGATTGTTGGCGCCTCCTCCATCTTCTTCGCTTTCATCTGAAAAATAAATGAATTTTTTCCGAAAGCCACAGGTAAACAACACCTGCACGAATCGATCCAAGCTGTTGTAGCCACCTTCGAATGGACTTGGTCCACGGCTCAAGGTTCTTCTGGCATCATCGTAATGATGAGATGGCGTTCTTCGAGTTGGGGGTTGAACTGAAATTATTATAAGCATCTAAATAAAGCTTGATTTATTGTTTGATGAGTTTGTAAGAAGGATGAAAGGCTTTTTTTCTTCAAAAATCCCTATCAAAAAGTATATTTTCTTTTTCATTTTATAGACAAAAAAATAAGCTTCTGAAAAATCAATTAACATACTTATCGGCTCAGGATCCTTCCATTGGAGAATATGCGAGTGGTTATCGATGAACCTTTGAAGCTCCTTCTCTTGAGTGCTGGAAATTTCGTGGCGATTGATTAGAGCCACACCATTCACAGGCACTTTGCCCTGGAAATATAGTGTTTCACGAAAAATAAATCCACTAACCTCCGCGTAAGATGGCGACAAGTAGGAGCTCATCTCATGCAGGCCTTGTGGTGAGGTTCTGAAAATATAGTTCAATCAAGGTTAGAATTCGGCAAATCCTGAGAAAAACGCTAAGCTGCGCCGTAAATCAAGATTTAAAAAATGGAATCGACAAAAATCTTAGCAAGGAACGTTTTTTACCGCCCGGTTGAACTTTTGCTGAAACTTTGCTGAATTTTTTTAGGGCCCCCTTTATCCCAGAACAAGAAAAAAGTTTCTTACAATAAATTTTGTTTCCGAGTTATGGAGCTTCAAAGTTCGCAAATTATGACAAAAAACTCTGTTTTGAGCTTTTGAAGCTTGAAAACAAGATTTATTGCGAGAAACTTTCTTCTTGTTCTGAAATCAGGGGTCTTAAAGTACACTTCAGAAATGTCTCATTAAAAAGTTCAACGGGGGGGGAATTAGAACTCTTCTAGTCAAGCTCCTGCAAGAACTTTTGAAAAAAACCGTGCTGGCTAAGTAGGTATATCATTTTCAAATAACTTGGAAGGGGGCCTTGCAATTTCAAGCGCTCTCAATACTCAAGTAGGCATTTTTTTTAGTGATAAAAAAATTATCTTTTGAAATTTAACTGTTTCATAATAATATTGATAGAGTGGAAAAACTCAAACAAATTCAAATTTCAAAAAAACGTCCGAATAATTTTTTTGCATTTTTTTGTTTCAATAAAAAAACTTCTCTTCCGACTTTCATCAGATGTAAAAATAAATTCGGTAGCCAAATTTTTAAAAAAAGGGTATTTAAAAATAAATTTTCTTTTTTTAAGACCCTTTTCATCGCTTTCCGAAAATTTTTCCGTCGCTCCAAAACTGTGAGTAGGAACAGTAACATCATTCAAACTTTTATTATCATACGAAAATCTCAACAAAGTTTTCGGCAAAAGGAATGGGAGAAGAATTATGGGAAAAAATCAGCGAGTCGCAAGGATTTTTCGGTTGGACGACACATGCACGGGAAGGTTAGAGGGCGGAAAAACAGCCGGGAATCCCAGTTGTAAAGTGATTTTGTTTGTTGCTCGGCTTTCTCTCTACTCGAGGTCGTTGGATGGGGGCGTCAGACGACATCTGTCTTCCAAACCTCAGCTTTTCGCTCGGGGCATTTTTCACCAATTTTTTTTCCTGATGGCAATAAAGACAAGGTAAAAGAAAGCAGCTGAAAGCGGAAAAAGGGTAAATAATCTTCGAATGATGGAATGAAAAAATAAAATAAAAAACCCGATTTTTCGTCGAATACTGTGACAAGCTGGAGGTTTCCCAAAACTCACTGAAATGTTTCATTTAGATATTTCGATATAAAGTCTCGTTGGGGCTCAATCCTGAGCAGATATTGACAATTAGAAAATCTGAAAATCTGAAAATGTTTAAATTTATAGTGTTTAAAACAATTTACTGTTTCGGAGCTTTTTTTCAGATGTGCATAAGGTTGGGCTCTAAGAAGCTTCTCCGATGATCAATTTTTCTTCTAGAGGTGTAATGACTTTTTTTTAATTTTTTCTGCCAAACGGTTCACTTTATCAATTGTGGAAGGGAAGAAAACATTATTTTCGAAGTGAGAAAGTCGTAAAATTTGAACTTTCTTGCTCTTTAAGGACAACATGGGCACAGTTCTGAATCGAGTTTTACTTTTTGTAAAAACACTTCATCGAGAAATAAGAAACTTGAGCCCAAAAATTTCACTTTCTTCGACCATTTGATACTCTAGCTTATTTCCTCATTGAATTCTCGAACCATAAGGTCGCTTTATCTTTTCCAACTGTTCAAAAAAAAACTTATCTCCAGTCATCACGCAATGATGCTTGGTTAAAAGGTCCGCCATGGGCACCGAAGAAAACAGTGTCTGTCAAGATAATCGGCCAAAGTATTGCTGATAATTTTCGTCTTCGCTAACGTGATACTTTTTGTCTTCTCTACATGCTGGACGAAAAATCCCCGCTTCTTCCAGTGTCGAAGAAGCCGAGCAAGAAAAGCCAAAAGTACTACAGGTTCAGTACGATTTTTCTCCATTTCATATATTCGTCCATTTTTTCAAAACTGAAAGTTTCAGAGACCAAAATGAGCTCCTGAGACTGTACGAAGAAGATAAGGAGCACATGAAAATATCCAGGAAACTGAGAAATGAAAGGGAATTGCAGACAGTGAGTTTTTTTTTTTTTCCAAAGAAAAAATCAAAATTGTTGATTTTCAGACCAAAGGCGACAATATCTTATCGAAAATTGTAATGGCCTTTAATGTCTTCCTACTCTTTGCAAAAATGGCTGCAACTGTCATGACAGAAGGATCTTCCTTGGCGGTTATCAGTACTACGGTCGACAGTTTGGTTGATATTACAAGGTCGGTTACGTCCTATTAAACTCGGAAAAAATTGAATTCATGTGTTTCCAATCAGAACTTGGTGTACGCACCATGAATGGCTTCACGAAAACTTTATTTTCAGTCCCTAACACTTCGGTTTTTTCATGACTCTTAGAGGCAGCCAAGCGCAAGCCGTTAGGCGGTCCGCTGCTTTGAAATACCATAAAGCGTGCGCAGATTTCTTGTGAAATTTTGTGAAAAAATGAACCAAAAAACAATTAAAACCGTTTACCTCCGTTTTTCAGGCTTTTTCAAAGTTTTCGGATCTTCTAAGTCAAGACGTTTTGTTTTTTTGGGTTCCGATTAGTTGAAATAAAATAAAAGACCAGAAAGCTATTTCTACTAAAAACTTGAAAAAACTGATTTTTTCAGCGGAATCGCAGTGTGGTACGCAACCTACGCAATAATGCACACAGACACGATAAAGTATCCCCGCGGAAGGCCGAACCTCGAAGCTGTGAGCATCATTTTCGTTGGAGTCGTCATGGGTATGGCCAACACCTACATCGTTTCTGAGTCTATCATGGCTGTATTCAATGATAAAGTGAGTTTTTTTTTTCTCGTTCCAAAAAGCCAAACTAATAATCTTCAGCCGCCGCCGAAGATAACGGTGTCCTCGCTATCAATTATATTAGCGACAATTATCATCAAAGCTATTCTTTGGGCCATTTGTGTGCGAAAGGGAACTCCAAGCAGCAAGGTTTATATTTGTGGAAAGATTTTTGATGAGTGAAAATGTTTCCTTTGGAAAGACGCAGATCACAAAGCAATAATATACTTTTATTTATTTTGCCTCAGGTTCTGTCAATCGATCAGAAGAATGACGTTTTCACAAATATCGTCGCCATAATTGGAGCGGTTCTCGCGAAAGTTTGGACAAAAAAAGCTGATCCGATCACTGCGGCTTTGATCTGGTAACTTTGAAAGTCATTCAAGAAAATTTTGATCAAAATTCGACCTCAAAACCGACCATTTTTCTTGATAAAGAAAGACTCAGAAGTACTCTTTCTTGTGGGACCAGAATTTTAAATAACTGAAGCTGCAAAGTCAATGAGTTGAGCGCTCAGAAGCTTGAGATATTATAAAAAAGTTCAACCAAGTCCCTTCGAATCTCTACATGAACTCCATATGTAGAGATTGGAAGGGACTTGATTGAACACAAAATTGAGATGAAAGAATAAAACTTTTAAATCAAAAAAAAATTTTTAGCGGTTACATTGCCGTGAGTTGGTTCATCCTGGTCATCAAACAACTGCCCCAGCTTGCCGGAATCAAATCGTCGGATACCGAATATTCCCGTGTCGCCAAAATTTTGATCGAGCATTCTGATAAAATCCGCTGCATTGACACCCTTCTCATGTACCACACTGGTCCCAAGGTGAACTTCGGAATTTTCAAAGGATACCATACTAATTTCACAAGAATGAGGAACAATATGCGCCTAAGTTTTTTTTTCTCACCCTAAAATCTGTAAACCGTATTAAATTGAATAACGTCTCAAATTAGTGATGAATGAACTTTTTTCTAACTCAATAAAATTCAGGTTCGAGTTGAAGCCCACGTCGTCCTGGACCCTGAAATGAGATCGAAAGAAGTTCACGACGACATCGTTGAGCCTCTGAAGACGAAAATCGAACGCCTGCCATTCATCGATAGAGCTTTTATTCATGCTGACTACGAATGTGACGGATATGATTAACTTTTTTTGTAAATTCTGAAAGCTCTCCTTTTTCTGTGTAGATAGAATGTAACAAAAAACCCTCGTAGTTATTCACTTCTCTTGATTTATTTATTTTCTTTCCATTAGCGACCCGATTTGCTAGATAACAGAGCTTGAAAAAGAATATCTTTTATAAATTTTCCCGGTAAATCGTAGAAAAACTTTCTTGTGTAGTTGCCTTGTTGAACAGACACAGTTATATAAGAATTGTTTATTTACCCGATTTTTTCCTTGTTCAGAACCAATATTGTAGCATTTGTAACCAGTTTTTTTGAACATGAGATTGGATAGAATAAATCATACAAATAATATAATGTACATGTGAATGAGATTTCTGTTTAATGAAGCTGTTTGCGAGCGAATTCGAAGAGCAGATCGAGGAGAAGTTGTTGATGATCGCCTTCACGGAACCAGCGGGTGAATTGTTCGAACGTGACTCCGCCGACCAAGTTTTTGGATCTGAAAAAAATGATAATAACGCTTCAGTACTGGTTATTAAAATATTGTTATTATATTTGATTTCCAAGAAAGTTATGATTTACAGATTTTTTTGTCTATTAGCTTTCATACAATTTGAAATAAAAATTTTTTTCAAAAAGTTCCTAGCCTCAACGTTGTTTTGGAAAAGCTAATAAGAAATGGAAAAATGTCAGAATTTTTAACATCAAAAAAGGTTATCGAAGCTAAAGCTCAAATTCCACACGCCTTGCGCAGAGGATATATTTAAATAAATCAAGAAAGTTGAAAAACTCACTTCTGACGTCAACATGCCTCTTTGATCGTGTGGAAGCTCGTTGAGGACGGTTAGAAGACCCTGAAATTGATGGAATAATAATTTTAAATTGTCGTGAAAAATGAATTCCACCTCGCAAAAAAATATGAAAAATGTATCATTTGTGTATTCTACAATTTTCAATTCTTCGAATTATTTCTTCTTTCCATGATATTTTGCTAATTCTTTCGATTGATTCTTATAATTTGCTTGATGAATATTACGAGGAAATGACTCGAAATGAAAAAGAAGCATTGATAAGCTCACTCCGTAATCATCCGCCATCTTGTAGCCCACGAGTCCTCCAATTATCGATCCAATCAGGGCTCCAAAAGGTCCAAACAAAATTCCACCGGTCGCCGTCCCGGCAGCCGTCATACCTGTCTGCTTTGCCACACCACTCGCTGTATATCGGAGTCTCTGAAAAGTCATTCTTCAATTGATAACAAAAGTAGTGTCAAGGTACTTTTGCTCCAGTTATTTCATTTCAAAGAAATATCAATCTATGATAAAAATAATAATCATTTTTGGTTTTTAGTGAAGTTATTTGGATCGAATTTTTTTGAATCCTTTCAGCTGATTTTACTGAACCTTAAAGGAAACCGCTCCGAAAGATGGAAGAAAATTTAAACTTTTTATGAAAAAAAGTGAAATAATTAAATAAAACGTTGGAAAAACTTCGAACATTTGCTCATCCAGCGTTTTGTAAGGCTTTGAAGAAAATCTATAATTATATTTTTCTCGAAACAGTAAATTTCTTAACACTTAAAACGGTCAAAACGCTGATCTTGATTTGCTAGGAATGTTTTTACGTTATCATTTTTTAAAAGAAGCTTTAAAAAAAATAAATAAGAAAAATTACTCACAGGACTGCTTTGAACGCACTGGATGACTCTGTAGAGGTAAGTACCCGACATCTTTGTTGAACCTTAATTATCTGTGGATATTATATTTCAAAAAAACGGCGAGCAATGTGAACATTAAATTGTTCAACAAGATATTAAAGGACGAAAAATTTAAAGACTCGGTATAGAAACTTAAATGCTACACACATTAAAAAATATTCAACTTGTGGAACATAGGAGGCTTTTTAACCTCTTGAAAAAGGAGAGAGAAAAATGAAAAAAATAAAGAGAAAAGCAATCTTTGTCCCTTGGAGTCGGAGTTAGTGCAACGTGTAACTGCGCGTCACCCTTGCATCTGGGCGGCGTTCAGGGCACGGATTTCGAAATTATACGCAGCTGTCGGTGTTGCGAAATTATTTCAAGAAAGTACTTCTTTTTTTAAATGGCTATTCTTTGATCAGAACAATTTACCATGAAAAAAATAACTAGTGCGAAAAGCAATGATTTCATGTAACAGGAATATTTTTGAAGTTGGCAATCATTTTCCTATACTTCAATAATTCGAATTGTCCGAGGCTTATACTTAATCAAAAAGTCTTCATAAAGAGTCCAGTCATACAGTTAAAAAAAACTGCAAGCTTTGAGAAATGCCTGTTCTTGTAAAGACGGTTTCAATTGAAAATAAAAGGCCCTCTTGGTAAAAAACTTTAAAAGTCTACTGACAGGGGAGATCATTTTAGTTTGCTGTTGAGAATTTCGTGAAAATTGGCCAGAGCGCTTTTTGATGTACCGGATGAAGATCCAGTAATCAACCTGCCCTACTTTCAACTTGAGCTTAAACTCTCAAAAAAGCCTTCTTTATGAGTTTTAAAGGCTTGGACTTTGAGGCTTTTTTTTTACCTAAAAACAAGGAAGCTGTGGTTGAGATTCTTCTTTTGGTACATCGAGAACCATTTTGCAGGAAAATCCCAACCGCAAAGTGAAGTTACCTCCCTTGTGAAGATCGCAAACGAATCTATACCAGCTCAATGGGATCTTTCAAAGTATTCGATTGGGAATTCACACCTTGCCTGGATTAGTTTTTTTTTTCAATAAGTTTCAGTAATGACGCATTTATAAAAACATTCTCCGGCAAAAAAAATACACAAAGAACAATTGAAAAAAGTTATAACCGATAATGAACTGGATATGATGGGTAAAGCAATAAAAAAACAACTCTAGCCCCGTGAAGAGATGATTTGCCTAAGGCAGGTGAAGTGAAGGAGCACCGATGTACAGGGTTTTGTTTTTACAAAGAGTCAAGGGGTTCATCGAGGGGTGAAGATCATAGAATGAGATTGCAGGAAATGAACGGAAAAGCCTAAAAATTATTTTTGAGGCTTCACAACTCTTCAATGGTTTCGATCAGGCGGTTCAGGCCAAAGAGGTAGTTATCGTCAGGAAGGCCCATTCCGGGATGGACATGGGAGAAATCAATCATTCTGACATCCACGTTTTGCTCGCAGTTTCTGTCGTTTTCGTAGACGATCAGAATCGAGGAGGAGTACATGTGGAATCGGCGTTTTCCCGCGACCTGTAAGTTCATTATAAGCTCAAAAAATATTTTTATTTTTTCTGTATCCAAGAATGAACTACTACAAAGAAATCTGGATCTCATTTACTTAAATATTTTCTCAAGTCAGGGCTGAATGACTACTAAATCATGATTAGTGATGAAGCTGCAGTTTTTCCTAATGTTCGAAAAAATCAGGTAACTTCTCATCAAACACCTGTAACCATAAAAATTCCCAATTGAGAAATCTTTCTTTTGTGTTATTGGACACCAATTCGTCCGTAAAAATGAAAAAGGGAATTTTTTTTTAATAAATTCATTCCAGATTCTCTTCAAAACTAACTTTTTTGATGTGGCCGAGCTTCTCCAGAAGCTGCTCCTTGATTATATGAACGTCATGAGCTTGGTCGAAGAATTCTTGGACCGCTGAAATAATTATAATTATGACACTGATGCATTTTAAAAGACTGACCAGAAATCATGCGGTTTTCTTCCGATCGCCATTTTGGATCTTTTTTGAACGTGTTGTCCTCCTGTTCAGCAATCTATAACTTCACTGTTTCAGAGAGTTTTCAAAAATCACTTTAATACCCGATATCCCAAGACACGGTAGCCAAGAGTCCCTTGGACCGGATTGGTCTCGATTTCTTTCAGCTTTTTGGCCTCGGTGGCGTCGGGGCCAAACGTCTGTTTTCCAATTTTGATATCGATGGAAGCCGGGAGAGAGAACGTGCACGTCACGTCCTCCAGAACGAGGAAGAGAGATTCTGGAAAATTCAATTTATCACCCTGGATGAGGTTTATCCATTTCCTTTGTATTTTATTGTTCTCTACAAAAAATGTCATTACCGCTTCAGGAACAAGGAACCTTTGTTGTCCATCTAGCAAATTTTAATAATGTTTCACAAGGATCGCAATAAATTTTGTGAAAAGAAGACATCCAGACATCCTCGTTTTCGTCCCAAATGATAGAAATAAAATCTCACGTGCTCTTTTTGTTTTGTAATTCGAAGAAAATTCAATTTATCCATTTCTATTCCTTATTGCCAAAAAAGAAACGCGGAACCTCTAACGTCCCATTTTTGTTTTGAGAAAAGTGTAACATAACATTTTTTTTTCTCGTTGCAATAGAAAAAAATTCACCTTGCGCTTCGATTTCGATTTTTCGTGTTCCAAAAAAGTTTGGCAAAAGGCGACGAAGATCATTTAGACTGGGGTCATTCATTCCGGAGACGAAGACGTCGTGGTAGAATTGGACCTTGAAAATTCCGAGATTTTTTGAGAGACTGGGTTGGAAAGTGATCGAACCTCTCTTTCGCCTCGTTTTCCGTCTTGGGCTGGTTTCAAGATTTTATCGCCGTTTCCGCTTTCTTTGACCATACCTTAAACTAATTAGTCATGTTGACAGCTAAGAAAAAAACGGAAAATTCTGAAAAAATTAAAATTCAATCGGCTATCACTTGAAAATTTAAATCCGCATTTGGAACGGCTCAAAAATGTGAGACTTCATAAAAAGTTTTCTTAAATTGGCAAGAAAAAAATCCAAAAAAATTATTAAGAAAAAAAGTTGCCTAATGTGTAATTTTTTTGATTTCTTCAAATATTTCTTGAAGTCAGCGGCGATTGAACTAAGAACCCAAAAAACGGGAAAACGACTTCTTGAGCCATTACAGAGACGACAAAAGGCTATTAAAACCGACTAAAGTGGTATCAAGAGCTTTTTATGCCAATTTTTATTCTCCTACGTCACGAAAATTAGAGAAAAATTGTTTTTGAAGTTTTTCGAATGAAGTCGCTTTTCAATCAAATTCGACTCACCGAGCTGTCGTTTGCCGTCTTTGACCATCGTAGGGTTGTGACCAGCAATCTGGCCTTCGAACCAAGTGAATTTGAGTGGCAACATGCCATATTTGTCGTTGTTGTTGGCCGCCAGATCTTCGATCAAAGGCATTGCGATGGACGTCTGAAAAAAAGAAAGAAGTGAAAAAATTGAACCCAAAAATGCGTTTATATAGTACAAATCCCGCCTCTCGAGTGATGTTAGATTGATGTAATGTTAATACACTGATTATCTGCTCTTCAGTCGGTCAAAAAACGGCGCCTACGCGGGGTTTCGGGATTTTTTTGCAGAAAAAGGGAGAAGAACAACGCAATGTTCGCATTATACACTTTTGGGCTCGACTGACAACTTGACTACAAGAGATTGGAGCATCACTTCAGACCAATTTTTGCTCTTTTCAGAGAAAATGAACTGCATAAGGTGGTCTGGACTTCTACTTTTCATGCTTTTGAAGACACTCAAAAACATTTTTTTTTTTCGTGTTTTTTTAACACTTCTCAACATGAGGAAGTTTTCTGTTCTCAGAAAAGAAAATAAACTGACAAAAAAACCAGTTTGAGATAAATGATAGTTTTTTTGTAAGAAAAATATGTGAAAAAGTGATTTTTTTTACGATATTGTAGGAAATCTAAATATCATATCTAAAAACAAAAAAATTTGAAAGGCAAACATTTAGGTAAAAAAATATAATTGAACTGAATATCGTCAAAAAAACGATTTCGAAGAAAAGTTCTAGTTACTTCAAATCGCTTTTTTTGAATCTTTATAATATTTGCTGGAGTATTTTTTTGAATAATTTTTTTGTGGTTTGAAATAAAAACCTGGGAAATTCACTAGTTTTCAAAGAAAAAAAGACGCCGCAACGCCACAAAAAAACCATGAAACGCCGTTTAAATGGGTCATGTGAAAAATTCTCGGCGTCCACAAAGAGAAATGACCTGTTTGTTCAAGAACGCAGGTTTGAAAAAAAGAAGGAAATTGTAGATAAGTTTGAATCATATACAACTTCTTTTTTTACAAACTACGAATTCCTGGTAAATGTGAAGAACAATTTTTTTAAGTCTTAATCATAATTTTTTTCATAACACAGAAGCTTCTAGTGCTTAATGCAATTAATGCCCCCAGTTGAATCATGGAATGTTTTTTTAAATTCTGGATATTTACTAGAAAAAGATTATTTTTTTCCAATAGCGATTGAAGCATTGAAAAACCTTAACGATTCTGAGTTGCAAAAAAGTTTTTTTTTCTTCAAACTTCAGTCAAGATAATGAATCCTGGAAACAGGGAATTTCACTTATTCAAGTAAAATGAGTTTTTTTGTGAGCTTCAATGAGCCATCTGAAAGAGTTCCCTTCAAAAGCTTCTAAAAGTCTCATATCTCATCCAGAAATTCGAAAAAATTATTTTCCAAGTTTTTTTCATAATACCATCCTAGAGATGTGATAAATATGAAACACTTACCATTTGAAAGATAAAAGACGAGGTGAACAGGTAAGGAAACCTGGAAGAACCGTGTCAGAGATGCGCTCAAATAGTTAGCCGCGTGTAGGACAACACCTCCTCCTCCTTCTGTTGGTGGCAAACAAGCCCCGCCCCCTTCCGTGGAGCGCGCGCGCTAAAACGCTGATACAGTTGTTTTTGTCGACGACACAGCAGCTTTTCTCGTCATCGACAGCCTAATCAGTTCCGGCTTGGAACAGGAATGCAATGGAATTTAGGTTGGAATGAAAACAATGAAAATTTTGGGAAATTCCGAAAATAACTTGTAAAATCCCAAAGTATAAATATTGCTGGAGGTATCTTTTTGGACTAAAACAGCAATGTCATTTATTTTAGCTTGTCGAACGGACGGTCGGTTCAAACAGAAATATTTTCAAATATGAAAAAAATGTTTTTTTCAAAAAAATGTTCAGGCAGGTAGAGGCTAGTTTCAATCGAACGCGGTTTCCGAAAAACCTCAATTCTGCCATAAAAACAGAAACGTGATTCAACTGGAAGTAGAAAACCCAAAATTTGATAGAAAAAAAGAAATAAATATGAACAAAAACGGACTTTCCCAATTTTCAAAAAAATATTCTAAAAAAAGAATTATTCAATAAGTCAGGCTTTACAACTCAGTAATTTTGCTTTAAAACTTCATGGACGCCTGAAAAAGCAAAAAAGTCCCGAGTACGGGTCATTTGGCAATTTTGTGATAATAGCAGATTAGTACCGGAAATTAGAGATTCAATCTACTATGAGCCGAAAGAACTTCTCAGAACTGAGATTTTCAAGTTCAAACTTTCTTGAAATTAATAACAGGCTTGGAGGTTCACGAGAAATCTTATGTTTGAAACAGGAAAGTGTACTTGCCTTACTGGGGGTCTTTGCGATAGAAAATGTTTTTTAAATGAGGATTAATTTTTTTTTTCAAGGTTTAATTAACGACTGACAGTAATTTTTTGAAGGATTCCTTATAATGTTCATTCTTTTGAAACAGCAAACTCAGTAAACTTTGCATAAACTGGAGATAAGTTAATTCATTTAGCCATCTCTTGCTCCCACCTTTGCCACCTAATAAAGTAAAGCGTAAAATAAACAAACATACATAATCCCACGCATTTTCTCGACAGTCCAAAAGTCGATTTCTTCAAGTTGTTATCAGAAGAATACCTACACTATGTTTGGCTAACAGATTATGCACATATGTCGAACATCCTTCAATCAAATTACGATTTTTTTTCCTTTTTCTTCAACTTTAATACTTTGTGTTCGGTCAACTTGGGGTTTCCCAGATTAGATAGAAAGATGAGAGAAAGAAAGGGAAAAACAAAGATGAGAAGAGAAAACGAAGAACTTTTGAACTGGACGAGTTTTCTCGAGATTGCGAATGTCTTTTTTTTTCTTTGCGATGGACGGATGACACCAAAAAAAGCAATGCATAGACGCCTCAGAGAAAAGAATTGGAGCCAAAAAGCTGTGTTCGCCATTCGGAATGGCTCAATTTTTATAATTTTCATCATTTTTGATGCCCATTAGCGCAAGTATTTTCAAGTCGGCTGCACTCGGATAAAATCCAGTGGAAATTTTTTATGTGTTCAAAAGCTTCAAAGTCGAATCAAGATGCGTTTAGATAGTTTTCCTAGCCTTGAGTATTCCTAACAAAGATCAACTCTCAATATTCATTATGCTAATGGAAGTGAGCGATGAACTTTGAGCTCTAATTGAGAAATTTGTTAACCAAAAAGGCCATTCTACTCAAATCTTTATTTTTTCCAAGGAACGTCGAAAAAAATCCTAAGGTCACCAAGAAAAATCAAAAACATTGTTTTGTTCTCTGAAGGTACAAAAATTACTCAACATCCTCACCCTAACCAAAAGCGTGAAAAGTGCAGGAAAAAACGATTTCCAGGTTGAAAAACGTTACGATTGATGAATGAGCTTCGAGTGTGTGATAATGATGTTGCTCCTGGTCCAGTCAGTGATTCTGCCTTGCAGATATTTCTCTAGTGTTTGGGAAAGTTTTTTGGTTCCTGGAGCATGATGCGCAAACGAAAAATACGATAAATAAGGTTGAACCGTCAACAGTCTTTTAAAAATTTGGTTCCTTATTTTCAAGGTTTTTGAAGGGTTCTCTCAGATCTTGATTGGAAATGATTGAAACTTCCATCAAGATCTGAGGTAACCCTTCCTGAATGAGTTGGAAGCAAATTTTCAATATTTTATTTACCTTGAAACAATTTGTTTTCTGTGCAAGTTTATTTTCTGCTATTGACTTTAGATAAAATTTTCTGCGCTTTTCTAAAATGAAAAACATTTTTTTCTTCTTTGATGCATTCAAAAACAGCTTTGAATAAAAACAGTTGATTCATAGACAAGTTACTCAGTTCACAGACGTTCGAATGCGGAAAAAAGTCGCTAATTGCTTTATGATTCACACTCTTGTTTCCTCAGCTTTCGCCAATTTTTTGAATGGGAATGACTTCACAAAGTGGTTTTTTTGTGTTTTCGCCACGAAAAAAGTCTCTATAAGGAAACAGAAGGTGCTATTTTCAAAGGCCAGGAAAGGCCTCGGACTACAAATAGATCATTTTCTTCACCCTACACTTCAACCCATATCTCCAACGTCAGAATGACTTCATCAAAATTTTAACTCACTATAAAAAAGCCATTTCAACTATCAGTTTCTTGAAAATGCGGAACAGTTTAACGGCCTTGAACTTCCGAGTTTCGCCTGCGTGCTTGTTTGCTTGACCATCGCGTAGTGAGGCCAGCAGCCAACCGGATTTCTGACTCATTTCAATGAGAAAAAGTGGCTGCTTTCGCAATTAGAAACGAGATTTCGACGCCTGCTGACTTATGCGATCTTTGTGTTTTTAGGCCAATTAGGGACAGTGTCTGATTTTGCAACATCCTTACGTTCGTTGGGAAATGTGTAGATTGGTCTCTGAGGGATAGAGACAGGGATGTGGCAACTGGAAATTCGACAATGGATTGAAAATAAAAACTTATAGCTATTTTTTTCAGCTGAAAAAATATTCGGAAAACATCCTCCAATGTCCTTTCCTTCTTAGAGGAATTGAAAAAGCGATAAAGCGGATAGAAACTTTTCTTTGAAGTTTCCAAGAACTTTCTCTAGACATTTGACGTTTTGAAACGGCCTATAACCTTTTTTTTCCAAGCTGCAAGAGTACTTTTTGAAATTCGAAGTGTTATGTTTTTATTAAAGGACACAAGTTGCAGTTTTTGGTCTGAAGAACCTCTTTTGATTCAAAAGTTCAATTTTCAAAGGTTCATAACATTTCCGGCTACTTGATTTTTAAAAATAGCTTATCACTATTAATGATTGAATTACAGATGATAAGAAGAATCAAAAAGAAAATTTGAAAATAAATGGTTTTCCGGTTTCACTTATCTCTAAGTAGTTAATTGAAAGTAACCCACACTGCTGACTTCCGTGATCTTTGTGTTTTCAGGGTAATTGGAGACGAAGTTCAATTTTGCACCACTTCCTACTTCCAGGAATAGATTGAGTTTGCTGCGGAAATTGGAAAAGTGTTCCTGCAATTGAAAGTTGAACGCTGTTCTGAAGAGCATTTCTGGACACGTATTCAAAAAAAACTTGAAATTACCAGTTATTTTATAACTGAATGGTTCTGTGCTGGGGAGCTCAAAGAAAAATAGGCAAATTTTCAAAATCTCGGATTGAAAAGCTTTTTTTAAGCCTTACTCGGTTATGGGATTTTGGCTTGTTTCACTCTTGCAAGGCTTTTTTTATTTTTTTTATTTTTCTTGACATGTGCTGATAATTTTGAAAACACTGGTTTTTTTGAAATCACCTTAATTTTCGCCTCATAACTGTCATTCATTTTTCAGAGAACAGAAAAAAAAAATCCAATAATTTCCTCTCTTTGACGCTGTTTCCGTTCAATTTTTTGTCAAAGAAAAACGCGTATTATGTGGGAGAAAAACGTCAACAACTGAATGACTGATACGGGTCAATTGCCCTGATAATGGTAAAGAAAACCCGTGACATGGTTTCAATGACAACTTTCTCTTTTTCCCTCGGGGGTTTTCCGAAAAAAGGGTTTTATGGACTCTAGAAGCGAGAGAAAAATGATTGAGCTGACTTTTTACTTTTTCTGTCAAGTTAATCAAAATTCTCAGCTTCAGAAGTTTATTACGCATCTTCACAAATAACACTGATTTCCAGCTTTGTCTTTTTTGGCACTTTTTTCTTGCTCAACATCACAAAATAAGCGTTTTCCAGCACTGAAATCAAAAATCCGATGCCGATCCCGAGCGCCAGAAGGAGGAAAAGACCGTAGACATTTTCCATTCCAAGGGCGATTTGATTGTCCGATGGTAGGGCTTCTTCGCATTCTCTGGAAAAAGGAAAACCACTTTCAAAAAATTTTCGTGCTCTGCAAAAGGCACAAAAGGTTGTTTAAAGCTTCAGAATATTCATTTATTCACGGCCAATAAATTTTTTTAATTAGATAGTTTTTTTATTAGGAAATACATACCAACTTTTTAAAATACTAGGAAGCCGAATCTCTTGAAAATAATATTAAAAATATGAGCTAGACGTCCAAAAAAACCATTTTCACACTCCAAGAGATGTCCTACACGAAAATAAGCTTTTCTTCTAAATTTTTCCTGTTCTCTACTAAATATTTTTATGCAAAAATGAGATAAAACAAACGTCTGAGTTTTCTTCCACCAATTGTTCTTGAGCATCAAAATGATGCCTTTCTCGTTCAAATCCAAAATTTGTCGCGTCAATTTTTCCCGCCATTTAGAGCCTTTGGGCAATCCAATACTGTATCCATTCGAACCAAGAACGACATTTCCAACCCGCGTCAAGTTGCAATTTTGGGTCACTTGGTAGTCCAATGTGGCTGATTCCATCAGAAAAACGTATCTATATGGAAAAGTTGTTTGAGAGAAAGAAAAAATTCTGAACTTTTCAGCCAGGACTTTCTGGACTCCTTCATGATTGGTTTTAACGAAAACAGAAGGCGAGGCGCTTTGCATTCTTTCCCAGAGTCGACTGAAGGTTTCGATCCGAGAATATTTGAAAAACTGCATCGTGGAGCCTCCCAGAATCGCTCCGAAATTGTAGTCACTTTGGTTTCCGAGCTCTTCGAAGCTCTTAAATTTTTAATTTTCGAGGGAAAGAAAAAAGTAAAAAAAAAGGTCTACTATTCCAGTCTCAATGCATGTATCATTAGGACCAATTCAAATGGAACTGAATACTTACATGAAAAGGCATGGATTTCCTGTCAATCGTAAGCAAAGCAGCAAAGTTCGCAGTGTACTGAGCGATCAGAATCAGCGTGAAAGTGAACCAAACCGTTGAAATGAACCTGAAAACAAAGGATCTCTAAGAAAAACTCGAAGAAAAACCTTGTAGCTCCCGCCTGGCAGTTATAACCGGAACCAGCTCGAAGAGATATGCAGACCAGGTACCATACGGAATTCAGAACATTGAATTCTGCTGCGGATTCTTTTTGGGAGAAAACTGCGGCCAGATTAACTATTAGAGAAGTTAGGACGGTAGCGATTAAGGAGTAGATCCAGACACTGAACGTTTATAATTTTGGAGTCGGAAACGCGGAAAAATGGTCAAAAACTGCATGCGTCCGACTAAATACGGTTTGCGTAAGAAGTTCAGGGAAAAGGAAGCTTTTCTTTGCTTTTCGCCTATTTTTCAAAATAATTTTTTGACAACTGAATATTTCCCCTAATTGACTAATAAAAACTTAGAATGATATGAGAAAGACCCAATTAAAATGTTGAAAGTGACTTTTTCTAGTTGAAACTCCTGGAGAAAAGCCCATTGAAAACTTATTTGTGAGTCATTCCAAGTGCGAACACATCAATACAAGTTTTTAACTACTAGTTGTACTATTGCAGTAGTGAATCTTAAGTGATCGAACTTTAGTCAGCTCACCTTTCAGAAAGCGGATAAAGGAACCGAGTCAAAGAAGAAGTCGATTTATGACCGGGCTGTCTCATTAACATCGAAATTCCAAGTTGTAAGAAAGGGTCAGTGAAATCGATGACTTCTAGCCGAGTTGCAGTGACCGTTATTGGAGCGACCGCCATGTCGGCGTCCTTGAGAATTCAAATTTCAAGCCCAAATTCGGAAACGAACCCCTCTCAAAATCTCTCCAATCATGCCGTCCCATTGATCAGTCCCGTTGATCTGCTCGCCATATTTATTATCCTTCACAATCTTCAACTGATAATCAAAATGCAGCATTTCTGCCAATTTATCGAGCAGATCCACACAGAATCCTTCATAGATGGTTTTGCCATTTGGTGAGAATTTTTCGATGACGTATGGCCTTTCCAGAATCGACGTCACTTTTAGGGTTCGCGACTGAAAAATGATGAAAAATTGTTTGGGATGGAGAAATGTTAACCTCCCGAATAGAGGTTTGAAAATGTTCATGAGTGCCTGGAGTACTCCTTGCGTTCATGGTTAGTTCTCGAGAACCTTCCCAGGACGATTTCCAGGTTCCAGTCTGAAACGGTAAAGTGAACTATACTTCTTTGAAGTCAAGAATGATTCAAAGCGGTAGGATTTGCTACGGTTCAATCTCGGAGTTTTTGACCGATAAGTCGACTTTTCTAAGCTAGCGCAAGTCATAAATCAGTCAGATGGCCTTACATAGCAATTTTTCGAAATAGCCAGCACAGTCCAAGAAAATAAAATTGACAAAAAAAACTTGCATGAATCCCCTCTCCAGTGACTCCCATCTCCCAAATGTGAAGCTCATTGTCTAGCCTCTGACTAGTCCCATCATAAGATATTGTGCCTGTCAATCCTCGGAATGGCTGGAAATAAATCAAATGAATTATTTGAAACTGAAAACTTCACCTTGACAATAGGAAGATGAAAATTCTCAGCAGGTTTTTCAAACTGGCAAGAGTGTAGTACACGCCGGGCTGTTTGACAAGCGAGTAAGATTGAGTCCAACAAAAATGCAAAGTCCTTCTGAAAACCGGCGTTTTCAACTTGCAGCCGACCTAAAACGACTTTCGCCAAAAAAAACTTACCAATGGAGTTATGGAAATATCCTCCTTTGAAGAGTTATGAGTCAGCGCTTGCAAATATTCTTCATACATGCCCGGTAGCCCAATATTCAGGTCATTTTCCGTCCATCTATCTTTTGAAACGGAAAGGAGCGATATTCTCATTTCGTTGTGTGAATATTGAGACAAATGCTCAAGTTCCAAGTCGTCCTGGATAATTTTTCTTATTTTTGAGAATTTCGAAAAGCTCATAGTGTGAAATAGCTCAAAACATAGCGACAAAGCAGTTGGCTTAAGGCGCGTCCGACCAAAACCTACTTTCGCTTTGAGCATTGGTCATTCCACATGCGAGCGCGAAAAGTTGAGAAATGAAGATTGAGAGTAAAAATACCAAAGAAGTGATGATGAACCAATTATGAACGCTAATCATCCCAAGTTTCAGCGCCGCATCGAGAAAGGTTAAAGTTTTCTTAGGGCTCATTTCGATGATCACACGATTTTTCTTTGGCCAACATCTTCCTCTAAAAAGTTCCATATATTTTCAAGAAAATACTCAGCATTGAAATACCTGTCACATGTGTCTCGCAAGGCCAAAGCTGTCCCCATCATATTCTCATCAGCTCCGTCGGCTCTAAGAAGCGCTGGAGATCTTTCAAGCCTTGATAAAATTTTTGTCAGCTGCTTGGGAGCTGAAAAAAATCATTAAATATATTCGTAACAGCTTGGATAACGCTTAGAATGACTAGAAAGCGGTTTTTTTATGCATCCGACCGAAAGTGACTTACGCTTGACAGTACTTAAAAGCATTAGACCAAGCGTGTTTAACCTGATTTTCAAATTGATATTAACCACTTTGAGCCATTTCAAGTGCGATACTCATGAAAAATCTCACCATCATGCGTTGAATAAATGTACACAAACTCGTCCCAATTCCACAACTTTGTCAATTTTTCCAGTAAAATTGAATATTCCTTCGTTGGAAACAAGTTGAGCGATCTTTGAGGAGCTCTAAAAGTTTTTAAAGTCACAAATCGGAAAGATAACTCACAAATCATCTTGAGGGCTCCAATAATACCGAATAAACAAAATATTGACTTCGAAGCAAATTTCTTCGATAATTTTCCCAAAACTCCGATCCACCGCTCCGATTATCACAGAAATCTCAGCCTCTGCTGCTTGGCATACTCAAAAAAATGAGAATAATGAGAAAAATCGAAAATTTACATTTTTTGTTGAGTTCATCGATTCTACTCGACGTGAAGTTGATGAAAACGACATCGGAAATCGAACAGTTGCCTCGAGTTTTGATGAGTTGACTCTTTATCTTTGGAATGACGATGCTCACAGTTTTCCGGATACCTATTCCAGCTTCACCTTGAGTTATGATACCTGGAAAAAAATAATTGAAATAGCAGGTAAGAATTTCAGAAACTGCTGAAAAAAATAATAAAAGCCACTTCAATATTTTTTTATTTAAACTCGGCTTCAAAAATATGGGCGTGGCTTGGTACCCATCTTTGGTGAGTAAATCGGAAATTAATATTCTCCAAGTTTCTTAACAAAGGCTATCACCTTTTTTGTTATTTAACACTTTCGTTCGGGACATTCCGACAAAAATTTCAAAAGTCTCACCGATTTTTATAGTTGAAACCGGATGAAATAAGGATAAAAATAGAAAAATCTGTAGGAACAACTTCATTTGTCCTTATATTGACCAATGCATGGCCAATATTCCTGAAGAAGCTGTCATTTTCAATTAATTAGGAGCTTTCAGAAGGTCCTAATTGGTCAGTTTCTCTTTTCGGAGAACTAATTTGTTTAACGTCTTTGTAGATGTTGAATTGTATTAAAATACACTGATTTTGAAAAAACGTGTGAATTTTTCAATGACCCTTTTTTTCATCTTAATATTTTTTCATTTTCCGTTTTTTCATCTTTCCTGTTTTTTGAATGAAAAACTTGGCGAAATTGATTTCATTCTCTATTTTGCTTTTTCCTTCAGGATTTTTTTCATTCATTAAAAAAATCATACTTCCATTCGAAACTGATTTCTGATTATCAGAATGCCTCCAAAAACTTTTTCTCAAATTTCGTGATTTCAGTTCACCAGACTATAAACAAAAAAATCAAAAAGTTCCTAGTACTTTGAAACGCGGAGATCATTTTAAGATGTAATTCGCTATTATTCTAATTTCACTTTTCTTAATATAATCCAATAAAAAATTGAGAAATGCGTCTAGAAAAAGACGTCAGATAAGAAAGTGCGCTCCACCGCAACGGGTCTCGTGGCGACGAGGCTCGCAGGCGGTACAATGCTGCCTCTTTTCTATGTTCGCTCTTTATTTAAGTTAGTATTTTTTCTGTTTTCAGCTTTATTTTCGTTCTTTTTATGCTTGTAATAAGTGAAAAGTCACATTTGGCGTGGTTTGAAGCTATAGTGACTGTTGTTTTTTCAAAAAATGATGCCAAAAAGTTTAATTTCAAACGATAAAAAATCTCAATGTCTGGTGTTAATAAAATAAGAAGATTTCGTCATTTTTCCTTTTTTTTTCTAGGGGAATATTAACCAACTTCATTTTGAAAACGGTTCACAGAGATTTTTTTAAATATCAAACCGTGTTTTAAACCGTTTTTTTGTTGAAATTTTGATCATAAAGTGTTATTTTTGTGAAAAAAATTGTTTGCCGTGTTGTTTTTTTCTTCATTTCAATCAATAGTTTCAGGTAATGGCTGCGCAGAAGCTCAACTTCTTCGAGAAGATCGCCAACATGGTCGGCGTCCTGTACCGCCACCAGGCCGCGCAGTTCCCGCGCCGTCTTGCCATCCTCAAGGTCATTTTCTTTTTCTTTTTTTATTTTATAAAAATTAAAAATCTTCAAGGATTAGGAATAATTTAAAAAAATTGTACGTGATTGAAGAAGTACAAAGTTTTAAAAAAAATTTAGACATTTGGTCACTGAAAAAAATAAGGGCTTTATTGATTTTATTAATTGATTTAATTAAAAACAAATGTAGATTTACTTCATGGTTTTCATTATATTCACCCATTGATTTGGAAAAATTTCGCATTTTTTTATCGAGCAAAAATAAAAATGAATTTACACTTTAACTCATAGTCAGCAACGAAAAATGCTATCACAAAGAAAAAATCGAAACAAATCAACGTCAAGAAGGTCATTGTGAAACAAAAAAAGATTCCTTGAGTGCCATTTTAAATCAATGAAACAAGAAAATATAAAAATTATTTTCTATACAAGTGCTAAAATTTTCCAGGCGGTCGGAAAGCACGAGCTGATGCCGCCACGAACGGCCGACTGGCCAGCCATCAAGGGAGACTGGAAGAAGGTGCAGAAGTTTGTCGCTGACGGACACTACAAACAGCTCACCATCAAGGTTATTTTCATATATTTTTTTATTTTCCTAGTATGAAGTTTTTTTGACAAAAAAAGTTAGGAAAAAAATATGAGCCTTCAAAAAAATGTTTCAAAAATTAAATTCTTTAACTTTACCTATTGACAGTTTTAATGAAAAGTCTCGTCAAGCGATTTGATTTTTGAAGTTGCAGCCGTCGAAGAGAAGAGCTCTTTTTGATGGTTTTCCAGTACAAAAAGGCTGCTGATTTGGTGGTATAAAAAAAGACCGGAGAAAATTGGAACGACTTTTTGACAAATCCTTTTTCGACTTTTTTTTTGACTTTGTTTTGAATTCACCTCTATGAAGCAGGTAGTAAATTCATAATCGAAACACAAAAAAATAGAAAAAGTCAAAAAAATTTTTATAAATCGGAAAATACAAGGGAAAAAAAGCCGGGAAGAAATTTTTTTCGAAAAGTTCCCCAGCAATATATGAAAAAAAGTCGCCTTTCAAAAAAATTTGCTGGCTTTTTCCTACCACCGCTGAAAAATGCATTAATGATCTTATTTAATAACAAAAAAAGGAAGATTTAGAATTTATAAAGTAAAGCATTGGGTAGTTTTATTTTCCTAGCATTCTCTCGGGGTCCTTAGGGTATGCAGTTTTTTTGGAGGTCAAGAAATGTTCTTCTACTTTTTCATTCTAAATTTTATTTTACTATAGGAAGGATTGGTGTACACCGCAGTTGCCCTCGAAGTCGCTTTCTGGTTCTTCATTGGTGAGATGATTGGCCGTCGCTACATTTTCGGTTACCTCGTAAGTGTCTTGCTTTTTTTCAAGGAATCTTTTGGAATTGCAGCCACATTTTCAGAAAATGATCTTCTCTTTGTTACTAAAATTTCCTCGAAAATTTTGAACCTTGAAAAAAACAATATTTCGAGAGATTGTCGAATTTTGATTATGTGTCGTATATACGCTCAAATCAAGTTAAATCTGGTCGTCTCTTTTTCAAATTTATATTCCACCCTTAAATAGTTTTTCACAAAAAACTGACACGGTTTCCAAAATTTTTAAATTCCCTTTTGAACGTTTTCTCTAAAATTTCAAATTCAAAAAAAATTTTTTGCTCATGCCGATAGTTAAGTTTTGGCACTACTAAATCTCGTTATTACTTTGATAACTACAATCTTTCAAGTTTCATAACTTGATCAAAAGCAAAAATAAACATTTCCGTCACCTCCAATAACCATAAGCAAAAATGATAAACCTTCCTAGCTCCAATGTCAACTATTTCTGGTAAAATAGCATTTTAGACAGAGAATCGCGGAAAATAATTGGCTGAATAGAGAAAATAAAGGATTTTTTTTTTTCTTATTTTTGATTTTTTCCAGGTTCCCGGCGATTTCGTCTCAAAGGAAACCAAGAAGCAGGCCAAAGCTATCGAGCACGACGCCACCCAACACCATCATTAAATAGTTTTAGTATTCTAGCGTGGTCTCTTCGGATTCTTGTTTTATCATAAATTTTATCTTTTTGTTTCACCGTCCACTCTAATTCTTGCGATTGATTTGATGAAGTAAAAAGTTGGACTTTGTCGTTTTTGCTTTTTTTACAAGAAAAAAAGATTCACTTTCCGCGTTCCTTGGGAATCTTGATTTTATTCTATATAGTTTTTCAGAGCATTTTGAAATGGCATGATGCAAAGTTTTACAAGAAGAAAAACGTTACATTTTAGAAAAAAAATCTAGGAATTCTCGTCTTTCTCCGTAGATCTCTTGAAATAGCGGGAATATAGACTGCAAGTTTTCCTTCTGACGGTTTTGAACTCCCTTTTCTTCAATTTTTCTGGAGTGCAGTAATTTTTTTCCATCAGTTCAAGTGTCTCAGGGCGTCGTTGCAATTAGGCTTGAACTTCAATCTTATGAAAAAAAAATGCCTCGTGCTGCTTACATAGACGCTCAAACACTGATATGTTTACTCTCTCGACTAAGCTCAGTAGTCCTAATTATAATCTATCAGTTGCGAGGTTTGCTCTCTGATCGATTGGAAATAACTTAAATCAACAGGAAGAATGTTTCTTTTGGAAAAAAGTAAAATAAATAAGGAATTTGGTTCGAAGAAATTATTTTGATTATTGTCGGAAATGTCTTATTTTACTTTTCTGAAGACAACTCAAGCCAAAGTTGGTATCGGAAGAAAGATGTGAATCAACCATATGAACCAAAAGCCGAGGTTTTTGAAACAGCAATGTGAATCAGAGTATTTTAGGAAAACATTCGCTTACTTTTCAAACTGAGATAGTTGTCAATAAAAACGAAAAAAAAGGAAAAGGCTATTTGCGGTCAAAAAGCTTTTGACTGGATTTATCGGAAGCACAGGAGTTCTGAACCACCTTGAATAAACTTGATACTTTCCCGACCTCCTTATCAACTCCATAAAAATATTAAAAAACTGTAAAAATTTATTCTCAAGACCACATTTTTTTTAACTCATAAGGTTGTTTTTTCCCTAGAATTTTTTCCCCAACCTTTAAATTTCATCCTCTAAGCTCAAAAGTTGTGTACCAGAACATTGGTTCATACGAAAACTTGAGAAAAACACAAATACTTGACTGAATCACAGACCACCTAAAAAAAATTGCAAGTACAAGTACAACAATAAAGCGTAAAATGTTTGTTTATTGACAAAACCCGGACAACTCACTACAGTAACCATATAGTAAACGTGCCGAGACCATCGAGCAGCAAACACGGCGAGTTTCGAGTGCATAAACTGATCCGTTTACTTACTTTGACTCACGAAAAAACCTTCCAAAACTCCGTTTCATCGCATTTCGGCACGGTATTTTGCCAGTGAGCTTCTCTTTTTCTCTCGTTTCAACAGTTTGTTTGTAAGAGGCCACATGTTTGCGACTTGTAAGTTGTTACTGACTGAGAAAACAAAGACGACCGTCAGCGGAAAGTATAAATATCGGACCTCGCGGCGATTTGAGCAACACGGCTGCCATGTACTCAGTTATTGCTCTTACGGTGAGTTTCTATTTTTTTTTTGGAATTCATGAACGAAAAAATTTTTCAGTTGGTTGCCTTGGCTTCTGCCAGCCCCGCCATGACTTCATACCAGTACCAGCCCAGTAAGTCTTATCGAGAGTTTTCATAGTGACTGCAAATCTTCAAACCACATCTGATAATTTTCCATCGATTTTTTTAGGATGGCGAGTAGCATAGGGTCTTTTAAAGAAGAAAACTTTAACACAAAAATCTAAAAAAGTCGGAATGGCTCAGCTCGGAAGCTTCAAGTATCTTTTACAGCTCTCGATAAACTTAATAAAAGCCTTCATATAAAATCCAAAAGGGGGCGGGATGTTTCACTTTGCGGTTGAGATTTATCCAAAACTGGCCTTAAAAGTCATTGAAATCATATCCAGTATTCCTTAATAATCCAAAAAAACAAAGTGAACTATCCTCCAAAATGTAACAACTTCCGTTTCGAAACGATTTCTGACAATTTTCAGGCTCGAAATTCTGCTCGAGCTCCAACGATTGCTCCTACGGACAGATGTGCTCCAACAGCCAATGTGTGAGCGGATCAAACAATTACGGCGCCCAGTACGACTACAGCAACAACTACGGAGCCTCCTGCACATCTTACCTCAACTGCATCTCCGGCCAGACGTGCTCCAATGGACGCTGCATGTCCAACAGCAACGGCATGGTCGGAGGCTACCAGTATAATCCTTCTGGTTTGGAAAAACAATATTTTCTTTCAAAGAAAGGATTTCAGGATCTTACCAGACCCAAGGAATGTACGGAAACACCTACAATCCTAATGGATACGGCTCCGGCTCCGGCTCCAATGGATACAACAACAACATGATGTACTCTCAAGGAAGTGGGATTTTTGTATCCTTGAATTTGAATAATATCAGGTGACAAAATTTTGGTCGCACTCAGAATGGCTTGAAAAGTTTTTTTGGTTTTTGCTGTTTTTTGAACCTTTGACACGTTTCACGATGAGGCGCGCTTCTGAAAATATAGTGGTTTTTTTCCGACAATGAACAAAATTCAAACAAAAATCCTATTTTAGTTTAAGAAATGAAGTCAACTCAATAAAAGTCATCAGAAGCGAGCAATCCTAAAGAAATGCTTCAATATTCATGACGCACCCTCAGAATCTAAATTTCAAGCTCAAAATGTTTTGTTGTATGAAAACTATGTTTCTCAATCGATATCAGATAATATTAAAAATGGAAATTTTAGGCTACTGCACTAACAATTATTCGTGTTCCAATGGACAGACCTGTGTTAACAACTACTGCCAATCTTGTGAGTTTTTTTTTGGTTTGGAAACTCGAAAATGAACTTTTCCAGAAATTTATGTATAAACCTAAGAAAATCGATCATTTCCAGCTTACGGATCAGGATCTGGATACAACAGCCAGAACTATGGAACTTATGGAAACGGCATGAGCACTGGACGCAAACGTCGATCTGGTGAGCGATCTCATTTTAAAAGCGAAAAATGATAGAAAATTTGTTTGTTTTCTCAAAAGCTTAGGTTGGTTACACCCTTTTTCTGCAAATAGATTGGTTTCTTAAGTTGTTTGCATGTCGCACTTGAAGTTCTGAGATTTGGAGACTTTTTGTTTTTTGAAGTTTTTTTCCGAACTTCTAAAGCGTGTAGGTATAGCCTAGAGTATAGTCATGTCTAGAAAGAGGATGAAAATCTACTTTTAGCTATTGCAACTGCAAAAACTTTAATTTTTCCACAAATTACTGGAGAATCGAACTATTTTATTTCTTTTTCAGTCTAAACCGGTGGCCTACTCTTCTACGGAAGAACGTCTGAATGATTCTACCGCTAGCCTTAAATTGAACAATTGAATAGAAAACATGTACATATCTTCGTTTCATTATGGAAATAAATATTTCATATTGCTGACGTATCCTTCAAGCTTCACAAAGACTTGAGAAAGACTCGAAAGCACTTCGGCGCCCAGAAACCATTTTTCCTTGAAGATGCCTCATTTTTCAAACGGAAGCAACATTTTCAAGCCTCGCAATAATTTCTGAACAATCCTGCCGCAATAAATACCGAGAACCCATTGTTTCAGATTTATTTTATTGCTGCCCCATTTCATTAATTTTCCAGAAGCCATTTAGCGAATTTATTGGTTTCTGAACACTTTGAAGCAATTGTCGGGCTCGTGACCTGAGCCTTGATACAGCGGCCGAACAATCGGCCGTTTTTTCTCCTCTTTAGTGATAAATGGTCGCGCCGCTGTGTTACATCTACTGCACCGGGAACAGACTTTGTTTTCAGGCTGTACTGAGAAACAAAAAGTGAAAGTGTAAATCGCCCAGACTTCCTACATTCCAGCCGTTTTTTCTGCTCCCTGAAAAATCAGGCCACCTGAGGAGTCTTTGGAGGGCAAACAACATTTATATGAAAATGTCGGAGATCAAGCTTGGAAGATCGGAAAACTTGACTTGAACTTCAGAGCGAAATTAGTCGGATGGGAAAACTGCCACTTTTTAACTTCAACTTTGCCCGCAAAATGACATACTGGAACCATCAGAAGAACGGCTCGAAACATTTTTTTTATTGCAGAGTAGTAGCTGTAGTTCACAAAAAACAAGTTCATCCCAAATGAAAACCTGTTAAGTTTTTCAGATTTTGAGCAAAAGTGAAAGTTGTACGAAAAACACATAACTGAAAATTCCGAAAACTGGCAAAAAATATTTCTCGAGGAAGAATATAGAACTTATGTGAAATATAAAATAACTTCAGATAATGTCAAAAAAAATTTACTTCGCCTTAAATTCCTAGTTCAAAAGAAGTTAAAGGTTTTTAAAGATTTTGCCAACTTCGGATTGGACGTGCTCCAGGAGTTGGAGATCAACGGGATCACCCGAACTTGTCAGCAGTGGCTATTTTTTCCTATCACGGTAAACCCAAAAAGTCGATTGAGCAAAAAAATTTCACTTTCAAGTATGTTCTTCCTGTCGCAAATCCGCAAAAACCATTTGATTTGGAATACAGAGAAAAACGTTTTTTTTGGTATTTTCGCCACCGTAATCCGAAGAAGGAGCGGAGCCACTCAAAATTCTTGTAAAGTGTGAAATTATCAAGACCTCAGAAAACTCAATTTGAAATTTTGGTATTATACTGTTTTTGGTTTCTCTCGGAGAACGTTTGTTAAATCCGCATTCCGTAGCATAAACTTTAATTTTTAATCGAATAATTTTAATTTTAAATATAATCTTTATATCAGCCTCCTAGCTGATTAAACTAAACAATTGCGCTCCCAGTCGATCGTGGAGGCAAAGTACGGTGTTTTTTCATCTCAGACAAAAAGCCTCCTTGCAGCTGTTGTTGCATTGCGGGTGCAGATCGGGTCCGCAAAATTAATTAGCCACCTTCACAGGACGGCAGCAACTGTGGCTTCCAATCGATATAGTTAGAACCAGCCAAAAAAAAATATTCGGAGGCTGGCCCAGCACACAGTTGCTCCAATGCGTAGGCACAAACTAGACGCGTACTTAAGCCTTCCCTAACAGGACTTTCTTTGCAGTTTTCCGTAGATTTCGGATTCCATTTCCGTTTCCGCTGGAAGACGGAAAGTTACCTTTTCCGTTTCTGTTTCCGGCACCTTCTTCATTCCTGTATCCTTAATGCCGACTAAATCAAAGTATCATCATTGTTATGTATAGTCTTTTTTTTCTCTCAATCACTAAGAATAACTTCCGAGATAAACGCGAGACGCTGGCGGTATATTCACGAACTTGCAAACAACTCGCATTTTTCTGGCAATTTGAAAATGTCTAAAATGCGAGACGAACGCGAGGTCGCGCCTAGAAAAAAGCGACATGTTTGCGAGTTCGTGAATGTACCGCCAACGACCGCGCGTTTATCTCGGCAGATATTCTTAGTGGTGTTGCAACGAAGCTCCCGTGCGGTTCAGGCGGAAAAAAAACGTCGTCCGCTCATCTACTGTCTCTTTGCAGACCTCGGAATGAAGCTGCTGGCCATCTCTTTGGCTCTCGCCCTCGCCGTCGGCGTCAGCGCCAAACCGGTAAGTTTCTTCTTGAAAGTCAAAAATATTGGCCGAAAAACTTCATCTAACTAGGGAACGTTTTTTACCTCCCAGTTGAACTTTTGATGAAACTTTGAGAGTGGACTGGAATTTTAAAGCTTCATAAATTGAAAACAAGATCTATTGAGAGAAGGTTTTCTTGTTCTGAATCAGGAGTGCCTAAAGTACACTTCAAGTGCTCTGAAAAAAAAAAACTCCATCCACAGCTAGCTTGTGACAAATGTTTGACTAAAACCGACTAGTAAGTTTTTTTTTTCAGAATCCTTTTCCCAAGCCCTACACCGTCCAGATTATTCTGAAGGACGACTTTGAAACAGGAACCCGAGATAAGGTATTATTTGACATTGCTTACACAATCACTGGTTACTTTTTTCAGCCCTACGCGAAGGAGCCGAGAGTCCCCGAGATCCTTCAGAATGACGTCGCCAATGACGAGGTATCATTGAATATTATTTTTTCACAATAATTTAGTTATTTTTTTAGTCGAAGGCTGAAAAGGCCCCTCTTCATAGGATCTACAAAAAGGCCGGAGTGGAGTACAAAAACCGAAGAGGAGGTAATATTTCCAAATTTCTTTTTGGTTTGAAATGTGAACGTAGGAAGATCTTAAAACTAAAATTCGAAAAAAAGTTTTCATTGAAAAACTCTTAACAATAAGGATCACTTCATTTTGTAGTTCGAAATACTCTGTTAACCCGTCAAATAATTTTCTTGAAGATCAAATAAATAAAATGAAATCTCATCTCGCAAAATTTCAAAAATTTTCACGTAGCAGAAATTTAATTTCGGAAACAGCTTTTCCGAAGGATTTTTATGATTTTCTATGCCAGGCGTTTTTTTTCTCAGAAACTGAAAGGTTTCTCTAACTTGACCATACTTACTTCAAATAAAAAAATGCTTTTGATCTTGGCTGAAAAAAATTTCAGAATTTCCAGTCTTTCGTCAACTTTCATGCCCCATTTTTTTTCTTCAATTATTTTTTTCAGTTTCCTACCGTCGAATGGAAAGACCGACAAGCCAAAAAAAGGGCGATGAAGACAAAGCCGAAGAGAAGGTTAACTTTATTTTGATATGAAGTTCAATATTCAGTAAATGATAATATTTGTTCAAAGCAAAAACATCAAAAAAATATTCCGAAAAACCTTGTTCACAAGTGAAAAATTGAGTAAAATCAACAAAAAAACTCGCCAAAATGTGGACCAATAATGTCTGAAAAACATGTTTAAAAAAATCAGAACATACCTAAGAAAAAAAGAATTATGTTTCCAATATTTCATTTTTTTCATCTATTTTCAGATTTGTAGACAAACTGGTAAATTTCAGAAAAATGAAAAAAATAATATAAAACGGAAATGGCAATATTTAATGAATTTATTCATGTTCAAATCAAAAATAGTCTTAATTTAAGCTTCCGGCGAAGCAGCCATGTGACGGCCTCAAGCTTTGCGGCGAACCGAGTGAGTGAAAAAAAAAACTGACCAAAAAATAAAAAATGAGGTTCAGGTTCAACCGAAAGTCCCCTGAAAATGGGCAAGGAGAAGGAAAATGCCAAGCAAGGAAAGAAGCTTGAAGAAAAATTCGTGAGTTTCAATTCCTTACCCTAAAACTTTAATAGAAAATTATAGGACGACCTTGCGAGAAAAGTTCGCAGTCGTCTTCTTGAATTTTTTGCTAAAGGCAAAAAGGTATTATTTAACCCGCACCCCATCCTTAAAACATTAAGACCACTTATATGGTTCACTTAGGAGATTTTCCTAAGCCCCAAATAGTTTTCAAACGCAATTTTAATCTTTTTAGGCCGCTTGAATTTTTTTTCATGGAATCAGAAAAACTTTTTTCGCACTTGTTGTAAAAAATTTCTTTTTAACTTCAACTTTTTAGCATACTTGTCGAGACGCTTGTTTTTGTATCTTCATTTTTTTTGTAAACTTGCTTGATAAAATGTATTTGGTGGATGTATCCGTCTTTTGTTGCACGAAATAAAAGGATTCTCAAAAATTTTCTTTATTTGAAAATGAAAAGTCAGAAGCAAAAAGTCAAGATAATACCCATAAAATGGATTGAAGCACAACCATATTCTCCAAAATCAGTTTTTAAGGAACCACTTCTTCAAGTTCAAATATTGTCCGCGAAACATAAGAAAATACATTTATCATTATCATTAGTTATTCAAAAATCGAAGTGCCCACAAAATTTAAGATCTCCTAGTTAAATCAACTGAAAAATCGAGGTCTCAGCCTGCTGCTGAGGCGAAAAACTACGGAAAAAGTTTTCGGTGCACCTGTTGTCGCATGAAAATTACACAAAGAGCTGGTCGAACACAAAATTAATCAGCGTTCGAGTCATACCGTCGGCGTCAATGAAAAAAAACTGAGGGGCTGGCCGCACACAGTTGCTCCATTGCGTAGGCACCAACTTCACGCCCGCTTGAGCCCTGCCAGCAGGACTTTCTTCAAAAACTCGTGAACCGAAATGAAGCTCGCTGTGGTCTTTTTCGCTCTCGCCCTCGCCATCCTCGTCACCGCCAAGCCGGTTGGGTTTTTAATCGAAAATTATGATTTTTTGATTAAAAATTTCAACGCAACTCGAATTTTGTATTTTCCCTTCACCGACAGTTTGAAACTCAAAACAAAACGTTTTACAGAAGCCTCTAGTAACAAAAAAATTGTCATTTTTTTATATTTCATAAACTTGAAGTAATCTGTTCAAACTATCTTTAGGCTTGAAAAAAATCATACTAACTGACTTTTTTTATAATTTTCTATCCATCTTTTTTTCGACTAAAAAAATGATATAATCAGATTTTTTTCCTTTTCCGTCAACCTTCTGAGAGGAAACCAAAAATATGTTCCTAGAAAATAGTTCAGCCTAAAGCGGTGGAGAAAAATCCTAAAAAGAGAGACAATAAACAAGTTTTCAAAAAAAGATTATACAAAAAAAGTAGAGTTTTATCCTACTGCTGTATATTCAATTGACATTATATGGTCTTTTTCTGGTTCTCTTGGTTAAATGAACATTAGGAGTTGAGAGAATAATGTACATCCTTTGTCGATTAAAAAAATCAAGTTTTTGAAGCGTATAAACCATTGAAAAAAAGGGAACCTAAGAGAAAATGAATGAAAAAAATTGAGCTCAGTTCGATGAAATCCAAAAATATCAAAATTATAGTTTTTTTTCATTGCAGATACCGGAGAAGAAACTAGGAATGTGTGGCGTTAAAGGGTTTCATTGTGGAACGCCCAGTGAGTGAATTTGGAAATTACATAATTTTAAAAATGATTCAATATTCAGCCCAAGATGACATCGATCGATACGTCGCGTTGGGCAATGATATCGCCAGCAAGACCAGGAAACCGGGAAGAGTTTGGGTAGGCTTTCCATCCGAGAATAAATCGAAATCCCACATGAATTATAGGAGGATTCGAAAAAAATTTTCAAAAAGCTTTCCGCCCCGTTCATCGAGCAAGTCGAAAACTTCTTCGACAATCCAAAGCCCGGCCAGAACTATGTGAGTCTCCAAAAAATTAAATACACTATTCAAAGTTTTAGATGACAATCAAAATCAGATTCCAAAAGAGACTTGGAGAGCTTCTCATCGGAACCAAAAACTTTTTCACCGGCCTGTTTCAGAGTCGCCCCCGTTCAACTTGATCTGAGTGATATGACAATATTTTTCATTTTTTTTTATTTGATATTTTTTTGTAGAAGAGCTGCTTTTTTTCATGAAGTTGTTTATCCCAGGCTTTAAAGAAAGAAATAAGACTGTTTGTGCTTTTTTGATAAGCTTTTTCCAAGCCTAGAAAGATAAAAATTGACTGCTTTTTCTATGCCTTGAATGCAACTTTGTCGCTTCGATTGTATTGTTTTTTGATAAAAAAACGCTTCAAAAACAGCTACGTTTTGCAATAAAAATTCCTGCAATCCATCGATTGCATCAATATAAAAAAATGCTAAAAAAATTCAGAAATATTAAACTGTCAAGAAACGAAGTTCGTTTTTTTTTTTTTTTGGTTGGTTTCGAACTGATATAAATCGTTTCAGAAGGCATTTATAAGTTATCTAAAGTTTATGAATTACTTGAATATTCGAAAATCATGAATTGATCAAGGTCGTTTTGACATCATGTTGAACTTGAAGGCATTTCTCTCTGATAACATTTTCAGGTTTCCAAAAATGTAGGTGATCGAATAGTTGGAGGTGGACTTAGATGATCAACGAAAACTGCTTCTTTTCCAACTTTTCATAAGTTTGTTTTCCTGTGCTGCCCAAGCAGAAGCTTGAAACTTTCTTTCTGCTCATTTTCCATTCATTTAATTCATTTTTTGCTGCATTTTTTTTTCTTTTCCCTCTATCTCTCTCTTTTTCCTCTCGCTCATTTTCGTCGTATGTCATGGTAAAGGCTTCTGTTTCATCAATAGAAAAGTTTAGCTGGCCTCAAATGACCAAAAAGTCGACAAAATCGATTATTTTTGTATATATTGTTTCAGGGAACTATTTTAAAGTTTCTTGAAAATCAAATAACTAATTTGACGCTGGTGCTCTTTTTCATAGAGCTTTCCTATAACTTTTTCACCAGCAAGACTTTAAATATAATACATAACTGAATCTCTTTCGGGAGCTAAGAATTGTTCAGTGCTCCAATTTGGTTAATAACCTTTATCGGACATTCTAATTGCAATCGCGTTAGGCTAGAGCGGAAGGGTGATGAGAGTGACGCGTCTGTGAGCAGAAACGCAGAAGAAAGCGAGAAACTGCCATCTCATTCTCCCATTTACGTTTGTGGATAAAAAATTCCGTTTCTTCTGTATAGTTTGCATTGATTTCGTGATTTTCCATCGGTGATTATCATTATTCTTTTCTTCTTGATTTTGGATTTTTTAACAACTTTTCCCACTTTCCCTCTTTCTCTCTCGAATTAATCGAATAGTTTACAGTGTAAATTTTATTGGCTCAGTAATTTATAGACATTTGGCAGTATGAACCGGCTTTATGCTCCTCAAGTTGAAAAACTTGCTTGAGAAGGCGACGATTGAAATTCCATGGAAAATCTACTGAAATATACACAAAAATCAGCCCCTTTTTTTACTATCACCCAGAATCACCCAAATAACCTTTTCTACCAATCTATTCTATTATAAAAACACTATTAATTTTAATTTATAATATTACATATTTTATTTTTTTACTTTCAAATAGCTTTTAAAAAAATGGTTGTTTTTAAGACATGATATTGTTCATCGAGCTCCGTGATCACGATGGACAGTTGCATCGAAGTTTCAAAATGGATTTGTAACGACGAGGTTTGTTTTTTTATTACCTTCATTATTATTTTTTTGATTTTTTTAGGGGAAAGTTTCTCAATTGAAGGACAAAAATCAGCTCGGTTTTTTTAACATTGATCCCCGTTATCAAGTATTGTTTTTGCAATGGAACAAAAAAATTCAATCTGGTACGTTGAACGAAATTGGCATAAAGGACGAAGACAGAATTACTGTGGTAAGTTGAATATTTTGCTGTTTATATCCAAATTGTGTTTAACAATTATTACCTTAGTATATCTACAAAAATAAATTTTGTAACGGTTTTATTTGATCGAATTTTTGATTTCAGAGACATTGCATGACCGCGAATTGGAGAACATTTGTGGCGAATATTGAAAGTGCTCGACAAGGTGCACTATTTCGAAAATGGGACCGGATTGAAAACTCAATTGATCATGCCCTATACCATCTATTGCCATTAATGAGAACAAATTTCTTAAGAGCCTACCCTCTATTTGATAAAATGTATTGCCAATTAAATTTGCCGAGTTATGCGCGATAAAACTCTAATAAGGAAGTACTACGTAAAAGAAAATATGGGTTTTGCGGAGTTTCAACAGGCAGATCTTTTTGAAATATTTGTGTACAAATTTTTTGAGATTGTAGGAGTCGTGCCAAGAGGATTATTTCAGAATGGCCCCTCACTATGTTGCAAATAACCCTCCCACAGGCCCGTACAAACGAGTCTTTCCAACCACCTTTTTATATTCTGCTTGAAAATTTTTTTTTCAATTAAATTATAACTTTTTCGTTTTTTATTTGTCAATCTGTTTCATTTCCATGTATGTAGTTTCTACTGAAATATGACGTATATTATACTGTTATAAAGGTTCTGTTTTTGTGTTTATTGAATAAAAATAACTATAGCATAGTACATATTTTTTTATTTTTTTAAAAAAACTTTAATAAGAGAAGGGTCATTCTTGGGGACTGGCCAGGTATTCTAGAATTGTCCCCCACTTGGCAGCAGGGGAGGGGGCGATTCTAGAACAAGGCATAGCCCCCCAACTTTGATTAAGCTCCCCCCCACCAAAAATTAATTGATTGACCTGGAGCTATAGCCTGGAGCTATTAGTAATGATCCAACATGATTATTATATATCATTCATGAAATGAAGATAACCATTTTTATACCTTTTGACGACGTCAGCACCAGGGACCCGTTTTTGAATTGTACCGACAGTCACAGCGATATTTGAAGAACGTGGAATTCTAGACGACTTTCACAGCTAATACTGATGCCGGCATGTCACACTCTCTTCGGATTGCCCTTGTTCAAGTAATCATCGAAAAAAACACGAAAAAAAACAAGGTACTGCGTGACCATTTTCGCGACTGTTTAAGAATCTTCGATACTTGATTTATAGACAGTATAGACTGAAGTAGTCAAGCAAAAATAAACATTACGTTCCTTATCCACAAGCCAAAATTATCTGCTTTGTCCGGTTATCTCGCTCTACTTTCATTTTTCAAAGTAACGAAATTACAAATTAAAACTGCACCTAGGTTTATTTAGATATTCACTGCGCGTCAAGAAATTTTCGAGTAATATCTTTTGAGTTTATTTCCGCTCGATTTCCAAATTCGACAGAAAACTCGTCAATTTATCGCATTTATCGACAGTTCGGAAAATCTTCAAGACGTTGAGATGAAGTTCAGAGACAGGCCTGATCCGAAGAAAATCGAGAAGAGCTTGCTGAGAGATCTTTTTTTCCTTTTTTTGTCCGCTTTTTTTCTTGTTGTTTTGGACATTGTGTTTTTTTCAAGTGCTGTTATTCAGAATCTTTTTTGAAATTTTATAAAAAAAGACAAAGGACCGGCAAGCATACGCTTGAATAATAGACACGTAATACAGAAACACGGGGAAAATAAAGAATTGCTTTAGAAAATGAAGAAGAGGCAAGACTCAGTCGGCCTGAAAAATTCAAATTAGAAATGACAAAAATCGAGATATTTTACCTTGTCCGTGTCGGTCGAATTGCCGATTTCAGCATCCTCCTGAAAAACATTAATGACTTAATGGAAAAACTTTGAAGATTGAAAACTTTTTTTCTTGGTTGGAAATTAATTATAGTAGAAAGGTTTCTGAGAAGAAAAAGCCGTTGGTTTTTTTCTTTTTAAATTTTGGAGAAAAGTTTTTTTAAAGTTCAAAAAGAAAAAAATTGCTGTCAGATAGCAAATTCAGATTTTTTTAGCGTAAATTGGGATACCTTGTCGTCGTTCGAGGCGTCAGCCGAAGGAGAAGCGCTCATGCCAACAGACGAAGCAGTCGCCGAAGTGTCTTCTGAAATTTCGACGTTTGAAAAAAACGTTTCAAAAATTCGTGAATGTCAGAAGAACAGTAAGTGTAAAATCTATTTTTTTCCATTTTTTTGTAGTTTTCGGTTTACGAAATAATGAAGTTTTTCATCCCAAAATCACAAAAAAACAACAGGAGCTCTGAGTATTGAAACGTGATCCATATCTTTTTTCGAAAAAAGTTTCGCTGAAATTATCAAGGAACTTACGAGTAGCATTGGAAACAACGCTCGAACTGAGCCTGCCGACGCCGTGGCCGACAACGGCAGGTGAAAAGGCCGAACCGTCAGCGCTGTTGATGTTGATCAGAGAGTCGTTCCGATGTTCAGTCGGCGAAGTCAAGGGAATTCTCACGGTGTGGAGAAGTTCGGAAGCCGTAGGAGTCATACCTGTAGGAAATTTTCAAGGTGGAATCAAGGTTTCTTATTTCAAAATCAAAAATTTTTTAAAGCCTTGAGATTTTGAAAAACAAAAGTGAGGATAAAAAATGAAGCTGTTCTAAAAACTCGATGTGGTCACGCTTATACAGAAGAAGCTCTTTGCATAAGTTTCTGAACGTTCTTCAAAAGTCTACATCAAATCTTGCCACTCGCTCCGTTCATTTCAAAGCGTCACAGCTCGAACTTACTGATAAAAAAAAAACGATTTTTTTAGGGATAAGATTTGTTCTCTAATTCTTTAGATAGAAATATACAGCTGAATAGTGAGAAAAAACACTCACCGAGGGTCGGATTCAACGGAGAGCGACGGCGCGATCCCGGAGATCGGAGTTCCTCGACGCCGGTTCCAATTTCAATCTCATTGGCTGAAAAATCAAATTTTTTGAATTAGCAAAGTTGAAAAAATATTGAAAACTGAAGGTTTTCTGAGGACAATCTAAAGTCGCGAAGATAAAGAAAGATGAAATTTTTCCTCGTTTTTTTTGAAAAGTCACGGAGTTAGAGAAGTATGACGGGATTCTATTATTAAATAAAAAAATACCTCGATTATGGAGAATCGTAAAATCCCGTGGCTCCCTCTCAGAAAAAACTTCAAATGTCGGCATCGGCTTCGGCGCATTGGGATCTGGAGTAGGCTCTGAAAAATAGTCGTCAACTGAATAAAGATAATACCTTCAAGAAGCAATGAAATATCGAATTCAGAACTACAATCCGAGAATGGGTCTCCTCTTCAATTATTAGCCTCAAAATGAAGAAAAGACAAACCAATATGCCGATGATTCAGAATCCCAGGGGCAATCGTTGGTTCACCAGTCGGCTCATCGGAAGCTGAAAGTTTGATTTGCTCCAACTGTTTCAAATGTTTTTACATTCAAACCAAAATATGGCCAGGACAAATGAAGAGAGAAGTTTGCTTTGCAAAATCAAGAAGAAGAAGTCGAAGTTATTGGGCAACTCGATTTGACTTATTGGGGGAAATTTTAGAAAAAAATTGATTTCCGAAGATCTGCTGTTTTCGAATGTTAGAATTTTTGGGTAACTCACCGATCGAATGAATCGAAGACAACTGGCTGGGCCTGCCGGCGGTCCGAGAGCCGTCGGCAACTGATCCGACCGAATTGTCCAGTTCCAGGTCGTAGGCATTGACGGTGACACTCACGCTGACGTCTCTTTCTAAATTCCAAAAAAATTACTTTTTTTCTTATCAATCTGAAACAACTCATAAGAGCTGAGGTTAAGGAAATAATTAACGATCGGAGTGAAACTAACCAGAAGAAGCGGTTCTTTCGCGGTCATCCGACATGTTCCTGCCAATTGCGACATCGACAGTGCTGATGTTCGAGACTGAAATTGAGTTTGGTGTCCCCAATTTCAATAAAATGTTACGTGTGAAAAATTTTTCGAGAAGATTTTTCGCATTGAAGAAAAGAAATAGTTGCGAACAAAAACTGACAGTCGAAATGAGGCGAGCGAAGTTCGGAGGTGTTCAAGTCCACAGCTCGCGGCATGTTTGGAGAGACACCAGTCATGAGCCCAAGAGTTGAAGACGACAAAGCTGGGCTATTCACTCCTGCCGAATTCGCGTCAGTTCCTGAATCTTTGTAAATTATAACAAAAACTGAGAAATTCGAAAAAAGTGCCGAAAAGTTCAAAATCGACTACTCTAAAATAAAAACAAAAGATCTCTAACATCATACTTTGACTAAAAACATGAAAAATTTGAAAAAAACTCACGGCTCGACCATGGGACAGTCGCCAGGGAGGCCTGACTGAGCCTGCCGCCTTGAGAGAAAAACGGCAGGTGAAGGAGCAACATCGTTTCCGGCGCGGTGATCTTGAGAAGAGACGGCAGGAGAATCAGCGACAGTGTTCCTGGCGTTGATGAAAGCGGCTCTTTCTGAAAAATATTATTTATCAAGATTTTGAAGTCTCAAAATAATTTTTAAGTTTCAAAAAAATATCAAATGTTCGGAAAAATGTTTCACAGACACCCCAAAAAAAGTCTTTTCGAATTCTTAAAACTTTGCGACAGTCTTCTAGAGTTTTGAAGTTTGAGAATAACCAAATACAAAGGAAATATTCTTGTTGACAATTTTGCACCAACTCACCTGCCATCGAGGCAAGTGTTGAAGACGACACAGCCGGGCTATCGATTCTTGAGGAACTTGCGTCAGTACCTGAATCTATGAAAGTTAAAACAATAACTAAGAAATTCGAAAAATGCCGAAAGTTGAAAACCGCTTCTCAAAAATAGGAGAAAAACATCTTCAACTTCATATTCAGAATAATTATTAAACATTTGAAAAAAACTCACGGCTCGACCATGAGACAGTCGCCAGGGAGGCCTGACTGAGCCTGCCGCCTTGAGAGGAAACGGCAGGTGAAGGAGCAACATCGTTTCCGGCGCGGTGATCTTGAGAAGAGACGGCAGGAGAATCAGCAACAGTGTTTCTGGCGTTGATGAAATAGCGGCTCTTTCTGAAAAAGATTATTTATCAAGGATCTTTGAAGTCTCAAAAAGAATTTTTCAAGTTTCAAAAAGTATCAAAAAAAGTTCAAAAAAAGGTTTCACAGGCTTTCCCAAAATTCTCTAGAAAGAGTCAAAAATTTCATGAAATTGTCCAAAAAGTTTTTAAAGTTTAGGGAATAACTGAAATAAAAAAAGAAAATATTCTTGTTGATAATTTCGAAGCAACTCACCTGCCATCGAGGCAAGTGTTGAAGACGACACAGCCGGGCTATCGATTCTTGAGGAACTTGCGTCAGTACCTGAATCTATGAAAGTTAAAACAATAACTAAGAAATTCGAAAAAAATGCCGAAAGTTCAAAACCGCTTCTCAAAAATAGGAGAAAAACATCTTCAACTTCATATTCAGAATAATTATTAAACATTTGAAAAAAACTCACGGCTCGACCATGAGACAGTCGCCAGGGAGGCCTGACTGAGCCTGCCGCCTTGAGAGGAAAACGGCAGGTGAAGGAGCAACATCGTTTCCGGCGCGGTGATCTTGAGAAGAGACGGCAGGAGAATCAGCGACAGTGTTCCTGGCGTTGATGAAAGCGGCTCTTTCTGAAAATATTATTTATCAAGATTTTGAAGTCTCAAAAGAATTTTCATGTTTCAAAAAGTTCCAAAAAGTTCAAAAAAAGTTTCACAGGCTTTCCAAAAATTCTCTAGAAAAGTCAAAAATTTCATGAAATTGTCCAAAAAGTTTTAAAGTTTAAGAATAATTGAATAAAAAAAGAAAATATTCTTGTTGATAATTTCGAAGCAACTCACCTGCCATCGAGGCAAGTGTTGAAGACGACACAGCCGGGCTATCGATTCTTGAGGAACTTGCGTCAGTACCTGAATCTATGAAAGTTAAAACAATAACTAAGAAATTCGAAAAAAATGCCGAAAGTTCAAAACCGCTTCTCAAAAATAGGAGAAAAACATCTTCAACTTCATATTCAGAATAATTATTAAACATTTGAAAAACTCACGGCTCGACCATGAGACAGTCGCCATGGAGGCCTGACTGAGCCTGCCGCCTTGAGAGGAAACGGCAGGTGAAGGAGCAACATCGTTTCCGGCGCGGTGATCTTGAGAAGAGACGGCAGGAGAATCAGCGACAGTGTTCCTGGCGTTGATGAAAGCGGCTCTTTCTGAAAATATTATTTATCAAGATTTTGAAGTCTCAAAAGAATTTTCATGTTTCAAAAAGTTCCAAAAAGTTCAAAAAAAGTTTCACAGGCTTTCCAAAATTCTCTAGAAAAAGTCAAAAATTTCATGAAATTGTCCAAAAAGTTTTAAAGTTTAAGAATAATTGAATAAAAAAAGAAAAATATTCTTGTTGATAATTTCGAAGCAACTCACCTGCCATCGAGGCAAGTGTTGAAGACGACACAGCCGGGCTATCGATTCTTGAGGAACTTGCGTCAGTACCTGAATCTATGAAAGTTAAAAACAATAACTAAGAAATTCGAAAAAAATGCCGAAAGTTCAAAACCGCTTCTCAAAAATAGGAGAAAACATCTTCAACTTCATATTCAGAATAATTATTAAACATTTGAAAAAAACTCACGGCTCGACCATGAGACAGTCGCCAGGGAGGCCTGACTGAGCCTGCCGCCTTGAGAGGAAACGGCAGGTGAAGGAGCAACATCGTTTCCGGCGCGGTGATCTTGAGAAGAGACGGCAGGAGAATCAGCAACAATGTTTCCGGCGTTGATAATTGCGGCTCTTTCTGAAAAGATTATTTATCAAGGAACTGGAATCTCAAAAGAATTTTCAAGTTTCAAAAATATCAAAAATTCAAAAAAGGTTCACCGGCTTCCCAAAATTCTTTAGAAAGTGTCAAAATTTCATGAATAGTCCAAAATTTTTAAAGTTTGGGAATAACTAAATAAAAAGAAAATATTCTTGTTGATAATTTCGAAGCAACTCACCTGCCATCGAGGCAAGTGTTGAAGACGACACAGCCGGGCTATCGATTCTTGAGGAACTTGCGTCAGTACCTGAATCTATGAAAGTTAAAACAATAACTAAGAAATTCGAAAAAAATGCCGAAAGTTCAAAACCGCTTCTCAAAATAGAAGAAAAACATCTTCAACTTCATATTCAGAATAATTATTAAACATTTGAAAAAAACTCACGGCTCGACCATGAGACAGTCGCCAGGGAGGCCTGACTGAGCCTGCCGCCTTGAGAGGAAACGGCAGGTGAAGGAGCAACATCGTTTCCGGCGCGGTGATCTTGAGAAGAGACGGCAGGAGAATCAGCGACAGTGTTCCTGGCGTTGATGAAAGCGGCTCTTTCTGAAAACATTTTCTATCAAAAAAAAAAATTTCTCGGAAGTTTCAAAAATATCAAATGTTCGAAAAATGTTTCACAGACTTCCGGAATTCTTTAGAAAAATCAAAATTTCATGAGATTATCCAAAAAGTTTTTGAAGTTTGGGAATGACTGAATAAAAAAAGAAATATTCTTGTTGATAATTTTGAAGCAACTCACCTGCCAAAATGGCAAGAGTCGCTGGAGAGGCGGCCGGACTAACCACGTAAGAGGAGTTGACGTCCGTTCCTGAATCTTTTTCAAATCAGTTTAAAACATCAAAAAGTCTTTAAAGTCTAAAAATTTCGATCAAACATATTTTTTGAAAGTTGTGTTCAAAGTTTTTATAGTTTTGGAGTCACAAATAACTGCATCAAAGCATTTTGTCAGTTCTATCATTTTAGTCTGACTGGCTGACGTAATAAATACTTTTTTGGTTAATAATATGTTTTTAAACGCACTCATCGCGGAAGAGTTCGGATCGGCTCCAGCCGCATCAGTTGGACCTTCCTCCATTCCGACGTCCACCGATTCAAGACGATAGCGGCGGCCATTGAGGAAAAATGAAACTCAGGGGGTGTCCACAGATCTGCAGAAAGAATAAATCCATGAAAATCTTAGCTTTATCTATTCTTTTTAGGAAATTTTCAGAAAAATCTTACTTGGCTGGTTGGGCGCCAGTTGAACAACGACGTTGCCTTCATTCATTGCAGATGAATTTGGGACAGCCAAAGAAGCGGGATTTCTTGGCGGAGCTGATAAAAAAAATGCATTTCAAGACTGAAAAGCTAGTTTCAGAATCTTGTCATTGGAATTTCGAAGAATCATTGGAGTTTCAAAGAATTGTTGATCTCAAGAAACTTTTTGCAGTAAAGTTGAAATACCTACCGAAGGGCGAAGTGCCTTTGTCCACCTTCAGACGCTTGATGACTGGACCCGATGAAGTGAGGTTCTCCGAGCTGTCTTTCTGCGAGGCGACGCCTGAAACTTGTAAAGCGAAAGTTCGAATCAAACTGGTGGACTTGAAAAAAAAATATTTATCAGAACTCGTCAAAGAATACACTCTTTTTTTCAAAAACTAATTGAGTTTTTTTACTCCGTATTTCATGAAAGTTCATCTGATTAATATTCATTTTGATCTAAAAACTTCTAACTTTTTTTGAAAGAATGCTCCAGAATGTTTGACTTTAGCGCGGAATCTTCAAAGTGACTTACTGGCAATGTTTTCGCCAGGCGTAGGCCTGCTGATGATGGAAACTTCGGCAGGTTCCACTGATCCGTTCACAGCGACGCCTTCTTCGAGGTTTACAAGCTCCGGTTCGACGGCTTCGGCTGAATTTTTAAAAATTAACTGATTTAATATCTCGAAAAAGGTCTGATAGAAAGTTCAGCAAAAACTGTTGCCTTGAAAAAAACCACGGAACTTTTATGAAATCTTCATTGATCTCAGATAGAAAAAACAGTATCAGAAAATTGGGGTTAACTCTCCTTCTAAAGGTTTGAACCATAGGATACTTATTTCCTATCGTGAAATTGTATATCCCACCAGATTTTTTTGCGCTACAGAAAAAAAGTGTATTTTTCAAGATGAGATTTCCTGAAAAAAATCACCAAAAATGAATGGCTGCTGGTTCATCAGCAGCAGCTGGGGCACGGGCGACAAGACGCGCACTGCGACGGGCTCCTCCACGACCGCCTGCGCCGGCTCTCCCTCCACGCGGAGCGCCACCTCCACGAACAGGAAGTACAGCTGAAAAATATTCTAACATCAATCCAAAGAAAAAGTAGTAAAGTTTGAAATTTAAAAATTATGGATCTCAGGATTCAACACTTTTCAACTAGTTTGTATCTATTTCACTTTTGGAAAACCGGCAAACTGCACAGAACACAAAAATAAGCACGCTTGAAACTTTTGGAAAATTTTTTCAAAAGACCTCGAATGTAGATAATTTGGATTTTATAGGGACAGTGATGATTTTGATAACTTACCGGCAACGACAGGTTGGTTTCGCGCAACGACGGGTGCGTTCCTGGGAACGACTGGACCGCCACGGCGTTGGTCTGAAAAATGAACCGTTAATAAAGTTTAAAAAAACTTTTTTTTCCAATAAAAAAAGTTCGAAAAAAACAAATACTCACTTAGCTGGGCTTGTTGTCGCTGAGTTTCGCTGACCCGGCCTGAAATTTCACTTGTAATCAAAGTTCTTCGAGTTTGAAGTTAAAGCCTCAAGTCAAATTTCAAAAAAGAAACTCACGAGCGGAGGAGAAGGTCTTCTGTTGGAAGCCTTTTTGTCCGTCTGAAAAATTTTCAATTTTTTTCACTTCAACAAGAAAAAAAACTGACTCTTTCTTGTCATCCTTGCTTTTTGTTGAAGTTTCGAACTTGGAGCTGAAAAAAATTGATTTTTTTAAGCAAAGAAAAAAATGGCAATGAAGCAAACAGAAAAACACTGAAAAAAATTGAAACCTAGATTATTCAATCTTTGAATTCGTTTACCACCAAACAGAACAGTTCAAAAAAACTCCAACTATTGAGCTCAAAAAAATCTCATGAAAAATGCGCTTTACGGATGATCAGTCAAAAACTATTGAATTGAATTATTTTACCTTTCTGCACATATATTTTTTTGCCGGTTAATCCAAAAATTTATATACTAAAAATGAGCCTTTTCTATGATTCATAACAAAGAAGAGTCATTTTGGGAACCGATGAAAACAGTAAAAAAATTGAGAAGACCCTGGTTTCAGAAAGAAGGCCTGAAATATACGAAGAGTAAAAAAATAAAAAGCGGATTTTTTTGTGCAAGAGCAGAAAAACACGAAATAACTTGCTTTTTTTGGAACTGACCAAAAAGAGACCGAGTGGAATAAAAGGACAAAAATACGCCTGAACGTAGCGGGAATCGGGCCTTCCAGTCCAAGAGAGGCTGGAGAGCCCAACTTCGACCGACCGCTCGCGACAGAACAACGACAGTAGAATGAAGATAATAAAGACACGCCCACTTTATTAGCTCAGTTCATTATAACTGGTCTGACACGCATACTAACGCTTGTGAAGGAAAAACGAGAGGTTTGGATCGAGAAAAATAAAAAAAGAAAAAAATTTTTTTCCAATTTGAAGTCTGTTTCTAAACAAACTCAGAAGCCTTTTATATAAAAAGCTTCAGAGATCAGTCGAAAAAACTGAAAAAAAGTCGAAGTTCGAAATTTCGCCGACAAATTAATAACAAGAAGGTTTGAAAAAAACATTCTGACTTATTTAGATAAAGTTTAGAATGAAAAGGATATTTTTTTACAAAAATAAAAAAAGAGATTGAGGCCAAGTAGAAAAAAACAACGCAGAATACGCTGAGACGTGGCGGAAATCGGGCCTTCCAGTCCAAGAGAGGCTGGAGAGCCCAACTTCGACCGATCGCTCACGACAGAAACAACGACAGCAAAATGAAGTTATCGAAGCACGACCTCTGAGCCAAATCAGGGGGCGTGTCCCCTGATTTGGCTCAGAGGTCGTTCTTGCCGGACCGACACGCCCCCTGACCCTTATGGAAATAATGAGGAGTATGAAATAAAATGCTATAAGGGAAAAAACTTTTTCCTTTTTCGCAATAAGATTCTGAACAAGATCTAGAAACTTACCTACAGAGAATCCGCAAAGAAAAGCCGAAAAAAAAGGTCGATTTTAAAAGTTAGTCAGAAAATTTAGAAAAAAACCATCCTGATACTTTTAGATGAAGTTTTTTAATGAAATTGGCTTTCTCAGGAAATAAACATATTCCAGTGAATGTAAAACTTTTAGATGAACAAAAAAGTTTCAGAGTGTCGAAATAGTGAATGAAAGCGTGAGGAAAAAAATCAAAAGTTGAGACTTTGAGTTGAGGCGGCTTCGAAAAAAAGGAAATTCCCTTTTTTTGGGTTTGAAGTCGAACTACCAAAGCAATCTTGTTTGAAAACTTGAAAAAAAGTTCAACTCAAAGTTCAGAAATTTTTGAAAAAGTTGTTCTTAGTCGGGAAATTCTCAAAAAAATGAAAAATATATATGATTGTTTGGTTGAAAAAAATATGTTGAAAAATAATGGAAAAAAATATAAAGATATAGTTAAATTTGTACAATAAAAAAACAAAAACAAAGTTTAGGCCTTTTTAATATTTTCTATTTATAATTTTTCAGCTTTCATCAAAAATAATTTTCAGAACTTCATATTTTCTGCCAATACAAGTAAAATTCGAATTTATTTTGCTGAAAAAAAAACTAAAAAATTGAGCAGATTGTTTTAATCACAGTTTTAAAAGACTTTATGAAATTCTTTACTATGCTAGGGCTCAAAATGACGATCTTCAAAACTATGGGGAGAAAAAAATTGTAAATATGTGAAAAACTCTCAACAAAACAATTTTGAAAGGACTAACATAAATAGAAGAAGAAACAGAATAAGTAACAAAGTTAAAAAAAGAAAAAAAGTGAGAGATTTGAAAATAAATTCGTTGCCGGCGAAACTGCGAGAATTTTTACTGGTAGCAATTTTGGTGCAATTAAAGGCGCATACAGTATGCCCTTTGCTTAAAAATTGGGATTTAGAAGTCGGGAAAAATCTTATTGAACTCAAATTTGTCTGATGTGTCTGATAGTGTATTTCTGACACCACAAGTAGAAATTTAGAGAATCGAAAAAATCCAATTTCCTATTTCTGCAATGTACGACGCGAAATACTTCCCGAATACAGAATTTTTTTTAAAACGAAAATCAAAAAAGTCTAAAACAGACTCGATATTGGTAATATTGCAAACTAGTTCTGTTTGGGTCTTTTTTTGGCTCTTTGGTGTCATTATTCCTATAGGCACGCAGACTAACCCAGCTCATGGTGCCACAGTGAATTACAACCGCTTGTAAATTAGGAGGAAGGCGAAAAAAACCCAGAGATACGGACTCAACAAACAAGGATCTTTGGACTCGCAAAAATCAAAAGTACAGTTTTTCGTAAACAGAAAACCTATTCAAATTTTGTAAAAAACATTCGAAATAAGTTTGGCGATTGGAAAACAGAAAATTGTCATAAATGGCTGATAAAATTTTTGTTGATATAATGAATTTCGACCAAAGTTCGAGCATTATAAACACACAAATTCCAAAAATACATGTAAAGCTTTCTTATACTGAACTTCAAAAAACACTATTTTAGGAAAATTTGATAGGAAAAAACTTGTAAGAGGCGAAAAACTTATGAAAAGATGAATTCACATAGACTAACATGAACAGGAGGTAAAGAAAGATGAAAAGAAATAATTTCATAAAAACAGAAAAAGGGAAGAGAACCAAAAGAAACTATCGTTGCCCGCGAAACCGAGAGTTTTTACTGGTAGCAATTTTGACGCAATTAAAGGCGCATACAGTATACCCTTTGCTTAAAGATTGGAGTTAAAAAAATCAGGAAAAGGCCCATTGAATTCAGCTTTACCTGATCTATTTATTAAGATACCTCTGAAACCACGAGAAGAAATTTTGAAAATCGAAAAAATTAAAAATCGTCATTTTGAAATAGAAAAAGCTAAATAATTTGCATATTCAGATTCATTTCAAAAAAAGTCGAAAAAAACTGAAACAGACCTAATATTTGTAATATTACGGACTTATTTTATTTTGGTATTCTCGTTGATCTTTGGTTTCATTTTTCCTACAGGCACGCAGGCTGACCCAGCTCATGGTGCCACAGTGAATTACAACCGCTTGTAAATTAGGGGAAGGCGAGAAAAGACCCAGAGATACGGACTCAACAAACAACGATCTTTGGACCCGCAAAAACCAGAAGTACAGTTTTTTCGTAAACAGAAAACTTATTCAAATTTTGGAAAAAGATATTCGAAACAATTTCGTCGATTGGACAATAGGAAATGGTCATAAATGGCTGATAATATTTTTGACTGTCAACCAAAAATGTTCTTAGAAATCGCAATTGGATTAGATAGCGAATAAATATTTTTTTAGATAATTTTTTTCCTGAAGAAAAATTGAGAAATGGATGAATATTCTCATTTATTGAAGTATTGATTGAAACTACAGTGCCCATAATGCTGAAATTTTTCGGAAAACTTGCAAAGTTTGGTTGAAATGAATTTTTGAAGACAAATCAGTCGTTTTCCGAAGGTATTGTTTTTTTTAATAGATTCAGAACGGTGAAGCTGAATTTTCATTTTACCAAATCTTCACTCTCAAAAAAAACTTTTCACTTAAATTGGTTTCCAGCTCTAGGAGGGTTTTAAAAGACGTTTGCCGTGTATCGGCCCATATTACTTATTCATGTAAAGTTTCACAGTAATCGGGGTTGATTGAAAAAAAGTTATAGTCAAAAAAATATGGGTATTCGTATTTTTTTATGATCGGTATTGTATAAACTTCGGAAGTTGTGAAATCGATATAAACTCAATTTTATGATTATCTTAGCTTCTATTAATTCAGTGAAGGCTTCCGGAAATGATTTTCCCGATAAAGATTCAAGACTTTCAATTTGTGCTTTTTTCATGAAATTGAATCCTTGAAGATTTCAGTTTTTTGCTCTAGCTATCATGGTCTTCAAGACCTGCAAAAACGGTATTTTACTAATCTTACTCTTTTTTTTGGCTTGTTATAGTCTAGTCAATATACCCTGGGAGAATTTTGAAATACAATTTTTTTTTCGAAGTCGTTAGGAAAAGGAAAGATTGGCTATTTTGACACTTTCCAAATTTTCAAAACCCTTTTCTTAAAATACTTAATGAAAAACTTTCGCTGATAATATTACAAAAGAGAAGAAAAAATCAGCATGTTCGACAAAATACAACAAATCTGATAAAACAGATTTTCATGTCAGTGATTCCTTGCGGAAATTGGAAGTTGAAGACTCTAGTCCTTTTTTTTCATGCCAATGTGTGTTTTGGGAGCTGCAGAAGGAGTCTCAGCTGATTTTCTACTTTTTCGATTTTCTCGGTTTTCCTGATCATTTCAAAGCGCAGTAAGAAAATTCCAAGGAAGTATTTTTCAAGGTGAGGATAGCAAAAATTGTTTTTGATTGGACTATTTATCACAATCAGGCGTCTGAATATTTCCCATCGACTGTTGGAACTACTTGAAGCTGCTGAAACGACTGATTCGATAGATGGATTTGATTTTTCGAAAAAAATTAGAGAATTTTTCATTTATGCAATAAAAAGCAAAAACAGTGAGGTTATTTGTGTCGGGAAGAGACAACGCAAAGAACGCAAAATAACAGAAAAGTAGACCATTTTTCTTGAAGGCGCAAAGAAAATCTTAAACTCAGATCTTCCAAACTTTTTTTGATGATTTGTAACAGATACGAGGCAAAAAAATAATTCTGAAAAAAAGTTT